CTTCAAGGATGGAAGGGCTCCGTGTAAGTATAACCGAGGTTTTCGTACACAAATCTTCATCACGAACACTATAGCACGCGATTAAGGTATCATCAGGGCTCCAGAGCGTATGCTGGATGAGGGGAGGGCGATGCCACATGGCAGACAAAGCTAGTAGGCAAAGTGGCGAGAGCCAGTCAGTGTCACGTACTTCCCGACTCATAACGCACGGCAGAACATGACTCTGCAGATGAAATTAAGAAACAAACATTTCAGAGTAGGGATTGTCTGCTTCAGAAAGCCTTCATGCGAGAAAGTGGAATGGTCGTCTGTTATCGTTATGGTACGCATAAGAGGTGGCGAAAGCACGTAGCCACCGTGACAGTGTCGGAGTGTGAAGAAGGCTCGGCGCCAGCCGCCGAGGACGAAATCCGTGGCTGGAAATCCGGTGAGAATCTGCCGCTCTCGGTTGCCGAATGCACCCTAAATCCGAGTGGATGGCCTGACGATGGCGAACTTGAAGGAAGTTGCCGGCGCCACACGCCACATCTGCATACACTCTCACGGGTTCGGAATCGTCTCTGTCGGGTTTTGAACGTAGGTAGCCACAAGCAATTCGCATCACGGCATATATGTTACATTTAATGAAAGTACATTCCATTCACCGTTCCATATGTTTGTCAGATCAGCTCCTCAATATTCCAATGAGCTCTCCAGCATCCTCGTCAAATGTTCCCTCCCATCCTCGCCAGCAACATCTCCCACACCCGGAGCCAAGTCCAAAACCCTCCTCTGTGGTAACGTCCCCTCCACTAACATCGGAATATCTGCCTTCGTATACCCCACAGCCTTCAGCCCGCGCGGCACGCCCAGAACATCAAGGAAGCTGGCAATAGCCTCGAATAGGTGCGCTCCGATGTCACGGTCGGCAATGGAGGTGATGGAGGGGTCGTAAGGAGATACTTTCCTGAAGACGGAAAGGGCTTGGCGATGGCGGTCAGGAGCACTTGGTGCGGTGAATTGGAAAACCGCTGGGCCAGTGAGGGCCACACTGAAGAGATGGAGTCATGAGCACGCCGAAGGAAGAGTTAGGGGGGGTGGTGAAAAATACACACCTGACGCCGTGGGGGATGATGGGGTGGTCAACAACGTAACCCGGGTCCTTATACTTTGGCCCCTTCTTGTTCAGTCCGGAGATCTACGGACACCATGGTCAGATGAAGCAGGCAGAAGAGCGAAGGGCAGTCTGCAAGCCTTACCGGGTAACTCATGCCATGGCAGAGATGGACGCCTGCATTACCGAACCCGATGCCGGCAAAGGAGGCTGCCAACCTGTACGAATGTAAATATATATCGCGCACTGAAGCAGATAGGGAGGACGATACGAACAAAAGCTGTCTTCTCGCCTCGGTATCATCCCTGTTCTTAGCAACACGGGGCAGATATTTGACCGTCTGCTCCAACGCCCAGAAGGAGAAGATGTCTGCCACGGGATTACTACCTTGGTAGGCTGGTCGAAGAATCGGGTTCGCGGGCCTCGGCATGCGTTCCGTGTACCTATTTAACATGGGGATTACAGCACATTCAATAGGAGGTTCGCAGAGATGCTGAGAATGTGGAGAGTGAAAGACCCACGGGATAGCAGTGTAACTCTCTAGACTGTGGAACAAAACATCCAAACCGGAGCTGATGTGGACAGCAGTGGGACAACTTTCTGTGTTATATGTGTCCACGATACCGAGAGTAGGTTTCATCATGCGGCTAGCGATTCCTGTCTTAAAAGACATGGACGGAATGTCCAAAATCGCTGTACCTGTGGTCTCTGAGCCCGTACCGGCAGTCGTGGGCACTATTCCCGCAACACCATCGTGAGCCCCAGGAATGATTATAAGAAAGGCAGGGGAACATACCCGCGATGAGAGGGCGCAGTTGCTGCGAAATAGGTTGACCTTTCCCGACAGGGGCGTTGATGAAATCAAACAAGTCTGCGTCCTTGTAGACGGAGAAGCTGGAGACAATGTCAGTCGATCGGGACGGCAAGGCCAGTCCAAGGAACATACAGATTAGCTGCTTTGGCAGTATCAATGACACTTCCGCCGCCGACACTAGGAGTAATTCAAGCCCTTAGAAACACGGTAAGAGGGCGTATGAGTCGGAACATACGCCAAGAAATGACTGAAGTCATGTTCACGAGCCCATGAGATCGCCTTACGCCAGCTATCTTCAGTAGGTTCGGTGACGACGGTGTCGTATACCTCAAAGGGGAGATCCGACTGTGACGAGAGGGACTCTAGCGCCTTAGAAGTATTGAGGTAAGCGTAACATGACCATACTGACAGCACGTCGTGGACATACTGTTTTCATGGGCTGCAATTTGGCGATGTTAGGGTCCGTAAAGACTCCAACCTGTATAAAAGGTGAGAAGAGGCCATATGTGAGATAGAGCCCAGCTAGTCTCACCTTTGTAGCCTTCATATTCTTGAAGTCCATCCCGACCTCACGGGTCACACCGTCGCCGAAGCGCAAGTTTGAAGCAGCGACCTAGAATGGTACCAGTATAAGATAGTAACATGAGAATAGGCTATGCAACCCACCTCAAAGGCGTACTCCTTCTCAACCACGTCTACTGGGGTTGCATACTTGCGCATCTGCTGAATGGCATGTTGAGCATGTCCGGCAGCACGACAACCGTGGCAAGGACAAGCAGTGTGCTGAGCAGCGTTCATAAGACGAAAGATAGCATTCCGCGAAGCAGGAGGAGGCATTGTGGTCGAACCTGGTCGAACAAGACAGCGCGGGGTGAGGTGGGGATGGTGTGGGGAAGGGGAAGAGTCCTTAAAACGACGGACAGCCGGTGTCGGGCTTGTGAGCTTCCCTACGGACGGTCGCGTGATGTAATCCGGGGAAAGGCTATTGCTCTTGACAAATAGGTCCTCTCATGAAAAGTCGGGGTCATCATTGGCGCCCTGAAGGTCTGGACGGACATTCATGGTGTTGAACAGCCGACACAGCATCCTACCGTCAGTCTTGAACGCAGAGGAAGATGGAGGTACGAGGACGAAAGCCATGGACTTGGCTGTTGCTTTGCCGCCGGAAGTACTTGCGGGAAGCAGACATGGTTGCGTTATCTTATCTTCTTTTTCCCACGAGCGGATAATGGGTATTGCTTCGCGTTCCAGTTCAAGCTGCTCTCCGAGAGCGCACTCGAGCTCACCGTCGAGCTTGGCCTCCTTCCCCTCCTTGTCCCCTCCGCTCTTTTTTCTCTCTCCCATAGGCCGTTTATTTCTTACCCCTTCCTTTGATATCCGTCATGAGGTGCCACACTCTTTTTCTGGCCTTTCTCGCCACCTGCTCGACCTCCTCCGCCCTCAAGATACCCGTCACAAAAGCCCGGCAACCACAGGATGTACAACGCAGGAGCTTCAACTCTGTTCTCGCAACCACCTCTGGAAGTAATAATGATACAAGTTCATCGGACCTCAGGTGTGTGGACCCGTAATGCTCTCAAAGAAATGGCCGCCGCTCACGCCGAATACCGTAGCACCATTAATGACATGATTTATTTCGTGAACGTACGCTCAACTGCATACGCCTCGGATTAACTTCGTGAGCTTATTTTGACGTGGCAGATCACGCTAGGTGGCACTGGTGAGCGCTCTGGTCCTGGTGAATGCACCCGCCTCTAAACTACCTGCAGACTATACTGTACAACTCGACACCGGCTCGTCTGACCTCTGGATCAAGGGGTCGACTACACCTATCCCTAACTCTGATCAATCGGTGAGTACTACTTATTGTGTGAACTATAATCCAGCTCAACTTTTGGCTAGTCGACAACATACAACCTCACTGTGAGTCTATCAACCTGTTATGGCCAAGCCCTTGTGACTTACTCGTCCGCAGTATGGAGTTGGCTGGGCATATGGTCATGTCTCTTATGCTCCTGTCGAGTTTTCCAAGTACGTTGTCTACCATTTTTCCTAGTGGACTAGGCGCTCACACGTAAACAGCGTTTCGGTTTCCAAACAAGCTTTCATCGACGCCACATCTGCCCAGAACCCGGCTCTGACCTATGGAGCCAGTGGTATCCTGGGCCTCGGCTTCACTAGCCTCTCCACTATCGGTCAGTTCATGTCCATCTTTAGACATGGCTGGTTAAGACCTTGTCTAAGTCAGTATCTAACTTGTTTGTTCGCAGATGCCTTGGTCAATCAGACTGGCGCATCAACAGGCCGCAGTCTCCTTTACAACTTGTTTGCCGACAATCCATCAGAACCCAACTTCATCGCTTTCTCCCTCCAACGCTCCACCGACAGTACAGATGATGTCGAAGGTTTATTCCTCGTCGGTGAGATTGACGAAGACTACGCGGACATTAGCAGTAGCAACGCTATCTCTACGTTCCCAGTAAACTCACCTAGTCGATGGACTGTGCTCTTGGACGCCTATATGGTTGGCAGCAAAACCCTTCCAGTTTCTGGCACCGTTGACGGCTCTCCCGCTAATAGGGCTGTAGTTTTGCTTGACAGCGGGACTTCCTACTCGTAAGACTTCTTTTCTCATTAACACCGTACGACAGTCTCACACTTTGCCGGTGTAACACATAGTTACGCTCCCACCGAAGTCTGCGAAGCTATTTATGGGGGCATTTCCGGCGCACAGTTCGACAATTCTATAGGTCAATGGACTGTTCCATGTGACGCCGAAGTCGATATGGCCCTACAGTTTGGGTAAGTTATATTTAGCTGATTATTCTGTAATACTCGCTTATCTAAGGGTTCTCAGCGGCGAGGTCTTTGCCATCCACCCACTGGATGTCACGCCCAAGAGCATCGGGAACCCGGATCAGTGTGTCGGCTCGTTCGTTCCTCAAGACATCTCAGACATTGCTGCCGGTAACTAGTAAGTGCATATTCGCTGTGCTCTTAGCAAACCAGCTCACGTCTTATTCCTCAGTGACTGGATTGTCGGAGACAACGTCCTCCGATCTATCTACTCGTTGTACGACTTCGGTGATTTTGATTCGTCAGGAGCCATGGGCGACCCCTACGTCAAGCTCCTCTCCCTCGTAGACCCCAACGAGGCCTCATCCGAGTTTGCAGCCGCCCGAGGCAGCACCGCTCGTTCTAACATCACCTACGCCGCCTCCAACTCTACCATTTCCGCCCGAACCACCGTCTCCCTCTCCGACGACATCACCGAAACCCTACACCAAGTGAACATCTACTTCCCTGTCCTCATCGCCTTCCTATGTCTCAACGCCCTCGTCATGATCCTGCTGCTTGTCATCGGCGTCATGTATTTGTACCGGAAACGGACCAAGTCTTCGAGGACGTCGAGGAAGAACAAGGGCAGAGCAACACCATTACCTCTGGACGTAGTCAGTCCGAACCAATATGACGAACCGGACTCGAATTCGATCAGACATTCCACGCAACATGTGTATCAGCCTGTGTCGATGGCACTGACAGAGGACACATTCGTACCACCTTCGCCTGCTTTCCATGGGTATTCCGACACCCTGAGGCCTGGAGGAAAGAAGATTATAGACAGACCAAACTCTGTGGCTTAGGCTTTTTTCACTCCGTGTTGGCTGTCATATACGGTGTACATAGGCGTCGTGTCCTGATGATGTGGATTGAGAGAGACATACTATGTGTTCTGGGACTTGATTTCTTCTTCGGTGGATTGTTCGTACTTCGGTGTTTGGACGTTGGATTTGTGGACGGCAGATAACGGACTGCGGTTTGCACTTGTGTTGTCGGGACTCTTGTTCACTTTCACTCGCTCTCAAAATTTCCCACTCTTCCACCTTCTTATTCTGTCCTTATTGTTCTCATTATTCGTCTCTGGCTTCTGCTGTAGTACGTTTTCTTCAACCGGTACCTTCTTAGTCGTGATATGTGGATTCGGAACCTCTCGCTCGTCGTACGCCCCGTAGTACTTGTTGATACACTCCTCCGATCTGTCATTGAGCTCGCATATGACACATACCCCCTGCATCCCCTTTCTCTATTTTGTTGTTGTTGTTCGTTCGCGTGTTTTTGGGTAGAGTATGACCTGAGGCTAATGCTGAGTGTGCTACGATGGGTAAGTTCTCAAAGCGTCCCGTTTGTTTCTCCGGTTTGAATCTCAGTCAAAGTAATAGTCGACAGGATGCCCATAAGTTTCGGTGTTATGACAGCTTTTGAGTAGGCCTAGGGCAGCAATTCATGCTCACTAAGCCATCGTTAATCGTGGGCGCGGCGCTGAGAAGTAAATGAGAGGAGTTGGAGAAGCGAAAGCCTGACGAAATGGGCAAGGTAAGTCTCTTACAAACGTTCCACGTCGCCTTGTCAAGTTCTTTGTGTCCGCCCAAGCGGAACATATCCGCTACACCAAGCAACCACCCCTTCTTATGTTACTAGCAAGAAGTATAGCATTTGTGAGAGCAAAACGATGACAGGGTAATAATACACGAATTTAGAAAGCTACGATCATCGATATAGGACCAAGGCAGATGGACGTATCAATGAATGCGGGCGCAAAGAGAAGGGAGATGTGACAGTAGCCCCAAATGTTCTGCCAGTAGAAACCAGAGTCGATCCAACGTATGGTCAGCGTTGAGATCAAGACCGGTGTGAACGGTGGAGACAACGTACCAAGAGCATCTATGACGGTGTTGCTGCCTACTCCTGTTGTTGAGGCAAGGGTATGTTGGCTGCGAATCGGACGACGCGGTTCATTCCCCTCTTGAACGCCGGATGGTAATCATCTCCAGCAAATAGACGGAACCAATGGTCGCGGGTACCGGGTTCTGCCAGATCCTTCATCTTCCTGTGTTGCTCGGTCTCATCAAATTTGAATCCATTTTCAGGAATGTCGTCAATATCAGGCAAGGGGGGGACTTTAGAGCGCTTGAACCTAAGGAATTTGCAGTACAAGCCGACAAAGAGCAAGGCATGCATCTCTTGGAGACCAGAGAACTGATGGAATGCAAACTGAACCTGCTGGATGACCTGCGGAAGCATATCTTTCATGGCCTGCTGAATGGCTTCTACGACTGTCATACCCGCAGCGATCTTATCGAACGGGAAAGACTTGACTTCCACGGTGCAAGCGATGACACCCGGGGTCGAGTCATTGATGATGTTGACGTAGATATTGAAGTCGACGTAGCGCACAGACGAGGGGGGTTGTGATATAGGAGCTGAAGGATTCGTGGATGTACCTCCAAAAGAGGATATGAATTCGTCGTCTTCTTCTTGTTCTTCATCGTATTCGCCGCCTTCTTGTTCTTCGTCGTATTCGTGATCTTCCTCGCCACCTTCGTCATCGGAAGGTGGGTCATCGGAAGATGAGAGATATGGAACTGATGAGTTAGCTACAAGAGAGCATAAGAAAGTGAACGGAAGGTAGTGGAAAGGAAGTGAGCTGAGTTCTGATCATATACATATTCCCTAGAGGGATAGGAAGACCGACCACTTGAACTTGAGTCTGGATCGTCGTCCCTGAGCTGAACCGAAGCTCGTGTGCGCGGCGTAGACTTTATATGTTGTGCAACTATGGAAGGTAGAAGAGCTGGATGAGATACTGTGATGTGTGACAAAGAATAGGCGAACAAAAACTTACTGCCAGACAAATCAATAACGGCAGGGCTTGGTTTACCATGAGAAAAGATCGGGCCCTGAGGGCCTATACTGAGGTATCGTCCAGTCGATGATATCTTCTCCGACTGGCTCAAGGCCTGGTAGTTCAAACACAGGTCGATCGCTCTGTAAATCGTAGGCTCACTCTCCCCGTGCATTTCGACGTCTCTCCCTGTTGTCTTGTGTCGTGATACGATTATCTTGTACGGCGTGGAGACCGGATCCTTCCACGGGCTAAACGTACTCTTAGTCGGGGACGCTCTCTCTGTGATGACCATCAATTAGTATACATGTAATGGATCAACATGCGCAAAAGCCATACTTTTTCTGCGTGGAGGCATTACGGCTGTACAATATTGACTGGGCAGAAGATAAACGAACAGCTAGTGGGGGTTGATTGTAGAGATGGGAGGTGTCGAGTGTCAAGTTCACTTTGACGACAAAATAAGGATGCCAAGTTGTGACGCCATTGTGACCATGCGTCTAGTAACGTGTCGTGCGGTGGCCCTTTGTTTGCCACGGTGGCAAGGTCACACGGAGAACGAACAAAAGAGCGGCCACTCCGGCCCGCACAGTGCTATGGCCACGTGGGCTATCGAACATGATCGCCCGCCCGCCCCGCCTTTCCTCTCTCACACCACGCTCTCCCCTGGGCCCTCTCGCATTGAATCCTCTCTATCACCCGAAACCTTTCCCCAATAATATCCCACCATGGATAAGACGTCTTCAAACAAGAAACCCCCTCTCTTTATGCCCGAGGTTGAGCCCTATCGTCTGAAGTACAAAGACACGGTTGGTCTTTTCATGTCTGCAACGTCTGGCTGTCTCACAGTCATCCCATCTGATGCCTAGGATCGCGCTCGAGCTTTTCGAAGACAACCACTCAAGAATATCCCAGGGTATCTCACCTACAAATCCTCTGACACTCGATCTTATCTACCCCCAGTCATGCACCTCGGCTGGATCCTCGACCGGGATCGCGCTCTCAGCTTCGTCCAAAGTCACGGTATCAATCCCGTCGCCGACCTTGGCGATGGCCCCGTTCCGAACTATTATCTCGCTTGCGAGGAGGCTCTGGACATCTTGCTTGACGAGGAGAGGTTAGTACCGCACGACGCGCGAATCAAAGTCACCTTCTTCAATGACGGGCAGTATGTCCCGAATCCCGTCGAGCTGGGGAAATGTAATTTCCACCTTGCTCTGAGTGTGGGGACGAATTATTCCGGGGCCATTCCGATGGAGCATATAGAGAAGCTTGGGAAGGTTGTCGCGTCGGGTAGCAGCCCCAAGTGGTTCTTGGACATGGACGAGTGGTTTTGGACGAAAAAAAAGTCGAGTAAACCGTCTAGTAGTAGTACGTCTCATTTTTGCTCCATGTCTGGGTCGTAGTTGAGGCGGTGGATATTCAGTGCTGGTCTAACGTTATTCAATCTTCTAATTCTGTCTGTCTCTTTAGATCTGCGAAAACGCGCACGGGCTGGGTCGGACACGGCGTCGGACACCACGGTTCACGCCACAGCAGACAGCAGAAAGAGGGACAAGAGCCGAAATAAGAAGCCCCGCGTTCTCCCTGCTACTGATGTGGAGAGTATGGTCATCGATCCCATTTCGTGATACCTATAGCTCCTTTTATCTCTCGTTCATCGTCGCATCTCGTCATCGCACTGCTCTCCATGCCTTTTTTCCCCTACGATATACTCATTCCCCGACGTTGATTTCTGTGTACTAAGTTGTATCATAATCCCGCTGTCGGCCAGCATCTCACATCTGATAATGAATCCAGCCAGAACATCAGTGTAAAGGATTTTTGAAAAGGGTGTTCTTTCGTATTGTTTTGTATTGCTGCGCCGAAGTGCGCTTGCGTCACATCTGTACATCTGGGCTACTTGGCCTACGATTCCTGTCAAGCCGACTCGACGAAGCATCCACGCTCACCGTGGCTACACAACACGAACTTCTATGCAGACATGATATTTAGAAAAAAAGAGCTTTGGTCTGGAGTCAAAAACCTGCGTCGCCTTTTCGGCTGGTTTAATGTGAATCACAGCCACATGGATTTGTTTTTGTTGCAGGAAACCCAACGTTCTCGCCGCGTCTTGAAGTGGCTAGCGGCTGGTTCGATCTCACGACCTCTCGGAGGAGGAATTGTTATTGAGGAATACCAACCGTTAGACCACTGCGGCATTGATAGGACTGGGCGTACCAGTAATATACACCACTCTTCAGCACCGGTATATACCCATTTTTCGCTTGCTTTCGTCACGAAACCAACTGCTTTACTTTACAATATATCGATCATCGAGGGAACACGAGGACTGCGACTGAAGAGCGCGACATATCGGATTGAAAGAGTCGTATATATTCTTAGTACGCCCAAGGCTATTAATGCCGCAGTGGTCTAACGGTTGGTATTCCTCAATAACAATTCCTCCTCCGAGAGGTCGTGAGATCGAACCAGCCGCTAGCCACTTCAAGACGCGGCGAGAACGTTGGGTTTCCTGCGACAAAAAACAAATCCATGTGGCTGTGATTCACATAAAACAAGCCGAAAAGGCAACGCAGGTTTTTGACTCCCTTTTTTCTTTCTCAATGTGATGTGTGTATAGTGGCTGTCCTTGGATGGTAGTTGTAGGTACCTGAACCAGAGTGAGTTTCGACCCAAGCCATCTTGCCGTGAATATTCCATGATGGCGCCTAATATGACCATTTCGCCCAGTTCGTGTATGCGATGATATATATGATACATGATACAGTGCAGTCGGTCGTTAACATGACAAAAGTAGGTGGGTAGGTAGATAGATAATGCCTATGAATGAGGAAGCAAGAGCCCACCCGTGGTCGTGTCGTAAATAGGTCATGTCGTGAGATATCGAGGTAGATGATGATGAGAAGAACTTGAGGGACAGATAGGTCAATGGATGACAAGGAACAGGGGCAGACAGGGACAGACAGGGAAAGGAAGGAAGGAAGAGAACAACAACAACCATATCAACGAACTGGCTAGATTCGATATCGTACGCCCCAAGAAACAAAGTCAGTACAGAATACCACAAGACAAAAGAACACAGCGAACGAAACGACCACGGAAGAGGCAGAGGCTAAGGCTAAGGCTTGGGAAGGGGTGTAGTGAGTAACTTAGCGGAATATTAACAGGAGATCGAGCAATGTATCTGGGTAAATGGGGTAAAATGAGTAAAACGAAGTCCGGCAAGATAACTTAAACAACATGTCAAAACACAAACAAAAACACAAAGGCAGACAAAACATATAACCTGAGAAGAGAAACCGTAGATAGGCGGAGGAGGAATCGACCGAGAGTGCAAGCGACGAAGGCACCCCACCTCACAAAATACTCGGCCACTTAATCTTCAAACCCTCCAACCACCTCATATAAAGCAGTTCAGCTATAGGTGACCTCTTCGGCACGCCCGCATCCGCGACTTTATCATCCGGAGGCGCCACGGCCGTCGCGCTACTCGTATCTGACGCAGGAGGCTGCTCTCCGCCCACTGCTCCCACATCTTCTTCGAGCGTCTCGGTGACGACGAGTCCTCGGCTTGTCATCATGCTCTTGCGAAAGATACGTTTGTGCGGGAAGAGGGAGCGAGAGGTTTGGACGTGTTTTCGGACGACGGTGTTTCTAGATTTTTGGGCAGAGGTTGAGATATGTGTTTGTGAAGGAGAGATGTAAGGAGCTTACTCGTTAATGCCTGAAAGAATGTCGAGGATCACGTTGTAGGCAATTTCAGGGTTGGCCTCCCGAAGCTCTTGGAAACCTCTCGACAGCATACTAAGAGACTCGATCTCACGAGCATCCATGTCGTCCGTAATTGCCTGCATAACACGTACGAGAGAAATAAAAATAAAATCAGCCAACACGCACGCATTCTTCCAAGCGAGCCACATACCCTCTGCAGTGTCGGCAACACAACCTCATCAACCACCGCCCTACCCGCCTCACCCGTCACCCTCTTCCTCGCCGACGCCGACCTCTCCTTAACAGGCGACGAAGAAGGCGACGTCGGCGTACTCGTACTCCCCTCTCTCCTAATACTCCCCACATACTCCGACGACAACCTCAACGACCCCGCCGCATCCACCTTCTTCACCGGTCTGATCGTATCCACCCCTGTCCCAAGGTCCGCCTCGCGCACAATCGTCCCACCCGCCGCGTTCCTCGCGGCATACGAGTTGCGTTTCGTCGGCGTACGTACGTATGCAGGTGGTGCTCCCAATTCTGGACTTCCTTGTCCTTCTGCCGTCGGCGATGTCGGTGGACTCGAAGCGGGTGGCTCTCCGGAGTCTTCGCCAGCTTCTTCGAGCAGCGTCTGGACATCTGGTTCTTCTACTGGCGAACGTATAACCATCGTCGAATGCAGCGCCTGGGTATTGATCCCTATCCCTATACCCGCTCCACCGGCCCCACCACCAGCACCACCGACCACACTCGGAATATCGCTCCCCTTCATCGCCGCACTCGTATCCAAACTATCCGACCTTCCCCTCGTCACAGACCCATACGCCGAATCCGTCTCGTCCGGGATCGTCCCCGAAGTAAACTGCGAAGGCGTGAGCTCCTTGACCATCGTTCGGATCGTGCCCATGGGTGCAGCCGCCGAGCGTATAGTGTCAAAGTTCCATTCGCTGTTGAGCGTGCCGTCCCATGCCATACTATTCCGTGCCGTCGCTTGGTACGCTTGGGGACCACGGCCGGGAGAACGAGAGCGGTAGTCTTGGTATCGCTCGATGAGTTCCGAGAGGTATGAAGTCTTGCGTGCGCCACGGATGAATCGGTGTTGAAGGAGCTCCTTCGCCGTCGGTCGCTAGATAGCGCAAACGTACTGAGCTTTTGGGGACGAGATGAGATGGAGAGTAGGGTGCTTTATCACTTACCGACTTTGGGTCCTTCGTCAAACATAATGATATAAAGTCCTTGAAAGCGAGCGAGAACGCGCCCTCGAGCACAGGCGGCTTAGCTTTCGGAATCAAGAACAATACGCGCATAGGATGATACTCCGCCAACGGAGGCTCTCCCTTCGCCATCTCGATCGCCGTGATCCCCAGACTCCACATATCCGCCTTAGCGTCGTACCCAGCCTGGCGTATCACCTCCGGTGCCATCCAGAACGGCGTCCCGACGAACGTGTGCCGCAACGTACTCGTGAGCTGCGCGGCGACTCCAAAATCTGCGAGCTTGACCTTCCCGGAGGCGGAGAGGAGGACGTTGGCGGCTTTGATGTCGCGGTGGATCGTGCCCTGTTCGTGCAGGTAGTCGAGGCCCTGCAGAAGCTCGCGGCAGATAACGGCGATGTGGGCTTCGGAGAATACGCCGGGTTTGAGCAGGTCGAGGCAGGAGCCTCCGGCGAGGTATTCCATGACGATCCAGAGCTTGTAGGCGACGACGAAGGAACCGTAATACCGTGTGACATAGTCCGATTCGTGCTGGGCGAGCTGTGCGATCTCCTGCTGTATCTCCGAGATATCGTCGTCCGAGTCTTCCAAGTCTGCAGCGTCAAAGTACCGACTATTATTGGTAACCGAGTACGGAGGATAGAAGATGAAGGGAGAAACACATATGGATAATTGAGCGAAAAGGGAAGGTGAACGGACCGATCTGCTTTATAGCGACGATCTGCTTGCTCTCGTTATGCATGGCCTTGTAGACCGTACCGAAGCTTCCCGTGCCGAGCTTTTCTAGGAGGGTATATTGGCTGGCGGGATTGCTGCTTGGTACAGGGTATGGCTCGATGGTGTGACGGGTCTTGACATCGGGAGAGGACGGCTGGGAAGAGGAAGATTTGCTCTGTGATATAGGGGATGAAGGAGTGTCAGACGGATTGCGTTTCTTGAGACGTGATCCGACCATGGTGAGATAAAGAGACTAGAGTAGACCGGGAGGAGGAATGGAAAGGAAGAGGAGAGCGAGAGGTCTCGACGTCGTAAGGAAGGAGACCGCGACGCGAAAGGGAGGGTGAAGCGCGTGAGAGGCGGGCTAAGAGGAGGCAAGGGCCGGAGGAAGGGCTTCTTCGAGTAGCGTGCTGGTAACAGGACGATACACGTGGAGACGCAGATGCGTCATTCGCCCAGTCGTTCTCCGTCGACTGACGATCTCATGCCGAATGCGATATGTCCTCCGGCTAGCATCAGGGAACAAGAGCAAGGACGGCGCAAAACGAAACCGGGACGACGCAAGGTGATATCAGAAATCAAGCACGTACCATGGCGATCAGAATTGCTTATGGCAGTTCCCTATTTCGGCCTGCGCGAGGGAAAGAAAAAAGCGCTTCAGCGGTCAACGTCAGCGGCGCTAGCAAGTAGGGGACCGTGTCTTGGAGCAATGGGGCAGCTGAGGTCGCCGTGCGAAAGGCTGAATCTATATATCGTCGCGTGTGGCGAGCGTGGCCGGGATATATGTAACCACACACAACGGAGGAAACGAGGACGACGAGAATGTCCTCAAAAGGATGGTATATGTGAGAGAGAAAGAAAGAGAAAAGACGTCGAGGGGAGCACTCTGGAGGCAGTGTGGCCAAGAGCAAATTGGCCTCACGCTGTTTCAGCTCGTCATGCTTGTCTGCCCCTCTCGGCCGCACCCGTCGCCGGCACAAGAGCTCTTATTCATTCCACTTTTTCCTTCTTCATCGATGTCTGCGTCTTTGCCGTGGACTATATCCAGTGTAGCTTCCATAATACATGTTTGTAGCTTGACGCTCAACCACCGTTACGGAATTGTCCAACTACAATGGGCGAAATTTCTCTCTTTCTCTCCGTGCATCTGGGCATCGACAAGATTTCCGGATTTGATTTCGCACGACTTCGAGGCAGAAGACCATATTCGTCTAGATCGATGTTCAAGCTATCGCCACACAGGGGCGCGGGAATAACTGAAACGCGATCCCCGCGCTCACGTGCTGAGACGCGCCCTTGACGCGCCTTGTTGATCGAGTGGCACCTTCTCCCTCCACTCGACCACCACCTCGCTACTCTCACTCGTTTGCTCGCCATCTGAGCCTTGTTTCAGTAGACAGATGTCAGAATATCCAGAGATCACCCTCGCCATCGAGGAGTTACCGCTTCTCACCCCGGAAGACGTGCCAAGCCTAGACGACCATTGCGCGATATGTCTCATCTCGTTCAGGAGTATTTTTGAGAAAGAGGCTGCAGGAGAAGAGGGCGCTGGTGACGAGGGAGAAGAAGATGGAAGGAGAGGGGTGACGAAGGTGGATGGGTGTGGGCATCTATTCTGTTTGGAAGAGTGAGTGTCTTCGGTCTCAGGGCAGTGTGGCGCGAATATCGTTCATCGAGGTCCTTGTCTTGCCCGGTCTTATAGTCTGGCGCAATGGATCCAAGGCCGCGTGAGTTCTATACCACTTTCACGGGCTACCGGATAAAGTGCCACCGCTGCTCATTGCGACTACATGTTCGGATAGCACGGCACCTGTCCGACATGCAGACACCCTTTTCTTCCCCACCTACAACCTCTCGACTCAGACGACGAAGAAGAATCAGACGGAGGAGAATACGTCCCTCCCGATTACGATGCCGAGACGGACTTCGAGACGGATCTCGACGACTTTTTGGACTCGGACTCGGATGGTGCAGATAGCGAGATTATGGGAGTCCATCCCAGTGAGGACGGTGAAGTTCCGAGGAGGGAACGGGTAGAGGAAGAGGGACAGGGCGTGCTCTCGAGTGATTTAGGATGGGAGGAGCAAGGGAGTCCGGAGTGGGGGCTGACGGACGAGGATAGTATGAGTGCGAGTGAGGGTGAGGCTGCATTGGGTGACAGGCCTTCAGGTATCACTTTCTACCTTGTTTTCTTTCTTGCGATTCCTGTGGTATTGGCCCTGACATGTTCTACGGCAGACACAGACGTGCAAGTGTGGTTGACACAGGACGGAAACTACACTATCGACGACGGGGCCGGTGTGCCGAAGACTTAAAGTGGTAGTTGCCCGGTTTACGCTAACTTATATCCCCTCGCGAAAACACCGTTCGTCATGTACACCTATTCTCCATTGTTTTATTCGGTGCTTTAAACAGCCAGTAATAGTATTGGTTCCAGCATACGGTTCCGAGTCGTATTCCTCTAGGCTGCATCTTACATCAGAGTATTGTACAATTACAGTTCTTCGTCTCAAGCCGAAGCGGATTGAGTCAAAGCTAGCGCCGCAGCCTTTCCTTCCCTATCCGCAAGCCAAACCCCAGTCGACTTCCCACTCCACCGAACTCCCTTTCCGCCTCCTTTCAACGTTTTAAACTGCTTCTTCAACTCCTCCCCGACCTCCTTCACCCGTTTATCGTCACTCCCAAACAGCATGACCACCGTAGTCGATGCAGTCGTCTGAGAAGACGGAGAAGAGGTGAGTAGAATGGTGTACTTATGGGATTCGTCGGGCGGTAGGTGTGCCAGGAATGCGAAGGTGATGGCCTGCAAAAACGACAAGGCAGAAGTCGGCGAATCATCCGTACGTCCGATGAACTTAGTCCATTCCTTCCCAGAACTCTTATTATCCTCCGTTCTCTCCCATTTCAACATCTCACCCACCAGCTGCCTCCCAATCGCGTCAGCCAACTCCTTCTCCACATCATCCATCCGCTTCTCTCTCTTCTTACTCTCCTCCGCCACAAGCGCCACGCGCTCCGGCGTCTCCACCGCCCCACACGACAACAATCCCGCGGTCCGAGTCAAAAGCGACTGCACCGTTCCCAAGTGATTGAGCAGCCTCGGTCCAGAGAGGAAATAATGCCTCACGGGCGCCGAAGATCCACCCGCGGGAGGCGGGAGGAGGTAAAGTTGAAGCGAAGAGAGCGTAGGGAGGTGTGTGCCACAGCATGGATTACGGTCTACGCCGTCTATCACAACTACACGGTGGACGCCTCCACCGCCGACGTAGTCGCTCGGGAGTCCTCGACCGAATTCGCGCTTCGCGGATGTGTCGGCGGTGGAGGAGGGTGTGGTGCCGTTTTGGTTAGATTTAGATTGGAGTTCTTGGACTTCGATGTGGACGCGACGGCCTTCGAAGACGTAGCGGTTGCATTCGTCTTGGATGAGGGTCGTTTCTTCGGGTGTGAGGGCGCGGGGGAGGTCGACGTAGGATGGGGAGGGGTAAGATGTCAGAGACCACGCGAGGGTCGGGAGGGAGAGGTGGCTTTCGAGGACTGCGGAGAGCAGGTGTTGACTCGTATGCATGCTCATCTAACGTTCCAGTCGTGAGCACTAATGATGCCACTCAATATTAGACTGCGGTCGGGGCTGGATACGCACATGGTCTAACCGCCTCTTGAACCCCTCCTCGCCCAATTCGACGCTCACTTTCCGGCCTGCCTCAAAGACAGTCGGTACATCCTCCGTGCTCGTATCAGGCTGAAGCTTGACGTAGTGTACAGCCGTCAGTCCATGACGTTTGATGAGGGCCACTTCCCAGACTCGTCCATCGCCAGTCACGATGACTCCCACATCGGATGGTTGTCCTCCACCTTCCGGAAAGAGAACGGTATCGTGAAGTACGACCTGTAAGCAAGGCGACGCGAGTATAGGCTCAGCGGTGGCCTTGGCCTGTTTCTGGTGTGCTTTCTTTCCACCACTGGAAGCGGTGGGTGGTTTGTAGATCTGAGCAGAGATGACGGTGGTGGAAAGGTTGCGCAAGAGGGGGTCGCCTGCACGATGTTTATTGTGAGTGGTTTGGCCCGGGATATGAGCAAGTATCGGAAGACGGACGTTGGCACGAGAGCAGACCGACGGGAATTGTGAATTTGTGGTCCGATGGGATATTGAGGGTTGGAGAGACGATACGGTGGTAATCCGGGGGTGTAGTTGGTGGCAGAAGTAATGCAGAAGCAGCCATGGTTAATTGACAAAATATACAGATGAGAGTGAAGTTGGTGATGACTCGACAAGTACTAGTACTGTCACTGGAAATCAGTGTGGCGATAAGCGGAGTGGCGGAAGACCACTTCCACGTTGTGTTTTCTCAGGGTTCACCCCTGGCTCTCAGAGGTTCTCAGCCGCCCCGCAAACCATTCAGGTCGCCATACAGGATCTGCTCACTCTGCCTTTGCTCGATATCTAGAGCATCGAACGATGACGCACTTAGCTTCTATGTCGAGAAACCACCCGGGACATTCGTGTCCTCGCGCCATCTCTGGACCACCGAGGAACCGAGTCTGCAGTCTGCGCCTTCACCAAGCCTTCACCGTCACGACGAACGATCCTATAGTTTTCTTGGCATGCTCGCTGTGGGACGTATAATCTGTTAGAGTATGGTATTCGTGTATCCCGACGCCTTCAATCGGTAAATATAGTCGCTCAGCGCTCTGGCCGCCATAGGCGCGACCTATTATCGCACCCACATCAGGATGAAATTCGGAGGTTCGGCTCTAACCTCTCCCACCACGTCCCATCCACATATCGCCCTCCAGCCAATCCGACATGTTCCGCTCCACAATTGCCTCTTCCATGTCCGTCGTCGAATTTCTTGACGGACTCTGGAAGAACCCATTTTCACCCCGGACCGTATCTCCACCCCCATACATCCCCATACCATCACCCCGCGAGAGCGACATAATTCCCCGCGTACCTGACCCCGCTTCCGCCGGGGAAACTGTATCATCTCCCTCGGCGTGGTATAAAGCCCTCACATCTCGTCTTGCATATCCTCGCGCCCTCGAGCATTCTCGACGCCCCCAGCTTCTGTCTTATACCGACTCTGTCGAGCCCTCGAGCCCCGTCGCGTCCTCTTCCGCCTTGTATCCTCGTTATTCCGATATTCCTTCTACAAATCGTACGGCTTCTTTCGACGACATGAACAACTCTAGGGAATACGTTCCAAATGTTGTGGAGGGTAAAGACATTGAAGAGCGCGTAGAGACGAGACGGCAGCCTATCGATCTCGATGCAGAGTTCGGTGGACCGGAGGCGAGGAAGAAACTCGAACGCAAATTGTTGATGAAGCTCGATTTGCGCATGTCCATCCTCATCATCATCTACATTCTTAACTACGTGCGTTCTTTGCAATGGCCCTCGGAACACGTTTTCTGACTCATTCGACATTCTTTGATATCCCAGATTGATCGCAATAATGCTTCGTGAGTGCTGCCACAGAAGCACCTTCTATTTGGTCCTGATCTGCGTCATAGTGCTGCACGTTTACGAGGCTTCGAGACTGATCTCGGTCTCCAAGGACAACAATACAATACCATTCTCAGTATTCTTTATGTGCGTTCTCTGCCGATAATATTGTTTGCAGCCATTGACCAGTGTCTGTGATGACTAGGTCGGCTACATTCTCATGCAAATACCCTCGTAAGTTCCGTTGGATTTTCAAAATTGCAATTCATCGCTGACAGTCGCACAAATCCCAGAAACATGTTCTTGAATCGCATTGGGAAACCATCATTATATCTTCCCCTCTGTATGACTATCTGGGGTATGTTGCCGTACCGCAGTCATTCTGGTGATTCATACTGATTTAGCGCTGCGTTAGGCATGATTTCCATTCTTACGGGCGTTACGACCAATTTCGTCGGTGCTTTAATGACACGATTTTTCTTGGGTTTCGTGGAGGCCGCGTTCTTCCCGGGCTCGCTCTTCCTTCTATCCAAGTGGTACAAGAGGAAGGAACTTGGCATGCGCACTTGCATGCTTTCGTGCGGTAGCTTGATCAGTAACGCTTTTGGCACACTCATCGCTACCGGTATTCTCGATGGCATGGAGAACAAGCTTAATAAGGCTGCGTGGCGGTAAGCATTTCACGTCTTTTTATGTCCTATCAATATATCGCTCATCCTACTATCCGTCTATTTCGGCAGCTGGCTGTTCTTCATCGAGGGAGCCCTGACTATCTTCTTCGCCATCCTTGCTATTTTCATCCTCCCCGACTTTCCTACGACTTCTCAGAACTTCCTTTCCCCAGAAGAGTCTCGACTCGCTGTTCTCCGGATGCAGAGCGATTCTGGCTTGGGCGGCGTTGGCGACGAAGACGAAGCCCAAGGGGAGAAACACGCAAGTGGCCTGAAGCAGGCTTTGACCGACTGGAAGGTGTACTTCATGGCGGTTTCCCTCACAAGCATGGTCCTCGGCCTATCATTCAACGCGTTCTTCCCGACCTTGAGCGAGACCATGGGCTTCGACACAACCGTCTCGCTACTGCTCTGTGCTCCTCCGTGGGTCTTTGCAACCCTTGTTGCCTTCGCAGTAAGCAGGTGAATACTTTTTAGTAACAATCGATTATAAGACCCCCTTGCTGATTGCACATTTCGAAGACATTCGGACAAGACCGGTGAACGAACATTCCACATCGTGGGGCCACTCTGCGTAGGAATCATCGGCTTCATCATCGCCGTCTCTACTATGAACACGGCCGCAAGATATGTTTCTCTGTACGCTTCGATTTCGGAAAATTGAGCGTGGATAGTTTACTCACGATTTTTTTTTTCACCAGGTTCTTAATGGCACAGTCTTACGCCGGCTTCATCGTGTTTTTGGCGTGGATTAGTAACACCTTCGCTCGTCCACCAATGAAACGTACGGAAATGTCTTGATCGTCGGCGAAACCTCTATAACTCACTAACTACTCACTTTACAGGCGCCGTCGCTCTCGCTGGCATCAACGCGTTCTGTCAACTCGGCAACATTGCTGGATCGTAAGCCTTCACACGCTTCACACGTAGCTCTCCGTGATCTCACATTGACCACCCACAACCCTGGTTCTTGCCCACGACAGATATATCTGGCCAACCGCATGGGGACTCACCTACACCAAGTCCTACGCGATTTGCATCTCCTCGTTCGGACTGACGATCATTATGTGCATAATTTTCCGCCAAGCACTCGCAAGGAAAAACAGAGAGTTCGAGGAGCGCGAGCTTGCTGCTGGACGGGAGAAAGGTTTCAGATATCTTCTTTGAACGGAACTTTTCAGGAAGCGGAGGTTGCAGGGTATGGCAGGCCGTGGTAACGTGGTGTCTCCGTTCATCGCTCGCGTTCGTTGACCGGAGGGTGAACGTCGCAGTTGCTGTGGGATTAGGTCTGTCCATTGTATGATAGGGATGATTATGATCATTTAAAGCGCTTAAGCTTGCATGGTTGCGTCGTGCTTTGTGTCTTGATGCAGACCCTTGTGAGCGTGTACAGGCGTGTACACGAGCGCTGAAGACCCGCTCCTAAAATATTCGTCGGACGGGTGTCGGGCCACAGGGGTTCGGCGACATAAAAGCCCATGAGCTCGTCCCAAAAAGGGAAGGCTCGGGACATGCAATCGGCAGTGCTGTTCCGCGTGGCTCGAAGTCTAACGCGCGGAAGAGGTTCCCCGGGTTCCACCCCCCATCTTACCTTCGACTTGCCGTCAACGGGCAGTCTTGGCCGTTGATTGCGACGACTCTCTCGTCTCCTAACTTCGTCGGACCACGATCCAATATTCACGAAGGATTTTGACTGGTCATCGCATTCTTGGAACTTCGCGTAACCGCTTTATTGAACGGAGAGAAGCCTTCCGAACCTGATTCAAGTCCGCTCTGCCCCGCTACGCGCTTGCTTATGCGTTTCGTTGACAGCGTGCAGCCAATTGATGGAGAGATGGGGATGAGGACCCGTCGATAAGTATATAGCTGTGAAATTTTTGGGACTTGAACCGCCTGCTCCTCTGGATTTCTTCCCCCATCATCATCTACGAGGCGGCAAGTTTTTGGTTAAAGAGGGCTTTTTTACGGCCCCTACCTGTCCGCTCTTTGCTCTCGACATTTCACTCCTCCTACTGCTGTAATTCGCAATGTCGATGTACTACTCCAAGGCCGCTGTCCTTCTCCTCTCTGCTGTGCTGGCTCCCGTGCGTTCGGTTGCTGCTCATGGTGGTCATGAGCATGTCGCTAGAGACGCTAGTCTTCCTGGCTCGTGGTTCCATGAGGAAGACCATCCAGTTCATGCTCTCTTCCGCCGCGATATAGGCACTGATGGTGCTGATTACCCCGAGGTCGGAACCCCCAGTACGTCTTAGCCACTCTATATCCGCACGCCAAGGCCCATGCATTTTGAATGGTTTCACTAACATTTTTTTCTTATCTTTTTGCCTCCCTCCTATTCGCATCGTAACTTTTTTCTTCTCCTCATCATAAAAAAAAAACCAGCCTGGAGTTCCAAATATCCTCAATCCTCCCCCGACGTCAGCGCCTTGCCCCAAGAATGGACAGACGCCCTCAACGCCGCCGTCGCAGCAGGAAAGATCCCCAACTATGCTCCTTCGACGTCAACAGGCGGCAACCCGACATACGCGGATGGCCTTGATCCCACTGGCTCTGAGGTCTGCTCGGGAACGTATAAGTGCAGGATCGACGGGCAGATCTGGGACGCGCCGGATGGGACCGTTGGTATTAGTTTCGATGATGGTCCGGTTGATGTGAGTACATTTTTATGTCTTGGTGTTGAGCGGATTAGCGGTGTGATAGGGAGAGCGTGCACTGATCTGGTTTCTGTTAACTTTCATAGGGATCAGCTATGCTATACCAATTTATGCAGGAGAATCAGATCAAGGGAACGGTATGTATGATATCATACGTCAGACTCCAATATTAGCGGCTCAACTTGTGTCTATTCTGTTCGCCAGCACTTTATGATCGGTAGCAACATTCTCTGGTACTCGCAGGAATTCCTGACAGCGTACGAGACCCTCGAGGACGATCTCGCTGTTCACACCGTATGTTTACTGAGACCCAATTCTTTGGAGGACAAGTACTAACGATTGAATTCTGCGGCGGCTGTTCTTGTTCCAGTGGACACACCCCTACATGACGACTCTGACGAATGAGGAGGTTCTGGCCCAGCTCGCATGGACCATGCAGATCATTCATGACTCGGCAGGCGGACGGCTCCCCCGTTTCTGGAGGCCTCCTTACGGCGACACCGACACGAGGGTTAATGCGATCGCACAGGAGGTCCTTGGATTGACATGTATCTTGTGGAACCAGGAGTGAGTTTTCTGTCTGTCTCTCATCCATGGATATTTTTCTGATTTTGAACTCTCTTCAAAGCACCGAAGACTGGACTATGTCTGAAGGCAAAACGACGCTTCCCAATGTCATCTCAGAATTGACTGGCTGGTACAATGGTCAGCATTCCACACGTCGCAGACGCTTTCGCATCCGTACTAACGCTGGATGGCTACATACAGGCACCCAATCCCCTGGTCTGATCATCCTCGAACACGAGCTGACCAATGACACCGTCTCCGCCTTCATTACGACCTATCCCTACATCGCCGCAAACAACTGGAAGATGGACTCCGTCGTCTTGCTCGATGGTCTCAACCAGCCATACCAGAACGTGGTGGGTACCACGGGCGCCGTAGACTCTGTATCGGACATCCTACCCGACTCAGCAACAGACTCCTCCGATTCTTCGTCTACGTCTGGCTCCGCCGCTGCCGCGTCGACTACCTCCGGTTCGAAGACAACAGCAGCGTCGAGTTCGCACGCGGCTGGGGCTACTTCGTCTGGTTCCTCCTCGGGTTCGGGCACCAGTGCCAGCGATTCGTCCACGTCTGATGCGAGGTCATTGATTATGGGGTCACGGCATCGTGCTGTGGATGTTGCGTTGGGGACCATCTTTGGGTTGCTTTTCGTCGGCTACTTTGCTTGATCGGCTTGAGGTTTGCTGTGTTGAAGTTGCACGTCGTGGTCGTTCTCACTCACTGAACGAACCCTACATACCATACCCCACATATTTTATTTCACCTGCACTCATCACTTTGTACGGTGTAATTGCTTTTCGTATCAGCGCCTTTTCTCCTGTCCTATTTGGAATTTTTCTGTTGCGGATGTGAATGGACGTTCTCATTATACCATTGATGTCGTCTCCGGACTGGCTATCAATAAACACACACTCTTTTGTACACATCGTTCCCTACTATTTAATTTAACACGCATTGCTTGCCACGATATTTCCATCTGCTTGTCGTTTCTGGGTTCAGGATTCGGGTGACCTGCGTCAACGACCCAGTGGCGCAGAAACCGACATAAGCTTCACGAGCGCGGAGTTTACCGGGACGAGATGATGCGCTGTCCATATGTTGTCGACGACTCGGAAGGCTATCTTGCGGACCATATCGCCCAACACTGCCTCTGACTTTCGCGCACCCGAGCTCTTGTTCTGTGGGCGTCCACGGTATGTTCTGCAGGCTATTCGATAAGGCAAGGAAAATACTCGCCTTGTGTGTATTTTCTGCTTCCGGTATGTTTGATACGGCGTTTGCTGCCCTTGAGTGCCTTGTGAATGTCTCACTTAGTGCCTTTCTCGAGTGCCGCTCGCCTTCTGGGTGCCCTTATGGAACTTGGACTACTGCAAGGAAAGGACAGCCTCTTGACGTGGCTAACCATACTGGATCATAGGACTAGCTCAAAGCGCTAACAGTGGCTAGAGATCACCTCATCGGCGAAATCAAGCTCGCGCTGACGAGACTCGTGGCCCGCCTGTCGTAGATTTGTACGTCCCAGGAGTCTTAGAGTCTTGCTGCATTCATTTCTTGCTGGGAAACATGCCTGCGCTAGAGTAATGAATACTCTCATAAGGGCCTGACAGCTACATGGAACGTGTATCTCGTCGTCATTATTCGTGCCGAATTAAACTACAAATTTCTCTCGGTTGTGGCGCTCCCTCGTCCGGTCTTCGATGGGCGCAAGAGGTCTGTTCGGAGCGTTTGGCGGACAGATATCTCCTTGTGATGATATCGAGGGCCGCCCGAACCTTCCGAACCCCCCTTGGTTGACGGGATGCATGGTGTGGCCGATTGTCGAGCGGGATGGCCACTAATGGCCGTTTGAATACTCGATCTGTTCAGCGCTGCCGAGGCGTCAATTATTTCGGCACAAATTCTTCACGGTTCTTTATAAACTAGTCCAACATGCCTCCGTCTACGCTGCTCGCTGCCCATCCTTAGCACGTCCACGTCCGGCGCGATCAAGACCGCCATGAGTTCAGGTATATTTGCTCTCCTCCCCCTCTTGTGTCTCGTCGGCGGGATCGCAGCTCTTCCTGCCCATCAAGAGATACAACGAAGGGTGCCGAATTTGGCGGACGATGTTGTACCTGGGTCGTTGCTGCCCGGTCGATGGTATCATGGGGAGGACCATGCCGCTCATGCCTTGTTCCGCCGTCAAGACGATGGCGAGTCAGCTCAAGTCGGGAGTCCAAGTGCGTCTCCATCTCGTTCCTCCCAATTCATGGTCTTTTAAAGAGAGCTACTTATCCTTTATGTTTGACTTCGCGATATAGCCTGGAGTGCCGCTTACCCTACATCCACGCCTGACCCGAATGCTATTCCTCAGGCTTGGAAAGACGCACTCAACGACGCCATCCAGGCCGGCACGATCCCCGACCTCGATCCATCCACTCAGACCGCTCCGGGCACCAACCCCCTCTATGGCAAATCTGACCCGAACAGCCCCTCGATTTGCTCGGCGACATATCAGTGCAGGATTGATGGTCAGATTTGGGATGCTCCCAACGGGACTCTTGGTTTGGGTTTTGACGATGGTCCGTTGGTGCGTGTCGTCGTTGTTCGCGTCTCGTTATGAAACGCGCGCTTACGTGGGCTTATTCGCTTCTAGCCACCTTCGGACAACCTGTACGCATTCTTGCAAAAGAATGAGTTACACGCTACACACTTCTTCATCGGGGTCAACATCGTTAATAACTGGAAGGAGTTCCTGACGGCGTTCGAGACTAATGAGGACGACATCGCCGTGCACACTGTGAGTACTTGCACTTCGTTCTCGTTCTAGTGGAGGTCCTGACGTCGGTGCTTGACAGTGGACGCATCCGTATATGACAACCTTGAGCAGTGAGGAAGTCGTGGCACAACTCGGTTGGACAATTCAGGTGATCTATGACTCCACGGGAGGCAAGCTTCCAGCATTCTGGCGCCCCCCATACGGTGACACGGGCAAGTTCATTTCCACCAAATGAAGAGGGTCATATGCTCAAACTTACGTCGATTGGTCCAGACGTTCGTGTTACTGCCATCGCACAGGAAGTGTTTGGTTTGACCACCATTGTTTGGAATCACGAGTAAGTCATGAGTTGGTCTGATCGATGTCGGGCGCTCATCAATCTTTGTGGATAAGTACGGAAGATTGGTCCCTCGGCGAAGGCGGCGGTGCAACTTCTGCGGGTATCCAGAGCAACTACGAGAAATGGCTTTCTGGTACACTCCGTGTCCTTTTATTCCTACAGCCTTCATTTCGAAGCTAATTCTTTGTTCGTAGGCTCCAAATCCCCTGGTCTTATCGTCCTCGAACACGAGCTCTCAGATGGTTCTGTGCAAGCCTTCATGGACGCATACCCTCTTATGAACCAATACGGCTGGACTGTCACCTCCGTCGCACAACTTAACGGCGGTGCTTGGCAGGACGACAGCGATTCCAGCTCAAGCTCGAATAGCTCGTTCCCTCTCCCCGGCGACTCGAATGACAATAGCTCGAGTTTCCCTTCGTCGATCTCCGCCTCCGCCTCTGCAACAGCCAACTCTTCGGCGACGCAGACTTCGACTGCGAGTGCAGCTGGCAATAGCTCAGCGAGCAACCAACGCACGTCGAGTGGCGCGCACGCGGTCGGTCTCCACGGAAAGACGATTCCTACGTTCATGGTCATCGCGGCTTTCGGTATTTTGGCTGGATTGATACTCGTATAGAATGGACATTGAATACCGAATGACTGAACTCTCGGACCTTCCTGGCCTTTCGAACCCTGTTCCTTTCTCGAGGGGAGTTGTACTGGACATTCGATACGATACCCTACAATATAGCTCACTCCCCCACTTAGTCACTGCGCTTGTTTGGTTCATCATACTCTACAAGCCCCGCTCTGGACTTTTCCTCCTCTCATATGTTATCTACACCGCTATCACACTTCCCTCTTGATTTCTTTACGTGTCACTGTTGTTACGACTTCTCATGAACCCTTGCATCGTCTTGATTAGCTTTAGTTTGTTCAGCATAGTAGTTTTGTAGTCTGCAGTCGGCATGTCTTTGTTTGTGTGTCAAGTCCATGTCGAAGTAGTCGTCCTTGTTTGTGCTGAGTAAGTAGATATAGTTCGGTGATATATCTTGGTTACTCGCAACTTCGCAACCCTTCTCGTGTCCAGCAGTGGTGACCTAATGACGACGGTAAAACAATGCCCGCAAAGTACATGATTCATACATTGAGATCTTGGAAAATTCCCTCAAAACGACATGGAACCCTCAAAGAAAAATAGCTCTGGCGACGCCCAAATGTCTCCGAAATACCCTACGTTATTCAAGTATATGTAGCGGCCAACCGCCCTGAGTTGATCAAATGTTCGATGTTAGCCCCTCCCACATACTCTTTATTTCTTCAAAAAGAGATAGCGAGACAGAGAAACTCACCGACGATATAATCCTCTGTCGTCACAGGCGCGTACTTCTTCTCCAATCCCGGTCCGTGACAGTTCGGAAGGCAAGTGATCTGCGCGTCCTGGTTCGGATTGCAAAAGAAGGCGACGGATTGTCGTTGGGCAGTTATGGAATGTGTGTCGCTGATGCGTACGGCTGGGGGCGCGACGACGCGGTGGAGGGTTGAGCGGATGACGTCGTTGGACCAGCGGGCGAGGAGGTCGCCTGCGTTGATCACTATTGTTCCCGGCTTTAGTGTCGGGGGAGTGTCGAAGTCAGAGACGAGATTCAGAGGTGCGAGTTGAATTTAGGAAGATTGCACGAAACTGACCATAGGTGTTGCTGGGTGGTATTCCTTCGTGTGCGGGTTCTGGACTTCGAGTCCACCAACTGAGTCTTGGAATAATAAGGTCAATGTACCATAATCTACATGTAATGTGAATTTGCGTCAGAACCGTCTTTTACTCAACGGAAGATAGCCGTGTAAATCGAACCGGAATGAGCCCCCGCACGAGCCTGTCCGTCCTTTTGCAACAGTTCAGTCTTGATGGGTGGATACGAGAGGAGCCGCAGGTTGTGATATTGCTGGTCGATCTTGCTATCGAAGAACTTCTCATCGAGATCCAGGCCGAGGGCAATAGATCGCATGACAAGGACGTGAAGCTCATGACAAGTCTGCTCTCCCATCACGGTAAGTAGATGCTGCCGGATTAGACGACGAGAAGGAGACGAACCTGGAAGAATTGCAGCATCGTTTGCTTGAACCCCGGGGCATCTTGTTCCTGAGGCCACTGGTTCTTCCAAGTCTTGTCCCTATCGCGACCAATTTCCATGGACTCTTTCGTGTCGGGTGCGCTTGCACGCAGCTTCGCGATCTCGTCTGGATCGGCGGATTGGGTTACACGTTCGCGACCAGCTTGGACATAACCACGGTTCGAACGTGGGTCTTCCCAAGCCAGCTTCGACTGCAATAATATATGATTGCAAAGCATAGTTTAGTCGTGCAACACCTCATAACGAGCTCGGTATTGAGCGTTGAACATACCTTTGCTTCTGTGGGAAGACGGAAGAACTCCGCGCTCTATAGTTTGCAAAGTATGTTTGAAGAGGATGAGTTGAAGCGTACGAAGGCAAAAGCTATTAGCTCTGCAATAGTGCTGACCTTGTCAAAGACGTTCTCCACAGTCGCATCCGGAATCCCATGCTGGTCCAAGTAGATGAACCCGACTTCTTTGAATCCATTGATAACCTCATCCGCAACATCCCGTTTCTCAGACATGGAAGTAGCCTCCCTGAACTTGCGGAAGTTGATGACCGGGATACGGAAAGACGAGTCTGAGCGAACATCCTGGACATTTGAACGTCGGTTCTACTTCATTGAGTTCCAGGAACAAGTTGTGAGGACTCACAGATGCAAGTGTCGCGAGAAGTCGTGGGTATTGTGAAGCTCTAGCCTGAGAGACATGTCGAACGCGAGAGAAGGTATGTGCAGGTCGCAGAAAGTGAGGCATCTTTCGTCAGATTCTTAAGAGACAGTGCTTGCAAGGCCTGTGGTGAATGCGCGGAATAGATACTGGCTCAGGTAGGTAGATATAGTAAGCTGGGATGCAAAGCGGTTGAATGAGCCGCATGTTCGAGTGATATTGTTGTTGATCACAAGGAGAGAGATAAGATAAAGAGCCAATGCACCAGCCGGCGGGATAAACAAAGCCCTCGAGGGCGGCGAAGGTGACCTGGACACAGGCTCAATTCGCCACCCGGAACTTACCGCTCCGTATGATCTCAGCATAAGTACACCGCCGACCGTACCTGAGAACGAAAAAACATGTGCGGCCTGATCCGGGTTGAGGGTTGAATCGACCTCAATCCGACCTCATTTCGACCATCAGGCGACTATCAGTCTCGAATGAGAGTCGCCCAATATGCGGGCTGATCTTAATACGACCTTATTTCGGCTGATCTCGAACCGATCTCAGGTCCGGTGGGCGGTGTACGCCACGGAACAGTTCCGAGTTCCCCCACCGCCCTTGACCACAACGCGATTTTTCCTCCTGTGTCTGAATCGAGCATATTATCAGTCATTTCGTAGTACGCAAAATACGACGCCAAGGTAGTCCGCTACACAGCAGTCACCCCAGTTCGTTGTTGTGTCACTTGGAACGGCGAATTTCGGCCACATCTCTCGACAGGGGTAGATTCGGCTCAGGTCGACTGTCCGGACCATCATACTCACCATCCAGCTTTTGACTGCATCTTTTTTTAGACATATGAACTGTGTACGTTACTTCGAAATACGTCGAACACGTACTAACCTGATAATTTACAATTATGTTGCTCTTCAAGTTTGCATTCAGGACGACTCATACCAAGCTGACGGGAACAATACTCAAGCTGCCAGCCCCCTCTTAAAATGTGCTTGTACACGGCTTTTGGACGATTGAATTGTTCCGTGCGCCTTGTTTTGACTCCTCAACGTCAATCTCGAAGCTCGAAGTCGGGCTCACCGCCCGACGCCCTTGGTCATTTCGCACCGTCAGTTGACTGACTTCGAAGAGGCCAAGACTTTTCGTGGCCACTGTTTCATCGACAACTTTCAGGGATGGATGTCATACAAGGGCCATAATAGAACCATATATAAGGAGCGGGGGAAATTGGGTCAGCTCAGCTCGCTCGTCCAGTTCCTCCATCATCTACGAGGCGATCCTTGCTCAACTCCCGTTCATAGTTCAACATGACACTGTACAAGGCTACTCTTTTCGCTTCTGCTGCCTTGGTCGCGGTGCAAGCCCTCGTCATCGACCCCCCTTCAGTACATTCTTCGGATGCGGGTGGTGGTGATGGCCAACCGTCTTGGTATCATCTATTCAATCACCCTGTTCATTCCCTATTCCGGCGTCAGAATGGGATACCAACAGATGGTCACGATTATCCTGCAGTCGGGTCTTCTGGTATGTTTTATAATTCTAACACCCAGCCCCATGTCCAAATCACCACTTTTCTCATTGTAATATCCTGCTGACTGCTTTCTTCATTTTATGTCTGCATCGTATCTCACTTGTTTACAGCTTGGAGTTCCGCTTACCCCCAATCCACACCCGACTCAGCATCCATGCCCCAAGAGTGGAAGGACGCCCTCAATGCTGCCATCCAAGCAGGCAAGATCCCGGACTTGCCTCTTTCAATCATAGGATCGGACGGGAATCCCTACTATCCCGGTGGCCTCGATCCAAACGGGGACGAAGTGTGCTCCGGGACGTATAAGTGTAGAATTGATGGGGAGTTGTGGGACGCGCCTGATGGTCATATTGGGATCAGTTTCGACGACGGTCCACTTCCTGTGAGTATAAAGCTTACTCCGCACCGGTTATAATTTGTGCGTGCTAACCGACCGCAACGGTACATTATAGGGTTCCTCAGATAAGCTGTACTCATTCATGCAGGAAAATGGGGTGCACGGAACGGTACGTGCGAGAGATGAATGATGATTATCATCCTTCGTAGCTCTTCTTCTTTCCAAGCTTTCACTCATCTCTTTTTCACAGCATTTCTACATTGGAACAAATATCCTCTGGAACTACAATGAGTTCCTCACAGCATTCCAAGAGCTCGGGGATGACATCGCTGTCCACACAGTAAGTATCGAACCTGTCTCTCACGCCTGACAAAACCTCTAACCATTTTCTTATTGACCCTCGCCGTGCCTAGTGGACACACCCTTACATGACCACTCTATCCAACGAGGATGTCCTAGCCGAACTCGCGTGGACGATGCAGATCATTCATGACTCAACGGGCGGAAGAATACCTAGATTCTGGAGGCCTCCGTACGGAGATGTGGACAAGAGGGTGTTTGCAATTGCGACAGAGGTTTTGGGACTGACCACGGTGCTTTGGAACCGGGAGTGAGTCCTTCTTTCCCTCCTAAACGTGAGCGTCCTCGTACTGACAGTCTGTCCAGCTCTGAGGATTGGAGCATTTCCACGGGTGCGACGACGCTTCCCGATGTTGTCTACGCCATCTCTGAGTGGGTCAATGGTCAGTGCTGTAGTCACGTTCATCCCACTATCGGTGCTAACCCGTAAGCTGAACAATATTCAGGCACTCAATCTCCTGGCCTGATGATCCTTGAGCACGAATTGACCGACGATACCGTCTCCGCATTCATGCAAACCTATCCCTTCGTCGTCGACCATGGATGGGCCGTCACATCTGTCGCTCAACTTGACGGACTGGATAAACCATACCAGAATGCAGAGGGCAGCACGGGCGAAGTGTGGTACGTCGAGAATGTCGCGTGATTATTATCTCTAAATTCCCCTCGACTGGCAGTGGTGTCTCTTCCGTCTCTTCGGGTCCATATGCGTAGGAGTTGGTAAGGAGCCACGCCAGACATTAACCCATTTCGCGATGCTCATTCCGCAGTGTTGCTTTACCTTTTGGTTCTATATTACGCTCTTCACAATAATTTCTCCGTTGTACAAATCTGGGACTTTGTGGTGGATAGACATTTAGGACAATTAGTCATGATCATCAAGGACAGTTTGGACTGCCTACGCATCTTTTTTGTACATACGTATTTTATACGAGCTTAATGATTCGCAACGCATCCTATCATATCCGAGGGATGAGCATTTTCCCAACTCCAGAGTTGCGTACGCTGTGTAGGAGGATTGTCCAATGTATTCAAGACTTCGAGCAACTGAACAGTGACAGGGAACCATCACAATGCAGGTGCCTATCCGACCATGAATGTCATCAATAGAATGTGTATAGGTAAAACAAGGGTATTGCGACAAGGATCCAGCCACTAAAAGTACAGTTCTTACATGCCAGACGTGAGAAGCGTGAGGAACGCGCAGACAACTCAACTGCGTGCGTAGGACAACGCAGTCGGTGAGCGAAGCCGTCGAAACAATGCCATCAGGGTTTTGCCACCATCGGAGCCCCAACTAAAGAGCTATGTGTCAATTCACTTCCTCTGGAGCAAGAAGACAGGAAGACTTACTCTCCACTAGAGATTTCTTCACAACACCGTTCAAACTCTTCCGAAACCGAGACTTCGTCCCATTTCTCCACGACATAGTCCTACACCAGATAGATTAGATATGAGTCTGACATTAAGAGGCGTGTGAGTCAATCAGACGTACCTCCACAAGACTGTGCAACTCGTCGAAAACTGTCGTTGCCAATAAGAGAGGAAAACTACTCTGAGGCGTGATCGTGGACATCATATGCTCGAGGGCAAGAGATGCAAGCGCAGGTATGGCGTATCGATGCGCAATTTGGTACATGCAAAGTGCAGAGGCAGCCGGAGCTGGAGGCGTAGGATGAACGTGAGGGTCTGGTGTTAGCGTTGTGGCGGGCGAGTGGGATTCTTGACGTTGGTTTCGAGGTGAGATAGGGTAACGAGACGAAGAAGCAGGTATAGGGACAGGTTTAGTTCGACTAGAAGAAGGCGGAACCGTGATTCCCATTGGGGCTCCAGGTCCAACGGGGCGACGCGAGGTGGTAGAGTGTGGCGTCCTTGATGTGGAGGCAGAGCTAGCCTGTGGATTCCGACCTGCAGGTGTTGGCGGCACACGCTGACGTATTGACGACCCAGGCGCCGGTATTGCTTGGCCAATCTCACCAGTTGGTGGGCCCGTTGGCACCTGTCCCTCTGGACCTCCTGTCGAGCGTGCGCTTTCGCCGCTGGTAACGCTGCGGACATCGTCTCTCCCAGAGAGGCTGAGCTCTTCCAGCATACCGTTCTTGCTGAACGTCTTCCAGTCCCATTCTCCAGCAACGCCACTCGTCGTCAACCATTTTGCGCTCCAGCCTGCACCAGCCCCTTCTACGGCAGCTCTTGCGTCGTCTTCCTCCTTGAAGAGCAGCCAATTGGCGTAGACCCATTTCAGTAGCCAATATATCGTGATAAAATCTAGATGCATCCACAAAGTGACCAACAAGGGGAACACGATATTTCTGTGAGAAAACGTAGCAACGTTGAATAATATTGTAGAAACTGACCTCCTTCCTCTACAATGACTGTGTAGACCTTACGGCCTCCCAATCCTGTAGATTCAGAAAAGGCCGAGGACAACATCGTGTTGAAATACTCTGCCCGACGTTTCAGAATATCTGAGTGGGCGTATATTACCCGTTTACGGGCCACGGTGTGCGAATGGAAGAGAGAATGGGAGGAAGCAGACGAAGATGAACGTCGACTGTGCTGGGTGGCAGTATGAGATGGGGACTCTGGTTGAGTTAGTCGCTGGTCGGACGGCATGCGTTCGAGGCAGACGAATTGAACATCACCAGTATCTACAGAAGGTTAAGCAACTTGGTGCTGGTAAGTTCACTAGAGTGACGTACTGGGATTGTCCAACGAAGCCTCTAACCCGTCCAATAAATCACGAGGAACGTAGTAAGCCGAAGGATGTTGAGGAAAGAAAGGGCCAACCGGTGTGTGGATCTGTATGCATATGACGAAGGAATCGGTCTCCCTGATCCTGGGGTTCTCGAGGAGGGAGGATAGAGGTGGAAGCGGGCACTCTATAATAGACCATATTTAACCCCGGCCGTCTTTGCGGATCAATTTCGAGATACACGTACCCCACACTTCGTTCTCCTGGCGAAACGCCCAGTCATGCTGCCAAAACTCCCAAACCCAGTTCGCGCGTGCACCTCGCTCACCGACACGGTCATCTTGGCACTTTATGGCGGCCAGCATGGACGCGCACACCTCATATTCAGACGTGACATACAGAGACAACGAAGAAGGGCTGAGAGGGGAGTCCTGAGCAGCTTCTTGTGGAGGTTGTATTCGGGCTGTGCGTACGGGGAACAATCAGATAGCCCTTCCCTTTGTTGTGACAATAGAAGTGCGCACCAATCTCAAGTTTGAACTTCTGGTCTCCCAACATCGGCGATTCATTCAATATCTCGAAGGCATGCGCGCTCGCGTCCTCACTCGCTCCTTCACCCGTCACAATCGGCTGGTCCCCTTCGACGAACTCACGAAGCTTGTGAACATCTCTTACGATCCACTCAAACGCCTACCGGTGATCTTGCTATTGGCATAAACTCTGAATACTTCAGGTATAGGGACATACCATGAACGACCAATGCCTAATAGTGTCGTCCTGCCCCAGTGGCATTGGGGTCGCGCTGGGTGTCTGCCTAGCCATAGAGTGACTGGTTGACCACATCGCGCTTCCTGGACTCGCGGTGGAAGAAGCAACTCGTGGATCCCAACTCGAACTTGATGTCGATCCTTGTGCGGTTCCAGTCGAATGCACTGACACTGATGACTGGCTTGAGCGATGATTATACGGCGACCAGGGCCAATGTGGGCGAGATAAGTTTAAGTTAGAAGCACGACTAGGAGAAGAAGACAAAGGTGTCTGCGGGGGGTGGCGGAGGTGCTCGGCGGACATGAAGAACTAAACGAGAACGCGAAGCGGCTGATTACGTCCGACAATGTGCAGACACAATCTTGACAACCGAGACTTATATTGTCTCTTTTGTCGATAGAGCGGGTAGAGGTACACTGTACTAGGTTAAGTTTCGGATGAAAGGGAGGAGAGCTCGACGAATTCGAACAAAGGCCATTCAGATGGCGTTAGCAGGCAGGTGTGGCGTGTGGCGTTCTCCGCCTTGCGGCCCGGTCAACTACAAGTTCAACCGCTGTGCGACACGGCGAAGATTGGCTCCGTTCGTTCGGGCCACCATGACCTCCAAATCCCCCGAAGATGCATTGACTGCCCCGTCAAAACCCAAAGGTTAGTAAACCACTCTTTCCGCCAGGACGAATTCACTTGACCCATGCCAAGAGTCTGACACGCAATAATGTTAATACTTACTCTGCATCATGATCTCCGTCCGAATTACTAGCCAGAGTCACAACATCATCGAGTGGCTACTTAAAGTCCACCGCATCGACTTCGAACAAGTCTTCTGCACCATCATCTTCCAGAACTAATAATCCCAGTAGTAAACCTCCGAGTAAACCTTTCCCGTACAGCCGTGACACTCGGCCATCTGGCGCCACATCTCATGCCGCCACCAAGTCCACTGCTGCCAAACCGACATCACATCGGTCTGGAGGCACCGACAAACTGCCCCCGTCTAAACCTAAAGACGCGAAATCCGCGCCATCTACCACTGGAGGGGGGGCAGGTACGGCGGCAAAGCCCTCCGCATCCACCACCAGTAGTTCGTCACACTCGACGTTGAAGAGCAGCCTAGACAAATCTGAAAAGGACGTAGCGCAGAAAGTAGATGCGTCTCTTCATTCGTCTAGACAGTCCAGTGTTTCTGGAAGCGTTTCGAATAAGGTAAAGTCTCGCGACTGTTTCGCCACAGCTGAGTTCTGACTGAGTGTGTGTGTTTTACTTGCTCTTAGGCGAAGGAACCGCATCCTTCACAATTAATTCAGACGGTTCCCTCTCCCCCTTCCATCACATCAGCCCCCACACTAGTGTCGCGTGCACCAGTCGCTACTATGTCCCGGCCTTCAGACTCACTACAGGTGGCCGCACAGGCCTGCTCATGGATATACGTCAATGCTAGCCTCGAACATGGTCTCTCAGCCGCTCAAGTGAATGCTCAGGTAATCTCTGCTCTGTGTCGGTATGAAATTCTCCAGTGTCTTACCCACTTCCGGTTGTAGGAGACATTGAACGCCTTCTCACAGCAGCTCATCGCACAAGAAGCAGGCATAGCAGATCACAAGCTCCGGTCTGAAGCAGAAAACCTGATCTCATTCTTCGATGACCTCCTCGTGGTAAGGTTTATCCTGTTTCATGGAGCAAAAGTACCGACGGTGACCCTTCTGAGAAGACAGATCGCGATTTACGGAACGCAAAAGCCGTTCAGAACTATATCCAACACGAGTCGGCATGGGAAGCGCTCGAGATAGTGATTCTGCAACTTGCTGCTCGTACCCTTTCGGGTCAATCTGAATCGGGCTCTGCTCTCTCTGGGGACCAACTGGCAGATGCGTACGCCGAAAGTTGCAAACTCCTTGGTCAGTTACTCTCTTCGCCTCATGACATCGTACGAGTCATACCCTGACTCCGATTTACAGATCAAGTGCGAGATACCACGAACGCCTTGACATCTCTGAGGAATGAGTTAGACGCCTTGCCACTAGGCCGCGAAAGCAGTAAAGCAGCCCAAGTGACAAGTCAATTGGTCGCAGTGCTCGATGCCAGATCCGAGAATGTGATCATTGGGGAAGACATACTTGTGAGAGCGAGAGAGAATCTCAGAGCTTCAATTCAGCTCGAATCTATACACATGTCCTTGTCTGGAGATCTGGTATCTTGAAGCCCGTATTTGAGTCTTAGTTTGTATCGATCTCTGTGCATCGTAGTATACAGTACACGCAGACTACTAAATCATGTATTGGATTGACTGTATCTTTATTCGAACATAACGCGAAAACTGGAATACATGATTGGATGGCCCCAAGATGATCCGAGATACAAAACTTTCCCCAAAAATTAGATGATGCCGCCATACAAGAATGCGATCAGAGCAGCAACAAGCATGAGGAACTGAGGTAGAGATAGGAACGCAAGTCTCGCCGGCTTGTCCTTCATGTCCAACACACTGGAAGACGTATGTTGCCCAGCTTTCCTCTCGTCGCTTGCCCACGGAATTGGGATCTTCTCGTGGTTCAAGATCTGTTCAGCGGTGACCTTGGCTCCGGCGAGACAGACGGGGACACCGGTGCCTGTCGGTATAAATAATATGGAGGTCTGATTAGTACTGGGTATGGAGGAGATTGAAGAAAACATTTGGAAAGAGAGAAAGGGATGGAAAACAAACCCGGGTGAGTGCTAGCACCGCAGAAGTACAAATTGGCAATGCTGGGATGCGCTGTCGTAGGACGGAAAGATAGCACGTTACTAGTGTCAACAGGGCGGGGCACAGGCGCGTCAACGGGTTTGCATATTAACCTATGCAGTTATAAAATTTACTCACAAGAAGCTGTGTGAAAGACCCAGAATGGCGCCACGGTCTAAGTTGAACTTTTCCTTCCCTAAACGACACGATGACAGAGACATGATCAGCGACAGGAACCAGACTCTCGGTATCGTATATATAGTTCTCGGGGTGATAAACTCACAAGTAAGAGGAGAATTGACGTCTTCATCGATGATCAAGGGCTGCAAGTCGATGCCGGTCCTAGCTCGTACAGTCGCAATGACCATGCTCCGAGCCTTATCCACCAGCTCACTCCATTTCTCATCCAATCCAGTACCAGTCGGATCCTTCATGTGGCCCACAGGGACCTGAATCATCCAGTCAGGCATCAATTTGTGAGTTAAGAGAGAAAATACTAACCAAGACGATCACCGCGTCTTTTCCTTCCGGTGCCGCGCTCGGATCCACACGACTAGGAATATTCACATAAAAGCTCGGATCGCTTGGCATCTCCTGTTTCTGGAATATGCTATCGAAACTCTCCCTGTACTCTTCCGCCAGAAAGATGTTGTGAGTTTGCAGTGTTGGAATCTTCTCCTTCAGAGACCAATAGAAGGAGATGGAAGAGCACGAGGCCGTTCGTTTGGTGAGGGACGTAGCGTAAGACGACCGGGGGAGGAGCTTCGAGTACGCGTAGACGAGGTCTGCATTGATGACGATGAGGGAGGCGGAGAGCGATTCGCCGGTGGAGAGGGTCACGCCTGTTGCTCGTGAAGTGGTAGGGTCGATATTGATCGATGCGACGGATGTGGCCATTCGGTAATTGACGCCATGCCGTTTGCCTATGTTCACAAGCGCCTCTACAACCTGTCGACGCGTACAGGGCAAGAAGGTGAACATAGTTCTTCAATGGCAAAGTGAAACACAAAGTGACAGACCTTATGAAACCCACCGACAGGATACCAGATGCCGCGGACAGTTTCCGCGTATTGAAGGAGCGAGTACGTTCCCGGAGCATCAAAGGGACTCATCTACAATGGCTTGTGTGGTCAGCACATATTCAGTTTAGTATCCATCATGGTAGGAACTTACTCCTAGATACATGCTGCCGAACGTGAACACTCGTCTCAAGCGCTCCGTTCGAAAGAACACGGAAGCCCTGGTATACTGTAATATTGAGGGTAAGAAATCAGACTTTCGCGGATAGTCGGGAACCAAGACTTACTATGCTCTCGAAGGGATGCAGGGCAAATACTCGATGCAGGAACGATGGTCGCATCATTGAGAACAAGGATGTGAAGTTCTTGCGTAGAACATGAGTCGAAGACAGCTCGTAGTGTTCATGGGCTTCCTGCAAAAATCCGAGTAATCTGGACATTGAGTCGGGAATTTCACGTCAGAAAAATATATGGCTTCGAAAGCCAACTGCACCCAAACCTCGCAAACCCGTCTACACCTTCGTATCGCTCGACCTCGGTTTTCAGTTGCGTGAGATCACTGGACAAACAGAACTTTTGCCCGTCGTGAAAGTATATCTCATAGTTCGGGTCACAACGAAGTAATTGGACGCCTTCGCTTCCCAATGTTGTCCCGAGCTCTTCAAAAGTCTCGTTGAAGAACTCCGGCATGAGAAGTAAAGATGGGCCTTGGTCAAAGCGCTATATGGATGGTGAGGTGAGTCGAGAAAATGTGATCAGGGAGGCGAAAACGAACATAGCCATTTCGATGGATGAGAGAGCATCGACCACCAGTGAATGTGTTTTTCTCCACGACAGTCACGTCCAGTCCAGCTCTTGCCAGGCGTGCAGCAAGAGCAGTGCCCGCAACACCTGCGCCGACAATGATGACCGACATGCGAGGCTGCCCACTCGGTGTGTTCGAAGGCTCGGGGTTCATGCCAAAGGCCTTGCTCTGGCCCTCTTCGCTACCGCCACCATTTTGTAGCCTCCCGACCACAGAGTATACAGGTGTCAACAAGGTAACATTGTGTACCAACTTGCGTGGTCCATTTCAACCGTGGCAGGACCCATACCTGTCTTGTCGACGGAGCGAGGTTAGGTAGGCTGATCTAGAGGAAGTGGCTGACGTCATGAGCGTGAAATCTTGAAACTCCGTTCTTGCGTGGCGTCTCCGGTAATACCCGTACCTAGCTTGGTCTCTTCGTATCCAAGGTCGAGCGACGATAAAATCAACGATGTCGAAGTTTTTGCCTTCGAGCGTTTCTCTCCTGCCTTTCATCACCTCAGGTCAGAAATCCAGAGGTAGGCTCCATAGTTTGCTTCCAAATGTACTCTAGTTCTGAGCATCTAATTTTCGGTAGGCCTCACGTTGCTTCAGACGCGGTACCACAGCGTTATTGCTCGTGTGTTGCTCGCCGTTGACGGCTTCAACCTAACAGAGAGATGACGCCCACACAAGACTTATCTTGGTATACTATCCCTCCCTATGTGCTAGTACACACAAATTACACCATTCCCCCGGCTCTACTTCTCATAGTGCTCTTAAAACCTCTACTCACACGCACGGACGTGTACCGACTATTGTTGCTCCTCACAATAGCCGTCACCTACACTACGCCCTGGGATTCATACCTGATCTATTCCGGAGTATGGGCATACCCTTCTAAGGCGGCTCTCGGACTTGCGCCGCTCGGAATCCCTGTGGAGGAATTCTTCTTCTTTATTGTGCAGACTTGCATCACCGGCTTGTTGTACATTCTCCTCGCCAAAGCCACGGTTGGACAGGCAGTTCTGGCCCGAAGTATGCAGCGCAGTCCTTTGACAAGATGGACGGGTACCGTTGTCTTCTCTTCGCTGTTCCTTCTGGGACTGTGCATGGTCATTCACGAAACGACACGCTACATGTATATGGGCCTCATTCTCGGCTGGTCCATGCCGGTAATTACTATGTTATGGTGACTACACTCCATATCATCGTCACGAATGACTCTGAAAATCTCTCAGGGCAGTGTCATCACCTTACATCCTCGCTTTACCTCGCAGGAACGTTTTTATTCCGATCCTTCTTCCGACATTCTACCTCTGGATCATTGACACCATGGCACTCGGTCACGGCACATGGGAAATATCCAAGAACACCAAGACTGGCTTGTACCTCTGGCGGAATTTAGAGATTGAGTAAGTCCGGTTGTCCTACAGTAATACGCGTGTTGATTCGTATCCCCTTGAAACCAGAGAGGCAGTCTTCTTTCTCGTTACAGATATTCTGGTCATATTCGGATCGGCCACCTTCGACCATGCTTTCTATGTCATCTGCGCATTTCCATCTCAATTCCCAGAGTTGTCGTCCACACCCTCGCTCTCCACCGCCTTTTCGGCCTTGAAAATGATATTCCAGTCCCGGTTCGTCCTCAGCCGACGCAGTCAACAGCTAGCCGGTGTCCACGCAAAGGACTTAGCCTTTTTCCGAGATACTGAGCGCCTTCGTGGCGTTCTTGATGCAGTCGAACGCATCAAGGGCAAGAGCCGAAGCTTCTGGATAGCTAGCATCGCTTTCGAAGGTCGCTTGAAGGTCGATTTACTCCTTCTGTAAGTGTTGTATTGTTTGGTTCGTATTTCCATAGTGTCTCATATATAATTGTTCATCAGGTACTCGTTCTGCCGAGTCGCTGACGACCTTGTGGATAATGCTTCGGATCAAGTCGAAGCTTTGAAGACCCTACAATCCCTTAGGTCGTTTTTGGATATCGTATACAACAGCAATAGTGAGAAATCGATTCATGACAAAGGCAAAGCATCTACACTTCTTAGCGGCGTTTGCACGTCTATGGCTAACATCAAAACCGTAGCCTTATATGAATTCGTGTTGGCCCACTTTCCGCTCGACACGCACTCGTGTTTTCTGGCCCTGCCAGTTCAGATTCTACCTCGCGAGCCGCTAGACGAGCTGTTGAACGGTTTTGAAACCGATCTTGACTTCAGTTCCAATACCCAAAAGCCACCCATACAAAGTAACGACGACCTCGACCTATACGCCTCTCGAGTAGCGGGGACCGTCGGCGAGCTCTGCTGTTGCCTGATATTCCATCACTCCTCTTCACTCCCTGCGGGCAATTCTTCCGACAGTTCCCCTGCTCTTCAGCTTCAGCTTCCCGACCAACGCGAGAAAATCCTTAGTGCAGCCAGGGAGATGGGAAAGGCGCTGCAATACGTCAACATAGCCAGGGATATATGGGTCGACGCGACACTCCGTCCTTCCGGTCGCGTATACATCCCGGAGAGCTGGCTAAAGGAGGACGACCTCGAATCGAAGGCCATCCTCAATGTCGCCGCTCTGTCTAACACCCGAGTTACCCAGGGCTGGGGATCGCACGAGTATACGGACAACTTTCAGGAAGACGAAATCGACGCGGAGAGCAAACCCGCTCTTTTGGCGGTCTACAAATACCGCGAGAGGCTCCTGGAGCGTGCGAATGGTTTGTACAGTCAATCAAGATCCGCAATAGAATGCCTGCCTGAGGAGTGGGGCGGTCGGAAGGGGATGAGGGCGGCAATCGAGTCATACATGGAGATCGGGAGGGTACTAGGCAATCGACACCGCTTGAGTAACCTACACGCGAAGACCCTCGAAGAAGAGGAAGAGCAGTGGAGGGAGGCTTGGGTGGATCTTTGCTCCGTGTCTTATAATGGAACAGGAAGAGCGACCGTCCCACTTGGCAGGAGGTTGTGGGTATTCTTGTCCGCTCTTGCCGGTAAGTACCAGGGCTATCAGGCTTTCATCTCTTGTCCTTGAAGAAACTTCGATCACGAGTGCTGATGTAAATTATGCTACTCAGGCTCATATCTTTAGATCTCTACGGGGTTGTCGTCGACGCCTGTCTCAAACGTTGCTTCCGATCGTATAGGGTAGGATGCAGGTCATGTAATTTCTTGGATATATAGAGTTTATTAACACTCGCTTCCTCACTCGCTTGAGGGCGAGAGTCAACGCGGTATGATGTCAAGTAGCCTTGCCGCCTTGAATTGGCGAGAAACGTGTCCTCGTCATTCTCTACACGTTCAGGATCTCGGATGCTTCTTAAAGCCCCCTGCCTCTATCTAAATTCCCGGTGTATGCGTTGACCTTTTCCCATCTGCTTGCAGAGCGTATCGTCGCCAGGAGTTAAGCCTCTAAGATACATTGTTTCAAGCTCTGAGCTCTACGCTATGGCAACATAGCTCACCCTTTTTTGTTAGTATGATTGCGCGTTGTGGGAAAACCTTACGAATATTTCATAGTTTGATTATAACCTCCAATGATCTCCATTCAAGTTGATCTTGCCTACCGGGTTTTGACGGCTAATGAAAAAGATGATATCCTACGTACCATGGACGTCTTTCCGTTGAGCGATTGCACGTGAAGGACGTTCTTGCGTGAAGTCATGTAATTATCGCTGCCCACAACTGTTCACCTGGGCCACCATTGATTCCAACACATGAGATAAAGAAAAAGAATCTCCGCTCTGGAGTCAAAAACCTGCGTCGCCTTTTCGACTTGTTTAATGTGAATCACAGCCACATGGACTTGTTTTTATTGCAGGAAACCCAACCTTCTCGCCGCGTCTTGAAGTGGCCAACGGCTGGCTCGATCTCACGACCTCTTGAGAGAGGAATTGTTATTGAGGAATCCCAACCGTTAGACCACTGCGGCATTGATAGCCCTGGGCGTAGTGGTAAGATATACGACTCTCTGGTACCTGTGTATACACATTTCTCGCCTGCTTTCGTCACGGAACCAACTGCTTTACTTGACAATAAATCGATCATCGGGGAAGGACGAAGAATACAACTGAAAAACGTGATATATCGGAGTACAAGAGTCGTATATATTACCAGTACGCCCGAGGTTATCAATGCCGCAGTGGTCTAACGGTTGGGATTCCTCAATAACAATTCCTCTCTCAAGAGGTCGTGAGATCGAGCCAGCCGTTGGCCACTTCAAGACGCGGCGAGAAGGTTGGGTTTCCTGCAATAAAAACAAATCCATGTGGCTGTGATTCACATTACAGCGAGTTTCGAAATGATACGGAACTCCATCTTTCGCATTTTGGCTCAGCCACAGCTCGGCAGCAGGGTTTCCCAAACGTTACTTACATTACATTACCGCCGCGTAATGTAATCTAATAGTATTCCCTCGAAATCATGCGCGTTGAGATCCGGAAATGTATTGTAATGTATTCCCCCTGTATTGCGCCCAATTCGTAAGTAATTGTAAGTAATGGTATGAAATCTCTTGCGTGCACGTGCATCATATCTTTTTGGTTCAGCAACTCACTCGCACCAATGCTGAATGATACAAGTGCTGCAGCATTGCAAGTGATATACACATGATTTCCCGGTGTTCTTACAGTGTTGAGTCGAACGGCAGGTAGAACAGCAAAAATGTGGCGAAAAGCAGGCTACGGGCACTCATCCCCAAAAGGTGAATGTGGCGGCAATCGAACAGTCGGGGCCTATCCGGAGCTTCCACCTGACCCAAAAATGTCTTTGGTGCGTACGGATCATACAAATGAATAGTATTGAATAGTAATCATTTCGCACCTCGACTGTAATCGAAAGTAATTGTAACGAAATAGATCCTAGAAGCGCAGCCGCCGTAACTGTAAGTAATCGTAAGTAATCGTAAGTATTTCTAAGTAATACCTCGTAATTGTAATGTTTGTCCCTCCCTGCTCGGCAGTGACGGATCGTGCGCGGCACGGGAATTTCCGCAAGGCTTGCCTGTGTGTGGCCCAATGCACAAAGTGCTCGATGACCTTTCAAATTCCTGTGCGTAAATAAACAGGGAACCGAGAGGAACATATGGGAGGGAGGAAATTACCCAATTATAGAATATTGATGAGTGCTAGATTCGCATAATGTTCTTCAAAGGTTTTGGTATGCGTGCAGGCTTCTGGCGACAAGCATGGGGCAAGTCATCACTTGACAGTTTCTTCTAAGGTCGTATTTCTGTGAAAATATTGCCGTATAGACATTTGTACTTATGGATGTATTTTACAGAGCTTTCTTCTTGATTACACTGACGGACAGAGCGAGAAACATGGATGGCCACAGTTGGGCCACAGCGGTTATACAAAACGGTCCAGACAAGTTCGCGGAGACCTCCGTGCCGTCGCAAGCTCCGTCGCTGCCGAGCTGTGGCTGAGCCAAAACGCGAAAGATGGAATTCCGTATCATTTCGAAACTCGCTGTAAACAAGTCGAAAAGGCGACGCAGGTTTTTGACTCCAGAGCTGAGATCTTTTTTTTTCTCCTCGCAATCAGATGTATCGCGGCTTGCCCGTTGAGCACAGTAGCCAAAGATCTTGACGCAGATGTCCTACCAATGTCCCATGGGGCCTGACATGAGCAATTCGCCCCTATTTATGCGATGATATATATGATACATGGTACAGTGCAGTCAGTCGTTAATATAACGAAAGTAGGGGGTAGGTAGGTAGATAATGCGTATGAATGAGGAAACCAAAAGCCCACCCGTGGTCGTGTCGTAAATAGATCATGTCGTTATATATCGAGGTAAATGTCGATAAGGAGAATGAATGACAAGAAACAGGGACAGACAGTGAAAGATAGAAGGAGACGCAAGAGGAGAACAACAACAACGAGATGTCCACGTAGGGCCACGGTGGCACACACTAGTACGTCCGCCGTTTTGTGGTACTCCGTGATGCTCCGAAGGAATCTCACGGTCTAGGCAGGCTCTCCATGTTGCCGGGTTGCCGTCACAACTCGACGGTCACTACCAAGCTCTACCATGTTCTGTACTTACACGTTCAAAAGCGTGGCCCGCAAGATTCTCTGCGTACGACTGTGTGCTACACCTAGACGCGGTCGCTCCTGATAGTATCAGTCTTGAAAGCAACGTCATTTAGTATCGTTTTGAATCCGCTGGCGAGCTCAAGCGCGGCAGATCGGGTGATGTCCACGGTCCACGAAGAGTGTTTGTTTGGCCAGTTCGACCCTTTTTACGCCTTCTCTGAACTCTGCGGCAAACATGAACTCTACAGCCCAGTGACAACCTAGACGATACACCTAGCTATGAAGGACGACAGCAAGAAATCACATCCCTATCTCACAGGCAACTATTCCCCTGTTCGCAAAGAATGGCCGCTCACTTCCTGTCAATATATGGGCACCATACCGCCAGAGCTTTACGGTGGACAGTACGTCCGCAACGGTGCCAACCCATTTCACGTCGACAAAGACTCCTGGGACTTGAATCCCCGAGACTACCACTGGTTCGACGGAGACGGCATGCTCACTGGCGTTTATTTCCAACGACTACCCTCCACCTCCGAAGCCTCGAATGCACAAACTATATCCCCGCATTTTGTCAACGCTTACGTCCTCACAGATCTATATCTTCATGCTCGTACCTCTCCATACTTGAGGAGACCCCTTCTGCCCTCCATATCCTCCTTCCTCAACCCGCTGGCGGGAACACTCGGCGTCATACTCTCAGTTCTTCGTGCTGTCTTCATCGTCGTCCTCTCTCATATCTCTGCCTTCCTCTCGAGACAACAGTCCTATTCAGTGACGAAGATCAGTGTCGCAAATACATCCATTGTTTACCACGACGGTCGTGCACTTGCCACTTGCGAGAGTGGGCCTCCTATGCGTGTACTCTTGCCCAGCTTGACTACAGTAGGTTGGTTTGATGGCACGCATGGCGATGGTGACGACGTACGTGTCAACGAGGACCCCAGCTTTGGAGCAAAGCCTGGCCTTCTTGGGTGGATGGATCAGTGGACAACGGGTCATGTTTGTAGTTCTATCACCTTTGCCTTGTTGCGGGAACTTATTTTTCTACTGTGCCTCTCAGCCTAGGGTGGACCCGTGCACCCATGAAATGATTCTTTACCATTCGACCGTCCTCCCTCCCTATATCTCCTATACTATAATACCCCCCTCGTCGCCATCTACCATACCTTTTCAACCTGCTCACCCTCGCCTCCGCAACGCACCAATCCCAGGAGTGCACTCACCCAAACTATCCCATGATTTCGCATGCACTCGGACACATACCATCATCCTCGATCTGCCCCTCTATCTCGACCCACTCAACCTCCTCTCCTCGTTCTTGCCCTCGAGGAAAAAGAACCAAGTTATGCATTACCAAGACGACGAATTCGCCCGATTTGGCGTCTTTCCTCGATATGAACCTCACAAAGTGAGGTGGTTTGAAGACGTTGAGGGCGGCGCGTGCTGTATCTTCCATACAGTGTGTGCATGGGATGAGATGGATCCGAGAGGCGAACGAGTTGTCGCCGTGAATCTCCTCGCTTGTAGACTCGACTCGGCCGCACTGGTGTACTCGGCAGGAAACCTCGCTACTCCCCGAACTCCTCGAGATGATTCGACCTCGGGTCTCGCGGTCGATGACAAAGAAGGCAAATGCGAGCTTTACTATTACCGGTTCGACCTTTCAGATCCCGATGCCAATAACATCACACACGCTTTCCCTCTTTCCACCATCCCCTTCGAATTCCCTGTTGTCCCTCCGAGCGCTGGCATGGGTATCCCAATCCCAATCCTAGGCGGTAGTTCAGTAGGCAGCGCCACGACATCCTCACGACGGTTTAGGAGCCCTCGGTTCGTGTATGGGTGTAGCATGCAACATGGTACGTTTGGCGCTGCGTTGGGTGGGTCGAACGCCAGGATCGACGCCATTGCAAAGGTCGATGTGCATGATTTGATTGAACGAGGGGCACATCGACACTATGATGCGTCAAAGAGCCGACCTGCGATCGACCAGCGCACCGTACAGGAGATACTGGGAACGGCAGACACCAGTGTCGATAAGGGTGCCATCACAATCTTCACCTTCCCGCCAGGGCATTGTGGGTCCGAGCCTTCCTTCTGCCCTCGTGCGAATGCAATATCGGAAGACGACGGATACCTCATCTTCTATGTGTTCGACGAAAGGCAGCTGGAACGAGGCCTATCTCTGGACGAGGCGAGGAGCGAGTTATGGGTCGTGGATGCGAGGAATATGAAGGACGTGATCTGTAGGGTGGAGTTACCGCAGCGAGGTAAGCCCCAGTCTGACTTTGGACTGCTGTTTGTAATGCGAAGTCTGATCCAGTTGATGATGATGCATGATCTTATAGTACCCTATGGGTTGCATGCTCATTTCTTCACGGAGGATGAGATTCTGGGTCAGCGTGGAGTCCATTCGTTGCGGTCACTTCCGGCCGGCGTTGAAAAGAATGACACTGCGGGATTATAGCCTGATAATGTTTCAGCAGCGGGCTCTGCTTGGTACGAATATCCTATCATAGCTTGTATCTCGTGGATTGGGAGTAGACTCGGTTGAGGGCCTGTTTCTCAATGTAGCACGTCAGTGACCACGCCACCGTGGCGCTATTCCTGTATTGTCCGCACAATGTTATCAGGAGCATTGTCGAAGAGCACAAGGAGTTTGGATATAGAGAGATCGTTATATCAAGTCAACATAAAGCAAACATTCGTATCATACAAAAAGCGTAGGCTTGCAGTGCGCACCCCGTCTCGTAAAGAAGAAAAATCAAAAAGGACTGGTTATCACTAATTACTATATACGCACTCAACAATAGCGATATCGAGTACTCAGGCCTGATGACAAGCCTGCACCACCAACAGACTCGCGTTCGTCCGCGCCATAACAAACGCAGCAGCCACATCCCCCAACGCCTTCCTCGCCTCCGACCCAATCGCATTCCCTCCCTGACTCACAATCTGCCTCAGCTCCGCCTCATGTGACTCGACCGCCATACGTCTCGAACGACCGAGCATAACGACGACGTTGCGATTCCGCCTGCCGCTCACGGTGGTGTAAAATTCTCCGGCGGCGGCGATCTCGACGGCGCGGTGGAGCGGACGGGGCGTGGATTCTTCGGAGAGAGAGATACGGGTGAGGGAGGAGGTCACTTCTGGGTTGTGTGCGGCGGTGGGGGAGGTCAAGCGAGACCAGAGGATGTTGTCGGCGGTGTCGGATTGCAGCTTGGTGGTCGTGTCGTGCCTGCCGTAAATCGTGTCCGGGAGGGCAATCGACTGCAAGAAACAAAACAAGAGTGGGTTTAGCCAAACGAATGAAAAAAAATGATGGAAGTGAGGACGGACTTACATTTCCAAGATAAGTGGAATGCTCCGCCTTCTTAACCGAAGCGATTGAACTATCATCATCACCTTCCGTTTTCCTCAACCTCACGACCGTAGCCCTCAAACTCTCATTGACACACAGTTGAACAAGGAATGTGAGCGCCAGACGATCATCAGGGCCTCCAAAAAATGGCAAGAATACATGCGGTACGATGTCCGCATCCGCGCCATCGTCAACAGCACAAATACCACGGTCCACAAACAGCGCGACGTCCGTAGGGCTGCTTGCAAAGACTTTCCGCACGAAGCCGGTGTAGATGGACGACGTGGTTTGATCTCTATCGCGCACCGATGAAGTTTGCCTGTTAAACATCATGTCGAAGGGGTTATAAGGCGCATTCACGCTGGGTCCTGGTTCTGAATCCTCGGCCACGGTGGCAGTTGTCGAAGAAGACGGCGCCCATGGGATGATAACCATCTGGGATCCATGCTCACGGGCGTGCTCAGCAATGTTCATCGCGTATTCGTCATGGCTGACCACAGAAAGGGAGCCAGACTCTGAGAAACGATTGAGCCGGGCAAAGGTCCGGAAGATGGAGAGGACGGGATCCTGCTGAAGCATACTTTCGCTAGCTTGAGACTTGAGAAGGGCGGAGGTTCTTTCGGTGAGTTCTACGAGACGAAGCGCGTCGAGTGAAATCTTTCTTGACCGCGACAGGTTCGAGTGGCTGAGGGTGGGGACTGCTGGTGTGATTTGGGTGGAAGACTTGTCATCACCGGAAGACAGGCTCTCGGTAGAGGTCATGGCAGATGTAGTGGGCCGCTGGAGAAGCTGTGCGAAGGTCATTACGGATGAAAGCTAGGGAGGAGCACAGTTCAGCATGAATTTCACGGAACCCGACATGGGGGATACCAACCTGCTCGAGCTTGTCGAGAACAACGGAGAATTTCGTCTTGAAAGCCTCTTCTGATGCGTTCTTCCTGGCCTCTTCGTCTTTCAGCCCATCGCCGGCGGCAGGAACAGTCACCGCAAGCCCACGAGCACTCATTGGGTAAATCCAGAGTGTCAACGGTGTGGTGACGAACGTAAGCACCAGGGCGTGCAACACGAACATGGAGAAGACTCTTGTGTTAAGAATATTCGCCGATAAACCGACGTTGAGGACGATAAGTTCGACGAGGCTATGTTAAAAGTACCGAGGAGATTTAGATGTATAGTCGACCTGAATCAGTTGAACGTGTAGAGCTTACCCTTTACAAGCCATCAAGGTGCCTACGGCGCCCGATTCGCGAAGGTTGAAGCCGAATGCTTTCGCGGACAGAGAGCATGACAAGAACTTGGCGAAGAATGCGACGACGCAGAGAAGAATAGTATAGCCCCAAGTGATGCCGTTATCCAGAAGTCCCAAATCCGTCTTCAGCCCAGAGAGGGCAAAATACTGGAAGATTTTCTTTGTTCAGCAACGATACATAGGATAGCGGTGCAGGCACGAAGACGTGACGCACCTGCGGGAGGAGAAGTAGTCCAACAAAATCTTCAAATCGTTCCACCAATGAGATCGCATAACCGTTCTCCTTGGGGATGATCAAACCGGCTAGGAATCCACCTATTCGAAGTCACGTCACATACGCCGTAAGTTCGATCGGTCGGTATTCGGTAACCCGCAAGTGAATCTGGAAATCCAGTAGACTCACCAAATATAGGATGTATCCCAATGACATCGGTGAAGAAGGCAGAAATGGCCACAATGACAAGGGTAATGGTCGTCATCATGGTCGTGGGCTGACCGGTCTCCAAGCTTCCTGTCCACCTAGCAAGCCAGACGTATGCCCACTTGACAGGGAGAAGGAGGAAGAGAGCGAATCCGACACCTGTGAGGAGAACATACAGGGCGACGAGACCAGTGGATGCATTGACTAAGGCAACGGTGAGGGCGAGTAGGATCCATCCGACAACGTCGTTGCCGACACCCGCAGAGAGGACAAGAACGCCCACGGTTGTGTCCAGGAGCTTGGTCTCTGTGAGAATCCTACACAGAACTGGGAACTGGGCACGGAGAAATCTTAGTCGTGGTCAACTGTACAAGCCGGTCAAGGACTTACCGCCTATTGCAAGGGGAGAATCCGGTCAGTTTCCTGGACAAACATCCCGAAGGCGATCAATCCTTACCGTAATGCCTACAGCGACGGCCACAAAGAGGATGAAGTACCCGTAATTGACACTAGGGTCGGTGAATTCGTGATAGATCGGAATAGCGATGGCGGCGCCCAATCCAAGGGGAATGATGAGGCCAGCGGCCGATATCGCCGCAGACGCCTTAGCATTCCGCTTGACGACAGACATGTCGATCTCGATACCGACGAGAAAGAGAAACATGACAAGACCGATGGTGCTTGTGAGTGTGAGCATGGTGAGGGAGTCTTTCGGGAAGATGGTGTTGGTGAAGTTGGGAATGCGACCCATAACAGTGGGACCCTTTCGGAATAGTGAGTCGCACCGTTTGTGCACAAGTAGTGGGAGAAAGCTTACAAGAAGAACGCCTCCTATGACCTCAGCAATCACTCGGGGTTGGCGAATACGCGAAAGGAACAGGGCCAGTAGTTGGGTCATGCCAATGATTATCACTACGAAAGTAGTACGAAAATATTGGGCATAACGATCATGGCGTTCTGAGGAGAAACTCACCAGTCTGTATTACCCATAGTGGAAAGGGATCTGGTATACCGCGTAAGATTATACTGATAATGAATACGTCGGAGATCCTGAAATAAGTATACCTGTGGTATTATACGCAGCAGGATTTAATCCTGCAAAAATCCCGGCCTATCAACACAAACACATCATATGAGCTCTTCGTCAAACATGGGACTCCTGGACGACAGACCTGTTCGGGAGCATCTCTCCGAGTAAACGAAAGCGCAATTGCTTGCACTCGAGCAGATAAATGGCCCATGTTGATCGTCTAAGCTGTAGCTGTCGTAAACTAAAACGTCGTGCAAGACTGTCCGGTCGTCAAGCTTTCAGGGGAAGAGGCAGGAGAGGACGTCTCACAGTCAGCGCTCAGTAGAAAGAGGAGCGAAGCTAAATCAGGGTCTGACACCATGTTTTGTCTTATCCCCGGACCCAAAACTTGGGCAAATCCGCTTGGAAGCGGCTGCGAGTTGTGGGGAACGTGTTGGAAATTTTGATGTGCATGTGCCTGAAACAGCACCGCCTTTTTACGTGAATTACATGGCCGCCAAATGCTCGGCTACTTATTGCGAGTCGAAGGGTCAGATATTATGTGGATGTCTCATAACGACTCAGACAAGGTAGCGTAGACACAACAGCATTACAACTGCGTACAAAGGATGAACTAATCTACGTATTGACAAGTACGAGACCAGTACACTGACCAGCAAATCAGGAATTAGAACCGCCACATCGATGGAGGCTCCACTGAGGGCAGGAATCAGCAAAGGCGCAAGCTTGGGGAGCATACCGACTGAGATAAAGGCAGGCCCAGCACGGAGCGTGTGAGCATATGCTTCATTCATGCTCACATCGATATCATGAATCAGAGCTGCAGCCTCGGCAACCTGGGTGAGGATTGATCAGAGCTCGGCCAACATAACAATTCAGACGGACGCACCGCAATGCACACACTCGACGATGGTTCCAGCTCTAAGTTGAGCTTTCGGGACCCGACAAATACAGGTCGAACCTTGATAGTTCATATCCTGTACAACGGAGTAAGCCTTGGTGTAAATAGATCATGACTTAGAATGCGCGCACCCTGCTCTGGATGCACCGTACGCAGCATAGTTTCTCGTAGCCTGGCTTTTTCCACTTAGCTATCAGACTAGAAGGAGATAATTATGTTCAGCATCGAGGTGCAGAAGGAGAGGATAGACGACACGTACTTGGCGTCAGCATAACCTTCCTTCAGTAACCAGTCATACAACTCCTTGCTGATGGCCTCCCGCTTGTAGTACAACTCGTAGATGTATCTTGAGCGCGTATGCGATATTCGCATGATAGGCCAAAGGGACTCAGTCTTCCGCTTGCCTTCATGAGATTCGTTCTCGGCGTCTCGCATCTTCTTCGCATAGTCGTCTAGGATCTGTGGCGTAGGGGTCAGTCAGTACTGGAACCGAGGCGCTTTAATGAGTAAAGTCTCACTCCCTCAATATCCTCGAATCCCTCCGGCGGTTTCTTGGTCCTCGTCGTCTTGATTTTCGGCATCGTGAGTGCTACGAGTGGTGGCGCAGAACAAGAAGGCGATGTGCAAGCGCTGTGTGACTTGGAAAGCGAGACACGCTATGGTTGACGTAATGGTCACGTGGAACGCATGAACGCGGCGCGAAACGAGGCACGCTCGAGTTGGAAGACGTTCATCCAACCGCTGCCAGCTCTCTGTCATACCCTCATCATCTGGCCTCGACAAGTCTCTCGCGCTCTCCTCTGCAAATATCCTCAATAACCATCCACATTGCTCTAGTATCTATCAAGTCATCGACAAGGCTTGGAACCCTTTGTCCCAGCGATGGGCATCGTGCTACTTGTTCTGCGAACGTACTACATCTTCTCAAACCTATACTACTCCTTCAAGACCTTGAAGCCACCCCCACCTTCATCGCGTAACAATGGCCAGCCTAGTGTGCGTGCAGTCAGTCAGCGAAAGCGAGACATGAAAGGCTGTCTAACTATCTGGATCGTTTGGGTGAGTTCTTTTGTGCCCATGCTTGGATTAGCCACTCCTGACACGAAAGCGACGCCCTCCTAGTGCTGTGTCGCCATGTACGAAACGCATGTCGAAAATATTGTCAGCATTTTCATTCCATTCTACGACGAGATCAAGTCTGTGATCTTGCTCATCTTGATTATGTCGCGTGCCCGAGTGAGTTCTCCATATGTATGCTCTTTTGGGCGTGCGTCAACTAAATAAATACTACGTGTCTTCAGGGTGCCGAGCCAATATATCTTCACGTCATCCGGCCGTTGATCAAGCCATACGTTCCCCTCATCGACCCCATCTTGGAGGTCATTTTAAGCGTCGGCGATTTCCTTCTGCTGGCGATCTCTCTCCCATTCTATCCACTCACCTCTTGGTGGAGGGGTCGCAAGTCGGAAAAGGCCAAACCCACCTCTCGTCCCGACTCTAGAAGCAAGGGTTTTCGTCCGGCCGACGTAGATCGGAATCGGGCTCGAAATTCGGCATACGACGCATCGAAAGCACCTAGACCACCTACCGAAACGAGGGCTCGCACATCCCAGAAAGCTCATGAGATATGGCAGCCCCCACCGTCTTCATACGACGACGATGGCCCGCCGGCATACGCTGCGTCATCTGGGCCGCCGCCACCCATGCCCGTCCCACAACCTTACATCCCACCTCCCCATACGCAAACTGACCAGTCCTCCCTCGACTGGCGTGCATATCCTCCATTCCCCTCCGCGTACCCGCCCACTCCACTCCCTCCAAAGGCCCCTGTGCCCAACTCCTTTCGTTCCGAGAGGCCTCAGATCTACGCCGTTCCAGAGAATGGGAATGGACACGGACGTATAAACGGAAACGGTACGACGGGTCATAATCGACCACCAGAAGGATACGACATGTCGTCCGAGCAGGATTTTCACATGTCGCTCGAGCCCGCCCGTGAGCCCTCGAACCCCGGCTCCGATGGCAGCTCGAGCGACGACATGGATATGCAAGGGGTTCAACCGACATACGATGCTTCGACGGCCACGTCGACCATCTCCGAAGGGAACGATGATGAAGATGATAATGACGAAGATTATGTGGACGAGGAGGAGGACAGTTTTGATATCACGCTCAGGACGCCGCGACCTGTTCGCTTTACCGGCAAAAATACCACTCCTCGTTCTCGGACCGTTTATTCACTGGCCACACCATCCGGCACTCTGGACGAATCGATGATGCTCTCGCCTCAAAGTTCGTCTCCTGCCACTGACACGCAGCGCACGCCACCACGTAACCGAATCGCCTCTGGGACCACCTCGGTTTCGATGGACGTCTCCGATTCACCCAGCTTGGCTGGTAGGAAAAGAGTCCGTACCGTGCGCAGTCCCACCAAGGCCGTCCGCTCGCCGCGAAAGCCGACCAGCAAGATCGCACGGCCGGCTTTCTCACACACAACGTCCACGAGAGTGCATCGAGGCAAGATTAGCGCCAAGTCTGCCTCGATTCTTGCGGGTCTAGATGAGGAAATGGATTCAGAAACTGAGGAGGAAGAAGAAGAGGAGCAGACGTTGGAGGATATCAGTGAGGATAGCGCGGACAGCTCGAGCGCTGTGATATCAAAGCGGCGCAAGGTTATTCGGGCCCCTTCACTCGTACAAGGCAGTACCCCACGCAAACGAGCCTCGCCGGCGAAAAGGTCGACCAAGGAGCGAACGAATAGAGATCCTCAGCGCCCTTCGGTCGCTCCAACTCGGACTTCGTCATTGCGCGCCGCCAGGGCTCGAAGCGTCCTCGAAAGCAGTAGGATGACGACGGTGAAGGCGAAGACATCTACAGGCGCTAGTAGATCAACTTCACGCGATACTTCCTCAATGTTGTTGGACAAGCCAGCGCGCACCGCACAATCGTCTAGACCGACAACGACGAGGTCCTAATCGTCAGAGTTGACTTTGATTTCCTTTTTTCGTTGGTGGTATGGACAACGAACCGCGGTTTACTTATCTCATCACCCTCACATCCACGCACGCACACAAACTCAAGTACATCCGCACCTCAACTCATGGGCCTGTCACATTTCTATCATCCTTCTCGTTCCCTTTCCAATCTTGCTGTCATTTCAGTCGCTACTTATCTGCATGAATTTGATTCGTATGTATATTATTGGATGTCGACCCGGCTGCGTCTCACTAGACTCCACCTGCGTCGTGTGCGTCAACCGTGACGACTCTAGCGTCGGCTGGCGGTTTATTATAAATAATGAATTGGACACACCAGTACGATCTCCGTAGACTTTGGCGACTGTGGGCTCAATGGATATCTATTGTGATGTTGATGTTCAAAAGGGATGTAAGGGGCTGGAAGTAAAAGTGTGGCGGGTAACGAGCGCCACACCACTCAGCCACTGCCTCCGACATTCCTGTGATCCCGCAGGTTCCTACCTGATTCTACTCAATTCTCAGAATGTTTCATGATACACTTCGATGGAATGAGCGTTGAGCAGAAGGTGAAGACTATTGTTCGTGATGAGCCATTCTCGCATGTAGAAGGGAGCTGGAAGACCGAGCGTTTGTATTGCATAAGAAGGCGCTACATATACACATAGAAAAAAAAAACCTGCAGATATGAGAATATATGTATGCGTCATGGTTTTACCAAACCGTCAATGCCACATAGTAGCAACCCTCCTCAAACCCGAAGGCTCGAAAGTGGGTGGATACGGCAGGTGTAGGAATATGATGCCTCCTCGCTTCCCCAAGCTGCAAGCCCCCTCGCCCCCGCTTCACGCGAATCAACACCAGCATCTTGCGACACCGATGGACTCAGCATCCACAAAGAGCGATTGAATGAAGACGAGCTGGAGGATGTGAGGATTGGTCTCGTGAGCATCTCCTGAGAGATGCCTCGCTCCCTCGACTTGAGTACGCGTCATGAAGGGACGCTTCGGTTGTCGAGTCGGACACTGGGAGGAAACGAAAATTTGAGGATGTGAACTTTATAGGCATATTTTAGCGGAGTTTCAATCTCAGCCACAGGCGCGTCACGGGTGGTAGCAGCACACCGCGCGTTTCTTCGTCCATCCACCTTCACGGTTCCCTAACCCATCTACGTGATAGCTGATCTTCCAGAGATCTTAATTACCTCTACCCTGTTTTGCTCTATGCTCTTGATGCTACCGAGTGTGCACTTGCTCGAGCTCTCAGTTTTTTGCCCTACGGCGCCGGCTTGCTAAAATTACGCCTGAGAAGTTGTTCCCCGATCGGTTGGCCGCGGTCTACACGACGCCCGGCCAGCTATAGCTATCTCGTCTCCCAACTCTGCAAAATATCTCATGCGGCCTGTCGTGCGGGAAAGTTCAAACATCACAGGGAGTCAGATGCGACCCACATTGAACTATTGCCCGCGGCATTTCTTGAGATATAAGGCGGTGGCGCTCTCGTAGCGTTCGACCGTTGGCCTTACCTTTTTGCTTCTTCGACCTCCAGAGCTCGACTTTCCTTCGCTACATTCTGGTGCTCTCATGGCGCATACAGAGAAAAAGCTTGATGCCGTTGTTGATACGACTCCGGTTGGTCAAGGGATCAATGGTGAAACTGTTGACTTGCGGCATGCAGACGATGAATTGCTCGCTGAGCTAGGGTACAAAAGCGAGTTCAAGCGCGAGTTCTCGGTGAGCATCTATCTCCGGTCGTAACGTGAATGTAACTGAGATGCAATCACTATTTCTAGTTAATTGAGACCATCGCATTTGCGTTCTCGATCATGGGCATCGTCGCGTCTGTTTCCTCAACTTTTTCGTTTCCACTCATGGCGGGTGCGTTCATTTTATGGATGAATATGGATCGAAGCTTACATTCTCCTTCGTTTACTCATATAGGTGGCCATGTCGGCATGGTCTTTGGATGGCTCATCCCTTGCTTTTTTGTGCTTACTGTGGCAGCATCACTAGCGGAATTGACTTCCGCTATGCCGTACGTCCCTTCCTCTTCTATTTTCTCTTTCGAGAACTCATGGTCAATTGCAGGACGAGTGCTGGTCTATACTACTTCTCCGCCAAGCTTGCACCTCCAAAATATTCGGCATTGGCCAGCTGGATTACTGGTTGGGCGAACGTCACTGGGCAAGTCGCCCTTGTATGCTCCATTGACTTCACATGGTGAGCGGATTACCTGTCATCTATGGCTTAGCAACACCATGCTGAGGGATTGTGCGACTCGTAGTGCCCAGATGATCACCACAGCTATTGCTGTAAGCTCCGATGGGGCCACCAATCTTGGTCTTGGGGCGACTTACGGGATCCTACTCGCTATTCTGTTCGCACACGGACTGGTGTGCTCTGCAGCAACAAATATACTTGCGAGATTAAACCTGTTTTACGTCGTCATTAACGGTGAGCATTTCCTACCCAAGCTTGATCCTACCTCTCTGTTGGTGACTGGAGAATACAATTCTGCAGTCGGAACTAGTGTGGCGGCCATTATCGCACTCTTGGTAGGTGCGGGGGACAACAAAGTCTCTACTGAAGATGCTTTTACTATGTTCGAGAACAACACGGGTTGGGCAAATAGTTAGTACACAGCCTGGTGTTTACGGCGACCCTCACTGTGCTAATGCCGAATCACAGACGGCTGGGCATTCCTCCTAGCTTTTACAAGTCCCATGTGGACTCTGACCGGATGTAAGGTCTTTTCCACGTCCTCTTGAGACCTATACTCATTGTTAGTTGTGAATCAGACGACTCGGCCGCCCACATATCCGAAGAAGTGGCTGGCGCTTCTCGCGCCGCACCTATCGCCATCATGGTTGGTGTACTCTTCACAGAGATCGTGGGCTGGATCCTCTTCATAGCTGCATCCTTCGCCACAACATCTACCACAGACCTCTTAAACTCGGACTTACCATTGCCGATGGGCCAACTGTTCCTGAATACCTTGGGCAAGAGGGGGATGTTGGCGATATGGAGCTTCATTATCGTTGTGCAGGTTCGTCTTACGCCTGAGTCTCATGTTGTCAGGATGCACAGCTGACAAAAAAAGTCAGTTTGTGACAGGCGCAGCTCAGGGTGTAGATGCGTCAAGAGTGGTCTTTGCTTTCGCCAGGGATGGTGCCTTACCTGGCTCGAGATGGTGGAAAAAGATGAATAAGACTACAAGCACACCTGGTAACTATCAACTTCTCTCGATCCATCATGCTCGATTCTTGACTCACATTCGCCACAGTGAACGCGGTCTGGTTGGTCATGGTCTGCTCTGCCATCATTGGCGTACTTGGCTTTTCAGAGACCGCTCTATCGTCTCTTGCGGGGTATGCCACCAGTTTTCTCCGTAGCCGTTCTGTTTCTGTTTACTGACGCTTTTCTGGGCAATTACTCAGTGCCTCTGTCATCGGCCTCTACACCTCCTACGCTACACCCATCTTCCTCAGGATAACATCTGGCCGCACCAAGCTGAAGCCCGGTCCTTTCAGCCTCGGCCGATGGTTCATGCCCATTGGCATTGTGGCCGTCCTCTGGGTTGCATTCATCAATGTTATTCTCGTATTCCCGCCCGACTCGGCGACAACGGCGGAGACCATGAGTGAGTTTTTCACGTAGATAGGACTTTGTGACTTCGCTGACGCTCTTGACCCTGTGTCGTAGATTACGCAGTGGTGATCATCGCGGCCGTGTTCCTGTTCGCGTCTATTTCATGGGTGGTCTCTGCGCACAAGTGGTTCACGGGCCCAATCAAGAACATAGATCGCACTTCATCCACAGAGGACGAGAAGCAATAAAATGCGTATAATCTGTACGCGTTCTCGGGAACTATTCACGACTTGTAGACAAAAGTACATATGTAATAAGTCCATACACAAAATTACATATAATATTCCTGTTCGGCTTTCAGAACTGGGAAAAAATGAGCATACTGTTGGTTATGGACTTCGCTCATGCTGAAACTCCTCGTGGCATGGCGGCACCCTCGACCGGCCTCTGTCTTGCTCTGAACTCCTTCGACATTTCAATCATTGGCACCCAAGAGACGTCCTCATGCTCGTTGACCCATTTGATGAACCGCTCCTGTGATGAAGGTAAGGAGCGTCAGAGGACTGCAAAGCCCGCGTCGAGATAATGAACACCTACGACCATGAGACATACGTGTGGTCGGCTACGAGAGATATGTAGTCAATGTCAATCAATAAACATGCGTAGCAAGAAAAGGTTCGTACCCTGATACGTCTGGGTGGATCGTCATAGGGAAAATGAAGTTCTCCTCGTTCTCGTAGAGGTAAGTGAACATGTCCTGCCACAGCTGCTCGACGTCTCGTGGGTTCACCCAACCATGAGAATTGGCACTCGACTTGATGAACCTATGACAAAAAGAGTCTTATGGGCATGTCAAGCGCACGGATGGTCTGAACATACATCATTGGTGGCAAATCATCCAAATACCTGCACATTCGTGGAGACAGATGAGCTGCCTGTCATTATCTTGATATCGAGTAGAGTATGCGAACCAGTTGGCAGGAATCTCGACCAAACCCGTTTCTTTACCCTTCTGCAGTGGCTTCATCCAAGTATGCGCCTGTCAGCGGAAGGATGTAAGAGTGTCCATGAGCGTACATTTATAGTAATATTAAGGTCATCCTACCTTAGCGCTGTAATCGATCTTTGTCCAAGTATCTTGGTCGCGAAGGTAATACGCCTGTGAGCTGGACGAAATTCAGCGTTAGGCCCTTTGAAACCAATTGTTGTTGAGGAACTTACTCATGAGCCATGTTGGAGTGGTCTGAATAGGTTCTTATATGAGTTCCAGTCGGAAAAAGCCTTGGGAGAGGGTTGAGGTTGTACCGTATTCGATGCCTTTATCCAGTAGCAGTTGAGTCCCCTCCTTGCTTGTCTCCCACCATGGTGCCACACTGCCCTTAGGTGGCACACCATTATTGAACTTTGCCAGAAGGTCGTATGTGTGGTCGAGGATATCTTTCTGCTGCTCAAAGGTCATGGACACAGGATTCTGCAGAACGCTGTGAGACGTGAAAGTCAAGGACGAAGAAAGACACTCACTTCATGTGAATATCCATGCAGACCGCTGGTCATATGTCAGTCAGACGATATAGATGCAACACCCCGAGCGCACGCTCACATCTCGTGCCCAGCATCTCTGACAGCCGCCATCTGTTCAGGGAATGTCTCTAGACTATGGCCTGACTCACCAGCGAGTTAACGAGTGATAATATATGATATATCCATGCAACGTACCAGGAATGAACCACGTAGTCGTAATTCCGTATTTCTTAAAGAGTTTGAGCAACCTCGGGACGCCGACTTCACCAGCAAAGAGCCCCTGGAAAGTATGGGTGGTCAATCTACTAAGTTTCCACATGCATAAAAACCGACTGACTCACTCTCGAGATATCCAATGGAGAGTCCTCTCCACCATATGATCCCAACCTTCGAAACCAGGTCAGAATGGCGAATAGGGGCGACTCTTCACGAAGTGCACTCACCATCCAGCGACAGCATCGACATCAACTCCAAACCCGATCAAGATTTTGCGAGGCATAGCAAGTGAAGGGACAGTTTAATGTCTGCGACCTAGAGCAGTGAGTGAGCGTATAATACCCCTCAGCCTTGAGAACAGGACACCCAAGCGAGTGGTATTTGGTGGGGTAGATAAGCTTTTCTTCGCCGGAGACGGATGTCCGCCGCCGGCCTTTGTCAACTAGGAATTTCGGCACGCCCTCAGGCTATGCTTGAATGGCCACCAGTCGTTGGATCGAGAGGGTGCAGGACGGTAACAGACACAAGAATCCTGGGATATGGCATGATCGAAATATTGGCCCATTGGTTAAAGGTGAAAGGAGAGCCAGGGAGAGCCAGACTCGGGGCTCCGACGCGACGCGACGCGACGCGTCTGTGGCGCAAGCTCCTTGTTTTCCGACCACCATCTGTTCTCTTGTGGCAACCTTCATTTTCAGTATCCGCTCGACGTTTGTGCTGTAACCACGCTTCATCGGTCCACAACAATTCCATCTGTCTGATTTTCATCGCCTATATCAAAACAACGGCAATGCGACGTTCACGTTCGGCATCGATACCCAGTCTTCCTGATAGACCACCCACGAGCGCATCCTCTAATCGACCTCCCACTACCGCACCTATCAGACCCTCGTCTAGCGCATCAGTTCGACCTGGATCTAGCTTTTCCACGAACAGGCCATCTTCATCAGCCTCCGTGACACGACCAATATCTCGCATTTCCCAAAGACCTTTTTCTCGTCTGTCGACGCGCGCGAATACCGCTAGATACAATGCGCTTCTCGCTTTAGGACAAACATTGATTACCAACGTCACTGGTCTATCAACGGAAAATGACGAGGACAACTTTCGTATTGCTCTCGACTTTGTGACCACCAACTTGGACTACGCTGTCAAGGCCGGTCCCAGCGCAGACCCGAGTGCTATAGACAGACAAATCAAGGGGTATGTGCGGAGGTCTACTTAACTTGAATGCAATTGATGGAGGGCTAGTCATGCTCGAAAGGCTCGTATCAACTCTCAAGACACTTTAGCTGATGCCTTAGAAACATCCTACGCAAGACTGAAAAACCACTTGGAAGAGACCAAGGACCTTGACCAGGAGATTCAGGCAAGTCATTTCGTCACTTAGTTCACTGGCCCGAAAATTTATTGCCCCCCAATGCAGCTATCCCATCTTCCGGATCATGTCCGGTTATTGGTGCAGTCGTTTCACTCTTTCCGATCTTGTGCATTCGACTGAATCAGTAAAGTAGCTGCAACTTGCGCAACCGCCATCTCAGGCAGCTTTGGATCATGCTTCACAAAGTCTCGCAAATACTCGCAATCCTCCACCGCCACCGGCTACCTTGACTTGGAAAGATATCCTCGCTGAGGAGCCATTCGAGGGTGAACATTGGGAAGGAGTATATGGCTTACCTCCTGGAAGCACCGTAGAGGGGTGGGAAACCCACAGCATCGAAAGCACGCCGCCACTCTCGCCCCTGGGCTCCGACGAGTTTCAGGATCTTGAACGGTCTCAGTCCTCGCTCGAGTCACCCTTTTGCCCAGAGCCTCCATCACCAGTGGCACTTGATGCAAGCAACGGAAATTTGCCTATCCTTCATGATCCGTATTCCCATCGTCGAGACGTAGAGGAACTTCAAGATAGGCAATACTTTAGGGCCGATTGGCGGACAGATACTTCCCTAACCGCGCCTTTCGATCTGGGAGATGCTGCCACACTTGGTAATACTCACCCATCCAACTGACTTAACAGATACTGATCCGAAATATCTTCCAGGTCCATCCATGACTTACGCCTTGGCTGAGCACCCGACGTTGCAAATAGACAGTCCTGGAAAAGACGTAAGTCTCCTGACCTATATTCTCGATGGGCTGAAACGTAACTCAAGGATCAGAGATATATCCACGAACATGACGCCATGCGGGAGGTTTTGATGGCGCTTCAAGGACGGAAGAATCTACTTTTGAAGTGGACGTATCATGAGAAGACTAAGTTCTCATACACGGTCAGGCATCCCTAAGTCATTTGTGTTCGTGTGCTCAACCGACTTACAGCGACCTCATGACGCCCCCCGTCTGGTCCATCTCACTCTTACCTCGCAAGTATCCATCCTGGAATCTTTCGCTCGGACGGCTACGACTGTGGAGCATTTGCGAAAGTTCACTGCTTGCATCACATCCAAAGCATCGCAGGTGGTAGACATCGCTACACCTCATGCTTCTCACCTGTCTGGGTACAGTCGCCGTATCACCCGCACTCTGGAGGCCTTGTCCGAATCATTGGACCGCGAACTCCATGCTTTCGAAGCCTGGTGTGCTCAGAAAGAAGAACAGCTATGTCTCGCTCGTGCAGGACTGGGAGATGTGCTCGTCGTTAGCCTCCTAAGCCTCGAAAAATCCATCCGGGACACCTTCTCCAATACGTTCCCCGTTTTGTTGGACGTTCTTAGGAGGGTTTTACGCCGTACATCCCGATCTGCTGACCCCGAAGCCGAAGTATGGACGCTCGCAGAGCTGCCTGCTCGTATGGCGCCCTCATCAGTGACCACTCTCTTCCTCGACACACTCCTACTCTCTGTTCAAGAGTACATCTCAATGGGCGACATTATCACATCTGACGCCCTCATGCGTATATTTGTGGAGGCAACCGAACCGGTGTGGACAATGGTCGGTCGGTGGTTGAGAGACGGCATGCCGGTCCAAGACCCGTCGTTGAGACGTGGACTACAAAACTACGCATCCCTAGACGACGAGTTCTTCATTGAGGATAACGAGCTCACACTTATGGATCCAGACTTCTGGACCGAGGGTTTCATGATTCGCAACCACTTCGACGAAGGGGAACACGTCAGTCGCGATTCATTGCCGAACTTCTTGGTACATATCGCCCCCCTGGTACTCAGTGCGGGCAAGGCGATTGGGTTGCTACGTGCCCTAGATGTACCATTGGTCACGGAAGGCCTCCCCCAATCCGACACCCGGTGGCCCATGTTCCATGAACTACTGGAAAAAGCTGCCCAAGGACTTGGAGTGAAGTCGATATCGCCGGACGAGCTGGAACATGTGGTTCATGAGAAGTTGAGAGAGCGTTGCCAGCCGGTCTCCGCTCAGGTTGCGCAGGTCGTCGGAGACGAATGTGATCTGTGGCTTCACCTCACTGCCATCGAGGATTTGTACCTCATGAGGAAGGGAGATGCAATGTCTCATTTTGCTGATGTCTTATTTGCTAAGGCATGTTCTGAGCTACTTTATGTTCCATTGAGGTGGCTTACCGTTTATGTCGGGTCATAGATGGACGGTCAACAAACATGGACGGACTTCCACTTCCTCAATAGCGCCTTTCGCGACATCACCGACACACGTACAAATAGGTGGATAGATTCATCGCTCGTGCGGCTCTCTTATCGTGGATCACGAGAAAGATCGGCCACCGGGACCGTAAAAGCGCTAGACGGATTATCTGTCGAGTATGCAGCCCCGTTCCCTTTGACGTATATTTTTGGCCCCAAAACGATCCAAGTATATGGATCGATACTCGTCTTCATGCTCCAGATCAGGCGAGCCCAGAGTGTCCTTGATCGCATATTAGTGAAGGGAGTTGTTTCGGTGGACCATAATGCAGGAGACCTGAAGCTCTTCTATGCAATGAGAAGCAAGTTGTCCTGGTTTGTGAAGTGAGCAACACTTTTCCTCCGCATTTGAATCCGGGCAGTCCTAATGATATGGTTCAGCACCCTGTTCGATTTCATCGCGACACATGTGAGTGATTGATACATTCTAGCCATCTGAGCGTTACCCTACTTATACTGGAATTATCAGGTTCTGCATGCACAGCTGCTCAAGTTTCACGCGTCGTTGCGCAAAGCCAAGTCTCTTGATGAGATGATCAAACTGCATGACGATCAGTGCGTTGATCCGAGCTTCCCTACCTTTTAAACCGCTAATCAAATCGCCAGTCTCAACAAGCTTGAGGGCCGATGTCTGCTGCAAGCCAAGGTTGGTCAGCTGATGCCGTCTCAACATACGCCTTACTCATTGACGAAACAGACGTCAGCTTTGCTACGGTCAATTCTGTCAATTCTCGACATGAGCCTCTACTTCAATGACTGCTTTGTCGCATTCGCCGGCGACGTCACGCACGATATTTCCCGCCCATCACTTACCACTAATCGGACCCGTCATCGCAGCCGTCGGCAACGTAGACAACGTAGGAACGTCGTTAGTTTCTTCGATTCCAGACACGATCTACATGAGAGCTCAAGCTCTGAAGACGAGGACGAAGATGAAGACCTCTTACAAGGGGCTGGCCCTGAGTCTTCGTTCACCATGGCCTCAGCGTCAGGATCATTTGCGGAGGAAGGATTCGGGACTCGGATTGATAAGATGTCTTCGGAGTTGGAAGGGCTCGTCAGGTTCGTCAGGAGAGGGGTTGAAAGTCTGGCAGGTGGGGCGTCGGAGGCTGCTTCGGCGTTTGGTGTATTCGCGTTTGCATTAGAAGACTGGAATTCTTAGGAACAACAAAGAAATACGTGCAGGCGACTATATTACACATAAGCGTTTGATCACGACTCTTCTCCATTGGAGTACTCTTGCGATAAAGCAGCGACTCGACATCTGCTCATCATGGGAGAGATAAATGAACAACAAGAGAAAGCGTTCAACGTCCATAGACCACTACAGCGCTGATATTTCAAGAAGACTGAGAAGGGTACCCTACGCTCGAACTTGTCAACTTAGTTGTGGATGGCTGTAACGACCACAGGCCTTAGGTGACAGCCCTTGCACCATCCACGTCCACTCGTCGATGAATTCCACCGAGCATGATCTTCGTGAGCATTGAGGCATTGAGTTGTCCGACGAAGGGTGTGGTGTCGACTATGTCCTGAACGAAGTTGGTTTAGCTGCCGAGGGTTTTCAGGAAATAGAACTGTGACGACTAACTCGACTCAGTCTGAGATTTGGATCCTGTTGATCATTGTCCAGTTTTGTTAAGTACTCTGTGGCAGCTTTGTCTCTGCCAATCTGCACAAATTGAATGCCAACCTTGGATACCAGGTGAGTCGCATCTCCATGCGAATAATACAAAAGCAAGTACCTGCGTCATTGGATAGTGATGGTCTTCCAGTTCTTGGGCATAACGCCTGATCACCGCCAAAGGATCATCCGCTGCAAAAAGAGCAAACAAGGTGACGGTCAGTAAGGGGATGGTCGACACCGGACGATCAACCCACAAGGCTCCCCATCCGTAAGGACGAGGTAGTTGACAGGTTTTATGGTCCTCTGGACATTCTCCATTCCGCCAACTTCAAGTGCAACCCTCAATTTCTGGAAGTATTCACGCAGTACTTGCTGCAATCTTGACTCCATGGGTGTCGCACCCTGCGGCGTTACTTCACTGAAAGCCTCCATTATTTGCTGCGAGCTCTGCGAATGCCATATCGTTGGGAGCGCGTAATCACGCATAGGAAGGGAGACATACTGTAACATCATCCTTGCGCACTCTGCTGTTCAGGAAACAGATCGTTATTCCATCGGTGTCGTACTGCGAAGCTACGTCCGCCAGTGTACCGAGGGCACTTTCGGTCTGTCAAGACAAGCCTGATCAGTTTTCCATTGAAACGCCCAAGAACTATTAAAAGGAGGCCTGCCTCCTGCCAGCGATTCTCCCACGACATGGACTCCGAATCGTCAACGATAATCACAGTGTCGAAGTCACGCAAGATATCCAATGCCCTACGTATGCTGTCCTGGCGCATGGGCCTCCTGCTTCGTGAAAATGGAAGCTTGTCATCAATATTCGTAGAGTATAAATCGATCATGACAACTTCACTTGAGAGTATCATAGTTTTTCTTGCGAGAATTGTAGATCTCGGTATAAGATGGTGGTGGCTCGGACCATTCTGTTTCCTGTGGCACGTTGGAGGAGCATCCTTGAGACGGACTATGAAGATGTGATCCCTTCGAACCGCCCACGCCCTGGACATTGGTATCTTCCTTAGACATGAGATCTTCAATCCCAGACTTCGAATCGGCGACGAAGGCCTGATGCTCCTTGTGTGCCTCGTGGTCCCCACTGCTGCCCTTGCCAACACGCTGGCGACTTGAACGGCGCAATAAGCGGGAAGATGAGCTGCCCATAGTAATGTGAATCGAATGTGGTTTGCAGAGAAGAGCGTCGTTGGAAAGTCCTGGGGCGCTGAAGGTTGCCAAAGCCTCTCAGATGGATACCGACGCGTAGTAGGGAATCGTAACTCGCTACTGGCAGAACCTATATATGCAAGAATACGATCAGTTATTATTTATATAGCAATCAAGCCCTCCAGAACAAGTAAATAGAACAACCTATATCAGATTGTATCGCCTTCCATCTTCTAGGAAGCATCGCCCGCGGTATGTCTGCAGTGGGGGACAGCTTCAACCTAGAACTAACAAGCCCTCTCACTGTGCCCAATCCTAGCTGTTGTGCTACAGTACTTGACCGTTCTGTTGTGGTAGACGCGCTGTCACGGTGATAGTCATTTGTACTGACTTTGCAGAAGCGATAAGTTGGAATGGGCCTTTCTCTCGAACAACGACAACAAGGGGTCTCTCTTCCTCTTCCGAGGCGCCACGTTGACAGAGCGCCACCACAATATGCAGCTCGGAACAGCCTTTCTGAATTGTTATTTCAGTCACCCAAAGGTTGTAGACGGGGCTTCTCTTCAAGGAACCCGCTCCAGACAACTGGCGCGACCTCGGCCTCCAGCGAAAGTCATTCGACCAACGCGGACGCGAATAACTTACAAGAGTTGCATCGCCCCAGAGAGGAGCGTAGAAAACGCGAGAATTCTCTGAACTGCTCCGTCTGATATCCCTGTGCTCGAGTCTTATCTTTCTCTCGAAGCAGCTCTTTGGGATAATAAGTAGATGCTGTAGACAAGAGGCTGCCGAGCGCAACTCGGCCAGCTACCCGCACTGAAAACCTGACAGCATCTGAATCAGACTGGGCATAACAAATAGTTTACTCCGTGACTCATCGACCAGTTCTCTTGTTGAGCGAGCCATAAACTCGACGCTGTGAGACGATTAGACTTTATTGATCGAAGAAGGAAATTTATACGAAGGTTCTACTTGATACAGCTATCTAACATGAAGCTCTGAGTACAAGGTGACATTACCAGCGGTAAGCGATGCTACCCATACTGTACCAAGACTTAATTGAATACACCCAGAGTCCTCGCCGCCGAGATGCACCACCGCAGAAGTAGAGAGTTTGAACCTGGCAAGACCCACTCTTACCATGCCGCGAAACCTTCGAGGTCTCGAGCGCCCATCCTTCTTCCCTTTGTCCCCCCCACTTCTATCTGATGCTGGCGATCGATTCGTCGAAGAATCCCCCCGAGCATGATCTTCCTTAGCCTTTCCTCAGAGAGCTTTCCCTTCTTGGGCTTGTAGGGCGTAGTGTCAACCATGTCCTATACAGGAGACCCGTTCAAAAAGCTGCTCAGTTGAGAATAAAAGATGATTATCACGTACTCGATGTTCTTTCAACTTCTGCAGATCGCCGTCAAGTTTCTCCAAGTATTCCGTAGCGCCCTTGTCGTTTCCGATCTGAACGAATTGTATCCCAACCTTAACAGAAACGACGGTGTCAGCCCATTCGAATACCCCTACTTGTTCTGCTAAGAGACGCACCTGAGTAAGCGGGTATTTCTTTCTGTCAAATTCTCTCGCAAAAAAGTCAATACATTCCTGTGGTTCGTCAGCTAAAGAAAGTGAGGTGCAGATAGGTCAGTCATGAGAGTATTAGACATATGCCACAAGGTTTATGAACTCACAAGGTATTCCATCGGTGATAATGATGATGTTGATCGGCTTTATCCTCTGAAGGCGAGCCTGCTCCATGTTACCCAGCCGATTTCCCAAGATGTTGTCAAGGCTGTCGCTATATTGACGCAATATTTCCTCCAATCTCTCTCCGATGAAGGTCAATCCATTCGGTCTCATCGACCCAAGAAGCGATTCGACGTCTTTTGCGAGCTGCAGGTGAACAGAGTAAAAATCTAAGGATGGTGAATTGCTTCGCCGAAGACGTACTTTGATATGCTTCCCGTGCTTCATACTGTTGATGAAACATATTTCGATGCCATCAGTATCGTATTTCCCGGCTACAGCTGCAAGATCGGAGAGTGCCTTCTTCGCCTTCAAAAAGAAAAAAAAGGAAGATGAGTCAGTCGTTGACGAAGACCATCTCTGCATTACTGTGAGTGCTTACCTCTTCCCACCGGCCATAATCTGCCATGGAGCCGGAGTCGTCAAGTAATATCACGGTATCGTACTGTCGCAGTATACTCAACTGGTCCTTTTCACTCATACAGGACACCCTAAATGGACAAAGCAATCATCAATAACGTTCGCGCAGTGTCTCGACAAGATTACGGCAGCGTCACCTTTGTTCCTCCTGAATCTGGCTTTTCCTTGCGGAGTCGTCATAAGGCGGGGGATGTTCGGATCCGTGAGGATTAAAAGAAGAAGAGGACCGGGAAAATGTAGAGCGCGACTCCCAGGCCTTGGTATCTGGGACTTTGGGATCGTCCTCAGTGATGAAGTCGTTGAGGGGATGCTTCGAGTCTGAGCTGCTGGTGAAGGTTGTCTGGTGGGATCGGTACGTCGGGGCGCGTTTTAAGGCGCCGTGGTCGTTGCTATTGACTAGAGTAGTGGCGGACGCCGTCGAAAACTGGCTCAGTCCGCTGAAACTGTCCTTTCTATCGAGGCGACGACTACTACTGGAGGGCGAAGATGGACGAGACGTCGAGTTTCCCATTGCGATAGATGTTGAGTGCAGAGTTGGAAGAGAGTAGAGTTTCGGTGGAGGAGTCGAGGCTGTCGTGGGGCTGTGGAACAAGAAGAGAGGGAATGCCGATGCCTTTTATAGGGTTCTGAGAAAGAACAAAGAGCGGACTCGACTGGTCCAAGCGTGCGGCTACATTTTTGACACGCGGGGCAACAAAGGGCAAAACATTCTCCCGCCATGTTGCCAAATGCAATGGAAATTTTTGTATAGCAACGGGGCCCGTTGGGCATTTGCAAACTGCCACAGCTGTTGACCATCGCAACCCTCGTGCGGCGTGTCGAGGTAAGCATTACACCGTACGGCAGTAATGCAGGCCCCGCTAGAGTCGTCTTGCCTTCACGATACGGTCGGAGGTCAGCATCCTGGAACAATCCTCAAGGGGCCTCATGCGCTTTTGGAAATGATTTCGATGGGGCACAGCAAACAAATATTCCTTTTCGAACTTCGGCACAGCTGTGCCCACACAAATCTCGATATGAAAGAGGATCATTTGTACATACATTTCACATTGGGCACTCAGTAGAGAGCGAAAGGTGTCGGACGATCCGCCAAGCGAGGAAACGCTGCGGCTTTGGCCAACACCACCATCTGTCGTTCATGAGAAATATAGCCCTTCAGATAGCCCTTGTAGATCATGTTTGCGACAAGGCACTCCGCTTCTTCGATCGGCACGTCCATGCCGGACATCTGGAGCGCTGAATGAAAGAGTGACACTGGTATACGGGTGCTCTGTGACGATGCGACCCACCTGGGTAGACGAATGAGTCAGTCAGAAGAACAGCAACGGAGGCGGTTTATGCTAGGAAAAGAAAGCTGCCTAAGAATAGGAATACGACACCTACACGCGTCGGAACAGCCCTCGTATGCAGAGCTCTCTGCCTCTTTCGAGAGTCAGCCAGAGGTTTAGATCGACGAGTCGCCTTTCCCATTTGTCGAGCGCGGTGTCGAATGCCTTGATGTCGCCGCGTCGGATCGGGTCGATGAATGGAGTGTACAGCTCGTCCAGCACGGGGAATTTGTCCAACAGCTCTCGGGAGGGCAAGTGACCACGAAGTATCCGCAAAGGGATCAGATAAGTCAGAATACGTCTGTATAGTCGTGACAGAGATTGAGTCAGTAGAGGTACAGCTGTCAGGAGTAGGACAGCCAACAGCGGGGAGACAAGGGCGCACTCTCGGTTGTTACGAGCCTCGATGTGGCAGTTGTAAAAAGCAAGGGTCAGTTCCTGTTCAGACTGTATGGAGATATGATCAGCTGTGGTGGGTGAAGTCGTATTGGTAGGTAGTAAACATACTTTGGCGTAGTCTTCGTTCAAGAAACTTAGCATGCCCAGGTAGTATCTGTACGTGACCTTATGCCTGTGGTGAGTCAAGACTCCTCAGGCAGCGAGAGGGCTTACTTGGTGCGCTTTTGGATATTCGGACAAAGGCGGTATATCTGGATTGGCTTGTAGTGCGCGTAAAATGTTCTTCGAAAGCGATATGCGTCGGATCTAGGAAAAGTAGAACAGCTAAGTGGGCCGGGAATCCAAGGGTGAGACATCACTTACACGAAAGTAACTCTTCATGATCAAGCCAACGACGTAGTAGATACCCCATTTACGAGACATCCCGATGGGTGAGGTTCTGAGAGAAAGCATAGACTCAACCCCTGATCGAAGGGATATAAATGGGGCTCAGCAACCTATCTGTAACGCAGTTACTGAAAGCTTTGGAAATAATTCTGGCCGCGTCTTCCATGCACTCGCTCTTTTGTGATGCGTCTCTTGCTTGCACGTCTGCCTGCATACGTAGCGAATCAAATCAAGGAAATAACATGCGACGATTCCTAGACCACCCACATCGAATGCTAGATCCCTCAAGTCACGAAGAATGGCGAAGAGAGCAGGTAGTGTCCATCCACTGTTATTTGCGAAGAAGCGCAGGAACAAGCTAGTGATAGAATAGAAGTTGGAGAGATGGTAGTAGATGATATACTTACTATAGCGGACTCACTTCACAAGACTCGTGTGTTCCTTGTACGCGTCCGCGTAACGTTGCCTCGCGACATGCGAGGTCACTAACACGTACTGAATGCTAATTTCATCCCACGGACTGTCAATCGTTCCCTCATATCGAGAGAGGTTTTGTCGCTGGTCAAGGTGGCCGGAGAAGAAGTATGTTAGTTTAGAGGTACATCAGGCGGGCAGGATACGGCGCACTGTTGGATTCCGGAACTCTTTAACGAGATCCTTCCCGTGTGGACTTGTAGGCCGAATGAGAAACGCTAATGTGAGACCGTCCTCTTCATGCAGAGCAGTCGCAACTTGGGTCAAGAACTGTGTGTACGACATGGGCATGGTGGTAGAGAATAAGATACGAGAACGACGGGTGGCGCGGAAGACAATAAACTATGTTGGAATCGTGGCCCGCGTCGGTCGGCGTTCGGCTGTTCTGCCGCAAGTGTGGCACTCAGGATGACGTTAATCATGGTTTAGATGAGGATATCAAATGCGTCAGTCTGTGGGCATATAAAGCACAGATCCTCGCTCATCTCTCTCATAAATCCCAATCGTAACCCAAGCATACTGTTACAGTATGGCACTCCAACCCTCTCTTCGCAGCTTGAACGTCGCGGGCACCGTCCGCGCCCCTCACACGCTTGACATCTTCCGTGAGTATCATCGTCCAACTTGTTACAACTCCGTTATTATGGATGATCTAAGGGTTATTTATCCGCCCAGTTGACTATGTCTGTCCGTTTAGGTAAGCGTAGATGTAGCCTCCGGGAGGGTTGATTTACCATCATGGTCTACGCAGCGCAAAGTTGGCGCGGTCCATTGATAATGTCCTGAAGCCACTGTTGGGTCCTGGTGGAAAATATGACGGACATGTCAAAGTCATTATCAGGCCGCAAGTCCAGCCGTGGCATGCTACATCCACCTACACTCACGAAGCTGGTCTGGCGGTATGCTGCAGCTCACCTACTTATCCGTCATATCCTTGACAATCGTTTCCAGGTGGCTCGTGTCGCGCCGGAATTTTATTGGCCTTTCTCCGTGCGCGTATGTTTTCTGCGTGAACTCTCCCCCAAATCAACACATTCTCACTGCTGGTATGTGCTTGAACAGCTCTTCGAAAGGCAGGAGGAATTCTTCGACATCCCGGCCTCGACTTTGACTCCTCTCCAAATCCGAGAGAAGCTCGCCGCACTCGCCGCTGAAGTAATCCCCGCCGATAAGGTTGATGCATTCAAAGAGGCGCTCAAGCTGAAGAGCTCCCCTAACGGCGGGGTTGCTGTCACTGACGACTTGAAATACACTAGTGAGTTATTCAAGCTAGAATCGATTATCCAGTGCGTGCTACTAAACTGACTGGTGTCATCATAAAAGTCAAATTCTCGAGGCAAAACGGGATTCATGTCTCTCCTACCGTGCTCTGGGATGGGCTTGTTGCGAACGAAATTTCAAGCTCATGGGGTGAGAAGGAGTGGACTGAGTTCCTGGCTGCGAAGATTCTGGTCTGAAGAGTGTCTATGTATGCCAATATTGTACGATATATACAGGATACAGTTTGGGAATCAAAGTAGACTTGCGTCGATGAAGTGCCCGTAATTATTCGTCAGAAGATCCCAGCTGAGGATGTTAATGTGGCGACTCCGTCGTGATCATGGGGCCACAGGGGAAACGTGTTTGCTCGTGTGTGGCGCCAGATGTGTCGCGTGCCGCGCCTCGGCCGTCGTTGGTCTTTGACGTTCACCTTCATCTCCACCATCTACCGTATCTGCCATTCTTCCCCGCTGCCTGCACGTCCACACTCAACCTAACACCACCTTTAAACTAGGGTCATGACACAAGCACTTCGCGGCAAACGTCGTATAATACAGCCCAGATCGAACATCGGCGATGACGGATGGGAGGACGTTGGGAGCTCGAACAATACGGTGCACGTCGCCCAATCTTTGAGCCCCGCAGGATCATCACGGTCTAACGTCGCAGCATCCAGAAAACGACGCGTACAGGGAGAACGTACTATCTTCGCTGCCACACAAAAACGACCACAACAAAGGGTGAACATCCCAACGATCGCTAATTCAGTTGAAATCCCGTCACAGCTGACGCGTGCGCCTCGAGAACCACTTTTCGACTGGGAAGAGGTCCAGCATACACTGTCAAGGACAATGGTATCTAGCCTTAAGTTTATATGGGATATTGGGAGGATGTGCATTATTTTGCTCAAGTGGCCTATCGTCATTGCCATCGTATTTTTTCTCCTTGCCATGATCGTGGTGCAGATCTCCCAAGCCATTCGCACCACCCTTTCACCCTTCTGCATCGTTCCGGGTCTCGGCTTTATCTGCTCCCCTGATGCCTCGCAACTCCCATCGCCGGCGCCACTCACCCAAGGTGGCACCCCTGTCCAGAGCCGTCCCCAGCGAGCTGACTATCCGGGGCTGATGAACGTGCAGGGCAAGGCATTCGAAACCTTGTTGGAGGAGTCTGTAGATGGACCCGGGCTCGCGCTGGAGATCAAGAATGCGGAGATGGCGACGTCAGACCTGATTATGCTGGTGCGGGTTAGCGATTTAAAGAGCAAGGATCGCTTGGCTGCGACTTTGGTACAATTTGTCGAGGATGCTCGAAAGGCCGGGAGGAGTTTGACGAGGTTTAATGCGAGAGTTGGCGGAGCGGTTGATAAGTGAGTCGGTTTCCCTTTGTCTTCTTTTCTTTCGGTTCCCCAGGCGAATCGCTCTGACACATTCATCGTAACCCAAGTGTCCTTGCAGTCAATGATTACGCGCTCCATGCCATCGAGGCTGCTAGATCCAAACCTACAGGGCTTTCCGTATGGCCGTTCAATAAAGCTTCCACCGACGTCGTCACGAGCAGTTTCAACGACGCGATGCATTCCTTCTCCATCAACATGGAGCGTATCGTAAGGGAGGCCGAAAGTTCCCGTCAAACGCTAGAAGTCCTCGAAGAGACGCTCGAAACGCTGCACGACATCGTCGCGCGCGAGAACTCTGACCTCTCCGGCGAAAAGGCTAACATCCTTGCCGATCTGTGGACCATGGTTGGAGGTAACAAGAAGGAGCTAAGGACCGTGGACAAGCATTTGAATCTATTGAAGAATATGGGGGCATATAGGACTAGGGCGCTGGCGCATATTGTAGCGGCATCGCAGGCGCTGCAGGCAATGGATGAGGACATGCGGGACTTGAGGGACAGGGTGGCAGCTCCGGAGTGGATAGGGGACAATATACCGGTGGAGGTGCATATCAAGGCTATTCAAAATGGACTAAAGAGATTAGAGGGCAATAGGTTGAAGGCAAAGAGGACACAAGAGGAAATCGCGGATCGAATTGTGGTGGGGGTTGAGAGGGCTTGAGTCGAGAATGGTCCTTGGTTAGTTGTTATCTAACTTTGTTTTGTTCTACCACTGGAATGCTCTCCTTGAGCTGGCAGGAATTGCTTGTCTTACCCTTTGCTGGTTGTGTATATACTGTACTTAGTGGTACTGTTCTAACTCCCTGCTATCTCACGTTGTGATTTCTCTCCTTCTACAAGACATAATTACGAGGATTGAAGCGTGGTTTAATATTGATCCATGTCGACATGTATGCATCGGTATACCATAAAATCGGTAATAAAACCTCGTATGAAGATTTCGACACTGAGAACGCGGGTAAAGCGTGGGCCACAGGGGAAACGTGTATTTGTCATGCGTGGCGCAAGTCGCGTCGCGTCGGTGCGGTGTTGGTGTGGTGACACAACAGCCGAATGCAGCATGTTCTTTTGCTGGGGTTGATCGGCTCGTATCTCTCTGCTCTTCCCATCTACCACTCCACTCCTCCCCCACTCGCTGCACATTATTCGTTGGTATCACCCTGGCTCTTGAATACGTCCATGACACAGCTTGATAGACGTCGCACCTCAATGCCCTTCATGTCGGACGATGGTGATGAAACTTGGGAGGATGTCACGAGCTCGAGCAATGTGGAACATTTCGCCCGTTCCTCGAGCCCAGCAGGACAACCACGGTCCAATGCGACCTCACCTAGAAAACGGCGCGCACCCGGAGTCACTGTCGCCGCCCAAAAACGACCACAACAAAGGTTGAAGAGTTCAACAATCCCCAGTTCTGGAGAATCTACACCGCGATCATCGCGTGCTCCCCGCGAACCATTGGTCGACTGGGAGGAAGTTCGACATAATTCTGCGAGGACGGCGATATCTGGGCTCAAGTTTCTTCTATGGGATGTAGGGAGGATATGCATTGTCTTGCTGAAATGGCCGGCCGCCATCGCGATCGTCCTCTTCATCCTCAGCTTGATCGTATCACAGATCTCCCAGACAATTCGCACCACCCTTTCACCACTCTGCGTTGTACCAGGCTTTGGCTTTATCTGCGCCCCTCCACCATCAATATTCCCATCACCCGCCACACTTTCTCAAGACGGACAACCTGTCCAGGCCCTTCCCAAATGGGCTGATTACCCGAGGTTGATGAATGTTCAAAGCAAGAGCTTCGAGACTTTGTTAGAGGAGGCGGTCGATGGCCCCGGGCTCGCTCTGGAGATCAAGAAGGCGGAGATGGCTACATCGGACTTGGCTACGCTGGTGCGAGTCAGTGAGCTGAAAAGTAGGGACATGTTGGCGGCGTCCTTGGGAGACTTCGTAGAAGATGCGAGGAAAGCTGGGAGAGGCTTGACGAGGTTCAGCTCGAAGGTTGGCGGAGCAGTCGACAAGTCAGTTATTTGTTTTTTCTTGTTCTCGCCGAGAGGATAAAGTCATTCTGACAGATCCATGACTATCGTCATTTCAGTGTCCTCGCGGTCAATGATTATGCACTTCACGCTATAGAAGCTGCCAACTCCAAGTCAACAGGACTCTCGTTATGGCCCTTCTCCAGTGCCCCCTCTACAGCAGTTGTCATGGGTACTTTCACCGAAGCCATGAACACCCTATCCGTCAACATGAACCGCCTCATCCTCGAAGGCGAAGTTTCTCTCCAGGCGCTCGAAAAACTTGAACAGCGCCTCGCCACACTCTACGAACTAGTGACGCGTGAAGACTCCTCCCTCACCTCCGAAAGGGCCGAGATCCTCGCCAGCCTGTGGACCATGCTGGGAGGTAACAAGAACGAATTGAGGCATGTGGACACGCATTTGGATTTGTTGAAGAATTTGGGAGCGTATAGGCAGAGGGCGTTGGCACACGTGGTGGCCGCACTACAGACATTGCAATCGATGAGCGACGATATGGAGGATTTGAGGGAGAGGGTGGCAGCACCTGAATTGGTCGGCGAGAGGATACCCGTGGAAGTACATATCAAGAGTATTCAGGGTGGTCTTGAGAGGTTGAAGGAAAGGAGGTTGAAGGCGAAAGAGCAGGAAGAAGATATTGTCAACCGCATCGTGGTGGGGATTGAGAGGGATTGATGATACTTTTCTCGAACACTTCATCTAATTTTACCCCTGGAATGCTGGTCTGGATAGGTTACCCCTTGCCCCTTGCTCTTCGTGTACATACTGTATTTAAAGAATCACTATTGCTCTGACCCTTGCGCTATCTTATGTTGCTGTGGCTGTACCTTGTTTGATATACCGGCCAGATCCCCGCTTCGTGGTACCACGAACGACTTGGACGGTGAACTCTGAGATGGCATATCCTGAGTAATGATCAAAATCTGCTCATTCCACACCTAACATCTCAATCATTCTCTCCCTCACATGCTTCGCATCGGCTCTCCCTCTACTCGACCGCATCACCCGCCCCACCAGCGTATTAACCACCTTCATGTGCCCATCCCTCACCTTCGCAGCCTCCTCCGGCAACGCTTCGATAGCCTCCTTACACAGCCCTGCCAAAAAGGCTTCTGCCTCGTCTGCGGCACCGAACGCTACGAGGGAGAGCTGTTGTGCGAGCTGGGACGGTGTCTCGGTAGAGCGGTGTTCGAGCATGTGGCGGAGCAGAGTTTTGCCCGATGTGCCTAGCACAGTCAAGCAATAGGAGCAGGTCATATCAGGGGTAAGGGCAGAGAAATATAGGGACAGGTGAGACGAGATGTGAATAAGAGTGAGCGGTGATGATTAATAGGGGACATCCTAGGATCCCAGGAAAAGTAGAAGGAGAGGGCGACTGACCAGTCATCTTGCCGATCTGGATCATGTCTACTAGGTCTCCCATCTGCTCGACCGTGACGCAGTTGTCTTTGAAAGTCTCCTTCCTGGCCGCTAGCTGGCCCAATAGTTCATGTGTCATCCTACATCAAATGGTCCGAGTGAGACGCGTACAAGCGTCGGGATGAGGGATGAAAGGGTATGGGGATGCAGCGGAGCCGCGACAAAGATAGATGCCGAATCAGCTCGTCGCACAAGGTACGATGACTCGAGGGGTGTTGCTCACCAGTTCACAACAACTTTAGGATCTCGACCAGTCGATAACGCATCGAAATACGCGACAGCGCCCTCCCCATGCTCGCCGTCATATCCTACCTCACGCCCAGAGTCCACGGCCATAAGGACGTCGGTATCGCGCTGGCTCAAACCCTGGGCTTGTAACCTCGCTCGAGTCTGCTCTGGAAGCTCGGGCATAGACGCGCGAAGGTTTGAGACATATTCCTAGCCACCGTATTACTTAAATCGTGAAGCTGAAGCGATGTTGAGATGAGACATACTGAGGGAATGATGAGAGGGGGTAAGTTGGGGTCGGGCATGTAGCGGTAGTCGGGGGCATCTTCTTTGTTTCGGAGGGTGAAGGTGAGACCTGATTCTTCATTGAAGCCGCGGGTCTCTTGCAGGACGTGTTGACCGTTCTCTAGCAGTGAGATGTGACGATCGGCCTCGGTCGCTGGATGCGTTCAGCGCAGAGAACATGAGGGAACGTATAGACATATTAGGAGAGATTGACGAACTGATAGCGACCATCGTAAATTTCACGCTATTCAGGTTCTTAATTTCGCAGCGGGTGCCAGGAGGAGCGCCCGGACGATTTACGGAGACGTTCACATCGCACCGGAGAGAACCCTGATGACGTAGAATCCAGAACTCAGCGTCAAACAGTTGTAGAAGCAGCGCATCGCACCTACGTTCTCCATGTTACCGTCGCTCGAGCCCACGGACCTAAGCAATGCCTGTAGTGTCCGCACGTACTCACCAGCTTCTTCCGGAGACCTATACAATGTGCCGTGCCACAAAAAATGGTCAGTGACAAAACACCATCGACCGCAGTCGACTTAATTAGACTTCAAGCTCAACGAATGGCGGGAAGAGAGGCGGGGATAGTAGATGACAGAGCATGTGCAGAAGACGAACCGCATGTCGGGCTTGGACACGATTTCCATTAGACCTGTTCCAGCTCTGTTAAGGTCAATATTAGATATTCGATGTCGTGGATCGAACGTCGATTTTCCTGTGTCCTGGCCATAAGCAGTTCGAAAAAATCGAAGTTGAACAAAAACACCTAAGATGCCAGAACCTCGGGAGAACTTACCTGTTCTAGTTGAAGCTGCTCGATACCGACCAGGATATTCCGCTCGGGTAGCTTGAGGTATCCGCCGGTCGCAATCGGTGCTGTGTTGTACCCAAGCGCAACCAACGTAAATCAATGGACGTCGTCGAGAGTGAACGAAGCCAGTGACGCACAATAACGTTGGGTGATTTGGTATCCCGCAGGTAAATCCGCATAAAAATAGTGTTTACGGTCGAATGTTGACCGGCTATGCACATCAGCGTTGAGAGCAATCGAAGTCCGCAGCGCTAGCTCAACGCATTTTGGATTGAGAAGCTATGAGGTTGAGGCATAGAGAAGAAGAAGGAAGAACATGGTGCGTCAGGTGCGATGCTCTTCATGAATGGAAGCAATCTGGTGGCGGAAGCGAGCAGATTTACTGGCAGTGTTCCGGGAAATGCGGCATCGTACAATGACACTCGGGTATTGGGTGCAAGTCCCGGGGCCGATGTCCATGTGTCTGAAATTTTCAGTAGTTGTGGGCGTCAACGATGCGTACAGCCAGTAAAGGAATATTGTGATAGGAGAGGGCATGTAGAGCGTACGGGAAAAGAGTTTTAATCGCGACTTTATTTGTGCGTGTACTTCGATTCCTACCACGAGCTGCCAACCAGGCCAGCGTGGATCATCCTTGTAGGTCGAGTAATATCGACCATGAGAAACACCAAGTGCTCTGTGTAGGCCGAGCCGTCGACAGAGAGGCCGGGTAACGGCGAGCATGAAGAACGAACGGACGTGGTTTGGGTCCGCGCAGGTCCGCGCCAAACTCAGACGCGATACGCGTCGGGACGTAGAGCGAGATAAGATTAGATCCCGGCGTGGTCGAGCGCGTGAGACGAGGGCCTGGGAAGAGGATGGCAGTGCCGGAAACATACAGGCGTCGGGTGTCATTGCAAGCGGGTTTTCTGTTCTCTTGCGGTCAACTCATACGTACATAAACCCAGCGGATTAGACCTTTCCAAACCACGTCGAACCCGTTGGCATCACAGATTGTCTTCTCATGTACGCTGGTCAGTTTGATGATCCATCGCCTGCCTACACACCGACCGGTGCTCGTGCCGCCACACCTCCGGGAACAAGCTTGTGGCCTCTAGGATTGTATGTTCAGGCTCTTGGTTTGTTGTTTCTATGTTCTCAAAGCGCGTTTAACAGGAACAGCAAGAGTAATGGAAAACGGAGAGCACCTGCTGCCGCGAGACATTTCTCAACACAATCTATAGACAGGTGCGTATTATGACCCGCGGATTCTTGAATCGTAGTTGATGGAATCATGACTCTGGTCTGTAGTCTCGCCACTGCCGGTGGGGATGTTGAGAAGACGGTCTTCACCTACACACTCACCGCTGGCTCTGCTGAAATCCACTTCATCATATCGTGCGTCATACCTTGCGTGCGCTCTCTGGCGAAGCTGACTATTCAACTGTGCAGCGTTGAACCTGCACCGGACCATGCGCCACAACAGTACATCATCTTCCTCTCCTTGAAAACAGGGTCAGTCAGCACTCAAACTCACATCGCAGTATGCTCATGCCCTTCACCACTGTTAGATGCGTTGAGAGACCACTATGTCAGCCAGTGCCCATGAAGCTCGCCATCAGCCCCCGAGACCTCCGATTCGCTGTTTTGTGAGCTATCCCTTGATGGATCCAATTTCTCGCTTATACTCACTGTGATGCAGCATGTTTCCCCCGCGGCCATGTCTTCCCCAGGGATGCCTATGGTCTTTGCGGGTATGGCTTCGAGGGAATGAAGTTGACCATCGAATATTTTCCGAGGACCGACTATGGGTGGGACGGGATCCAGACTTCTTCTCTATCGAGCATGGTCAGTTTCACATGAGTTGCTACCGCGAGCGGGATACAGCTGATCAATTCCCTAAAATGGATGAATAGCTATGTTTGCTAGACTAAGAAGTACGACCCAGGTGCGCCTGTCTATCCAGTCGTGTAGTCTAAGACAGGAACTCATCATTCCGGCATGGGTGATTGTTGACTTACTAGGAAGCACAAGTATATCGCACAGTCATCGGGCGAGCACTTGTAGAGATGATAGTCCGGTATGCCTCTTCCTGCATCGTACTTATGTTTAATCCTGCTAAGCAGTTGTATACCTAGGTGGAAGCCAGTAACAAATTCAGTATGGAGTTTGAGCCTTGAATACGATGCCGAGGGCGTTGGCCGCGTGCTGTTCTCAGACTTCCTGGTCCGACTGGAATCATGCAGCCCTCAGAACGTCCAATTCGTCATATAGTTGCGTTATCTGTCCCTCTTTCATTTTAGATGCGTTACTGACCCGCCTTACATGTCATTCTATTGATAGTACCATCCCTATCCACTCAACACCACGCGGAGCATCCCATCGACTGCGAATATGGCTACGCGCCCCTCTACCTTCACCTTATCCCTCTGCACCATACACACCAGCTAATGGGATGGCCCAAAACTCAATCTGTCACCGTATTTGGAGCACAGACAACTTCAAGATCGGGCACGTATTGGACTTCTCAGCATTGGGCTCGAGGATGGTGATGGGTGTACCGAGCGCCCAGGGACCGAAGGTACAGACTAGTCTCAGCGAGCAGTCAATGCATATCAGGAAGCGCAGTGATATGGGAGGAAGTACTTGGGACGGCACGGATTCGGTTGGGTCGCCACCAGATTCGATGAACGAGCGGAGGGAGGTTTGGTAAGCTGGGCAGGTGAGGATGTTGCTAGATGCACCTCTATTTCTGGATATCTTTATCTTCATTGGATGTACGACACACTTCGTCATCGGACTACATGTATCACTGTGACCATCGGCTTTGCTGTCATGATTTTTGTTTTCACTTCCTGTATACAGCTCATGCCGTCTTTGAAGACGATCTTTACACGGTTGCTTTTGTTGTTTTGTGGACCTAATTTATTGTCGATTCATACTGTACTGTACACTCTATACGCTATTCTAGTGCTGTGTAAACTATATCCTATCTTACATCGCAAATGTAACGGACCTTCGCCACCTTGAGTCGCTTAGAGTTGCACGGGTGGCACAGACATGCTTTGAAGTGGCGTAACAAGCATGCCAAGATCGATCAGGATTGGAAATATATTGCGGTAAGGACAGACCGACCAGGAACCTGTTCCTTTCCTCTTTCCTCTATGTAGTCAAAGCACGGTAGAGTTGAGAGCTTTCGAGTGTTTTGAGTGGGCCTATCGTCGCCTTCGTAGGATTTACCGCGAACATAGATTGCCCGCAAGGAGTTCAGATATGTCTGGCGTGAGAGTGGTTCCGGCTTGATGTGTGCACGGCGCACCGTCCTTTGATTATATTTGACAGCTCGGAGGGAAAGGCAGTGTTTGTGAACCTTGGCGGGGCTTGGGTGTGGCGTCCTATTCTTATCCATTTCATGCCGTCATGCTGGCAGTCCTATAAGTCGAGGATAAGCAAGGCCATAGATGGCCGCTGGACATTGGACGCTCTGCCGAACAGTGTACTCGACAGCAAAGAAAGGTAGACTGGTGAGTTCGAGTTCATTCGTCGTCGTCGTCGTCAACGTTGTCGTCGCAAAGGGAGACGTAACAAAGATATTTTGATCCCGATTTGTGTTATCTGGACGTCGGCAGCGTCCTTCATCCCGTTAGCACGGTGGCGGCTGGTCCCCGCACCTCTTCCCCGTCTTTCAAATATCCCACTGGGCAGAGTCCAGACGACACACACCACGCTCAGCCTCGTCCTTTTTCCTTTGGCAGGCCTTGTAGCTCGGCGTTGCCGTTCTGGTTCATCTCTGCTCTGTAAAGCACGCGGGCTTCGCATTCACAGCTTAAATATGTTCATCAATCTACGCTCTCTTTCAAGTTCGCCTTTGGACCTGTTCTTCCCTTTTTTATTCGCTTCATACCTTTTCTTACCTGTGCATTCATCTTCTTCGCACTTGATAAATCGTTCTTCTCTCTCGGACAACCACAGTCGCTTCTCTGGTCTGGATAGAAAGGATAAAATGAGGTGCGTCCCGTCATTCAAATTCCCCTCTTGATTTTACTCAGGATTTGCGCGCTAGTCCAAGCCTTAGTCGTCGTGATGATTGCATAGACCCAAATCCTGCTAGTGATATCACGGATCGTCTGGTGCGTTGGTACTTGTCATCCTTTCCGTTGTCAAGTACTAATCCAGCTTGCCTCACAACCAGAACATTGCGCTCAATTCATCCAGCGAAGGCTACGTCTTGTCACTCTGCCCCAGCGAGCAATACATTCTCCAGGCGCCCATCCTATTTGCCTTTCCCAACCAAGAAATCAGCACTCTCGGATACCCTACGGATGATACCAGGGCCACACTTGTCGTGGATGGACCAGTCTCGGACGGAACAGGGCACACCACTGCTGTCGATGGCACCTGTTCCACTTGCAGTGGAGTGAAGTTGCGCAACATCCAGGTGTGTGCTGTCGCGCCTATGTCACTCGCTTGTTCGCGCTTGCTCACTCAGCCCACGATCCCCACCCCCTAGATCAATGGCACGCGTCTTGGCGCCGCACCCACAAACGGCGGTATGTAGACGCCCTATTTCGTCATTTCTCTTCCCCCTTGTCATGTTAGCATACTCACATAAAACGTGTAGGTGCAAACATCGAGTTTGGTGGTGTAAACTCCGACCAGCTTATCGAGTATGTCCACTCGTTCGATCCTAGGAGTTGGTCCTGCCTCCACATTGCCGAAGGTGGCCTTTTGTGCAATAACGCCACGGTACAGAACAATGATATCGGCCCTTGTGGATCGGACAACTTTCAGCAATGGGCAGACGGGATCAGTGTGGCGTGCCAGAACTCCCTCGTACAGAACAACATGATCAACAATCCTACGGACGGCGGTATCGTGTTGTTCGGGTCACCAGGCACATTGGTACAGAATAACACAATCTGGGTAGTCAATGTAAGTGTCATGATGAACACGTATCTTTGTTTATGTTGCGCTCATACTTATGCTATCTTGCTATCTTGACGCGCGATCTTAGAATACGCTCTTGGGCGGAATTAACATGGTCGATATCGACCCATGGGGTGGAAACTATACTGGTGTTGTGGTCCGCAACAACACCGTCTTGGGCGGCTTTGCTACCGATTCGGACTCAGCCACCCAGAAGGACGGAGAGAATATTGACGATGTCATTGTCAAGTGAGTCGTCTTCCTGCCTTTTTCCCGAGCGCTTCTGGCTGACATATTTTCAGGCTCGGTATCGCTATTGGTGAGCAGTCATCTGGGCATAGTGCGCCATTGTAGCTAATTCCTGCATACAGGCCCACGAACGTGGTTCGGTGAGACCTATGGGTCGAACTTCAGTTTCAGCGCTTATGTGCACGATAACCTGGTCCGTCTGCACCTTCTTCACTTGGAAGCCCTGCTAATCCAAGTTTCTCCGTAGTTCTCAGGTGCCTTTGGCTACGGCATGGCCATAACATCTGCCGCCAACTTCACCATCGAGAACAACAGCCTCCTCGGCAACACCTCCTTCATCGGCTCCCGCGGTCCTAACTGCAGCACCGACGAGACCACGCCAACACCGGCCGCCTTCGTCATCTGGTCCTCCAATGTCTCGGACTCGACCATTCAATCTGACTTCACCGGCATCGACAACGGGGACGGTCTCACCTGTATTGTACCGCCTGAAGGTGGCGACTACTGGCCGTATGGAGGAAACCCTGCTACCTCTACGTCCGCGGGATCACCATCGAGCACATCGAGCCCCCAGTCCGATAATGGTGGCGGCGGCCTTTCTGGTGGCGCGAAGGCCGGGATCGCTATCGGCGTTATTCTCGGTGTCGCTGGAATTGCTGCCCTCACGTTCTACATTCGGAGGTGGGCTCTTAGAAGGCAAGCGGCGACGCAGGCTACTTGGAATAGGTCGAGCTATACTCAAAATACGGGGACGTATTAACCTACTTCCTTTATGGAAGCATTTTCGTTTTGAACATTCATCTTCTCTCTTTGGATCTCTCTAGAATCCTGCTTGCTCTCCATCCTCTCCTGGTACTTACTTCCTTTACTTATTGACTCGCTTACGTCCAACTCGAAGGTCAGAGTTCGCTCTCCAGTTTCCCATGAACTTTACAGTATACAAGTATCATATACCGCTTCACGCTCTCTACGTACATACGTCTTTCGGTGGCCTTCGCTGCAAGGCGCACACCCTGACTTTCTGATATACAGTGACTATATAGGCGGATTTCTCCATCAACTTAGTTCCATTTTCTTGGTCTCTCGGTTTCTTATGTCTGTTGCTCCGTTGTATAGATTATGTATAGAATGTTGCGTGCATTTTTGTCGTCGTGCCGGGGCTCAGCGGGTTTTGAGCGAAACACCCAAATCCTAAGTTACAGGATGCCGCGCCACCGCCACACGGCGTATGGAACAAGAGCTTAGATGACAAAGCTCACGTGGAACGCCAGCGTCGCGGAACATTCTCCCTTCCTTCCCCCCACTCACTCCAGTCGTCGTATTTGCTTCTCCCCTAGCTTTCATCTTTACCACTACCATGGAAAACGGAAGAGGGTTAGCCTTGCTGTCATTTGCACTCTGTGTTGTAATAACTCGTAGTCCTTTTACTTGCTAGGTATCTGGGCGTGACGCCGCCCATTTCCACCACTGAATCCAGTGCGCGAGAAAAGGAGGTTACGGGCACTCTCATGCAGGAACTGAGGAGACAGAAGACCTTCGAGTCTGAAGAAGAGGCTAAAACTAGGTACGCTTGACTCTCTCAGCGGGTTTTATCACTGTCATTCATCGTTTCCACCATACACTACACACGAGCGGCATACCTTACATTCCGAGCTGTCAACGAGTCTCACCATTCGAAACGACCATTACAAGTCTTTATTGGCCTGTCCTGACATTCATGACCGCGCGGAAATTTTACTGCTTTGTATAGCTCACGACTTAGTTCTGATTGTTTACCTTACATAGGGAAATTGTACTCGGTCGCCTCGCCGCTCTCGTCAAAGCCTTTGTACGCAAAGTCTCTTTGTCCAGAGGTCTTTCCGAGGCTGCCGCCAACGCAGCTGGCGGCAAAATCTTTACATTCGGATCGTATCGACTTGGCGTGCACGGTCCTGGCTCTGATATTGATACCCTCTGTGTTGTTCCGAAACATGTATTGCGAGAGGATTTCTTTGATGTCTTTGAACAGATGCTGAGAGAGACCGAGGGTGTCACAGAGTGTTCGGTTCGTGATCGTTTTCACCAGTTTACCATGGGTAGTGTGATTGCCAGGATTGATTGGTTTCTTGTTACCTTTTACTTTTCGGTTCGATCTGTGGTATTCATGTGTATAGGGTGTTCCGGAGGCGTATGTGCCCATCGTCAAGGTGAAAATTTCGGGCATTCCAATCGATTTCCTTATGGCTCGATTGGCTCTGTCGACTATTCCCGACGACCTGTCTTTGCAAGACGACAACCTCCTCCGAAACCTAGACGACAGGTGTATTCGAAGTCTGGGAGGTTCGTCCTATATTGTTCCCTTGAAGCATCGGATGTGATATACTGACGAGAACCAGGTTCACGAGTCACGGATGAGATTCTTCGGCTCGTTCCTAATGTTAATGTTTTCCGAGACTCTTTGCGATGCATAAAGCTTTGGGCTCAACGTGAGTCACCATTTATTCGTGACCAATCTTTATGGGTGCTGACGCGTCCTCCAGGGAGAGCCATCTACTCCAACGTGAATGGTTTTTTGGGTGGCGTGGCTTGGGCCATGCTTGTCGCTCGCATCTGTCAGCTATATCCCAATGCCATCGCCGGTGCTATCGTCAGCCGTTTCTTCATCATCATGTACCAATGGTATGAACGATTATTTCGCCAACGGAGGGAGTATATTGATTCGGGCCTCACAGGTCATGGCCACAGCCCGTGCTCCTAAAGCAGATTGAAGAAGGTCCACTGCAAGTCCGAGTATGGAATCCGAAGGTCCAAGATCCTTACCAATCCTTCAGATAGATAGACGACTAATCTCCACGATACAGCTATACCCTGGGGACCGTTCACATCGGATGCCTATCATCACTCCAGCATATCCAGCCATGTGTGCCACCCACAATGTCACCGCATCGACCCAGATGATCATGACAGAAGAGTTCAAGAAAGGTAAGTTTCGAATATCCATACGCGTGAGGTCTTCAGGTTTCTCGGTACACGATATCGACGGCCACGGACGTTTCAGGTGCGGATATCGTCGATAAAGTCATCGTCGGCACAGCTACCTGGTCAGAGCTGTTCGCGAAGCACGACTTCTTCCACAAATACCGGTATTACCTCCAGATCATCGCGTCGACAGGCGATCCCGCTCTGCAGATTAAGTGGTACGTTGTGCACCCCAGCTGCCCTCGTATTCGAACGTGGATGACGACGGTGTAACGTTTGTTAGGGCCGGTACTGTGGAGTCGCGACTGCGTCAGCTGGTCATGAAGCTTGAATTCGTTGAATCTTTGCAATTAGCGCACCCTTTCATCAAAGGCTTTGAGCAGATATCGTACTGTCTCTCAGAAGAAGAGATGCGCGCCGTAGCTCAAGGTGAGGTCTCGGAGGCTGTCGCCCAGCGCAAGAAGGAAGACATCGAAGGCAAGGAGGGTGCGAGTCAGGTCTACACATCGACCTTTTACATTGGGTTGGCCATCGAGGCTAGACAAGGCATGTTTTCGACCAACTCTGATGTCTCGTATATCATCGTTAACCTCTATGTCTAGCTGGCTCTGTTGGGCCGCGGAAGCTGGATATCTCATGGCCTACTACAGAGTTTACCAAGATGGTCAAAAGTTGGGATAAATTCGACGAGACGAAGATGGGCATCATCGTGCGCCACATAAAGAGGTACCGAGTCTTCAGGACCATATTTATGCTTCTATGGCTGTCGTCGCGTCCTGCTGACACAAGAGATATAGCTCGACCCTTCCTGACTATGTATTCGACGCTGGCGAACGCCAGCCCAAACCCGCCCTCACGAAAAAGCGTCCGAAGTCTGTGAAGGTGCGTCTGCGCTCTCCACGAAAATTCAGGCTGGCCAGGCTCACCGCTCTTATCCCTCACCTATTCGAAGGGGACCACTCGGCCTAACGGATCGTCCGATCTCCCAGCCAACAAACGCCCTCGGTACGTCTCTACCACCATGGTCACCCCTCGCTTTGATATCCTCTCATCTTACTGGCAGAGCATCTTACGCTGGCTCCGACTCTGTTTCTACGGAAACGTCCAGTATGATCCAGACCGCCGAGAACGGACGTTCATCATCGACACCAACACCTGCCCTGAAGCAGGACGTGCCAGCACATCCGACTCCTGTCTACACGTCGTCAACGATTCATCCAGCAGACATCAAATCACCGCAACTACCGTTCGGAGAAAACGTAGCCGTCGCGACTGGTGCTGGCGGGCCATAGCAAGATGTCGACAATCTCATCTTTCTATCCTTCTTTTTGCCTGTTTCTCGCGCGGCGTCTTGATCACGGAGTCTGCAAGTATAATAGCCCGTTTGAGGTCTAATATGCCTGCTGCTTCCCTGTATCTTTGCGTCTTGGTGACCCTTGGAGCTCTCTGGGTTATTCATCGTCATCTTACCTCACAGGAAACCATAGTTGCCTAGGACGCATAGGCCAGCGGTGGCGAAGGGTTCTGCTATCTTCCTTAATTGAGTTCAAGTTCGCGCTGTACAATGTTGGGCAATCGTCGGGAGGGTGGTAGCTTCCTTTCGTCTTGTCCGTTCGGGTTCGCTCTGGCTTCCTCCTTCGCTTTCTGCAACTTCTATGGTACAATCTTCGCCCCCTTCTCTTGACATATTAAAAAAATTCTATGCTATGAGTAATAGACCGGTTACCCTGACTTTCGGTGTTCACTTCGTATATCTTTGTCCGCCCTGTGTTTCTCCTTTCTGTACGGTGTTAGTTACTGCAGACATCCTGTATTGTTATTTACAAATACACAATCGCTATAAATCGTCTGTTGACGCTTGCATTTCTCTTTTGTTGGGATGTATGTGACCGTGAACGCGAAGACTCGGCAGCAAGGAAACTTCCTCCCCTCGGGCCACCTCAGCTTCTACAAGGTGGTAGGTAGGATAAACCATTGCGATCCATGGATTATATCCGAAGTGTGATGACACCTCGTCTCACAAAGCTAGTGGATATCTGCTCCATGGGTTTCTGAGCCCGAACGGTTCGGTCGCACAACGACAACCCTTCTTCAGACAGCTAATCAGTCAGCTACTTGGCAATCGTGGCCAGAACCGTAAAACTTGTAGTGGATGAAAGGGCCGGACGCAGTCTCAACAAGTGAGAGAACTCCGCCCGAAACTTTGCAAGTAAGTTACTACCGACCAGAGGCCGGGGATGCTCTCTGGCAGTCTAGTCCCAGATCATACTAACGACATGGTTTGAACCTCGGCGCCTGAGTGAAACGCCACCATGATCTGCATGAACGCCACGTATCTTCACCTATTACCACTAGTAGCTTAGCAGCCTAGAGTGCTTATGTCTCAAAGGCGACCGAGGGGCTGTACACGCTTGATGAACCACAAATGGAGCTCCAGACGAAGAGCACTTGCTCATGCACCTTCGAGTAGGTACAGGTACAGCCTTAAAATTCCCCTGTTTCAATGTTCCAACGAGGGACGGGAAGGACTGCGAGTTGTTCCGTCTAATTATGCTTGCTCCTATAGGTGTTATTGAAGTGTTAGACGACCTGAGGGCGGGATAGTTGCCGGCGGGAGCGGTCGAGGGTCTGTTTGTTTGTTGAACGCATCAGTGGCGGATAGTAAGATGATCATGAACCTTCGGAGCGATCGCGGTTCAACAACGTTACGCTGAAAAGATCGTTCCTTTTGTGGATTGGGCGTAGACATTCCTTTCGGGAGCGAAGATAGGAGGGTAGGGTGCCTCACAACGTCTCGAGCTGAAACACTCCAAAGCTATGTTTGTTTTCGATCCGACAGATGCGGACCACACTGGAAGTACGGTGGATTGGCCAGCGGAAGAACCTCGAGTGAATGAGTCATTCAACATTGTGTTATGCATTGCTGAAAATATAGTATACGTGGAAAACAAGTAAATCCAGCAGCTAAGGCAAAACAACAACACACCAGTCTCCTTCAATCCTAACGGCCCCGTGATTCGCGCGCACGGTCTCGCTCAGAGCCAGCTCCGTACGGGAGTCGTTGTCGGCCTTCAGAATCCCTTCGCGGAGACCGTGATCGAGAGCGACGGCGAGGGCGAGAGTTCGCATCGTGATCGCGACGAACAGGAGAGCGACTATCACTGCGTTGAGAGAGTGGTCGAGGAGAGCGACTTCGAGTGCGTGGATCAAGTCTGCGAGGAGGAGAAGGCGATCGGGAATCACGTCTTCGTCCGGAACGCGTATCGTCGTAGTCTCGACGAGCAGGTGAACGGCTATCTGAGCGTCGCGAAAGTCGTCGAGGCGAAGGACTCCGCGAGCGAGGAGAACCATCGCCATCCCGTCCGGCACCAAGGGATTTGAGCAAAGCCTCCACGCCTTTTAGACCCTCAGACTTGCCCCCCGCCTTTTTCGCCTTTTTCGCACGTTTGCGCTCCTTCCTTGCTCGTCGTTCCTCGGGAGTTTCGTCCTTGTGTTTGCCTTTTGACTTGGTCTTCTTGGCCTTCTTCTTGGAAGCGTGTTCTTCCCTCCACTTCTCGAGGAGGTAGTCGCGCATAGGATCGTCTGGGTCAATATCTGGAGCAGACTCCTCAGACGTGTCTGACGCTCCATCATCTACTGTATCATCGTAAGGAAGGAATCCTACAAGGACGAATAAACTATGGAAGGCGTACCTATAATCTCTGGTCTGGCATTAAGACTTTGTTCTTCAGACTCTACCCATTCACCATCCTCCCCTTTATTCTTCGGTTGCTTGTAGTTCTTGACATGGTCGACTCGGAGTGTGCGCTCAAGGACTTGAGCACCGTTGAGGTTGTCAACAGCAAGAATCGTGGACCGTTGATCCTCATACATGAGGAACCCAAAACCTTTAGTCTTGCCTGTCTCTTTGCTCCGAGGTAGGTTCACATCCATTACTTCTCCATACCTGTGGGGTAAGCTGTTAGTAGGACACAACAAAGTCAGCAAGGAGACGCACTGAGAGAAGATGGCTATGACATCTCCTTCCGTAAGTTCGTAGTTGAGGCCTCCAATGAAAATATAGGCCGAGTCTACAACAGCGTCAGAAGTGCGTCTAGTCAAAGCAAATGGAACATTCACCTTTGTACTCGTCATGCCATGATGCACCGCTGAGACCGAGGTCAAGCTCGCGTTCATTGATCTTGTTGATTTCTTGGACTACGCTAAACTGAAGTCAGAACAAAAGCGTCTGAAAGGAGACCGAAAGCACGCACTTCATGGCTGAATGGAACAGGGGAGATGACTTACGATGGACTAGTCACCTTGGGCCACGTTGAGCTGAAACTCTCACGCCACAATCATCCTCCCAGGCTTTTTTCGTGGTCGACGTCCTCCAAACAAGCTTGTCGTTCTCTGCAGCTTGCTTGCACTATGTCTTTCACGCTTCCCCCAATCAATGACAACCCCGACGGAGGATGGGGTCCGTCTACATCTAACCTTCCCCAAAACTTCAAGTTCAAGGACATCCCTTACGCGCCTTACTCAAAATCTGACAAGCTTGGCCGTTTTGCTGACTGGAATGATCTCTCTGGCGATAACCGTCAAGGACAAGGTCATTCGTCCCAAAATGCTCGCGGAGGAGGCAGAGGCCGTCGCGACAATGCCCAGGCCTTTGGCAGCGGAGCTCCCAGCGCATTCGCTTTCCAAGTCGAGGACGAGTCCACTTTCTCTTTGGTCGACAACAAGACGAGCGCTCCTCGTAGGGGTGGGGGTTTCGCCAGAGGCAGAGGGGCAGGCCGTGGAGGCGCTGGTTATGGTGCTCGTGCTCCTGCCAGGGGTGGTCGTGGTGGCTTTACTGGTGGAAGAGGTGGAGGTGGCGGCCAGAGAGGTGGTCGCCGAGGGTGGAGAGATTGGGAGAAGGTCTGTCATATAATATCTCATACCACAAACGAACGCAGTATTAAATCTCAGGCCCGCACAGAATAATCGCACACGCGAGTCGTCCGTTGCTATCGATCCAAGCTGGCAGATGCTGGAAGAGATAGAATTCCATCGTCTGTCAAAGCTCAGGCTCGAAGTCGATGACCCCGAAGACCTGTATGTCCAACCTCATATGTTCCATCTTAGCCAATGACTTTTGAATTGACAATGGATTGACAGCGAATCGTATGGGCGACTTTTCGCATACAACAAGACCTTCGATCGTATTACCACGAAGACTGAACGGCCACTCCAACCAGTGGACCGCATCAAGTACAATACCACAACCTCTGATGACCCAGTCATCCAGCAGGTGCGTTTCTCAGATGCATCGCTTCCATCTTCGATCACTACTTACTCTCCGTCTAGTTGGCATCTAAAAACACTGCGACTGTGTACGCTACGGATGTTATTCTGAGTGTCCTGATGTGTGCACCTCGATCAGTTATTCCTTGGGACATTGTCATTGTCCGTGAAGGAGATAAGGTCTTCCTCGATAAACGCGACGGAGGGCCTTTCGACACGGTTACCGTCAATGAAAATGCATCAGATCCTCCTCAGGATCCCACCCCTCCCAATCCCAACAATCCCACAGAGAAAGCTCCGGAGGCTCCGTCGATCAACTCTGCGACATCGCTATCTCTCGAGGCCACTTACATCAATCAGAACTTCAGCTTCCAGTCGGTCACCGAGACCCCGCCTCCCCCACCCGTCGACTTCCAAAAGCCGAATCCTTTCTACGGTCCGGATGAAACTGAGCCTCTCGCATCTTGCGGTTACCGATACCGCCTGTACGATCTCGGAATCACCGAAGACGAGGATATTAAGTTGTGCGTTCGTACCGAAGTCGATGCGTACCTTCCGGGTACCGGCAACCCTCTTGAGGGACACGGCCTGACTACGATTCGTGCTTTGAACGAATTTGATCCTCGTGCTCCGGGTGCGGGTGGTGCTCCTGACTGGCGGTTGAAGCTCGATTCCCAACGTGGAGCTGTCGTTGCTACAGAGATGAAGAACAACAGCTGCAAGCTGGCCAAGTGGACGGTTCAGAGCGTTCTCGCAGGTGCTGAACAAATGAAGATTGGGTATGTCCACGGATCCACGCTAGGATCTTCTCACCACTCACCACTGACCCTACTTTTCATCAACGTCTAGGTACGTCTCACGCGCCAACCCGCGTGATAACACTCGGCACGTCATCCTGAGTACTGCATCAATGCGGCCAACGGATTTCGCGGCCCAGCTCAACGTCTCGCTCGCCAACGGATGGGGTATCGTTCGCACCGTTACCGATATGTGCATGAAGATGCCCGAGGGCAAGTACGTCTTGGTCAAGGACCCAAACAAGGTGAGAACTTCCAGCCTACCTATCACCGCTCTTTTGGAGCGCTATGGTTCTCGCTCATCACTTCTCTTTGTTGATGCGTTCCTTCTCACTGATGCCATTTGTTCTAGCCTGTTATCCGTCTATACGCTGTGCCCTTAACGGCGTTCACCGGAGAAGATGAGGAGGAGGAAGGTGTTGGTTCTGATGGTGAAGACCTTGAGGCGTAAGATGTCGCGCAAGGTGTATAGTACGTCAAAACGGCACCATAGGGTCGGCGTCCGTGTCGATGTGGAGTGTGATCTGTTGGAGGCTGTAACGCTTGTGAATGAGTTGTGCAACAACTGTTGTTTGTATTCAAGAATATGTGAGGACATGTCATTGGGAACTGAGCAAAGTCTCCACAGCACTCTCCGTATTAGAACTGTCGGGGATCATCAGATATGACATGAAACAGATGATCGCAAGGGACAACCAACCTGCGTTGCAAGGCGGCCACAATGACTTCACGTTGGTACCCCGGGAACATCGAGGTCAATTGCGAGATTTCGCCATCGCTGGGCACCCGCAAGCCCGTTGCGTTTCGTTCTGTCCTCCCGGTAAGCTCATTCATCCACTCTCTCATAACTGAGGTACCCGAAGATGCTCCTGCCGCCCCATCAACTTCTGGGGCGGCCTGTGGCGCCGATGGATTTCGTGCTGTGGTGATCACTTCATTATCGAGCTCCGTAGATGTGGAGGCGGGAGCAGTACGTTCCTCAGGAAGAGCACGATTGGTTCGTCGAGGCGCGCGGGTGGAGCCAACAAGGGGCAGGAGGAAACGTGAGGAGATCTGCACGGCCCACGGTGGTAGCCTGTATGTCTTGAGACTGGCAATATCCGTTCGGTAGATTGCACCCGTGAGGATGCCAATCGCCGCGGTCACTGTGGACGCCCAGGGCTGGCTTATGGCAAGCTATGTCTTCAAAGTCAGTATAGCTCTGAGAAAGTAATGATATGGTCGCACCTGAAACGCGAGGATGTAAAGAAATATCTTGTTCGTTACGATGACCCCAAAGATGCGGAACTGGTACACTGAAGGCACACGCCTTGAGTACTGGTACAAAAGATTGAAGATCAATGGCGTCGGTCCAGAAGGGATATGGTTGAGTCCAAAACGGTGGAATGTGAGCAAGAACAGAAACTCGAGAATGGTGGATACGAGGGTAGAAATCAAGGCACACGACTGTAAAGGGAGCGCATCAGACACCTTCATCATTATGCAGAGGTATGGAATGGAAGACTCACAGCAAATTTGACGCTGCCGAATTGTCGCTCAAGTACAATTCCGATGTTGAATAAGAGCACCTCCCAGACAAAGAGTTCGCTAGAGTTTGAATATGCCAGATCATGGACGAATAATCGCCAGTACTGGAGATGCCTTAGGTTAAATTTGGAAGAAATTTGCTCGGCCAAAACCCACCTGATGGTGACGAGAAAGATGGGGAACCAGCTGTGAAAAAGCAATGTACCTACTCAGATGCCAAGTTCAGCCTCTTGAACTACCTGCGAAACCATACCTGAAGAGGGAAATAATGTTTTACGTCGAATATAGCGACAGAGATGGATGTAACGGCACAAGCCATCATCAGACCTGGAGCGAAAGTGAGTAGGGAGGCGCGTATTGTAAGTTTGAGTTTACCCTTGGTCACAGGTGCATGCTGGAAGGACATTTCTCCGTTGTAGACTTCGCCACAAGTACGAGTCGAGCGAGAGAGAAAGCTTCTCAAAGTCTTGTCGAGTATTCTTCGCTGGGATGTTGCGTTCACCCCCGTAACTGAGCGAGGGTCTAGTAACTATCTAAGCCCCGAGGACCTGTGTGGCCCGAAAAGACGGTGAACTGACGTTCTTGGTGGCTCGGAGTATGGAAATTGTTGGCAAGCGCCACGTTGACACCATGGCCCAACCGGAGTCATCCGCGCCACAATTTCTGTGGCGCTGGTTTGGAAGATTTACTTGGTGATTGCACCAACATCATCAATATTTATATCCAACCGACGTAAGGCGAACCTGCAGCCAAATATGTCTCATCTTATATACCATATGTACACACAGCGCGGGACGGTCCACGGTGCGCCTTGATTGGTTTTTACGAAACTACTGTGCGCGCGCTTCTCCTGTCCATATTCTTAGACCGAGTCGTAAGTTGGTTGATTCAATGCCGTAGCAGGTAACAGTAATTATCTGAATCAAATACAAAAAGAGTCACTCGTGTGAGTTTTCCGGCATCGGTGTTCAAGTTGAAATAATCCTACAGCCCGAATTAGTGGACTGGTCGCTCAGTAGAGCGTGTTCAGAGAGAAAGCCATCTAGTGACCGCCCCCCACGAAGGTCCATCTCTGATGGATCATGAAACTGGAACGGTGAAAGAGGTGGAGCACCATAGCCCAAGCGAGTCAGAGTTGAAGGATAATTTCTAGACTACACGGAACATACACAGGATGGGCTTCAACTGCGATCAGTCCGTTTGCTTTTCTGAGAAAAGAATGCGGTTCTGCAGGACCTTTAGTTGGGTATAGATGAGGTCCAATCTGGAAATTCAACATTCCATGTTAGCTAGTAAATTTTATGACCGGTGATCCCGAAACAGAAAACGGAGTTCATACTACTATGCATTTACCTAGGTGTAGTGACCCCTACTTCTCTTGCTACTCCGAGAACACCACCAACGATTGGCTCGATCTCCATAGGGCGACCCGCCAGTAGATCCACGAGCATCGAAGGCATGAACATGCTGGGCTCTGATGTCCTCTCGTTACTGTACAGGTCCATGCAGTCTTCGATCACACCGTTGGCCACGTCGTCTGAGAGGTCTGTCTCGCTTATTCCAGAAGCGTGTGCGACCATCAAGAGCTGAGACGTGTGGCGAGTTGGTCAGCGGAAATGCGGGAAATGTGTGAACGAAGCCTCACACACCTCAGCCATCAGTGCCTTTAGGGCAGGTAACGTAACAGGCAGAGCTTTCGAGCTCAAGAGGTCTGCAACAGGCGCGCGAGTCACCGTGCACATAGTTGAGAATGTGGCGTTCCTACAGTGACCGGTGTTACGCAGTTCAGCGAGCGGACTGCCTGAAACGTGGAGAAGGACGGTTTCATACGAACAGCGAACTTACCACAGAATTTTCTTCCAGCGAGCACTGTTGATATCGGCAACTACTTGACATCCTGCACCTCCTGCTTGGAGAAGATCGCGAAAGAGTATGCACGCTTTCTGTGCTTGTTCCAGAGGGATCTTCCCATTGTCGTGAAAGCCGATAGGTAGGTCGTTCTGTATAAATTCTGTGAATACCGTCCTACGATATGTGGCCAAAACGAATGCTATACTCACAGGGCCGGTTTGAACAATGCTTCTACCTTTCGTTGTCGAGTCTACCCAAGCACACGCAGACACGATGACAGCATCCGGTCTGGCATGCTGCAGGTCAATATGTATCCCAATACCGTTTTGAATCAGAACAAAGGTGTCTGTCCGCGACAACAAGGGTCCAATGAGCGACGGTGTCGATACAACGTCGGGTAGGGCTCTAAGTCATTCAAAAAGAATTGTGGTGGTATTAATAAAGGTACAGAAAACCAGCTTTTGCACTCACTTGAAAGCACATACCACAAAAAGGTACTGCCGGTCAGCTGCCTCCTCTGTGCTTGATACGACTGGACGAGTCGTCAGAACGATTGGCACATATGTTTCCTCAGTACGGAGTGCACCTACCGCGATACGGTTTCCAAGCTGGAGTGTTCCCGAGACTGTCTGAGACGATATCTATGCCGTCTCCTGTGGAAATTTATATACGCCTCTGCGAGAGAACATGGTATGATATCGACGGGTTGCATACCCTGTAGTGTCGAATAGTTAGACCTGGAGGAACAGGAGTAGAGTAAGCCAGCTGGCACCTTTCGATGGATTTCAAGACATACCGACACACCGCCGTGATCTGCACCTTCCCAGATCGGTCCAACGCATGGGCGTAGAAAGCACCGATAGCTGCCAGTACGAAGGTTAACACGGTGGCGAGTTGCGAACTGATCGATAAGAAGTCCTCACCACCAAGGCCAATTACGCAGATGTCTATCATTCCTGGGCACAAGATATGTTATGCAAGCGGCAAAGCGCAACCAGGTTCAACTACGTTGACAATGATGCTTTACTCGAAGGAGTTGAAGTGTTGATCGAGTCATTTACTTACTGCGCTTACGTCAGCGGGGTCACTCCACGCTGGAAACGGCTTCGCTTCTGTCGACTACGGCTTGCACACCATCCACTACGTCGACTTTGGTGGATTTCTGGTCCAGTTTCCTGTAAATATCAGACCTCCGGGCAATTGTTCCGACTTCTAGACTCTTCAGAAATGACCTCGACAATCACTTTTCCAGCGATAGAATCGCAGCGCGCCAGTCAAGTGTCCTTGCTTTCCCGGCACGCCGCGAGCGCACTCGAGGTTTGCGAACTCGTGTACGGGACCGCAGACAGCACTTCATGGGACGTTCTCGAGCGATTCTACGAATCTGGTGCTGGTAAGCAAACCTCACCTACTTTACTCGGACCTTGACCCAGGCTGACCAGCCTGGGCAACATATCCGGTTGTTTCGTGTCTTATGCCCGCACGTTACAGTGTAAGCTCCATTCATACTTATTGCGAGCATAGCCTTGCTCCAGGATTAGTCTTTCATTTCCTGACATAACGACAAAAAGCTACGAAAACCCGTTTGTCACGGCGACGTCTCGTAGAGTTACGCGCGACCTGTTTTCGCTATATCATCAAATATCACACCTGGATCTCCCGAAACCGTTACCTACGCTATGCCACATTCTCCGCACGGCAGCAGGACGCCCGTCCAACCTATCGGGGAACTCGTGTTTCCCGATCATACGCACTTGGACCGAAATGGGAGATGTATGCGAGAGTGAAAGCTTTGGTCAGTCAAAACAACTTAAAACATAGGCTATACTTCCCCGAGTCATGGCCATCTCCGTCCATCTAAATTAGCCCTTCGCTTCGCTGACTGTTATGCTCTTTGCTAGATCACCACAAACGAGCCGTGGTAGAACATATCTTGCATGTCCTATTCCTACCGGACATACATGACAACACAGCCGACAATACACGCACGCACGACGGAAATGAGCCTCACAGCTCTCATCATCATGATCACTCTGGCGACTCCCTCCATCGACCCCTCTCTCACCTCTCGGTCTCGTCAGATCTTAGTGGCGGATCGTCGTCGCGGCCTACGCTTCCGCATTCCCCTGCGTTGCCCGTCTTCGGCACCGATCTGACCGTCCCCAGTCCGCTCCACTTCAAGTTCCACATCCTCACGAAACTTGAATTTAATGAGCAAGGCAGAATTGTCCATCACCGCGACTTTTGGGATATCAGCAATGTGATGCAGTTATTTCCCGGCGGGCCGCTTTCCCATTGGATAGGCACTAGGCTTGCCGCACAAGGCCTCTCGATGGCCTCTCGCCTTGGCCATTGGGCCTTGGGAGGGGTAGGAGCACTATCGGGAGCCCGACTGGCGGAAGACACGAGCAATCTCACACGCGATCAAGAAAGCTGTGGTGGCCAAAGAAAACCGTTTACTCGCTGACTTGGAACATGATGGCGTCACCACTTGTACGATACGCACGTTGGACTCTGTCTGTATTATCTTTGACTCGTGCCTGCGTAATGGTCCAGAGCCTCGACTACGAACACTTCCCAGTAAGCTCCAGCGACTATATGCGTAACGTTTGACTTCGCGTGCTGACTTCGAGAAAAGGCCTCCGGACATTTATGATTCTATTTATTTGTGTGATTCGTGGGCGGCTGCTACTGTTCGTCCTTCTACTTATGTCGTGTTTACGGAACTTCTATGCGCTTTGATCCTATTGTAACAGTACTGCTTCCTGAGACGTACGTTCTCTTGGTTTCTCTCATGCCCTTTCCGTTATCTTAATGCAATATGCACCCGTTGATTTCCGCCGAGGCTTCCACCCCGCCTTCTCTAAAGCTACTCGCGGATCTATCTCTAGATCCTCCTCAGACATCATACATTCCAAATCCCGCTCTCCGCCACCTCGTTTCGTATCTCGCCACCACGCATACCGTCTGGTAGAACGGATGAATCACTTATCACGGCGCCATTTGCAGCCATGTCAGACAGAGCCCCACGGCCTCGCAGCGGGCGTCAAACCCTAAGAGCTCGCACCGCCTTCTTGATCTGTCAAGACCGCTCCATTCACAGCTTAGCGTCAAGCGCCAAAATGTGAACTCTAGAACTGTAACTCGCCCAGTTGGGAGCGCGTGTCCCCTGCCAGACGCAGGAGTAATGTGCTAAGAATGGACGGATTTGGACTCGGATATCCAATCCCTTCGTGTTTCATGTCCTCGTGGAGGTGATGGTTTTCCTCCACGCACCGCCGACCACAAACAGAAGCCACGATACAGTCAGTAGTAGCATATCGATCCAGATCTGCCACTGGTATGCCACACTTAGACTTCTGCAAATGGCCGGTGAACCAACCCACGGCGCAAGCGAATCCACAGACAGGTGATTTCGACACAGACACACACACACACAGTAATACATCTGAAACGCTCCCCTCGAGAAGATGCATATGCGAGCGTAGGGTGGTTGGGATGACTTCTCTCCCGGGCTTAATTATGGGATGGGGTTGAATGCTCCAAAGCCAAGCTCACCGTCTGAGGACCCAACAAGATCACGATGCACAGTCGGTGTCATAGATCGGATCCCATGCTACATACGTATAGTACTCTACTAGCTCCAGCCCCTATCACGCGCTCGCGCTTTTCCAACCGTTCAGGCTTCAACGTTCGACGTCGGCTACTCGTTTTGATTTCTGAACTCCGACCTGGAACCTGAGGCCTGACCGTTGGACGAGAGCTCTTCGGACGACTTCGTGATGAGTCGATGACGACTCCTTCTGTCTTCTTTCAAAGCGTAAAGGCTTTAGGTTGGCAGATATCTGTCATGCCATTGACATTGCGCCACAATCCGCTATTGCAGTGCAGCGCTGAACATAGTCCAGTCCGCCGATGATCGTTTTGAACGTTGGGCCCCTTCCGGGGAAAGGGGATGCGCGCATAAACAATGGGCTCATACTGTATGTATGTATGTCTGTATGCATGTATGTATTCCGTCCGAGGGATGTGAATATTAATACGCCATGTACGCCACTTGTCTTGATCCAAGTTCTGGAGCACAGGCTTGCGTGTACGACTGTATTGTATTGCACAGTATACGAGGACACTGCCGGTTCACTACTATCCATTGTTCTCATTGTGTACACTGTAGTACACTTGCACCACAAAAAAAGCCGCCCGCAGTCTCGGTAGGACATGGAGACCCTGTTATGGATCTGATGCCTGCCCAGGTCGAAAAGGCCTCCGGTTGAGCAAAGCCCTCAGAATGGGATGCCAAGTGTGCTTTGAATCGTTAAGTGGCCGGCCGCCGAGATGAGATTCGTCTCGGAAGCGATTACAGTCTCGATGCGTTTCCGAAGACTCTGATACCTTACCTTACCTTACCTCACCATAGGCCTCCGACCGAAGTTAGAAGGAGAATGGCCGTAAGGACCACAAGTCCATACTGGTCTTTTGCTCGCCGAACAGTCTCAGATCTCATTGACAGGCCTCCTCCGGCGATAGTAGCTCGAGGTCCACAGTATACTCTATGTAGTGTAATGTGGCATACAGGCTGAGTGATCGAACTCCTCCGACGTCAACCTTGTAGATCTAACTAACTAACTCTCTGACTCTCTAACTCGGGCTGAGCGACAATGGTCAAACGATGCAAATGGCACTGTACCTGTATGAACACCAGTCGAGTCGCCGAATCACTCTAGCTCGGCGTTTCGTTTCCGTTTCCGTTTCCGTTTCGGAGTCGAGACCAGAACCAGAAACAGAAACAGAAACACTCCTACCTTCCCTACCTTCCCTACCTTCCCTACCCGCTTCCAGGTTCATCTTAGACTAAATCCTTCTCCGGGACACAGCTCTGAGTTCCCCCGGAAAGGAAATGGGACTTCTCCTGGCAGCACCGTAATGGGATTTCCTAAACACCGTAAACAGCACGTCCATATCCGCTTCTAAATCTGTGTATGAGTCGAACGCATCTCTAAGTATGTCGAACCGTAAGATTTGACAGTAAGATATGAAAGCTTGAGATGCCGAGGACGTCCTCGCGGCCAGGACAGGAAATCAAGTATCATGTCGAAATTGTCGTATCGTTGTGTCAAGCCGGAAACCATTTCGCTCCGAATCTCTCTCGATCTCTTCCTCTCCCTAGATCGGGAATAGAGTGCTCAAGCCTCAGATGCATCATACGTACGATTAAGTATGGCTATGCGAGCATACAGCAAATCCAGAAAAATATAGACGTCGACCTTCTCCTCTCGTCCAATCTCGCGCGGTCGGGCTGTCCGAGTCCGACTGACATTGACAAGGACATCGGCGGCCGTCACATGTACAGAGCGCGATCCACAGCGGTAACCAGAACGAAACTTGAAATGGATCGGCCATCGACCGCGTGGAGCGAGCACGATTCAGCAGTTAGAAGACTCCGGCATTCAGTATGCAATATTCATGACACTCATGGCAGACGAGATCGAAAGAGCTCAGCGATGGGCAATTGCGATTTCTACCTAGCGTTACATGAGGCTTTTATGTATGTATCAGAGTGACAGCGATAAGTATTGACCGGTAAAACGTGAACGCGAGGGGGATATGAGGGATTCGTTGTCCAAGAAGCAAACCAACGGACCAGGGGAAGAAGGGCAAGAAATAAAATAAGTAAAAGACATAATGACCAAACAAACAAAATCGGGCTAAGCGACGCCCGAACGGGAGTGGAGAGATGGGAGACGGGGGAATACGTAAATGCAAAGGGGATGATACAATGCCGTTGGAGGAGTACAGATGAGAAAATCGGAGCGTCGTGCTTGGCCCAGGCAAACCGACGGGGGAAAGAGCTGAGTGATGCAAAATAAAAGCGGGAGCGACGAGCACGATTTTCACGGACCAATAAATAAATAAAAAGAGGCAGCAGCAACAGACGGTATATCACGAGACAGGAGACAGTATAGATACGCAGAGACGTGAGAGGAAACCGACCAAAAGAATGACAGCGCCGTGCACTAGACGACAAGTGACTGACCCTCGCTCGCGTTGCCTGGCGACGACGATGACGACAAGTCAATAGCGAGCGATTGCCAGCTCTCATGCTGGCCATCGTCGGGAAGTGAGGATCGTCGGAAAGGCTCGCCAGTCATCGAAGGGGAGCCGTAGTCGGGGGTAGTGGCAGACTTGTGGGGCATGAGGTGGCCGGACTGGAAGGACGCAATGTCTGACAGCCCCGCATTCGGCAGGCGAATCCCTCCGTCCCGAGGTGGCGATTGGGAAGAGCGAGCGTCGAGCGGGAGAGAGAAGCTGGTCAATGCCGGTGAATTGAACGACGACGGAGGACCGGACCCTGACGACGAGTAGACAGACACTGAATTATGAAAGAAGGTCAGACAGATGAAGAAGACTGCCAGAAAAGGCGATAAGCTTACCTGAATCGTCCCAGTCGCTGCTCGAATGCACCGAGCCTGACGACGACGACACGGAAGCTCTCCGATCCCGGGGCATGATAGAGTCGCCGTCGGACTCTTTCTTGACGAGCGGGCTCGGCTTGGATGCCGGTGAGCCAGGCACGGCTGCCTTGGGCTGCTTCCGCGACTTGTTCCCGGTCCGCAACTCGTCGAAGCGGAGAGGCCGTGGCCGCAAGTGGGTGCGCTCGTAGAGACCACACTTGTTGCAGACGATTTTGCCCGGGTTGAGCGTCGACCTCCGCCAGCTGGGAGGCTCGGTCTGCGAGCAGTTGAAGCACCGGCGACGCAGAGTCGGCGTCTCTTTTGACGAGGCGTCGTCCGTGTGGCGCACGGGGAGGCCGGTATGGGGAGAGAGGTAGGTGACGGGGTGCATCGGACTGGAGGAAGCGGGGCGGTAAAGACAAGTCTGGGACGGGACGATGACCGGTGCAGTTTCTTCTAGCTTGACATGCGGGTCTAGGGGATCAAACTCGCGGAGTGACGAGGCGGGAGAAGACGAGACAGAGGAGCCCATATCAAAGCGGTTGGGGATGAATTGGTCATGCGAGTTATAGGGGTGGATGTGGTGGGAGTGGTCCATCATAGACAGAGGCTCGCCGTAAAGAGATTCGGGGCGCGAGAAGGGGCTCATGTACTGCTCGTTCTCACGGGGGAGGAAAGAGGGGAGCGAGTACGGGAGAGAGTCGTCCCTGTCCTGCCTGACGTACGGATAGGTTGCGCGGCGCATGGAGGTCATGTTCTCCTGCTGGAGGAGCTGCTGCTGGGTCTGATATGACTGGTCAACACGGTGCATACCGGAATTCCAGTCGTTGCCGACGTGCATGGGCTCGGCGTACTCGGGCTGGTGGACGTGCTGGGAGGAGGCGAAGTCGTTGTCGTAAAGCTCCTGGAGCAGAGAGCCGCGGGAGTTGTTCATGGGGAGGGAGAGGGGCGAGCCGTTGTTGGACATGCCGTGCCAGATGGAGTGGCCCTCGGGAGCGACGGTGTGATCGTCAGCCATGTTGTCTGCGAAGATGTTGGGTACTGGGTCGAGCTCGACTTTGAAGTGAGCTGGCGAGGGGATGATATAATTGTCTGAGGTGCGAGGAGAGGGGGTACGAGGGGTCGACGCGTCTGAATAAGTGGTATAACCGTCGCAGGAGAAAGCGTCCATCGAGGCAGGGCTGTGAGGGAGGATGAGCGTTGTGTGGCGTGGCGAGCAGAAGGGGCGTACCTTGAGAAGAATGTAGTCGGAGAGGAGGAAAAGAAGAGTTAGAAGGAGGGGGCGGGAGGATGCGTCCAGGGAACCATCGGAGGACGACGGCGTTCGTTTTTGAAGGCCTTGAGAAAGCAGAGGCACATCCACCGTCGCTCAGGGTCCAGTTTGCACAAGTTTGGCCAAACCGGTGCGCGCCAAACAACCCCCAAAGCCTCCCTTAGCTTCCCTTTTCGGGCCTAGCCTTGCGCCGCGCCGTCTCCCTGGTGTCCGTGCACAACGACCTTCGCTTTTTCCGCCCCTCGTCCATGGGAAGCTCGAGCAGGCACAGCCCAGTTCATACGGCATCCTTCCCCCTCATCTCCTTTCTCCCTCTTCTCGCCCTCCCCTCCCCGCTCCCCTCCGTTTTCTCTTCTGTCTTCTCGACGCTTGTCCCCGTCCATTATTCCCCTTCTCCCGTACCCAGCCCAGTAGCACTTCGCATTAGGCGCCCACCACTATCGTTCTTATCACCCCCTCCGCCCAATTTCATATCCCCATTTACGTACCCTCTTTCTTCTTTCACTTTACCCACCCGAGTCCCCAGAGGCTGCCCTTTGTTCATTACCGCGTACGAACCGTAATTCATCCGTACCCCGTCCTCCACCGGCGGACACAGATCCACCCAAAACACAAGTGCTCTCACACCGCCCAGCCTACGCGAATGCCCGGACACATGCCCCCCACATGACACACGTTCAATGAGCCAGAGTGGCGATGTCCTCCGCTTCGAACACCCACGAAGACGTTTACAGCACCCTTCCTCGTTCCAGACAAAAAAGCTCGCACAGGGCCATGACCTCAGTCCCTCTTCAACGCCCTGCTTCTCCAGCGCCTCCCGTCCTCTCTGCTGCCTATTTTACATATCGCCTCCGACTATCCTGCGCTCCTCTCGCTCGCACCCAGCTGACTCTGCTGTGACACACTGAACTGACGTGCTGCGCTCTATTTCCACCGTGACGATGCGAATCCCCAAGTATACAGGATTCATTCCAGCGGTGCGCTTGTACGGTCGACGACACTGATCAGGTCACCTTTCGACCTCTCACGATCAGTCCAGCCCAAAAACTCTGCCCCAAGCGCTATTTTCACGAGAGCTAAGTCGACATTTAGCGCCCAAATGACAGATTCTGTCGAAGTTTCTTCCAATTCAGGAGATATTGGGTCGCGTCGCCCTACTTCCTGGGAACAGTTGTGAGCATAACGAGTATTCGCCGCTCAAAAATGAGATGGCAGATGTCGACGAGACTCGGAGCTGTGCAGCCCAGCCTATGCCGGATTTAATCCGGTTCAGAACAACTCAGGATCTCTGAGCTTTCGTGGCTGAGTCCTTCCTGGCAGGTCACATAATTCACATTCTTAGGTGTTGGATCACGTATGAATATGAAAAACTAACAAAAACAGGTGTAAAAACAAAGTAAAAGTAGGCCAAAGGGGCCACCGCTACCAGCCCTGGACGAGCGCTGACGATTGAAGCTTATTATGACAGACATCTGACAGGTGCCCGTCCGCCGGTGGGCATGGCTGGAGTGCTCGACGTGTCGACGCAGGTCGAAAGGTGACCTGATCAGTGTCGTCGACCGTAGCTTGGCGGTGAAGTTTAGAAGTGGGGCACAAGAGCAGACAGACGCCACCGCAGGCAACAGGTTGAGTGACCGACAGCCACGACCTTGAAAGCGCTGAACTAAACAAGGCATTTTATTCGCTCAGAGCGCAACTCGGGCGTCTACGATAGCAGAGCTCCTCTCCACGTCTTGCGCCGCCCAAATACTATACTGATCGGGTTGAGTCACCCAGGACACCACTGGCAGTACAGCAACGTACGGCGTGAGTCTCCGCCCAACGCTTCCTTGGTTTCCTTTAGGGGCGAGGGCGGCATTAGCCAAACGATCCTTACTTCCGCGGAGTCCTGTAACGCAGAGACGCAACCACCCCTCCAACCAAAACAACGAACTGTCGCTCCCATTGCCGAACTCGGCACACCTTTGATTTTGACTCCATCGTCGTCCTTCGCAGCTTGCCTCGCCTCTCGCAAACCGACTGCCTCTATCGTCTCGGCGCGACTCCCACCGGGCGAAGAATGGACGCCGCTCGAGATGCCAGCGCTTGTCACTGTGCGTGGTAGAGAGGAGGGATTCTCAACCGAAATAGTACATGTACACAGATGCCGAGTATGGACGCGGCCCATCGTCATCGATTCATGGCGCGGTCCGTTTCTTTCTCCGTTCTAATAGTTCGTCGGGCGCAGCCTAGCCTATGCCATTGTGTTATTATGTTGCCAGCCCAGCGTCCCGCTGTACGTATGTAGGCACCGATAGAGTTGTTCGCACAGTGCCGTCCAGGAATGAACATTAGGATGCACACAGGCTCTCCGAGTCGTTCGAAGTTATGCACCGACACAGCGACAACTCTAATTTTTCTCTATTGAAGAAGCACACAACGCCACGGAGGTTCCCGCCCCCGACGCGGACGCGCGAAATGCCCGTCGTCCGACTCTTCGAGCTCGATCTGGGAACGTCGACAACGTAGAACGTAGGACGCAGAACGCACTCATGGACATGGATGGAAGGGAAGGTCCGTGCGCGTCGTTCGATGCCATGTTCCATCTGTTGGATCGTGACAAGTTGACCGCGAATGTAATGCAATGTAAAAAAATTCAATTTATTTCTCCACGGCATTAAGTACTGCATAATAGCATATGGTTGCTTTCAGGATTCACGGATCCTCCCCGTGCCAGCCACAATGTCCGTGTGCTCCGCTCGACGCTCGTTAGAGCTCCTGGCCGTCAAGAGGATCCGAGTGGCACCTGCCTCTCGCCTGTCTACTGTACCTGCCATACAATACTCTCCGATCGCGACAGAGGTTCCATCGTCCACCGTCCCCGTTCATCGTACCACTCGCTCTCCATATCACTCCACGATCCCTCAGGCTCTGTCCCGTCATATCTTCCGAATCCAAACCGTTCCACTTTCGTTCCAGGGCACAACAATAAAACAGCTACAGCTAAAAGTAATCTCGTTCTCGTCCACATGAGCGTCCTGAACGTTTGAAACCGTGGAGTGGGAGATGATTGGACGATCGAGAATTCAAAACGAGCGCGAAGGACGAGAGCAGAAGGGCGAGAACGAGAGCAGAAGGACGAGAGAGGTGCTTCTTCCTGATGCGCCCCCAGCTCAGTTCGAGTTTTTTTGCGCTGTTTTGCGTTGTTGTGTGATCGGTCGGCCGGTGGGTCTTTTTCGTGCGTATTCTGCCAAGTATGATAGATGAGTGTGCGGCATCCTCCGCTTCTCGGCATATGGGACGTTACGCTGCACGCATGAGAACGTCGAAAGGTTAAAGTGGGCGAAGGGTGGTGGGGGACCGGGGGGTGCTTCTGAATTTTGCGGCACACTGTTACTGTATCGGTGCCTTGGTCCACTTGAGATGGTTTCATGTGTTGCGATGGGTCTTGCGCACGGAGAATCATGGGCTTGCTATGTTTGCTAAACATACAGTGAAGAAGTTTGGACACTACTCTGATACTATAGCTACGGAGTCAATGTCATCATTCTGAATCTGTGGATTTGGAAGTGTTGGATGAGTCGATGTGCGCAGAGATCCGTTCATGCAGATGTTCGTTGCACTGACGGGATCTAAAGCTTGAAGATGGGTAGGGCCGCAGGACGCCACAAAGCGACAACGGACACACGTGTTCCACCGTTCCCTTGTGGCTTGACTGACCTTGCGGGGAAGTGATAAAAATAACAAAACCAAAATTTCAACTGGACGAACGTTACACTCCGTGTCAAGAGCCAAGCTCCGATCCGTCTCCTCCTTTCCTTGCTTTCCTTTCGTCTAAAGGGGCAACGAAGTGGTGCTACATTTTATATCCCCACTGACAATGCTCCTGACCGTACGAGTCCGTGCACGTCGGTACTGTATGTAGTATGCATGTGTACTGCAGATCCTGTATTACCTCGGAATCTCACTCTGCGCGACCCTGGCCGAGCATGATATTGCTCAAATATCGCTCAAAGTGGATGCCGACGTGTGGGTGTGGATGTGGATGCGGCCCACACTGCATCTTGTGGATAATTCCGGTTTGTATGGGTGGGTCCGTACTTACAACTTACAAAAATGCTCGGCCCGTCGGATTCTGACGGTGAGGTACAGCAATATGAATGCGTTTAAATTTCAAAGCGGAAGCAAACAGATGGAGGTTTGTGACACTGACAGGACCTTTTGCACACTCGACGACGTTCGGCAAGTGGGTCGGCAGGCTTTGCGAGCACGTGTTGCCATAAATAAATATACGTCACCGGCGAAGAAATCGGGAATCGGGAAAGTCCGCCGGCCTGGCCATGGGCTCCGGAGGCGAAATGTGCTCAGCCTTGAACCGACAACCGACAACCGTCAACCGTCCGTCGGAGGCGAGAAATTAGAATCGACTCGGCTGCAGGTTGTCCTTGTGGGATCGTCTGGGTCACATATCGATATCGAGCTCAGACCTCAGGCGGTATCGGAGGGATGTCGATGAGAGATTGTTTGGGTTTTCTTGGCGATTGGACGGGTGTGAAGACCTTCACGATGTTTGTCTTTCTACGACGATGAGGACCTCTACGGTGTGCTTCACCGTGACCGCGGCCAACCACCGGGCTGTCATTCGTATTTCTTCGTGGATTACCTTCGGTATTGGGCTATTTGGCTACTATGTAGATCGCAAAACGTTTCAAGGGCGCCAATAACGCATCAAGGAGGTGCAATTATTGACGGAAGTTGGCACGCACGCACGAAGCCTTTCCGAGTTCTGTTGCAAGATCTGCCGAGTGCGGTTGTGGCTGAACGGATTCAACGGAGATTCGGACACGCATCTTCTGATCTACCCCGCACAGCCGCAGCCATGGCAATTGAACGGGGAACTTTGCGGAAGGGCACGTAGGTGCACGGAGAGGTACACAGACACGATCGGCGGGAAGACTGTTGGCACTTATGGCTAGGGGAGGACGAGAGCGTTAGAATCGTTCATGCAAATTGACCGGGTTTTTCTGGACAGTACTTGGCTGAGGGCGGGTGGCTTTAGACGGACAAGTTCGTGCCGACGGTCTGAGAATAAACCACTCGGTGTATGTAGCGTAGTGTAGAACATCAAGGACGATATCAGAATGGGCTGGACTCGACTCGTGGACGAAACGATCTCTTTGTAACGTTGGTTGATTTCTGTGGTGGACCGCATCGCTCCGATCTCAGTTCCAGAGAGTCCGATAAGGTGTGCAAAGGACCCTGGATATTAAAGTAAGTTCCATGCCATGCCATGATATGTACTGTACAGCCGTTGTCCGCAGGGGAAGTACACAGACGCGTTGACGTCGCAGGAGCACAAACTGGAGCTAGCATCCCCGCCGAGAGCCGATGTCGACAAAACAGAGACGGACATAGACATAAAGCAGACAATACAGAACACAGATCCCAACCCTGCACCGACTCCATCGACATCGACACCGACATCTCCACCCCACATCGGCATCGGGGAATCGTAAAGTGACGATACGATTGCTCATTCAAAGCGCATCCGCCATAGCATCCATCTCGTTATATGACAGTGAGAGATCTTCGTCGATGCGGCAGTGAGTGCGTGGCGATAACTCCTCGGGGGTATCTTCAATGTGTTGACATTCTGACGGACGCTGACGGTCCTCCGAGCGAGGAAAGGAAACCAACGCCGTCGTGAGAGCTCGTGGCTTTGCGATCCTCATTGTCGGGCCCATGTCTGTCCACGATAAGTACTGCACTGCATATTATGAGTTGATCAGTACACGGTCGCAATCGCGATTCGCCCGTCATCGACGATGGCTGTTTTAGCGATGTGAATTACGGAGTGGTTTTTGGATGGGTATGTAATTAAGATAACCCAAAGAGCCAATCGCGAGACAAGTACCATCGCATCTGCCAATGGGATGGCGATGCTCTTGATACCCGGATTCCCCGTGGTATGTAGAGGCGTACCGCGTACGAAAGGAGTAGCTTGGGAACTACAAAGGGTGCTCGGAGAGGCGATATCGTTGGGCGGATTCGACTTGGGGATGGGGTCCGTGTCCAAGAATACAAACGTGCGAGCTATCAAAGCATCCAAGAAGTGCGTTAGAAGAAGACGAATTCGAAGAACCTCCTGCTGAACAAAGAAGCCCGGAGAGCTTGTACTTATACCAATTATAACGCAAACGAGAACACGAGATATGAGAATATGAGATGATTCGATCCGGGAGTCCGAATCGAGCCAGAGACTGCCACAAAGCCGTCCGAATCACCCACTGCCGAGTCGTACAGAAGCAGACTGAGTGAGAGAGCAGAAATGCCTCGAATTGTATATAGCATATCGTCCTTCGTCCGTAGAGCTTCGAATATGAACAAGTTCTTATTATTCTTCCCGAAGTTGCCACTTCCCCGACTGGCCTAGTCAGAGCTCTATGCCGACTTCTCCGGAATCTCCGTGAGGGACAAGGAGAACTCACAATGGAATTTCCATATGCAGATAGTTCTTGTAGGCACAAGATGCACGAGGAAATAGTATATGCAACGGAAGGGCCGGAACAGTGGGACCAATCATCATCAGCGCGTTCATGCTAGAAGATAGCCACGAGCGAGCATGCAACGCTAGTGACGCATATGGATCCCGAACCGAAGATAAAGCCCGTTGAACGTTGAGTGTTGAACGTTGAACCCTGACATGGGCAAAGAAGAGCTCGAGGCAGGCGAAGCCGCAGAACACATGACGTCTCCATACATGGTCCCAACGACGAGTTTTTCGACAAGGCACAGCCTACATGGATGGAATAGTGTCAAAAATGACGGATGGTAGCCTGTGATAGCGAGGCCAAACCTAGACGGAACCGAAACTTATAGACTGTGAGCCAAAAAAGTATAACTTGACAAGCACGGGGAGAAGTACGTATGGACCGTCCTTATTCCCATGCATCCCGAGGTTTCTCGCCATGGCCTGCTTATGTGCGAGTCATGGCTCATGAGAAGTCCTAATTTGGCCTGATTGAAGCTTGACCCTGAACAAGCAAAACACAATTGCATGCTTCTCCCGAAGACAGAGAAGTCGAGTGTGGGAGTAGGAAGAGAAGGACGAAGGCCAAGTAACAAGGAGAGCTCTAGCAATGAAACTAGTGGAGCACGGTAGAACAGTGGGTTGGCTTGATGCTGTTGAGCTCTCGACGCAGCCTAGGACCTCTGAGGACCTTGTGTCCAGGGCACGGCCGGTATGTCATTGCAGCCCCGAAAGACTAGGGGAGAAAGGGCTGAGAAACGCTCAGCGCTGAGCTTTCCACCAGAGTCGGCCGATTCATCAGCGCTATGTGGCGGGGTATCCATTGCCACAACATGAATGCACGTCGTTAACCATATTAGCGTGGCCCAAGGCAATGGGACATACAGAGTGAGAGGGTACGAGCGGGAGAGCGTACCACTCTAACTTCGACCGGAGGCCGAAATCTCAAGATTGCAAGGCAAGCATATATGCTACAGTCATGACACAAGTATGAAGGGCCTGATCTACGTTCTCCTCGGCCCAGTCGGATGCAGAGGTGAAAATAACATATCGAACGTCGATGTGGTAGCATATAGCAAGCAAAGTTAGCCTTCAGGCTTGCGGAGACAGTTCGCCGGCTGTGTTAATGCGAGGTAGAGAGAAACATGAGGCGAAGACTGACAAATACTAGTGACATAGGGCCTGAAATAGTAGATAGCAGGGTATGTTCATTTTTGAGCACAGTGAGTAGACGCAGAGACGAGGCAGCCGCACGCTGAGGAGAATGGAGGAGGCAAGGGGCAAGGGGTGCCACCCGGGCACTCGAGACCAACAACAGCCTCGTGGCATCCGCGACGTTCTCACTTGCGCTTCACAGAGCTTCACACGACCGTCTTCACTGCTCCTGACGACGTCGGCCACCTTCCGCCCCCCATTCAAGAGCTGGCGCGCTCACCATGGCACCCACCAACAGGCTTCCCTTCATTATGTCTCTCCCCTTCTCGCTCTTGCTGGCTCTTTACTTTGTCGTTTTTACGTCTGCAGAGCCTGTCTCAGTGACTTTCGATGACTGCTTCTCCGGCAATGACTCTCTCAAGCTCGATATTTCCACGGTTTATGCGCAGATTCTTACTACAGAATCCTTGGGCAGACATCTCAACTTCACTGTCATCGGAGAGACAACACAGGAAATTGTCGGCACTATTCAAGGAAGTCTGGACTTGGGTGCGCCGCTCTTACGCCTCCTTTAGTCTTCTATTGCTGAACAAATGTGTAGCGACCCTCTTCACTTCCTCGGAAATGCTCACTTTCAGCATATGGAACAATAACACCTATCTTTGCGACTCCATCCGACCAGCCTCTCCACTTCCATCGCTTGACAACACAACAAACTATTGTCCCATTGCACCGGGCGCCTTCGCCTTGTCGTCTTACGTGCCATTACATTCCAGCCACGAGTTAACGACACTCCAGACACGATTGCGCGCAGTCGACCCCAACACACAGGAGATTTTCTGTATTGATCTCGACACCACTCCTCTTGACCCAGGCACCGTTAATTCTGTGTACGGACATGCCCGAATCATTCTGTGGTCAACCGTCGCACTTGCCGTTGCTTACTGGATATTAGTTGGTGTGGCTCGCATAAGCTCGGCATGGGGTCGTAGAGCGGGTTGGTCAGGTCGTGGATTTCTTTCCAGCTTGGAAAATGCTGGGTTTGTCCTGGCCAGTGCAATTAGCGGCGAAGGGCTCGCAAAGTCACCGGCCCTCATTCGGTTCTGTACGTCCAATTCTCTCGTTCATCTGCCCATATTACTCATTGTATTATAGCAACACCTTCCATGAGAGATATATTCTTTCATTCTCAATGGTGCACGGCCTTGTCGATGGTGGCCGTTCAGTGGCCCAATTTTGCATGTAAGCCCCTATGCACAACCTCCTATAGTTGCAGCCTCTCACTCATTCATTCAATTCAGATCCTTTGCTCTCGCAAACAGCCTGGTCTACTCTTTCCTTCAGTGGGCCACACACCTTTTAATACATGGTTCAGCGAAATTGATCGGCCTTTCCCAGACATCACTTTCACGCAAGGCAAAGACGGCGAGCAAGAGCATTGGAATCCTGTCTTTGCGCCTCCCTTCGAGCCGCCTTCAAATTTCTCCGACCAAATCAACGATGAGACATCCCCTCTTTACCTCAACGCCAGTGTTCCCAACACACTTTTCACGTTACCTTCGAACGCCACCGATGGCCTTTCATCCTTTGCCTACACGATCGGTGTTCGTCCGCAAGATCTCTTTGGGATTTGCATGTCACTGTTCCTTTGCATTGCCGGAGGAACCATAGCATTAGCATTCCTGATATGGGCCTTAGACTCGATTGCAACGGCGTTGGACAAGACCATTGGAGGTCGCCGTCAGGGCCCGAATCTTCCCGCCAGACGGTATTCCACGGGCAGCAAGGATATGCTGGATGCGGTCTCCGCTCAACCTTTAGACGAAGAACGCTCCCACAACTCTCATTTCCTCCTCCGTTCCACCAATCGTTTCCCTGCGACCACACGGAAGCACTGGGGTAAATTGCGACCCGACTTCAGTTCTTTCCATTTCAGCGTGTTGAGCGGCAACCTTGTTCGGATTCTCATGCTCTTCCATCTTCCCATCACCATATTTTCCTGCTACCAGTTTTCATTAGGTCAAGCCCACGCCACGACGGTATCCGTAGCTCTGGCGGCCATATCCTTCGCAGTCTTTTCCGTCTTGATCCCACTTATCCTCATTATACGCCTGTTCATGACACCAACCAACAAACTCTATGACGAGACATGGACCCTGTTATCGTTAGGCCCTCTCTATAACCTTTATCGACATGGTTCGCAGCTTTTTGCGTGCCTGTTTTTCGCCACCAGCCTTGCGTTTGGCATCACAATTGGTTGTGGACAAAAAAGCGGTACGGCGCAAGCCATCGTCATCCTGGTTATCGAGGTGGTCTCGTCGCTTGTGACGAGTATTTGGTTACCCTGGGGACATGGAGCAAGTATGGGCTTGATCAGCTTCTTGTTCTGTGTGGCGAGGATAGTCATTGCGGTCCTACTGGTCATTCTCACCCCGACAGTAAGTTCATCTTGCTTCCAGCCCCACACGTGTCGCCTTACGTCTTTCCCCGTAGGTCTCGATTGGTAATGAAGCAGGCCAATGGGTGGCCTACGCCATTCTATTCATCTTGGCGTTAATCTACCTCGCATTCGTGCTCATGCTCATCCTCAAGGTCATCGAGGCGCTCGTACGTATCTTCGGAGGCGTTAGATTCGATCGAAGTAGACATGCCGTCGACGCAGGTCTCCTCGGGGCTTGTGGGCTTGTCGGGTGTTGCGGGGACAGGAAACGGCGACCTCGTAAACATCGCTACAAGAACTCCGACGCACCCCAATCAGGATCTTACTCCCTCTCACGTCCAGCGACTGTGAAGGACATCACCCCGACCCCATCAGGACCTCCGTCTGTTCTCCGTCCGGAGCATGCCCTTCGTCCGTACAAAGAAGAGAGTGACGATGAGAACGGGTACATTATGGGCGCGTGGCAACCGTTCCCTCGACCAGGGTACAACACGGTCGAAAGTCCTGCAAGCACACCTCCTGCTACGAAATCGGGCTTCTCCCGCGTCGGAGGTGGACGAGCACACTATGACTCTCCGTACGCAATCGCCTCGGGTTCTACGCTCGCTTTCCCTTCGGCGGACTCTAATCGAACCGCACCACACATCTCCAACGACTCCTTGGCCGCATCGTTGCCGAGATCAACTGCCGAACGTCCAAGCGTCTTTCCACCAGGCGCCATACCACCCCACATACGCAAGAAGTCGCAATCTGCAATCATTGAGGATGTTGCTGCTCTGTCCATACGGAGCAGTCCTTTGAGCACGCAGCCTCCTCAACTTCCCGCACCGCGTCGCCAATCCCTCCATCCAGAAGTTGGTCTCCTCGACGTCGACGACGATTTCTCTGAGGCTCCGAAGAAGAAACATTGGTTCCAGCTTCGCAAACCACGGCGCCATAGCGAGGGAGACGATAACCGTCCGTCAGACGTACCTGTCTTTGAGGATGATGAGCCGGAGGGGGGCCAAGGGCGATCGTTCACGGTGGTGAGGGCTCGTAGAGCATCACAGCCGTTGGGGAGAATGGCGGGTGCTAGTGGAAGTGGCGGCGATGCCGGTCCTTCGAGTGGTGCAACTCCGACACCTGGGAGATCATTCGTCGTCGTTCGTGGTAAAGACAATGCTCCTTCATGAGCCTCTCGTTACGGACCGTTGTCGCTGTTACTGTACATCTTTACTCAGTTGCAGTTTTGTGTGCTTATTCTTCTGCTATCCGTTCGACTGCTCTCTGCTTATTTTATGGATTCAGCAACGCGACATTGAGATACTTTTCTGCATATCACGTCGCTCGGACAATCGGACTCATCATCTTCCGTAGTATCTGAATCCTCACTTCCCCCATCCTATCCCGCGTCAGTGTCCGTGCGAGTCCAAATAGTAGGTTAATCCTCACAGCGCTGCTCGCAAATCTGTATCAGTACTACACATAATGTTCAGTCTTCGTCGTCGTACAAATCTGAATATAAGTCCATAGCGAGTCAGATGAATGTAAGAATAAATCAGTCCGAGCCTCCCGGCGTGTTCTCTGCTCCTGACCCTCCTACCCAGAACACCCTCCAATCCTCCAAGCCTTTCCGCTGCCAGCCGTAAATGCCTTGCTCGCCTTGGATCCTGGCCATGAGCTCCTCCGTGTCCATGCTGTCCCACGAGACCGTGGAGGTATAGCTACTCGTAGAGTAGGAACGAGTGAGCGGTGCGTCATACGGGCGGTGCCACAATCCCCCAGCACAGAGATATCCCATATCCCCTCCGAAATCTGTCTGCGAACGTAAAGGTTCCTCCGCACGGCCCTTCTCCTTTCGATCCGAAAGGAAAGATAGCGAGGTCTCCTGGACTTCCAGACCGTCCTCGCCGAACGCGATGAGCTGAAGGCATGGACTTCCCCCTCTTGTCTCTGGCTGCATAACGCGATGGCTGACGTACGTCGGAGGTGAATTCCAGGTGAGCACTTTGAGAGGAGGGACGGTTTGGAGGTTGGTGGGGAGGGGACAAGGAAGGATATGTGTTTTCTTTCCTCGAGTGAGGAAATAGACCGGCTGATTGACGTCGTATCGATTTGGTGCGAGCGGAAGGTCCGCACGCGAGGGTGGACTCCAAAGACCTTTGATCTCCTTCGTGAATCCGAACCCATCGAATGAGGACCTGTTTCGTCGATTTGATGAAGAACTTGTCGACGGTGCCAAGGAGAGGGCATCCCTCGACATCGCAGCGCCGGGGTCGCAGAGCTCGACTTCGCCTACGGCAGAGTCTGCGAGCCGTATCATGCCCGCTTTCTTCTCGAAGAGGACGAACAGGGTGAGTTGGTTTCCGAATACGAAGGCGCGTTGGGAATTGGAGTTTCGTCGGTGGCGACCGAGGGTGGTGCTAGACGAGGATGTTCGAGCATGGCCGTGTTGGTTTGAGGAATATTTCGAGGTGCCGGTGACGTCTGAGGGGCTGCGGGAGATGGTATCTGGTGCATTTTGTAGTATGAATGTGATATTTCGCGGTGTCAGTGGCGTATAAAAGTCCTGTGAAGTAAACAGGTAGAATCTTAGTATTAGCCTGACTAGAAATTTGGCATTTTATACCTTGACAAATCGGAATGCTCGTTCTCCCTTCGGAGATTCGTACAGTAGGATACTAGACTTTGTCGCCACTGCCAAAAGGGCGCCACCTCGAGCAGTCCGGTCATCTCGCCACAGTGCATACGATAGCACAGAAGTATTGATGAGTCGAGAACTAGCCGATGCCAGCGGTACATAATCGGTGGCCCAACGCAGTGGAAGGTCGTCGACGACATCCCAACCCGAATCACTGGAGCTTGCCCGTTTCGGTAGAGAAGGACGTTTGGGTGAAGTAGGTGATAGCATCTTCTGGTACGACGATGAGGGCTCGAGTTGACTTTCGCGGTTATGTGCGGATCCTTCCACCATGAGGGACTTCAAACCCTTGGCTAAGCTACTCTGAGGTCTATGCTTCTTCGGAGGGGTTTGTTGGGGGTGCCACGTCGCTGGGCGTCGCAGGTCTACAGGCCTTGCGCCCTTAACGCCGGTGAGTTCGGAATATCTCATATGGTCCCAAGTGTACTACGGACACACCTTCTGCGAGATTGTCCATTTCGCTAAACTGATGATACTAGCCAGGTTGTACATGCGCAGCGTGCGCACAGACTCCTGTTCATTCTCTGGCTCAGGGCCAACTAGCGCCAGAAGGACGCCTTGCGGTGTACTTTCTCCCGTATCCTCCACCTCGAGGATAGACATCTGGTAAACCCTACAATTTGCAAATATCGAAAATGCATGAGAGTCCACAGTCAAGCGAGGCAGTTCTAAAATGCCACGTACCCTTCACCGTCCCAGATGCGATGAGCTTCCGCTTCGCTCGGTCCTTTGGTCCGAAGACCTGTGTCTGACCACTCTTGGGGGAACATGTTGAGGACTGAGAGACCGTCATCATGACCTATCAATAAGAGTTTGTCGCCTAGTAAAGGAAGTAATGTTCGTATAGGGGAGGTCGTATGAGGGAGAAACCGTGAGCCGATTTCGTTGAATGTCAGGTGGGTGGGTGCTAGAGGCTGTCCGACCAGTGGATGTGGCTCATCATCTTCGTCGGGATAGAGTGGGGGACTAGGTAATGGAACTGGGACGTTGAAGTCTGTCTGAAGTTGAAGAAAAGGGCCGGGCTGGGATGATGAGGGTGTGGGTGTGGGTGGTTGGTTGAGGATGATGGGTATGTTCAGCCCTTGGATGTCTTGCGCTGGTTGGGCTGTCTGAAGAGAGAAGGGTATGGTCCATGATGAAGGGTCCAAGAACATGGAATGAGACTGGACGCACGTTTTGGTTCCCCCAACCTCGCTGCCTCCTACGATGGAGGTCCTCTGGAGTGACATCTGCGTACCTCTCAGCCGCTCTGCAGACAATGAGTAACAACACAAAAGCGCAGGATCAACAGGACGCACCGTTTTTCTATCCAGCCTCTCCATCGTCCAAACCTACGAGTTGACAAGTGAGTACGTGTGAGCGTCTGAGAAGATGAGACGGCATGAATGTCGGCTGCGGGTGTGATATTCACCTTGAATTGGGACCATTCTGCTCTGCGAGATCGTCATAGGTGGGTAAATCATCGCCACCCTCTCTGTCTTGTTCAGGGCGATCCATACGCTCAGTCAGTCAATGTCACCTGTAGTGTGGAAGGTGAGCTCAGTAGAGACGGTTTTACAAGGCCAGAGTGGAAATATAGTCTGCGGAAAGTAGTATGGCTGTACACTGTAGTTGTCCAGGCTGTAGGAGACCTCGATACCCGGAATAACCCAGAATGACCCTCGAAAGCCAATTCGGCGCCGAGTCGCCATCATAAGTCACGCTCGAATTGTAGTCGTAACTCGAAGTTCGCCGTGGATCCGCCTCAAATCCCAGACAGTGCACACAATGAGTACGTAAGGAGAACAAAGACACCATCGCGCGGACACTGCTCACTCCACGATTCGAGCTAAGTATGACGATTTATATATGTACATATGTGTATGTGCAAAAGATCTCAACAAAAAATGAGTATGGTACAAACAATGTCCAATCCCGAGAACGTGTACAGGATAAGCCGAAAACAACAACCGGGATGCAGATCAACAAGACAATACACTCAAGAAAAAGCCAAGGTGCCAAACGTCGCTACGGCACCCATCATGGCACCCCCAGCCAACTGGACCGCACTCACCCTACCCTTCTTCTTGACATCCTTCGCTAACTCGGTACGTAACCTCTCCACGGCTGCTTCGTCCCTCCCAATGATGAACAATGCTTCATCCTCCTTCGATCCCTCAATAGGCGGCACCGCACGCGTGCAGAAGCCGACCTTCCTAGCGCTAGCCTGCATTATCGGAATATCAACCAGAGGCACGATGTAAACCGTGGCGGGTGGTGCTCTGGAAATCTCCGCCAGTCCATCGAGAAAGGCGGCACGCTCTTCGACGCTGAGCGAGCGAATGAGCCGTTGACTATTCTGTGGCGTCGGCATGCAATCCTCATCTTCCACATCCGTCTTCGCCCCATGATAAGGATCTTCCTGGGAGGATGAGGGTTCAGTGGCTAGGATGGTGGAATGCGGAGTGAGAAGAGTGCCGGGCATGATCTCCTCTCGCTTGCTCTTCAGCGGCGTAGAAACGCCTTGGCGCCATTTGCGCAAGGGAGAATGTTCGCCGCCATCGGAGTCACTCTCGGTGTCTCCGCCCGTCTGCTGTGTGGGCTGCTGCTGGAAGAGACCGTTTAGGATCTCCTTCGATTCGGCGTCAAGAGAGGCAAGACTTGCTTGACTGGCCTCAATGGGCTTAGATCGACGGCGAGAGGTAGAACTCTTGGCCTCTGCGAAATTATCGATCGACAGTGAGCTGAGGGCTGCCGTCAAATCGGGTGCTCGGCCTTCTGCCCTACGAGCAGAGGAGGGAGAGTCGCCGTAGGGGCAACCCGAGCGAGGATGACCTGTATTATTATGTTCAGCGCCGATAACGGGTTGGCAATAAGGGATCAACTGACCGACTCTGGGGCGGCCACAAGTGCGACATTGGTGGGATTTCCGAGAACTACTCCCAGGCGTAGGAAGCTGATTATTTATTCTGCCAGTAGTGGGTGTCGTAGGAGCGGATGAGCGAGCTCGAGTAGAGGGCGACATGGATTCAGTCCGGGAACAAGATGAGTGAAAAGAACTGAGCGAGCGATATCAGCGATATGAGATGGAGTCACGGTAGTCGTGCGGGGCGAGTCCTAATTAATCCTGTACGCCCGCCAAAGCTTCTTAAAGGCTTACAGAGCCTTGAATACGCTATGAACTAGGGAAACAAAGCGTAAGCTGTGCAGTTATGAGACAATTGAAGTCAATGGCGTGTCAAGGCAACAACAAGGGCCCTTACTCACAAAAGAAACGGTAAACGAAACGATCACCGTCGTCCTCCAACCGGTAAACGTGGGGCAACGTCAGCGCCGGAACCGTAGGGTAGGCCGGAGCGGCATGGTTTGTTTTTCGACGCGCGACGCCAACTCGGACACGTCACGGCTACTTCCGGGCCACACTCCGCCATTATTCCCCGCTCTTTTCCTTCTTGTTGTCATCTTCTTCGCTACTGTCAGCGGCGATAGGTCTTATGTCTTGTTGTAAAGTTTCATCTAGGCTCTGACGCCACCTGTCCTAGAGGCTAGAGGGTATGTGACCTGCTTGGCTCCTCGTGCTCTACTGTGGCTGGTTACTCGGACTCAGCGTCAATACAGGTCACCCTTTTGAGAAGAGGTCGATGACTGAGATCACGCAGGCATCAGAGCAGACGTCTAAGCTCGTCTAAGCTGGCTGTAGGCTCTGACCAACCGTTATCACCTGACGTGAAGATGATCGTTCCGAGTCTCTGTTATAACAGCTGGCTGTCCCACTTTGGCGTCGTATTTCAAGCGTTCACGTTTCAGTGATCAACCGTTCTAAATAACTATTGACGGTGGTACTGCCTTTCTCAAAGAGGCAATCTATTCAGCCAATATGGATGTGAGTTCGATGCAGCACCGCGACCGCATCGAACTCACATCCATATTAATGTTTTCTTGGCCTACGAGTGCCCGTGTGACGTCGTGTCGATGTACGGTGCAGCGACATGACGTCCTCTCCTCCTTTGGTGGCTCCATCGTCGGCTCTATTGTCGGTGGCTTCCTCCTGGCTAATCTTGATTGGTACTGGAACTTGTCGGTGCCACTTGTCTTTGGCTCTGTCGTCCTGCCTATCTACCTACTTCTTGCTTGTTCTAGAGACGTTGCTAAGTGCGATCTTGGATAAGGAAGCGAAGCGGAGGAGAAAGAGTGCGAGGAAGGGCCGTGTTAGTAGCGAGAAGGTGAACGAGATGGACATGGTGCTGTATGGACTCGGGGAATTGAAGGAGGAGAGGTTCTTGATGAAGGAGATTCCACGACTTGGGCCCGGGCACAGGCCGGTAAATCTATTACCACCCAGTGCATGGAATGTTACGAGTATTGACCTGCGTTGTACTTGATTTGTGATGTTCACACGCGAAGCGGCTGCTCATGAAGCAAGAGATACTGCAGCAGATTGCCAATGACATCGGTCACCTCGATCTCATGGAGAGCGATAGATACGACGCTTCCTGATGATCCTGCGTCGACTCCCGCCATTGGCCCTTCTGCTAATTATCCTCGGCCAGATCAGGCCATGTCTGAACGTTCTTCGACATCGCCGCTGCCTGAGCTTTCTAGACACGATACACCTTCGTCCACGGACTCAGGCGAGACCAGCTCAGGTGTCTTGACGGAGGGAAAGTTATCATCTTCGCCTGCATACCCGGACATGTCATACCCAAGCATACAAGTCGAAGTTTCTGACGTTGCTCTCGACGATCCCAGTTGTATATTGAGCGACGCCCCACGCGAACATGTCGTACTCTTCCTATCTCTTCTCTCTGGTTTCTCTGACGGTCTTGTTTGCTTTTTCGACAATGCCCTCTCGCCCGTGTACAAGCAATGGGGCTTCTGCAGCATCGAAGTCGATTTCTTGTTCATCCATACATCTCCGCTATTCTTTCCATCATCATTCCAGCCTTCATGCTGGCGCACATGTCGTGCTCATATAGAATCCCTGGGTACGGCCATGTTAGATTTAGATAATTAGAGTATATAGATTATTCCAGACTTTCTGGCCACACTTTGACACTCGAGGGACATTAAATGAGATACTATACTAGATCAACGATGAAAGGAGCAGTACTACACATCTACTCGCTGTCTTCTGCCTCATTCTCCTTACGGGCTTCGTTAGGATCCTCCTCCTCCTCGTTATCATCGTCCTCTTCCTCGCCACCCTCTTCACCGTGGACAGATCGAGTAGAATGAGTGGCCGCTGATAGAGGGTTTGCAGGTCCAAGACCCAGACGAATGCAAAACTCATTGCACCGATGCTGGTCAACAAAGGCTTTGAGACCAGCTTCACCATGATCGCCAACTCCGCTGTCTCTAAAAGTCTAAAAGAGAAGAGTCTCGTCAGTGACTGTAAATATCGCAATCAATCGCAATGCAGCACGTACCCATCAGGAGAGTGTGTCATAAGGTCAAACAAGAGATCGATACAAACAAAAATGAGCGAGAACGAATTTGGGTGCTTACCCGGTTTGATAGACCTTGCCGAGGTCGTTGCGATACTGGTATATGTCGAAATGGGCCTCGGTGAAGTACGTACAGGACAGACTTCGGCTCTCTCAGGGCATGGCTTGAGTCTCACAGCTAATACTTCTCAAGGTGGGAATCCGACAAGAAAGTCGTGGCAGGCGCCTGTAATCACAAAACAATGTCATGTCGCTGCACTGTACAGTGACACGACGTCACTTTATCTCACTCGGGCGCTCGTAGGCCAAAAAAAAACAATCTAGATGTGAGTTCGATGCAGCACCAGGTCTGCATCAAACTCACATCTTGATTGACTGAATGTATTGCCTTCTACGATAAGGCGTAGATCATTACTTAGAACAGCTTAAGACCGTCGTGACCGAGATATCGCCGTTTGAGGAGAATCTGCAAGAGGAGGTCATCACTGGGGCAGTAGTCCATAAGGAGGGATATGTAGGCTCCATCGTAGTAAACAATGTGGTGGAGAGTTACGACGTTTGGGTGAGCGGATGCGAGTTGGTTCAGGGTTATCTCCTAGAGATGTAGATGGCGTTGGCGGGAAGAGTGGCGTATCTGTGAATGGAAGAGGCACGCGTAGGATCGTGGCTCCGCGGAAGTGGAGGTGGTCTCGACGGCGCGATAAACAATACCGTAACATCCGTAGCCAAGGACGGAGACGAGCTCGAGTGCACCGTCATCAATGAGCGATCCGAGGGCTGGTGGGCGAGGGGGGCCATAGAATATAGAGAGGAAAAGAAGAAAGAAAACGGAGAGCCTGAGCCTCGTCGGAAGGAGCGAGAGGTGGACTTGGGCAGATCAAAGCAGTAGTAGATGCGAAAGCAGCGAGTTGACTTTACGTGTGGAGGACATGATGACGGGGAGGCTTGGGCGAGTCCACCATGAGCGTAACACGTTCCGGGCGAGAGCAGACGGCATGGGTGGAAGCTGGATGGGCCATACTTGTACTGCAACTTCTGCATGGCAGACTGTGACACCTGGGACCCGACGCCGCGATGCGTCAAATCCTACTGTGTCCTTTAGGCGTACCATAACCATCCTATTGGTGCGAAGTCTGAACGAGCATATGTATAAGTGGACGTCACGTCGCGGTAGCAAAGGCCAAAATTCTGCCATCTTTGCAGTAACGCGACATCATATCCAGTGTCCTGTTGCATCAAAGCAAACTTCTAAGTACGATGCAAGTCAATATTCGTAATATTCCATGCACTGGGAGGTGATAGACTTACCGGCCTGGGCTCTGGCCCATGACAACGTCTCTGGAACGAGCGAGAAGTGAATAGACAGGACGACACCACCGAATACAAGTTGCACCAAGAAGTTCCAGCGCCAGTCGAGGTTGGCTTGGAGGAAGCCGCTGACAATGGGGCTGATGACGAAACCATCGACAAAGGCGAGACTCAGGACGAAGACGACAGTGTATTCTCACTCATCGGCATCCCATAAGTCAGTGACTGGATGTATGGACCAAGAGCAGCAGAGGATGTCGGAGGTGTCGTCCTCGGTGAGCTCAAGCTTACCCTCTGCCGATAGAGGTGGCCATGAGGGTTTGGGACTCTGTAGATGAGGGCCTTCGCTTGTTTGATGGAGACTCCAGTCTAGATATTATTGCTTCCGGACACGCCGGCCCCTACCGGGACACACGGCACGTGGCGAGCCGTATTTCCAATGGCCAGTAGAAATTCTGGAGGCCGAGCGAGTGTGGCGAACCATTACCTGCGCCTCTCCTCGTAACTCTCATGGCTAAAGGATCCCAACTATCGCAATTAAAAGCGGCCATCTCGCAATCTGGCATCGTAAAGCCGCCACAGAATGGTAAGAAACGGAAACGTGCGCAGAACGAGGAAAAGGACAAGGAACGACGTGCCGCAAAGTTACAGGAGATCCAGCAGAAGTTCAATCCTTTCGACGTCAAAGTCACGAAGCTCAAGCACGATGTCGGTGGCAGAAAGCTGAAAGGTGTCGTCGGAAAGCCGGCACAGAGCAAGCAGGCTGGGATCGAGCAGGTGCGTCGTTTCATTTCTTCTCGCTTTGATGCCAAGTTAATTGTGGCCTGTATGTTTGCAGCGCAAAAAAACTCTGTTGAAAGAGTTTGAGGAAAAGGATCGTGCGGGTGGAATTGTTGACCGACGATTCGGTGAAAATGATCCCACCATGACGCCGGAAGAGCGTATGCTTGAGCGATTTACAAAGGAGAGGCAACGTTCTTCTAAAGGCGTTGCATTCAACCTCGACGACGAGGACGAGCTCACCCATTACGGCCAAAGCTTGTCCAAGCTAGATGACTTTGACAATACAGGGTTGACTCTTGATGATGAGGAGGATGAAGGTGCGTACACTCGTGGTGAAATACAGCCCTCGCTGATTGCCAGAGCACAGGTCAAATTGACAGTCAGACCGTGAACCGAGCACATTTCGGTGGATTTGACGAAGAAGACGAAGACGAAGATGGAGTACGTTCTTTGAACGCTGGAAATCACCACTCGTCGCTAATATTGATGCATCTCAATAGCCTGAAAGAAAGAAGTCAAAAGCCGAAGTTATGTCTGAAGTCATTGCTAAGAGTAAGGAGCATAAGGTATGTGCACATTGCATTTTCTTATGCTACGCTCTAACACCTCTCTACAGGCTCAACGGCAAATGGACAAGGAGAAAGACGAGAACATTCGTCATGAACTCGACCAAGAGCTTGACTCCATTCGTTCCCTTCTCATGGCTCCAGATCCTCTATCAGCCGCTCTCGAACGACCCATACCCTTAAAAGAAGCCGCATCAGACGCGAAGCAAAATCATGACTTGGAATACGATCAGTATGTCCGCGAATTGGTGTTCGACAAGCGTGCCAAGCCTAAAGACCGCACGAAGACCGAGGAGGAGTTGGCAGTCCAAGAGAAGGAGGCTTTGGAGAAGGCTGAGCGGAAGAGGTTGCGGAGGATGCGTGGAGATGACGAGGAAGAGAGCGACGAGGAAGGGAGGGGTAAACGGAAGCGGGCGAGAGGTGGAGATGACTTGGAGGATGATTTCATGGACGAAGACGGAGACTTGGGGGGTCTAGGTGCGGGTCTAGGAGCGGGCGTCGGGGCAGACGACGATGAAGCGCAGGATGACGAGGAAGAAGAAGAAGAAGAAGAAGAAGAAGATGATGATGAAGATGATGAGGATGAGGATGAGGAAAGTGGCAGCGAAGAGGATGAGGATGGTAGTGGCTCTGAGGGGTCTGACGATTTGGATGAGGCAGCTGGTTCGGAAGGCGAACAGGCAGACCTCATTTCGGTAAAATCATCAAAAGCAAAAAAGGTCGCATCGACTTCTAAACGAAAGGAATTACCCTTCACCTTCCCCTGGCCATCGTCACACGAAGAGTTTTTGGATATCATCGAGGACATTGAGGATAGCGATGTACCTACGGTCGTGCAGCGGATACGAGCCTTGTACCACCCAAGTTTAGGTGTCGACAACAAGTTCAAGTTACAGGTATGTCTGATTTCCACTGTCATCCGTGACATTCTGCTCATAGTACGCAGGGTTTCGCAGGCGTCCTAATCGACCACATTCTCTATCTGGCGTCACCACCCACTCCTCGATTTTCCTCCATCTCCAGCATTACTCCTCATCTATTTGCCTTGACAAAAACATACCCTATCCAGTCGGCCGAACATTTCAACGCCAAACTCTCGTTGATGCAGAAAAACCTTAGACATGGACTGTCTCAAGGCACCGACTCTACAACAGCAAAGACATGGCCTGGCTTGCCAGAGCTCGCGCTGCTTCGAATTGCAGGAGCTCTCTGGCCTACAAGCGATATGAACCACGCCGTTGTTACTCCTACTCGACTGCTTATGGGCTCGTACCTCGGTCTCTGTCGCGTGCGATCAATACAAGATATCGCATCCGGTCTTTTCCTCTGCACCCTATTCCTACAGTTCGAGGAGTTATCGAAACGTTTTGTCCCAGAGGCCGTCACCTTCGCAATCAACACCGTCTTACATCTAGCTCCTCACAATTACCACGACGCTGCATCATTACCTGGATCTTTCCCCACACCAGATTTCAAGTCTGAGCGTTCGACTGCTCTCTCCTTGGACACGAAGAAGGCGAAACAGCTCACTGTCGGCTCGCCTGACCTTCCTCGAATTCTGGCGGGAGCATCCAGCGACGAACAGTCCAAGCTCAACCTGCTCTCGCTCGCACTCGACCTGCTCTGCCGATTCGCTGAGATGTACAAAGATCTGGACGCCTTCGTCGAGTTGTATGACCCGATTCTCCAGGTATTGGAAAACGTCAAGGCAAAGAAACTATGCGACGACCTACAGGTCAGTTTACCCCCATCTTCGGTGTCTCTAAGTCCGGTCTAACAGATATTTCACACCCACCCAGACCCAGCTCTCTCAGAAAACGGACATGCTTCGCCGTCTCCTCAAGTTCTCCCGTCAAGCCCGCCAGCCTCTCCTCCTCCAAGCTCACAAACGCATCCCCATCCCCTCCTTCATTCCCAAATTCGAATCCTCCTCTTCATCCTACCTCCGTGCTCGCGATCCGGACTTCGAGAAGAACGAGGCCTCGAAGCTTCGGAAGCAGTACAAGGAGGAGAGGAAGGGCGCGATCAGAGAGTTGCGGAAGGATTCGCGGTTCCTTGCGGGCGTGGAGCAGAAGAAGCAGCAGGAGAAGGATCAGGCATATAATATGCGCATGAAGAGGGTGTATGGGGGTATTGAAGGGGAGAGGGCGGAGGAGAAGGCTTTGGAGAGGGAGAAAGCGAGGGATAAGCGGAGAGCGGGTAGAAAGTGAGATGCATTGTCGCGATGTATGCTTGACTACGGTCTTTGTCTTTCTTTACTCGATGGTGGCTCCACTATTACTCGACTATGCTCTACATGGAAGATTTTCCATCCATATCCTCGGAGTGATAAGTGTGAAATCAGCCGCTACACTGTGCACGTGAAAGGGGTTAATGTCACCTCAAGAGGGGTTGGAAACTACTTTTCACTCGTCGAACGGGTCGCTTAGGGTGAAAACCGCGCTGGAGTGAATGCGGGTGAGACAGAACTTATGCGAAAGAAACATGCACAGGAAGTCAAATTCCGTCTGCCCTAAAGTTCACCGCCACACTGATGCGTGGCAGCGCTTCCGCGGCGATTCTCCCCGCGTCTTGCTACTTCCGTTTCAACCACGACGTCGAGCGACGTGCTGGCATTTGGACACCTGCGAATGAGTGTGTCTATGTCGTTGTAATAGTCGGTACGTCTTTGCTCTTTTGTTTCTCTTACTTTTTGACATGACCGAGTCACGTATCCTAGTCATGCAGGCAAAGCCTGCCCGGGGGTTCTTCCTCGCCACGCAGAACCTCGACATCGCCCGCCTGGTGTCCCCCGTCATCTCTCTCATTCTTGAGCAATGTCCTTACTGACTATGACTCTACACATTGATGTTTCTTAAACTGGGAGAACTATTGGTGAAGAGTACCGTGTGCATGCAGGATGTCCGGATCACGTTTCATAGCGTTTCATCGGTGCGTGACGTTTCTTACTTGTAATGATTAGCATAGAGGAGTTTCGGACACGTCAGCGCGAGTGAAGAGTGTATGTCTTTCATTTTTTTCGGTGCGTGGTTTGTTTGCTCGGTACGCCTGCTTACCTTGTAAGCATGCCAATATTCGGGCCTCTTGTTACGGTTCGACTTACCCCATCTTTGGATATTGCTTTCTTTTACAATGAGAGACTTAGATGGGACGGCGTGTATATGCCGAGTTATGTAGAGCCAATGATCTTGGTCTCTTGGGCATCCGGTTCCAACCTTAGCTAGCTGGTTCTTATGAAGCAATCATAGTACCTGTGACTGTATGTAGGCTCATATCTGTTTTTCTATCCAATAAATATACTAAAAATTGCAAGCCATACACATTGGATTCTAGTGGGAAAACTTGGCGGCATACGACGGGTGACATTTACCGCGTGAAAGGGTTAATTCCCGCTTTGCGCGATGTGAGTGAATTCGGCAATATAAAGGGTGACTTTCAATCTCCTTTCTTCGTACCGTGAGACAGCTGAAATGTACCACATACAGGTGAACTTTCTACCGGCAAGAGATTGAATGGAATTAGGTTTACAGGTTTTCCTTCGGTTGACATTCAACCTTTTCGAAGTGCACAGTGGCTAGCGAGGCACTACAAGCAGACATACATCTTCTAATACAACAAGGAGCTGGGTCCTCTCGACTTCTCGAATTACAAACTTGCTTTTGTCTACCTAATCTCAAAGCACTTACAGCAACGTCTTCACGATCTCCACAACGCTGTCACCAATCTCCTTCGTCGAGACCTCACCTCCAAGATCCTTCGTCCTCAACTCAAGTCCACCCTCCGACTTCGCATCAAGCACTCTCCGCACGGCAGTCTCGATAGCTTGAGCCTGCTTCTCAAGACCAAGAGAATAACGAAGTAACATTGCGGCGCTCATGATGGTGCCGATAGGGTTGGCAATTCCCTGGCCAGCGATATCGGGTGCTGATCCATGGATGGGCTCGTAAAGACCGGATGTGGGTTTGAAGTCGGTAGCGGAAGCATCGGATGGGGCACCGGCAAGGGAAGCGGAGGGGAGGAGACCAAGCGATCCTGGGATGACACTGGCCTCGTCGGACAGACTATTGCCCAAATACATAAGCGCATGTAGGAGTGAGTGAGAAGAGGTTGAGACGCTCACATGTCGCCGAACAAGTTCTCTGTCAGAACAACACCGTTAAGCTTCCTCGGGCTAGCCACGATCATCATCGCCGCCGAGTCGACAAGCTGGTGATCCAATTGCAGCTGTGGGTACTCCGCCTTCAACGTCTCCGTCACCGTCTTCCTCCACAACCTCGAGCTCGCCAACACATTTGCCTTATCGACCGAGTGAATAGCTAACGGTGGATTCGCAGCCAGAGCGATCTGAGCCGCTACCCTCGTTATCCTCTGCACCTCCCCGACGCTGTAGGGCATCGTATCCCACGCGACGTCCTCGTTAGGTGCGACGCCCTGCTCTTTGCGCTCGCCAAAGTAAACACCGCCGATGAGCTCACGGACGACGATGATGTCGACACCCTTCGTGATGGATTCTTTGAGGGGTGAGTAGGAGATGAGGGAGTCGGAGGCGAAGCTTGCGGGGCGGATGTTGGCGTAGAGGCCAAGGCTTTTGCGGAGGGTGAGGAGACCCGATTCTGGGCGGACTTTGGCGTTCACGCCCCATTTTGGTCCACCGATAGAGCCTGAAGTACACAGTTAGTGTAATTGAAAAAACTATAAGAGACTAGAAGACTGATAAAAGACGTACCCATGAGGATAGCATCAGCCTCTTTGCAAGCAGTCAGAGTCTTTGCGGGCAGAGCCTCGCCGGTCTCATCGATGGCGCATCCACCGAAGAGATGGGTTTCGAGCTTGAGATCGACGTCGGATGACACGGCGTTCACGGCCTCGAGAACTTTGACAGCCTCAGAGACGACCTCGGGTCCTAGAGGGTCCGTTAGCACCTAGATGTGGCGCCTTTGAGGATGAGTTATTTACCAATGCCGTCTCCGGGCAGGAGTACGATGCGGAATCTGGAGCAATGGTGATGAGCAAGGTGACTACGATAAACTGCTAGAAACCTCATACTCACGATTTTGGGGCCATGGGGTAAGAGTGTAGAAGGTGGTGGTGGTAGTGTGAGTTCTGGGGAAGACGAACAGAAATGAGAGCATCGTGAAGACTCGACTCGACGCTGAGGCGCGTCGGCCGACTGCCATGGACCGCGGCCGAGCAATGTGCCAGCCAAAGTTCTTCAAGTCGAGTTCATCAGGCTCAGAGCAGAGCACCCAGACGAGTCTCGTATATGTTTAGGATGTCCAAACATATCACAGTGTGAACTGTTGAATAATGGTGTAGCCAACTAGCGACGCGGCATGAGCCTATCCGAGAGCTGGTCCATAAGCAGTCCATAAGTGTAGCGGACAGGTATTGTCCCACGGTTCGTACGATACTCACGGACTCTCCCGGTAGCTACTTCCTTTTACGGTATGTACTCGTCTGAGGATGGACCTCGGATGTTTCGGTTTATGGTGCGTTTATGCTTGCCTCGGGCTCGCATTTGTTATTTCTTTCTACTATACGTACTATACTGTTTACGGTAGGCCCTCAGGTATATAAGGACTCACGTAGACAGCATGTACAGGAAGCGGGTTGAATCCCATTACTGTACTTTTTCGCGCACAAGTTCACGCCACCGCCCCTCGGCCGTTGCCGAGATGACATAATCCATTCGTGTCCCGGTTCGCAAGCAGACCGGGACAAGGGACAATGTTCGTGAACATCGACGCTTTTGCAGGGAGACGACCTTTCGTAACCGTTCAACAGGCATTTAACCTCTGAATTTGGGTGGAAGAGCTCACCTAGTAGCAAAATCTAGCCCAAAGTGTGTCTCGGAGGCCTTACTGAGGTCAATTTAGGAGCCTAAAATATATTCACATTTTCGTCAAATTTGGGTCAAATTTTGGTTTGTCCTACTTACAAGTTCCGTGCACGTCAATGGGGTGGGACTGTCCCGCGGCACAAGTTCGTTCGCGGCCCCCATGGGACACGGGACACGAACTTGTGCGCGAAAAACTACAGTACTTTTGCTCTGTTCTCTCGTCGTGCGAACCTCAAGACAAACAAGGCAATTGTTTTATATTTCGATTCTCTCCGTGTGCGTTCCGCATACAGCCGAACGTCACAATAAGAGGTCCGGCACTATATTGCTCGGTCCACGGACCACCGCACCCCTTCCGTCCACAACATTTTCGCAAAGCCACCATCGTCCTCCTCTCGCCACACATCTTTACCATGGCTTCTCCATCCTCTACAGCATCCACACCTGCTTGTAAACGTCTTGTTCTAGATGCAGGACCATTACTCTCTCTTTCTCCGCTCCGAGGCCTGGCAGAAACATACGTAACCGTACCTCAAGTTCTCGCTGAATTAAAGGACAAACGAGCCAGAGAACACTTTGAAAAGCTCGCCCTTGTTACTGGTGTCAAAGTTGAGATCCAAGCTCCAGATGCTGCCTCTCTGAGCCATGGTGCGTCTCCTTTGCTCAGGTTCTTGCTTCAATGCCGAATGAGGTTCTGATTTTTGATCAAATCATGTGTGGCGAGAACAGTTATTCAGTTTGCGAAGAAGACAGGAGATTACTCTGTTCTTTCACAAGCCGATCTGAGCATAATTGCGTTGGCTTACGCTCTTGATGTGCAAGACAAAAAGGCGAAAGAGGCCGCTGAGGTGCGTCTTTGAGCTCTCACTAGGTCGAGATTTCATCTTAATATGTGTGAGCAGCCTTCCGGATCGTCGGAGAGCGTTCCTGCCGCTACTTCAGAAGGAGACAAAGAGAAGGTCGAAGAGAACACAAGCACGGTCCCTGTAGACGCAGAACTCGCACAAGAGACGCCAGACGAGGGATCTCCGGTGGCTGAAGAGGATCCTGTGGTCGAAGGTGAGGTGGACGAAGAGGTACAAGACCAGACCGAAGATAATGAAGATCAAGAGCCATTAAACGTCGAGCTTCATCCACTCAAAGACGATTCTGCCCCTGAACCTTCTTCCTCCTCATCAAGAACTCCATCACCGCCGCTAAATCCTCCTCTTCCTCCCTCGTCCCAACGCGATGCAGACGACTCTACCTTATACGACGATCCATCGGAGTCAGACGACGGCGAAGGAGAATGGATAACCCCTTCAAATGTAGCCGTTCACAAGTCTCGTGCTATGGGTCTTACGCCGTCCGCTTCTGGCAAAGGAAAGGCTAAAGCGAGGGAGACGATTGCTGTGGGATGTATGACCGCCGATTTTGCGATGCAGAATGTACTGTTGCAGATGGGTCTGAGTCTCGTCGGTCTAGAGGGAAAGAGGATAGACAGGGTGAAGACATGGGTCTTGAGGTGTCATGCCTGTTTCAAGTGCGTTTTTTTTTTGTTTGACCCTGACTATCTTCGAGAACAAATACTGAGCGAGTTATTGCAGAATTTGCAAGGATTCATCGAAAAAGTTCTGTCCTTCATGCGGAAATCCAACACTCTTGCGCGCCTCCGTCACCATTTCTTCTCCCACTGCCGGCTCAAACACCCCCGCCCTTCAAGTCCACCTCAAGCCGAACTTCTACTACAAAACGCGAGGCACAAAATATTCTATCCCTGCTCCGAAATCCGGTTCTGCAAAGACAGGAAGCGGAGAGGGCCTGATCTTACGGGAGGACCAGACGGAGTATATGAGGGCGAGCAAGCAGGCAGAGACGAAGCGGGAGCGAGAGGAGAAGAAGATGTTGAATGCCGCGTTGACGCGGGGTGGCCAGGGAGGGATGGGCCTCGGGAACTGGACAGATCCGGATTGGATACCGGAGATTATGGCGAGTGGGACGAGTGGAAAGGGGAGGAGAAATCCGAAGGGCAGTAAGGATGATGTGCCTACCATCGGGTATGGACGCAAAAATCCCAACGAGCGCAAGCGACACAAGTGATATCTTGACTGTGCTTCGTTGAAGCTCTCAAAATCTTTGCCTTCGCTCGAAGCAAGCCTGTACCCCATAGACATTCCGCAGAGGTAGCATGCTGTATTCCACTTGTTGTACAATGCATTAGATTGGGTCGATGGAGAGCCGTGTACAATGCGAAACATTTAACCCAAGCTCCTGTTCATGAAACGCCTCTTCTGGAAGGACATCCACCACTTGCTTGGCTTGCCCGTCCCGTCAGCGTACAGCCGCTCGATCAACCGCGCAGCCAGCTCCTGGCGGACTTGAACCAAGTACTGACGAAGATAGTCTGCATAGTTGACCATTTGCACAAATTTTATGAAGTCAGAATCTATATATCGAGCAGCGGGGAGGAATTCACTCGCCTGCGTCGGCACGACTGCTTGGGGGAGCATAATGCGCATTCAGTTGGAAGTTAGCGTCTCCGGGAATGGGGAAACTGTCCACGGCGAGAGTATTGAGCAACTTCGATGCCTCGATCTGTGACGGTGGGATACGAGCTGTTCCGAGCTTGGCTAGACAGTCGGAGATGAAGAGGATGAGGATGATGAGGAGACGGTCGGCGGGACCCTTGATCTCGAAGTTACGAAAGAGAGAGTTGGCACGGAATAGGTCGAGAGTTTCGTCGACGATATCGCCTTGGCTCACGTCAACTTCAGACATCCAGACCAGTCAGTATGGTCTAGTCCGGAGGAATAATGGAGAGCAAGAATAGATGGAGTACAGACCCATTGTCGGCGCAGGACCACGAATCTTAGTCTTGATGGGGAGGATGGCGACATTGCCGGCCTGTCGGACATCTGCCTCTTCATTCAAAGCTGAGTGGTAGGCCTATTCATCCCAGATATAAGCGATTCTATGGGTAGGAAGCTATCGTACTTACTGGCATGGTAGTGGTCAGTGCTATAAGTGTAAGGGCCAAATAGAGCGTCAACAACGCGTCCGTACGTCACTTCCTCTTTTGGACGGTCTATGGCCAGGAACGGAACGCGTCGAGGGAATGCATCATAGGCGGGGCTTAGACGGGGCACCAGCTCTACCTCTGCTTGATTTTGACCCCTCTTTGCGAGAATGGCTGACGAAATCTTCCTGTCCGATGGCGCGTCCATATCGTCGCTGCGGTCGGTCAACCCATCCGTGAATACCTTAGCTAGTGAGCTTTTTGTTTGGAAAGGAGTGCTTACAGGAGTGTCGGGAGATTGAGATATTGATTCTTCTCTTACTTCAGAACTCACAAAACGTCTCCGAGCTATGACCCTTACGCTTTTACCCCTCGAAGTCGAGCTTAGCAGTCTCAACGACCCAACAAGTCGTATCATTACCCCTCAGGTCATCTCTGCGTATAAAGCAGCTGCAGGGGACTTCACCGAAGCTGTCAGTCTAGGTTCTCTCTCTGTAATATTTTTTTCGCGCTCACGCTGCATGTATGTAGCTGCCGTATTGTCTTCTGAGAGCTCGTCAGCAATTCATGCTCGATGCCAACCGGAATGTGGCCGACTTCGACGAGAACCAGGGGCGAGGTATGGCCTTCCCTTTTCGTCCCATACATATCATATTCTGTGCTCACAGGGCTACACACTTTAGCTATTGCTTGTGAGGTCCTGGCTCGCAGAATCACCCATCATGCTCCTGCGGACAGACTTACAAACATCATGTCCACACGGTATCAGCACCGTCAATCCGACGGCGATATCGAATTGTCAAGTGCTTTGGAGCTTGCTATCGACACGCATTGGTATGTCTACTCAGTAAAGTAAAGTACTAACAAGACAGTCTTCCCAATTACTCAAGGCCATGATATGTGTTTGTAGTACAATATTCCTGTCCTCCAGCGAATCTCAAGATGGTAAGGAAGCGCACCGACCCCGTCTTTTGCCTCGCTAAAGGGCTGTCTTTCGTCTGTCAGTTGTCAACCATATCTGGCAAGGCTCCATCGTACAGAAGAATAACGAGAACCATGATATTGATTGTAAGTTACCAGTAGTTTGCTCTAGTCTCACTGATTCAGAATGTTTCTAGTCGTTCCCTACGACGAACACCGAAAACACACTTTCTGGGGCCACCTCAACTCAGACAGAATTGCCGTACCTAGGTGCACAGAGCTGACTTCTTGCTATACTTACTACATTACAGTTCTAACTGTATTGAGCCAGGTATCAGAACGCCCTTCGTATCGTGATTTGGTTCGTCTTCTTGGCTGTATACTCTCAAGCAGGTCCGTGCCTTTCCTCGGGGTTCAAAGATCACCTGTTGATCATCCTGTTTGACTCAGTCCGCGAGCCTCTGAACCAGCTTGATCCCTCGTTCTACCGCACGATCGACGGCTGGGAGCTCGTTCTCTATATACTGTCCCTCGCGTTCGCCTTCGAAGGTTTGTTGCGTTCAATCATCTTCTCTTTTGATTGTCTACCACTACTCAAGTGTTGTCGCAAGCTAGATAGTCATAAGGTGCGTTTTCATGCTTTGGCTCCACATGATTCGATCTAAACGCTTCAATCGTTCTAGATCTACAAGCTACTCAAATTTGCCAGCTACAAAGCCTTCAGCTTTTGGAATATAGTGGCCTTCATTACTGAGATGCTGCTCACCGCTGCATTCGTTTTGCGCGTCGTGGGACTGACGTCTTCCGGGCCTACCCGTGACATGTTGCGCTTGAGGAGTTTTCAAGTCCTGAGTTATGTGTCACCCTTCATATGGTACGTGATTGAACTTGCTACAAGACGATGAGACTATTGATACTAAATGTTTTACAGGATGAGTTGAGTGTTGCCTTCTTGTGAAAGACACGTAATGTGCTGACTGGAAATCCCTGCAGAACTCATAACTGTGTTTGATGGATACAAGTCCGTATTTCTCTGTGCATCACACAAATTATACAGCTCTTACTGGGACACATAGGTACATTGGGACAATGCAAATATGTGTCTCTCGTATGCTTCGGGAATCAGGGATTTTCTTTGCCGTATGATCCGTTCTATCAAACATCCTACCGTGGGATTGTCACCAACCCTCATACTTCTAGTTGTTATCAGTCCTCGGTATCGGCTTCCTTCAAGGACTTTATGCTCTAGATGCAGCGGACGGCCAGACAGATTCGCCGGTGCAGGTATGAACTGTCATGGTAGGCTGTTTCGTCGGCATCTTATATTCCCTTCCCTAGGTTCTTAACGTCATGGTTCAAGCTTTACTGCAGTTCGTCTCTGTTGATTATATTTTACTATGTGGTTCCATTGCTGAAAGCGCTACCTCAGATCTCCTGATTACACCGTCTTCGCCGGAAGGTAAGTGACTCGCACTTCAAGGGTATTTGGCCGAATGACCTGATTATCCGACGAACAGTCCAGCAGGAATGATTCTGTACTACCTGTGAGTTTTTCCTGCGCGTTCATTTGTTATGCGTGGATTCTCAGTTTGCCGTATGATGCAGCTGGAACGTCGCGACGGTCATCATCTTGCTCAACGTGTTGATCTCCCTCTTCTCCTCTGCGTACTCTGATGTAAGTCCTCTACTTTTATGTTGTGTTATTTGAACTGAAGGCTGTTGCCCATACTCGTCATCAGGTCGTAGAGGATGCTGAGGCGGAGTATCTCGCGTACTTTGCGGGCAAGACTATTGGTATGATCAGGTCGGTGACTACTACTTGGTCTTGACTTATTTATATCATCGAGGCCAACGACGTTTTGATTGTTATAGGGCACCAGATTCGTTCGTCTATCCAGCACCGTTCAATCTCATCGAGGTCTTCTTCGTCGGTCCACTTGAGTGCGTTTCTTTTTTACGATATAGACGTCACACCAGCATCTAACTCACGACCAATCTCAGACCCTGTATGCACCCCAAAGCGTACACAACAGCAAGTATCCTTCACTATATGGAAGTTAGATCCTGGCCCCAAGGCATCACCACTAACTCTGTTTATCTGTCGCACTATAGCTCAACCGTATTGTCATGCGCATAGTCTTCTTCATCCCCCTCTCCATCATCGCCCTCTTCGAATCCACATCCGCCAAACCCACAAACCAATGGATGTCAAACTTCATGAACGGTGCTCCAGTGGAAGAAGACGAAGATAATCCTGCGGTTAGGAATCCAGATGTGGACGGTGAGGACGGGGAGAGTGGGTTGAAAATAAGCAAGGTGCCGTTCGAGGAGTTGATCAAGGTGTTTCCTAATACGCATGAGGTGTGTTTCTCTTCATCTCTGAGAACGAGTCGCAGGCATGTTTGTGTTGACGTGAGGTTTTGTGGCATTGTGGCGATTAGTCGACGGAGGTCACGATCATCAAGCAGATTGATGAGGTGAAGGCACAACTGGCACAATTGATGAAGATGGTGGGAGAGAGGCAGTAGCGCGTTGCATCTTCCAATGTATCGGTGATGTACAAGGTTGACGAATTCTTCTCGGACTGGGTTTCTACTGCTCGTGTACGGACACAGACTATCGTCTATATCCACACTGTATGGATATTGTGCTTTACATACTCACGTTAGGTTCACGAAATTCACGTTGTCAAGTACATGTTATGCTTTTACTATCTGGATCCACTAGTGTATCACACAGAGGCTCTTGTTGACCTGCATTGTTGTATACAAGTTGATTGTTGGTATATGAAGTACATGCAAAACAGAAAAGCGAGAAGGAAAGAAATACAATCGTCGAGAGTATAACAGTCGACCTGGAACCGTCGGTTCATGGTTCGTCCTCCCTCTCAGCGTGATTGATCTGTGTCAACACGCCCATCGCACGGATGAAGAACGGTCGAATTTCATTGATCTCCATTGAGCACAGGTTCGGTAACTGGACAGAAAATGTGTTATAAAGCGGTTTGATCCCGGCGTTGAACGGGTGAGGAGGTACATACGCTCAGTTCGCTATGGTCGATCTTCGAGAGACCTTCTCTACTCTTGGCTTGTCGGGCCTCTCGTATGTCTTTTAGAAGTGACCGAATTTTGTCAGAGTTTGGGACGTCATCTGGTGCACTATAGGCAAAAAGGAGTGGCCAAGTGAGAATCTCGTTTGAAGCAGAAAATATGATAGGGATAAAGAATCTTTACACGTCGAGCAGGATCTTCGCCACTTCAGCGAATCGAAACGGTAGCTGACTGAACACAGGTCGTGACGTCTCCTGTGTTAACCGCTCTTGCAGAAATTCTACAGCCACATAAGCAAGAATTAAGGTAAGCGACACAAAGTAAACCATCCATACTGGTTCTCGCAAACGTGCTTGTACGTACCAACAGATAGCCAGTCTGGAGGCACGATGTGGCACTTCTTCTTCAACTTGAGGTTCACTGCCATCCAGATCGGGATTTTTGCCTTAGTTGGCGGTCGTAGTGGTCCATAAGCGCCCTTTAGCAGACACAAGCATGAGGATCTAGTGTTGACGCATCGATACGAATAGCTAGAGAACGAACGGAGATGAACGCTGTTCGTTCCATGGCAATGAGAGGTACGATCTCAATTAGCTGCTCTGACGCGATGAGCTCTAGCTCTGTGGGCGCAACTGAGTTTCGCAGAGGGATGGGCAGGGCCATGTGTTTACTGGAGTCAGAGTGCCGAAAATATTGGAGGCGTGTTTAGCAAAACGAGTACGGTTCGGTGAGAGGGGTAAGAAGAGGAAGAAAGGTGTGTGGCGCGGACTTTCAACAGCCCAAGCAATTGGCTCCGTAGAACACCATCACGTGGTTGAAACGCGGTTCGTGTTGTTCCCGATCGAGATTGGCGTTGCCTTGCTCTCGACCGACGACTGTGGCTCCCTATCCCTAGCTCGAGCACGCTTCGCCCATCATTGGCATACTCACAAACTCTGTGGACAAGGCGACAATATCTGCACTATTTGCCGCCACCCTTCTGGTCTGCATCATGCTCGGCACGAAAACCAAACAGGTCTTTTCTTATGGTCGTCGAGGCCACAGGATCGTTAACGTCTCCGAAAGAGATTCTGAGAAGCAGGATGAGAACACGTCGGCAGGATCTATCAGCTCACGGAAGAAGCTGCAACCCGTCGTTCTACTATCCAAACGTGCGAAACCTGCCATCCGCCCAGTAGCTACACCCGCTTCCCCAGAACCCTCACCCTCACCATCACCTCCACGCAAACGGAAAGTTATCAAGAAGAGGCTTCCTTCATCCCCACTTTCATCCCCCGACTTCTCCTACAAACCGAAGCGAGTTCGGCAGATTATCGCCAAGTCCAAGGGCTCGCCCACGTCCAAACCTCTGTCGAGTTCATCTCGAGGGTCAAACTCCCAATCCTCCTCCGCTGTCACCGCCGCCTCATTTTCTACACCGGGCTCTCGTACACCGCTCAGCTCTCAGTCTCCTAATGTCCCACGGCTTGCAGCCCCTACATTTGCTGGCAAGAAGAAGGGCAGAGTCTCCGGGAGCAAAGGCACGCCTCTCAAACAATCACTGTCTCCTTTCGTGGATGTAGACATCGTGGTCGTAGACGACGCTGGTCATCGTTTCAGCCACGAACGGAGGGTATCCAGAACGGACGTGCAGGTCAATCCTACTATCTTTACCTCGCCACACGAAGACAGCGCGTTAAGCTCGGACAGCGACGGGGAGTATCTTCCTGCGCCAAAGAGGCCATCGAAACGATCTCGAGCAAAAATCGTCATCAGCTCGTCTGACGAGTCGGATGCGCCGGCTTCTTCCCATCGACCGCCAAAAGCAGCATCTTCCAGGACCAGTGCTCCCAAGCCTCCTTCGCGACCTGCAAAGGCCCCGCCTGCAGCACCTTCCGTCGATCCCGTAGCTCGTAACAATCTGGTTCTTAACCGTCCCGTACCTAGTGACCATTCAAAGCGCCCCGAAACAAACGGAACGGCGCCTTCAAAGCCAGTTGTCCAGGCCCCAAATGTCGTACATTCGTCTAACAAGCCTAGTATCGGCGGGCATGCCGATCAAGGCAAACTGCCACTACCTAAAGCGAAACCCTCACGATCTGCACTCGAACCAGCCCTCTATATCGACACTACTCAACGTCGCCACTCGCCCATGCCCGCACGCTCGAAGCCAAGACCGCTCACGCCTGCACGCTACAGGCATTCTGTATTTCCACGGCCACCCTCCCCGCTTTCGTCTTCCACGAGTGACGACGACTATGACCTCTCCGTCGACCTAGCCGAACTCACCCTCTCCGACACACCTCACCAGTCTGAACCCACGATTCCTCCTCCCTCGTACCTCCTGCCGCTTCTGACAGAATGTGGCCAAACCACTGCACACGAATTCTCCGCCTTCATCGAGTCTTTTCCGTTCGACCCGATTGTGCAGCAGAACTCTGATGCGGGCAAAGTCGCATTCCAGAAGATCGGCGAGGCGTCGTACTCTGAGGTATTCGGGATCGGAGACGTTGTCCTGAAGGTCATTCCTCTGAGTGACGAGGACATCAAGTCTGGTGGTGCTGGATTTGGTGAGGCGGAGACGCCTGCGCCGAGCAATGCGAGGGATGTCTTGAAGGAGATGATTGTGACGAGGGCAATGGGCGAGATGTGTGATGGGTTCGTGAAGTTGTTGAGGACGTATGTCGTTCGGGGGAAATATCCTTCACTTTTGCTCGATTTGTGGGATGGGTACCACGAGCGGAAGGGTTCAGAGAGTATCCGACCTGGTCCGTACGTTCCATGCTCATCTTCGTCTTGATAGGTGATTGATGAAGCAATGTTTTCGTACAGATTCCTTCACGGTCTCTCAAGTTTATGCTATCATTGTGCTCCCGAACGGTGGTCCTGACCTTGAGGCGTATACTTTCTCCGCTGCGTCGAAGACAGGCTGGAGACAAGCATGCAGCCTCTTCTGGCAAGTCACACGCGCACTCGCTCAGGCCGAGAATCTGGTTTCGTTCGAGGCATGTTACCTTTCCCCCGTCTCCTACTATCTGCCATCATGAAAACTAACCACTTTCCTCTGTCTTACAGCATCGCGACCTTCATTGGGGCCAGATCCTGGTCAAGAACGCGCCCTCCAGCATACCAGCGCCCAAACGCACTACCACGAAGGGGAAACTTCCCATGGACCATCCTGCCCATGGAATCGAGGCTACCGTTATTGATCTTGGCCTGGCTCGGATGGACGCGGTGCACGAGGACGGTGAACTAGACGTGCGGTGGACACCATTCGACGAGGAGATTTTCGAAGGCGAAGGTTAGTGCTTCCTGATTCGTATCTGCGTCCTCGTCAATGACTACGAATTCGGAATATTGATCGTCTGTTGTTTCGCTAGGCGACTACCAATTCGACGTCTATCGCTACATGCGGAACCATAACAGTGGCGACTGGGAGACTTTCCAACCTCTGACCAACGTCATGGTGCGTCCATCCATCCCGTTTTGCGCTTCATGCTCAGCTTCGATCTCGATTCATACTAACATTGCTCCTCCCTTTCAGTGGCTGCACTACCTCGTCCAAAAACTCCTCCACTATAAACGTCTCCGCCAACCCACCTCCCGCAACGCCAGCATCTCAGTCTCAGCCTCTACGTCATCCGTCTACACCGAACGCGAATGCTACGACTCCCTCGTGGAGATGGAAGCCGTGCTCGCGTCGGCGGTCGAGGTCGCGAAGAAGCTGAAACCGAAAGCTAAGAAGGCGACGAGTGGGAAGAAGAAGGTGGTGGCGGGGCCGAAGAGTGCGGAGGAGGTGCTGATGTTTGGGAGGGAGAAGGGGTGGGTGAGGAAGCAGTGAGGTGAGGTCCATGTTGGCGTTGGAGAGAGGGTATTGAAGTTGGATGTGATAGTCGTTGTTTTGTTTTCTTGGTTCTGCCGTTGTGTGATTGACATTTTTATTTTGGACGAAATCTCTAGCGAGGTCTTCTTTTTCTTCTTAGTCCTCTAAATAATTCCTCGTACTTAGGGACTATGTCTCTCCATCCCGTGTCTTCTTGTTTTGTAGCCTGTCTGTCCTGTGCGTCAACAGAAACCTTTTCAATAGTGACTCTTACGTGAACCAAGATCAACACTGTATACCCTGGTCAGTGGTCATCAGCCAGCCCTCGACGGCATTCGAGCATGAAACATTTGTATTTGTAGAACTGTGAGCGACGACAACGACGAGAGAAACGATATGACACGCGAGGCGGACGTCGAATAAGTATGTATGTATCGCTACATGATAGTGCGAGTTCGATGAACAGTTCAAGTTGATTGAGCACGATGGGGAGAAAATCACTGAGTATGTACGCATATGCGGCTGAAAGCTGGCCCTGATTATGCCCCGATGGACCCAGACACGAAAGACCGAAAAAGAAATGAGAGAAGGGAGAGGGAGGGAAGAAAGAAAGGAGACGGCATATTGAGTATGTACGTAAGGCCATGGCAGGCTAAAAAGCATAAATAAAAGAGAACACGACGAAAGAGAAGGAGAAGGGGTTTGGACTTTGGATACAACGGTTCTTGTCTTGACGGCGCTTGGTGAGAATGAAGCGCGAAGGTCGACGGACTATGATTCGAAAGAGGAAAGGGACATCGGGTGCGAGGACGGAGCGAAGCTTGAAGGGGCTCGTTCATAAATAACTGGCGGATCGGAATTAACAAACGGAAGCGGGAAAAGGCAGAGGTCAGCCATCGGGCAGGACTCGACCGAGCAAGGAGGCAGGCGGAGAGAACACACATAGCCAGGGAGGACGAGAGGGCGGGATTCACCTCAATAATCGGTTAGTTGCGACCGGGGCGGGCTTGACGATTTCTTGTGCACGCAAAAATACAATAGCGACAGCTGAAGCGCCGTTGTACGAGTGGGCGTGCCGTGGAACAAAACGAAGAGAACGATGACAGAATGGAAAGCATAGACAGAAAGATGGGAATAGGCACTTGAGAACGATATGGGACATAGGAACAATTCGCCCAGGACATGACAGGCAAAGGACTTCGACTACACTTTCTGTTTCTTGAAAGGCCTAGCGCTCGGCGACTCATTTGGGGCAGCCTTCGTGGGGGTCTTTGAATGTGCTGACTGGCGTGAGACACTGGTCGTGACTCGAGTGGGATGCGGACTGTCATGGGCGCCATTCATACGAGCGCTTGCCTTGCCTTTGGGTTTCGGGGCGGATTGAGAACGGGGACGTGTGAACCTCGTGGGCTTCGAGCTTGATGCAGAGGACGTGGCGCTCTGTGATTCGGGTATGTCATCGGGTGAGCTAGGTCGCTTTCTTAGGAAGTAACGGGGCGGTGGGCTGGTGGGCGTGGGCGTGTTGCTTGGGGAGGACGCGGGAGAGGGTACAGTGATCGTTGTGATTGGAGTGGGTGTGTGGGCATATGAGGCCGAATTGTGCCTTGAGCGGCCGTTGGAGGTGGTAGAAAGAGAAGGAGTGGGGAATGGCGTCTTAGGGTTCTTTGGGTTGGGTGGACGTTTGGACGACGGGGAGGGTGAGCCGGATCGATAGTTAGGGCGAGGTGGCGAGAGTGAGGTGCGGTCTTCATAAGGGGACTCTGGCTGTGAGTCGGGAGTACCATGGAAGCCAAGTTGGGAGAAGGTGACATCCACCGGGATAGGAAGTTCGGAAGTCGTGTCGAGCTGCGAGGCAGGAACATCGCTCGTGTCTGCCACGGCCCTCTCTTGCGACCCATTTGGAGTGGCGACGTGGGAATCCGTTTGTTGTGATTGACTGTCGGCGATGAGTGGGGGCTGCGACTGGGACTGAGAGAAAGGTTGGGATTGCGATGGGCTCCGAGTCGGCTGGGAGAAAATGTCTCCGTTGAAAGCGGGTGATCTGGTCAAAGCCTGACTGCGAGAGGGTGGACTTCTGTGGCGACGAGGTGGTGTTCTCGGGCACTTCGACGATCCGGGCGACGCATTCCCATTGCCAGCGCCTCTAGAGCGCAGTGGGGTATTCACTCGCTGGCTCGATTCAGGTTGGCTCCCGAATAGCTCAGATTGGTCATGTGGCGTTGTCTTCGCCTTATCCACCCTGGCCAAGATGGCTGATGGCTGAAGGGTACCATAATCAGTGAAGACATCATCGCCATCCTCATCACTCTGGAATACTGGCGTTGCCCGGCGGAGTAGTCTGAGCCCTTCTTGTGCGTGGCGTGAAGGACGGGTAGGGGGGATAGGGGGAAGCACGCATTCATACGCAAAATCGCGGACTTTGATGTTGAATTCAGCCATGATTTCAGCCATCGGTATGGGCTCTTCTTCTGGATGTTCGGAAACGACAAGTGTATCTTCACGCTGAAGTGCTCGAGGATCATTGGAATCGGAGGATTGTAGATCCTGAGGCGAGATCAGAGGATGAGGGTGTGTCCACGATGAGTGTGATACTGGGACGTACGTGATTGATCACAGGCGTAGGTGGACACGAGTCTGATGTAGAATTGAACATCTCTGCATCCTCGTCATTCACGATGCTGAGACACGGTCTGGCTGCTGAGTCTTCCGACATCATGCAGAGTAAAAGTTTGTATGCAAATTGTTCTGGCGGAGCTCAAGGTTGTGTACAGTCGTCAACACTGTGTGATGCAAGACTTTTCAAAGAGGTTAGGATAGATACGTGAAGAGAAAGCGGGTGGGCGCACCTATATTGTGAAGAGAGATGACGGAAGAGGACAAAAGGGATGGAAGAGGGCGTGCGAAGGAGTCATGCGAGTTGAAGATGGCCTGAAGGGGAAATCACGCGTCGGTTCACGCGCGTGTCAGGACACGCTTCGCTCGCTTCCGAAGCCGGCGACGCGTCGTGTCCGTTCGAGCTCACTCTGCGTGCACACAGGCAAGTCTTCTGCACCGCCTCAGGCCGATGAACGAATATCTTACCTGTAATGCTGACTGCGTGCTGTGTTCCTACAGTTGTCTGACTATATTTGACTCAGAAACCTCAAGGCTTGGGCCCTTCCTCGCCTTACAGCTCGAAGCGCCACCTGACCCTGCTGGCAGCAGCTGTACAGGTTTGTGAGACAATGCGCCGTCTGTTGATGTATCAGGTCATTAGACTGACTTGTGGACCAGGATCAACTTCATTTGATGCTTAGACGCGCGTGGAAGCCTCTGGCTGCCTCAGCCGCGGGCGTCGGTACAGGAGCCTACGTCTACACCAGATATGTGGCCACACGACCTTCCCCTCTCGAAACCTTCGACCTCACCATCCGAGAGAACTCGAACATGGTCACTCGCACCATACCCCTGATCCCGAAAGAAAACATAGACCAACGGATCAACGAATTCGCCACCCAAGAGTCGAGAGCAACCGCGGAAGGTCTGCTTTGGAAGCACACGACCGCTAAACTCGCCTCGAACGACCCTATCGAAGACGCGAATGCACAGACTATCATAGACAAGGAGGCATCTGCGCTCTCCCCCGCCGGCCAGTTGTTGTTTTTCTCTGTTATGGATGGTCATGGCGGGAAGGATACCTCTCGGCTGCTTTCCAAGGTCCTCATCCCCGCTGTGGCCCTGGAGCTTGCCACCCTTGTCCAAGATACCGCACCGAACAAATCCTCCTGGCTAGATAGCTTGAAATCCCTCCTTGGCTCTTCCTCATCACCAAAGATCGAGCCTCGGATTCCGCTGGATGCCGACCCAAGTGCTGTTACGGAGGCCATCCAACGAGCATTCACGAACCTTGACTCCGAAATCATAAATGCCCCACTTCGGCTACTCGCCGCAAATATGGACAAGACCGCCTTCGAAAAAAAGCTCATCCCTGACCTCAGCCAACATCCCATGGCACTTCCGGCAATGTTGCCCGCGATGTCAGGTAACTACTACGGCGCCTTTATGTTTTCCTTGTGATGATAATTGACCGCATGTTCCTTAAGGCAGCTGTGCTCTCATGGCATTGCTTGACACTGCCCGACAGGATCTCTATGTAGCATGCACAGGCGACTGTCGTGCTGTTGCAGGTTATTGGGATGAATCTGAGGACGGCACAGGCACATGGCGTGTTGAGGTGCTCAGCGAAGACCAGACTGGACGGAATCCGAATGAATTGAAGCGGTATGAGCTACTTTCCTCCACTGTATGTCTCTCATATGCTAACAGGACACACTTCCCTAGTATGCAGTCAGAGCACCCACCTGACGAAGCCGACGACGTGATCAGACGAGGTCGTGTCCTCGGCGGATTAGAACCCTCGCGAGCCTTCGGCGACGCTCGCTACAAATGGTCTCGTGAAGCCCAATACGCGTAAGGCCCCACCACCACCACCCACCTTCCCAAACCATCCTCTGACTCTGACTTTGACACCTCCCTTCCCATTCTCTCCAGCCTCGACAAAGCCTTCCTCGAAGGGAATGGAAAAACCATGCGCCAACCCCCCTCAACATTCAAAACCCCGCCCTACGTAACCGCCCTCCCCGTCGTCACCCACCGCAAACTCTCCCTCCCCTCCTCCTCCACATCTTCCACCAACTCCAACTCCAACTCCAAATCCTCCCTCCGCTTCATCGTCCTCGCCACCGACGGCCTCTGGGACCAACTCTCCTCCTCCCAAGTCGTCCACCTCGTCGCAGGGCATCTCTCCGGACTACGCGGTCCCATCGCACACTCCGCCCTTCCGTCGCTCGTCCCGCTCGACACCGAGTCTGGCTCGCGCACGATCGAAGGCAAAGACAAGGGCCACCGCAGCGGCACTGCAGAAAAGGAAGGCCAGTGGGCGTTCGTGGACGAGAATGTCAGTGCACATTTGATTAGGAATGCGTTTGGGGGTGCGGATGTGGAGAGGTTGAGGAAGTTTTTGAGTATTCCGCCGGGGATATCGAGGAGGTATAGGGATGATGTTACGGTTACGGTTTTGTGGTATGAGCCCTTGGGAGAGAAGACGGGAGGTGAGACTGTCAAGACGAAGCTGTGATTTGTTGGTGTACTCTACTGCTGCTGCATCCACTGGCATGGACTCTTTCGGGTTTACTCATAGTGGGTCATGTACATACATTATGCATTATCTCTCACCTCCATTGTCGGGTCCATAGATACTTCTGCATTCACGCAATCAGACTTCACGCGTCACGCGAAGAGAAAGTAAGAAAGCCTTTGGCTATTGAATTGATTGATTGACGAAAAACGAAAAAAGAGGAAAGCACAGTCTTGCTCGAGAATTTAGAAGACCCGTGCATGTGCTACTACTACTGGCGCTACGATGAGCTATGATACATTCAGAAATTCAGAGGGATACAACTAGAGCAATAATTCTACCTACCGGCTGTCGCAACTTGAAAATGAAAATAAAAGAGAAACGCCACATCTACTTACCGCCTATCCACCGAAGCAACCCGATATCGCCACCACAGCAAACCAACACCGACACGCCATGTCCGCTCGTAAAAGAGTACTACCGTCCACAAGCACCACGCGCTAAGCAGTCGCGACCGAAAAAGTGAGAACCTCCCAACCGTGCACGAACGCACTCAAAGCGCCGTCCTCCTCTTCTTCCATCCTCCACCATACTTCTTCGGATTCCACTTGTCGCTCTGCCTAAACATCGAGCTCGTTCGCTCATACGGGTCCCCTCCGCCCCCAATCCCAATAATCCGCGGCGTGTTCGACCCGGGCGACTTGAACCCATTAATATTCACGGCCGCGGATTTCGGCGTCTGTGGCGGCTCGTCGTCGTCTTCGTTCGATGGGGACTTACGCTTGTTGCCTTTGGTGTTGGTGGGCTTCGATGAGGTAGAAGCGGTAGGGGGAACGGTGCCGTAGAAGCTCGATGGCGGGATGGGCGCGGGGGAGGATGCGGGTTGTGATGATGATGCCGCTGTTGGTGCGGGTGTGGGTGTGGGTGATAAGGAAGCTGGTGGGTGTGGTGGTGGGGCGGATGTAGATTTGGAGGTAGTGGGGGATTGGGGCGGGGACTGTGGCGCAGCCTCCTTCTCCTTGCCCTTCTCTTTGCCAGTCCCATTCATCACCACCTTCTCCCCAACATCGTCTGCTCCATCCTCCTCGTCCTCGTCGTCCTCATCCCCATACTCCTGCGAAATCGCCAACAGAGCATTCGATTTCTTCATCTGCTTTGGTTTCGGAGAGGGCGATCCTTGTCTCTGCCCCTGCTTCGCCTTGACCGCCTCGATCTTACGCTTCAATGCCAATGCCTGCGGGTCCTTCGAGCCAGAAGGTGAAGGAGAAGGCGTGGGCGAGGGTGAGGGCAGAGTCGACTGGGAAGGCATCACAGGCCCGATGAACGGCCGCTTATTAGGCGTCGTCTTCTCCTCCTCCATCTCCCTGTCTATACTCTTCCTCTTCCCATTCATCGCCCCAATCACACTCTTGGTATTCCTGCCATTCACCGCCCCATTCTGTCCGTGTCCATTCGAATGCGCATTTCCGTTCACGTACGCCCCAGCCCCATTCATCCCCACCGCAGCCTGCAACGCCTGACCCTTCTCCATCACATAAAACAACATATACGCACTCCTCAACCCCGTCGGCGCCTCACCCCCCATCCCCGCCGGCGTCACCGTCTCGTCATTCATCTCATACCAGCTCCCATTCGGGCCCCTCACATGCGCATAATAGTGCCCCGAGTTCGGGCCCCCGCCCGCATGGGAGATGACGCCGTAGAGGGCGTACGAGGGCCCGAACTGGCCTTCGCTCATGTATGGCGCCAGGGTCAGTTTCTCGTCGTATTTGATCGCGTGGCCGATCTTGCGGCCGAGCGGGGAGAAACGCTTGAGGTGGATGGTCAGGACGACGGGGGCTTCGTGGATCGTGAAACGTTTCTCGGCGACGACGCGACGTTTGCATCTATAGCGGGCGACGACCAAACCAAATTTGGACCGAGCGCGGACAGGAAGAAGCGGCGAGTTTGGTCAGTTCTCTGAAGGATTGAAGACGAGTGACGGATAACATATATACGCACGCATCGCACTTGTACTTATCGGCACCCTTCAAGGAGTCGATGGCAACGAACTTCTTCAAAGCCTGCTGAACGGAGCTGGCGCCGAAGATGTCGATGCTGAGGTCGAGGATGTTATCGAACGTGTCGCTATTGTGGCCGCAGCTCTGGCAGGTCACTCTCGACCGGAGCTTCCCACCGAAAAGCTTGTGGACCCATGTCGTCTCTGCGAGCTTCGGGTCGAGTTTTCTGTCATATCGTATGCAAAGGGGTGAGGACGGCATAAAGGGGGGATGGAGGGTGGAGAGGTACTTACGGAGGGTATCCTGCGAGACATGATTTTTGAAGAGCATCTATGGCATAGCGCAAGAATTCGTGCGAGTCTTCCTGTCGCCCTCGTCTTAGGTGTTTAGCGATGGCTGTGTGGCGCGTAAACAATAAGGCGACATGTCCAGAATACCTGAAGAGAGGAAAGGAGAGCATACCTGAGAGGTTGTTGGTGACTTGTGCGGGAGTGAAAGAACGTTGTCGAGTGAAATGCGAGTTCAACAAGACACCTCGCAAGCAACAAGACATACAAAAGCCCTTCGCTCGACCTGTGTGTAGCACATGGCAATGACATCAACGTCAGCATCTGTGCCTGACAGTGGGGCGACTCACGATGAGGATAAAGAGGAGGGGCAGAACGTACATGGGTCGGTCTTGGTATGAGCGAGAAGGATGTGGAGTAGACCGGGGGTATGAAGCAAACATTGGAGGGCACTGTTGAGAAAGCACGTATTGCCAGTGTTGTGCAGCCCCGCGCCTATGTGTGTTACGCCCTTGGGCCAACTGATATCGATGGCACCGTCGTAGAGATGATGCGACGTCTTGGACGAGTGTTTGGTATTCGTCGAGAGTGGGGTGGAGGTCTTTGCAGGGGCAAACTTTGATTCCTTCGGGGTGGCGGGGGAGGACGACAATGGAGCGCGTGGGGATTCCGGCTGATGACACGAAGCGAGGTGGAAGGTACGGGCGCGCATGAGGGACTGAAAAATAGTAGAATAAGATGAAGAGTAGACGGACCTCATGCTTGGACCCACTCGAGCTCGAAGGCCCGTCGTTGATGGGCTGGAATTTGCCCTCTGGGATAGCGAACGCGCCCGACGAAGAGCCCTCGACGAACTCGACGGGGGGCACCAGTTTCCGGAACGCTTCTTTATCCTTCACAGGTCGATACGAAGTTGTTTCCTCTGCGGGTTTCTGAGGCGAAAAGGCAGGGCCGAGAGAGAGGGGGGCCGGGGCTCTTGCGACTTCTGTCATCCTCGCGGTCCTGAACGGGTTGTGTAGTGATGTTTTGAGGGTGCGGACGCGCTGAAGAGCGTGAGAGAGGACGTGTGTCGTTGTGTCGTCGCGTTGTGCGCCGTGTCGAGTGCGCTGGGGGCCGTGTCGAGGACGAGTGAGGGGAAGGAAGGCGGGGGATGGATGGGTGGAGGATGGAAGGCGGGAGAAAAGCGGCGCGGGTTGAACCAGACACCCTCTCCATTTTCAGATCGCAAAATAGGCGCTCAATCACTCGCGTGTGGCGTTGTTTGGCTCCGCTTGTTTCCTTCAACCACTCTGGGCCACACCGCGGCTTTTGTTCACACGTTGGGTCACATAGAACGGGGCATATATTGTAAGAGTAAAAGCATAGTATGTACGGTAAAGACAAAAAAAGAGGGAGCATATGAACTGTTTTTTTTTTTGGGATGGGTATGGGTATCGATACACTGGGGTGATGAATTAGTGGAGGGGAAGATAAAAACATAAAGAGGGGGGGGAATGTCTGCGCAGACGTATGGAAACAGTGGAGCTAGAGATGCGGGTAGAAATACTAGTGGTGGGTGGGTGGTACGAGTACGAGAAAGGTCATGAAACCCGGCATGATAATAGGCTACAATATCGAATCGAATCGAAGGAGACGATGAGACGAGAGGAAACGATGAGTGAGATGTGATGTTTAGAGATGAGAGGAAACGATGAGGAAGATGAGATGTATATAGATGAGAGATGGGAGCTGAGAGAGATGATATGTGTATAGATGTGTATAGATGAGTAAGAAGAAAAAGAAGGGAGAAAAGAGGAACCATGTCGTTCGTCCAGAGTCATTAGAACCTACACCCTCCTCCTCCCACCAAACTCAAGCCCACCTCCCCGCCCCATACCCAGGCGTCGGAGTCGAGCACCTCGCTGGCGACCCCGGCAAATTCAACGGCGAAGCAAGCCTCTTGGGCGTCACCGGCCCCGGCGTCGAATATAACGAGCTCGAACCACTCGAACTCGGGCTCGCTCCATCCTCGGTCAACGAGAATATCGGCAACGGCGAGAGCGCGGCATAATCGTCGTTCAGATCCACCCAGTCCGACTCCCTGAACTCGTTCGGACCCGCCGGAGCCTGAGCGGCCTGGGAGGGGGGGTAGTAGTCGAACGGGCTGGTCGAACTGGAACTGGACTGGCCGAGGTGCATGTCGGGGCCGTAAGTCGCGGTGGGAACTGCCAGATTGTTGTCGGTGTGGGTAGGGTCTGAGTCTGGGTAGGCGTTGAAGAAGTTGGGTTCGGAGGGGAGGGGGAGATACAAGCCGTCCGTGCGAGAATACATCGTTGGGTCGTACATTCCATAGGCTACATCTATACACAATTCCATATCCGGATCAGCGACCAGCCTTCAAGTTTTCCTCGACAACGATGGGTAGAATGAAAGGGATAGACGTACCGAAACCGAGCGAATTCTGGGTATATGGACCGTGCATCCCATGATCCAGCGCGCTCGTCGCCATGCTCATACTCATACCCGAACCCGAACCCAAACTCATACCGCACTGACCGTCTTGCATCATCAAGAGCGAGGAACCATGGTCAGCCTCAGGCGACGGCGTGTGCAGGTGCGAAGACATGGGCGAGGGTTCGAGAGAGAGGTACTGGGGCTGAGGAGATGGCAGAGAGAGAACCTGGGGCGAAGGCGAGGACATGTACGCGGAGGACGGAGAGGACGAGGACGAAGAGGAGTGCATGTGCGCGGATGAAGACGAGGACGAGGAAGATGAAGATGAAGACGCCGACGAGAGAACGATCGCCGGCCTCGAATCCTCCACATCATCTCGCGCCCCCGTCCCCCTCGCCTTCAACTTCAACCTCGTCGAAGAAAGAGAAGAACATGCCGGATCGAGACACATGTCTATCTCCTTTCCGTCCATGACGAGGCCGTGTTTCAGCCGGAGATGAGTCTTGAACGAGGACTTGCGTTTGATCCTATATGGGTGTCAAGCTGTCAGTACGCTATAACACGGACGAAGGGCGACGAGAAGAGCACTGGCGAGAGAGAGAGGGAAGACGACGTACTCGGTATCGCACGTCGGGCACTTGTACTTGAGCCCCTGACTCTTGCCATGCACCTCCCTTCGATGTCTGCTCTGGGAGGACGGGTCGCCGAAGCGGCTCTTGCATTTACCGATACCGCAATGCCAGGGCTTATCTCTGGAGCTGTTGGTGGCGAGAAGACTGGGTCAGTGACTGACGAGATTGAATTTGTATTACACGATACTTAGGTGGGGGGCGGTGACGCAGTGGCTCAGTGGCTCAGTGGCTCGGAGGGGACGAGGAAAGAAAATTCGGACACTTACTGAGTGTGCTCATGGATCTTGAGAGCGTTACGCTGGATGAAATCGTGTCCACAAATTCCACAAACGAATGGTCTGCAGAACAAACAAAATAAGGTGGCTCAGTCCTCACTCCGATTATTCCCAGAGCACGAGGAGGGGAACACACCTGTAACCAGTGTGCTGAGCGTTATGCCTGTTCAAATCCGCGTTCCTCGTGAAGCTCTTACCGCAGGTAAAGCATGGGAACTAGGTTCCAAGCGAATGGCATGTTAGCGGAGAGACAAAGGGGGCGGCTACGGCCGCGCGAAATGAAGTGAAATGAGATCTTCATTACTCACTGGGCCGGTCATCTTGAAAGTGTCGTAATGATTAAGTAGGTGTCGTTGATTGATTGCCGGGGTGGAGATGCGTTGCGGGGAGGATGATGTCGATACAATTAAGGTATATGATTATAGGAGAGCGGAGAGCAGAGAGCAGATGAGGACAACTAGAGAACACAAAAGACGTCCAACAATGCTCAGCACTGTCGGTGATTATATCGAGTGACGCCGAAGCTCGTTGGGAGATGCTATGCGAGATGGATGAGTTGGAAGTCGGAGAGAGGGTTCAGAGCGGGAGGGCGGGGGAAGAGAGAGCTGGGGCGTGAAGATCCACCCACGTGCTATCAACCGCCGACTTTATATGTGAATCGAGCACTCCGGGAGGAATTAGATGGTGGCACAGGGTTCGCGCCTAACTCTAGGGCGACAGTGGTAAGGGGGCTAGGTGCTGGATGAGATGGGATGAGGGGGGACAACCAATCGACCGGAGAGCCCCCGATTATTTGGGAAGGCGCTATTGTTCTCATTGTTGTCCTCGAGTTATCGAGGTACCCGGGGACAAACATGCGGAGAACACAAAACAAAGCGAGCTACGAGCCGTCCAAGCAGAAGCTTCGGATCGGGGAACGAGGAGGATGTCGAGGCGGGAGATCTTGACCGCGAGGGTGTGTTGGTGCGGGAATTGGTCCCGTTGAGACTTGGGTACCGAGGGAAGCACAGGATAGCTGGCCGGCCAGAGAAATCCAGGGGGTGGCTCACCCCGAAAAACGTAGGCTCGGGTTGGCACGAGGAACCGTCCGTCCGACTACACCGCCTGTCAGCCACCCAACTCTCGAGCTCAACAAAGCTCAACGAGATAGATAGATAGATAAGATACGGTTACTGAATCGCAGGCTTGGACTTGAGAACTACAAAAACCTGGTAGACCTCTTCGCTAAGTAATGCACTGCCTGCAGCCTTGTAGTTTCTGAACTTTGAAGAAAGAGCCAACGTTGGGGTTAGACACAAGGGCGCTGCACCATGTTACGGTTTCGGAAAGGCTCACCTTGCTGAATTGAAAGACAAGAGCATCACAGATCTAGGGTAGACCGATATGCTCTTGTTCTCGGGAATTGGCAATTGCATCTATAGAACAGTCGAGTAACGGCAATCATGCGTCGGTGGCGGGACTCGTGAACCGTCCTGTTGACGTGAGAAATCTCCGCGGGGAAAGTGAAGAACGAGAGAAGAACGGCGGGTGTGTTCCTATTCGAGAGGTCGAGCTCGCGGTAAATCGATGCCACCGAGACATCAAGCATGGAAAACCATCCTTTATTGGCTGTACGTACGCATTGTACGCACGACGTCGATAAGTCAACAGAAGTCACCGCTAGTCGCTCGGCTCGAGTAGTGACGCCTCTCAGGTCAATTTCCATCAGAAACACTCGAAACGAGACCGCCCCGTTCCACAAAGAGAACAAGTGGACACGAGTGGCGTGGGCGGCTTGCTCGCGGAAAAACACTATAATCAGAACCAGCATAGAATTTTGATAGAAGTACAGGCCGCTGGGCCACCACATAATAATAATAAAAGGTGAATAGAAAGATAAGAGATCCAGATACGTATCCTTCCTCCAAACAGACAAAGATGAAACCACACTCCTGAAGAACGCAAACAACAGCGGTCGTCAGGCTCTCTGCACCGTCAGTCTTGGACTCGATCTCTCCGGCGAGCTGTCAGTCTCACTGCATAGGTACTGTGTACCGTCGGTAATTCTCTTGTGTTCGAGTTCAATGCCCCAAGCCCGGTCCGTCGACTTTCTTTGTGATGTGCTCCTCCATCCAAGGAGCGATCGCAACAAGGTCGTCCCAGGTGAAGGAGGCATATTGACTCCTCCCTTGTCCGACGACGAGATCAAGATCCTGGAAAATCGGTCCATCGGTCCAAGGCTTATTTGTGTGTGGGCCGGTAATCTGAGCGATGAGCCTATTACAATTGTGAATCGTCACGAGTTGCATGAGTACACATCGCGTGCCATCGGGGTTCCAGAACGGGGAACAATTAATACCCCTTCAGAGGGTCGGAAAGGAATAGAAGACCGAGGAGGCGAATGATATGATTTAGGCGTTATTGCAAAATACTCACATCAATCCGCCGACCCACTGTCGTCCGCCTTCCTCAAGTGAGCCAGCTCCCAACCACCGTTTGTCTTGACCGCCTGGGGTATATAAGGGATAATTTGCATGGGATTGGGATGGTAGAGGATAGCTCAGATGCTCGTAAGTAGGAGGCGGTGCTTTATAAGACATGGATGCTAACGGGGATGTCGCAAAGTTTCAGGTTCAGAAATGCAACATAATAAAATGACAACAAAACAAAGTGTCTCAGCTTACGGGCGGCTGCGTCATTGGATGTCGACGATGATCTTGTTGAGCGGGCTTCACTCAGCTGACTGTCTAGAGACGACCGTGCTGTTTGAGGAGTTTGAGGTAAAGCAGCGCCTTCTGCGTCGAGCGAGCCTTCGATGCCCGGGGGATGTAGGAAACGCCGTGCATTGGGATTTACGGAATATTTGCCCCGCGGGTTGTTTAGTACACCAAAAGCGAGGATGCGTACATCGGCAAATTGAACGACGAGCTATGCAATGGACCAATGTCAGCGCTCACATCACACTCTTCCATAGATTAGTCTATGTCGATACGTACTCTGATGTGAGTCTCGAGGTGTGCAAGATTAGACTGCAGCCTACAGATCCAGTCCGTGTTAGGGTTTCTCGATAGACAGGGGAATTATGTTGACTGACTTCATGTCATTGAAGATGGCCAACGGATTGAAGCTTCGAGAAGAGGCTTCGAGCTCGTTCGCCGAACCATTACGGTTGAGGACGATATACCTAAAAATAGTAAGGATGGGATATTCATGTGAAAAGCAGAAACACTGACTTTGTCCAGGCCTCATCGGTGGTACATGAGGTCTCACTGCGATGCCATGCGCGGAAAAGCACTCTGATGAGAGCATAGGTGGGTTTTGTGCCACAAAGCGAAAATTTGATGCGTACTTCTTATAGGCTTCCTTCCAGCTGCCGTCTCTCTTCCACTTTTGCCATCCAGGAAGGAACCTTCGCTTAAAACACTAAATTTCATGGGCTCAGCATCAGCAACGGCAGATAGATAAAAGGTAGAACAAACCTCCTCCCATTCCACCTCCTTCATATTCGGCAAGGTGGCGTCGAATAGGAGGAAAGAGGAGCGTGCCATGCTGAGAATCTCTACCCAGTTCTGTCTGGGTACGATGGAGCGAACGCTTAGATGCTTCAGACAGTTCTCGTATTTGCCTGATAAAAGGTTCGACAGAAGCGGGCGTCTCCAAGGATTGAGAGAAAAGTCGGAGGCGATGTGATGTAGACGGTGCGAGAGGTACGAAAGCTATAGGGGTCGCAACAAGCGCTGAATGTAGATTGCCAACCTTCGTGCTGGGCAAATGTGCTCACGGTGATGAGAGACTCGAGATCGAGCTGTTCCATGATGCCTGCAATCAACTCTACCGGTAATGACTCGAGTGTAAGGGCCATTGCTAGAAATGTAGCGAACTGTGGGCAGTGGATGTGAGCAAGGACTGTCAGCCATTAGGCGCCGAACACCAGCTCTGCATAGTGGGACAATCTAATCTTATCGGGACCCGTGTCATGCCGCCCGACGTTCAATCTAACGTTAACACCGTCACCTCTTCTCTCCGGACTACTTATTCGACTCCTGATTCTAATTGTAGAGAATTCATCACTTCCCCGAGATAATGTTATGAAGAATGGGGTACCGTATGGAAGAAACTCGTCTTAGCCTGACTGGTGGACTGATTTTCGCCCCCCGAACCCACGGGCCTACGCGGGCTTCAAGTTCTCAACACCACCGTCGCCGACCGAGGTAGTTTTGACGCCTAATGAACGATGGTAAACATGTCTACTCTATCCGTCTTCTGCACCTCAGCGCCTACCCAGTACACCTCGACCCTTTGGCCACATCGGCTTACAAAACTATGACTGCTTCTGCGTCTCCTGTGGCCAAGGTGAGCGAGTGTTTCCCGAGACGTTGTCTGATAATCGACTTTGTGCCGAATGGGTGGCTGATTTACAGGGAAGAATGCGTCTGAACACGCTTTGTCGTTACCTGTCGCCTACGAGAGCTCCAGCGGACCTGGGCAGACAATAGTGCCTGCTGAGTCTCTAGATTTCCCGGGATCCTTCGCTGCAAATACCTCGCTTGTGCATCCTAAACCGCCAGCACGCTGGCGAACCTGGCTACTTCAGGATTGGAGTAATCCTTCTATATGGCGTGCTGCTGTGAGCTGATACCAAGTCCCCTGACTGTGTACTCTGCTGCTGACTGTTATTGGATTTGCATTATAGCTGCTGGAGGGTATTGCCATGGCAAGCCTTACCTTTGCCTCTGGCGCATTCTCTGCTACCATTGGCTCGTATGGGTCCAATGTAAGTTGTTGATAGTATCTATCACAGATAGTCAACGTCTCTGAACACATATCGCCGTGTCAAGCAATTAGAGGCCTACATCTTCGTTTTCAATAGTAAGTCGCACAGATGCTGCCACGAGTACTGGAGAAGTCTGGTTGACAACAATTCGCATTCAGGCTTGCTCCTGTCTCTCTTCATCTATGCCATTTCGGCGGCCTCAGGCGGTCACGTCAACTCTCTCATCACATTTACAACATTTATGATGGGTCTCAGCTCTCCAGCTCGAACAACAATTTATATCATCGCCCAGTTCACTGGAGCCGCTCTCGGTGGGGGGCTCTTGCGAGCTGGATTTGGAGTGTCCAGGTCAGAGGCGCTTCATGCTATTGGATGCTTCTTTGATGCGGAGACGATTAGCTCGCGGGAAGTGTTTGCGTTTGAGAGTGCGGGGGGGTTTGTTCTTCTGTGAGTTGATGAACAGACAACGTGTTTCCGTCTCCGAGTCTCATGGTTCGAAATCCAGGTTTTTGGCTGTTGGTGTTGGACTCGACCCGCGGAGCAAACGACTATATGGTCCCGCTTTGGGGCCTCTTCTAGTGTCAGTCTATTCTAACCATCCAGATCAACATGCGTTAATCGTTTATTCGCAGAGGCCTTTCCCTCGGTCTCGTCACATCAGCCACTTCGGGTCTTCGAGAAGGCTACCCTGGCGCTCAGATCAACCCGTCGAGATGTTTTGGATTGTCAGTTGCAGCCGGGGATTTTAGCTGTGAGTGTTCTTTGCTCTATTGCTTCTAGTACCATTGTTGTTGTTCGAAGACTGAAAGTTTGGCGTAGATTTCTGGATATGGATCTTCGCGCCTGGTGTCGCGGCTTGTGTGCTAGCGCTGGTGTACAAGGCTGCACCGCCATATCAGAATGAGGCTAGCTCTAAATGACGAAGAAAAGACTTAGTCGTAATGGTTGGCTTTCTTTGTACCCATTGATCCATGTTCGCTTCATATTGCACCTCAGGAAGTGACCCTACTCTCGTAGTCGCCATCACACGTCGACCCTCGTTTCTGACCATGATCGGACTTCTTTTTATTGTTGAATCACTATAATCACCTCGCAAACGGACTACCCAGACAATTTAAGTCTTGGGACCACCCGTGAATGTTCGAGATAAAGTGCCACACCAGCGTCGCCAACCACTTTGCATGATGTTCCCACGGTGCATGACGTCCAGACTGCAGCGGGAAATGATGCAGCTGACCGGAACTGAAGCGCTCGTTGGCTATCCAAGTCGTTGGCATCTCGATGGCTGCTATTCTCAACGTTGTGCAGTGCCATAGGCCTCTCTTGTTTCGCTCCTTCATAGCCTCGTCTGCTTCTTGGTCATTACAACTCTGCTGCTCGATAAGTTCGAGCCTTCACATTGCTGTCCTTCGGGGTAGTATACAGCGGTCACTTATATCTAGTAGCCTGGCGGCGCCACAATATCTACTCTGAATCATGCATCCTCCTGACAATGCCCAGTTCCAGCGAGCTATCAACCAGATAGAGGAAAAGGCTCGCACGTCCGACATAGACTTCACGCAGCAGCAGATCGATGGACAGACCGTCGACACACAGGAACGGGTCATGAAGGAGGTATGCACATTGACATTTCATGGCCCACCCATTGACGCCCATGCCTGTATTATTTTCATAGGTTCTACATCCACACACGAATATCCCAACGGACGACCAGTTCTTCTCAGACCAGGATCGGTCAAAACCTGATCTCGCCTACTTGAAGAATCACCTCTATCGTGAAGGTCGTCTCAGCGAGGGGCACGCTCTGTATCTCATCGAGAAAGGCACACAACTTCTGAAGGAGGAGCCCAATCTCTTGACCGTCGATGCACCCGTAACAGGTCTGTCTGATCATCTCGATTCGAATTGCATTTGTTGAGGGAAGCTCTGTTCTTCGTTTGCCCCTATTTGACATGGACGGCCGTAGTCGTCGGGGATATACATGGACAATATGTGCGTGATTGTTGCTCTCAAACTGAACCCCTCATCACTCAACGTTGATTGCAGTACGACCTGATGAAACTGTTTGAGATTGGTGGCGACCCAGCTTCGACGAGATATCTCTTTCTGGGCGACTATGTCGACAGAGGATACTTCTCCATCGAAGTACGTCATGATCACCCGTAATTCCTCTGCAACATCTAATAATTCAGTAAACTCCGTAGTGTGTGTTTTATCTCTGGGCACTGAAGATCTGGTACCCAAAAACCATGTTTCTCCTCCGGGGTAACCACGAATGTCGCCACCTGACCGATTACTTCACGTTCAAACTCGAATGTATGTTTCTCATCCATAGCACAATTCTCATATCCCTTATAATCTCCTCACATTGAACTCATTGCGTCGGTTTTATAACTGGCAAAAAGGCAAGCGGAAGTACTCGGAGAAGATCTACGAAGCTTGCATGACCGCTTTCTGCGCGCTCCCCATCGCTGCCGTCATGAACAAACAATTCTTCTGCATTCACGGCGGACTCTCTCCAGAACTCAACACTCTCGATGACATTCGTAACGTGCGTCTCATTCCAATATCTCTCACTCCGCCCTCTGCTCCCCTCGAATTGTACAATTGAGATCAGCTTTGAACCATATAGCTTGACCGCTTCCGCGAACCACCTACTTCCGGTCTCATGTGCGACTCACTCTGGTCCGACCCAGCCGAGAATTTCGGTCAAGAAACGGGCTCCGAATCATTTGCGCATAACCACGTCCGGGGATGTTCGTACTTCTTCACATACAATGCCGCCTGTCAGTTCCTCGAGCGAAACCGACTGCTTTCGATTATCAGGGCCCATGAGGCTCAGGATACTGGGTGCGTTAATATCGATCTCCTCTTGTGTCCTTGTCTGTCTAGGGCTATCACTTGGGCTCCTTTCGCTGACCATGGGAAGTAGTTATCGCATGTACCGTAAAGCCCGTGCGACAGGCTTCCCCTCCGTCGTCACCGTCTTCTCCGCACCGAACTACCTCGATGTATACAACAACAAGGCGGCCATACTCAAGTACGACGGGAGTGTGTTTTCGATCCGTCAGGTTAACTGCACGCCACAGTAAGTCTTTATGCGTGTCTGCTCCCCCCTTACTAACTTCACTTGAACCGGAGAACTGACAAATTCCTCCATGGCACTCAATGATGTTGCACAGCCCGTATTATCTCCCAAATTTTATGGATGCGTTTACGTGGAGTTTGCCATTCGTGGCCCAGAAGAGTCAGTCCTCGTGCCAACCTGTCTGACTTCGAACAGAGCAACTGACCCTCTGTCTTATTCAAAGTCACGGACATGTTGATCGCGGTGCTCAACACTTGCACGAAGGAGGAGCTCGAAGAGAGCTCCGACGATGAGTCCGTCTCTGATTCAGACACTGCCAAGGCGGCCAGGAGGAAGGTCATACGGAACAAGATCCTCGCTGTGGGCAGGATGTCTAGGGTCTTCTCACTCCTACGGTGAGTATCTATCCCCTTGTTCATGGCCGCCGCTCCTGCCTCTTTTACCGGAAGGGCTACTCGTTGACCTTGTACACTTCCAGGGAGGAGTCAGAGAAGGTCTCAGAACTGAAGAGTATCTCCGGTTCGAGCAAGCTGCCGTATGGAATGCTGGCCACTGGTGCGGAGGGTATCCACAACGCTATCATGACTTTCGACGACGCGTAAGTCAACCCTTCTCAATCGTCAGAATATTCACACTGACACTGCCATTTCCTCTCATGTTACACATATGTGTATACACGCGACAGACGGAGATCCGACATCGAGAACGAACGTCTACCTCCCACACTCGTCGACGCAAACTCAGAAGAAGGCAAGGCCTACATGTCGCAACCCAGCACACCAATCGACGGCCACCCACCGCCACCGCTCCGACGACCATCAGAGCCCGAAACGCCGCTCGCTCCCAAACAGAGCTATCCCTTCCCCGTCGCTCCTCCCCTCGACACTTCCATGTCGACAAGTTCTACTACCTCGACAGACACGTCTTCTAGCACCAGCGCGAGTTCACCCATCTTCGGCACGGCGCCAACGTCACCCACGTCCGTATCACCTATCGATACGTCGCCTGCACAGACTTCGCCCACGTCACCCGGTACACCCGTGTCGCCCGGAACTCCCATATCACCAGGCGGCACCACCCCGACTGGATATCCTCATAGTCATAGTCCTGCGAATCCGTTCAGGAGGAGTCGGGCGCCCAGTTTGGGGACGACGATGACGAGCCCGAGTACGAGGAAGAGGAGCTTGCAGAGTACGATGAGTCTGTTGAAGGAGGCGGTCGATGGAGATGGGAGGTTGGAGGAGGTGGACGAGAGGTTTGAGCAGTTGGCGGATCATGTTGCGGGGAAGAAGGGACAGGGACAGGTGGGAGAAGGGCAAGGGCAGGGAAAGGGGAGAAGTTAGACGGTGTGGGGTCTGGTTTGGGTGTATTTACGCGTAGGGCGAAGATGCGATGAATGTAGCGGTTGGAATGTATTTAGAAGATCATTTGTGTAGCCTAGCTGTGCGTACGTTATATGTTCTTGGAATGGACTGTACTTCTTGATACATACACGCTTCTTTCTTGATTTTGAGCGCCGTTTGCTCATAACGGCTTGCTGCGAATCGAAGTCTACAGCCGCCGACTGAAAACAGCCCGCTAAAAGCTCCAGATTGTAAGACTTCAAAAGAGAAAATATATATGCCATGTAATATTCGCGTATAAGAAACACGATATCAGAGGATCCATATGCGCACGACCGTCTCGTCTCATCCACCTCCAACCTCCAGTAGCCGAACGACAAATCATCGGTAGACGTGGTCAGCTATAATAGCACGTTGATATACGATAAAATTGTCAGTCGCGTCCCATTATTTGAATGTCATGATTACTGAACAAGAAATACGCACAGTGCAAGTTGGCCGCGATCTCGGCCTCTGCCCTGTCACCATTCGCGAGCAACTTCTCCTTGTTGTATAGCAGCTCTTCACGCGTCTCGGTAGAGTATTCTTGGTTTTGCGCTTTTTAAAGTGAATATAGAAGTGGGGTTAGGGTATGTGGTCTGTGATGACGACAGGGCAAGGAAACGCACTCTCGACAATGGCATCCACTGGGCAAGCCTCCTGACAGAAACCACAGTAGATACACTTCGTCATGTCGATATCTGAAGACAATCGAACACGAAGACCAAGTTAAGGTCAATTGCGAGCGACCATGGGTCATGGAGATTATGCGCACCGTATTTGGTTGTTCGTCTTGAACCGTCAAGACGAGCCTCGCTCTCGATGGTGATGGCTTGCGCGGGGCAAATTGCCTCGCACAATTTACAAGCTAACGCGTATCGACTGAGTTTCCAGTCAAATGTATAAACATGTGGAGCGTTTTCCCTCACCAATGCAGCGCTCCTCTCCACTGGGATACCTCCTCAGGGCATGCTCCCCACGGAACCGAGGCGAAAGAGGACCCTTCTCGTACGGGTACATGATGGTATATGGTGGTCGGAAGAACTGCTCAAGGACGATCCACATTCCTACATAAGGGTAGCAGAGCAGAATTCATGAATTTAGTTCTGCACGCTCGCAGAGTTCAGACAATACTGAAAACGGACCTCGGAGGATCTCCGTGAAGAAGAACATGTGCGCCGCTTTCTCTAGGGCACTTGGACCATCTTTGTATGGGTCCAGCCGTAGTTCTGGCTGGTCAACGGCAGAGTAAGTCTTGAGTGGTGGCGATTTGATATGCCCAGCTTTGTGGTCTGGGGCTTTTTCACTTCCACCGAGAGTATCAAGAGGCTCAGCCTGCTGCAGCCGACGCGATGTGGAGAGAAGACGGTAAGCAATGAGTGAAGACGGTGTTGACGACGGCCTGGCGAGGGCGATACGAGGGGAGAGGCCGAGGGGGAGGCGAGGACGAGCGAAGGACATGGCGGTCGGCGGACAAAGTGGAGAGGGCGATGGCGGGGACGTCGGAGCGCGAGTTTGTTGCTGCCGTTGGCGTTGACGAACGAAGTGACGTGAATTGCCGGGACGGGCCCGCCAATCACAGCGTCCCAGTCTCAAAATCCAAATAAATCCTCTTTTTATTCAGCGGCATCCACCGTGTGGCACTCGCTCGCGTGTTCGTCGTCGACTCCGACTCCGATTCCATCCACCATGTCCACCTCGAAGAAATCCAAGGCAGCCGCGCCTCCTCAGCTCACTGACCAAGGTGCGCTATTTCGCGTCGACATACTCCTCGGGTGCACTCATCGACTCGCCAGAGATCCAGCAGAACTTCACCAGGCTGCAGACTGAGCTTCAAAACATTGCCTCTAAGATCGGCGAACTCGAGCAGGAAGCAGACGAGCATGGGTGCGTCTCGTTCTTGGCCTATCACATTGCTCTCTGTCTGTACTGACATTGTTTTTGCGACTACTCAGCCTGGTGCTTACCACGCTGAACGAAGCGTTGGAAGAAGAGCCCGATCGGAAGTGCTTCCGTCTCATCGGTGGCGTCCTTGTCGAACGCACGGTGAAGGACGTCGTTCCAGCTCTCCAGACGAACAGAGATGGGGTGGGTGTTCAAGTCTACATCTCCTCTTGTTGTCTGACGGTTGATCTTGACGTGATTGCCACCCCCTGATCAGATCAAGAAGGTGGTTAGCACCCTCGCTGAACAGTACAAGTCGAAGGAGGAAATGTTCGACAAGTTTAAACGTGAATACAATATTCGACCTGCCGGGAGAATATAGGGAGCATTTCACAATGTAGAGTCTGGGCTGGAACCGAAGTTTAATGCATGATCCTGTACGTTCGTCTTTCGGGACGGCTTCTCATCTCATGCACAATGGTGTATTATAGCCGGTATTTCTCCTCCTTGCTCTGGTATGTTGATCGCCTGTTGAAGGGGTCGCAATGCGGACATCATCTCCGCGATACCCCTCTGCAGCTATATTAACACTGATAGACAAGATGCGCCGCTCTATCGTGTTTTCTGGGGGACGTGCAGCGACGATCGTCTTTCGATCGCAAGCGACCCATTCATTGACTTTTGTGCGGACAGTCGTCGTCATGAGGACGTTTGAGCAGCGCTGTAGAGAAGCTAATGGATCTGAACGGCTTTTGTCGTCGCCGGATATGATGTTCTAACGGTGCGCTCAGCAACCTGTCTTCCTCTTCTAGGACGACACCAGTGGCCTGGTCACGCGAATAACGTCCATGAATCTGCATCTTCCCGCTTTCGCTCGCTCTTGAGAACGTCGTGGTTATCGCATCTAGCACCTATCCTACCACTTTTCATGCACCAATGACGATGTCGGTCACTTTGACCTGAAGTGGTAAACCGGCGGTACCATCCATCAGTTATGGTGAGCTTCCCTTCCATGTGTACGCCGCCAGCGACCATGCATGAACGGATCACTGGCAGTTTGGGTCAGCGAATATTACTTCCTTCAACTGAGCGAAGTGATGTGGTTGCCCGCTTGGTTGTCGAGGATCGCGATGCCTTCCATATCCTCCGCTCTGCGGCCCATTATCGGACTAGCTTCTGCCTTCGTAAGGTCGCTGTCCCCTTGAAGTAAGATGAGGGAGGCACGGGACGCTTCATATGTTCTCAACAAGTGGCCAAGTCGGGAACATTCGTATGTCTAACCGTGCTTAGATTGCGCGGGCGATCGCACAAGTCCTTTCTTCACATACAAGGCTATTCATTGACCACGGCAGCCCCACCTATGGGATCGGCACCCGGAGGAATCGCTATTCTAGCGACATTGTCCTCGGCACGGTCTTGCGCAGCACCTTCATAGCGGAAACCTTTCCCATGTTTCTTCCTCTCCGTGGCACAAAAGACAGTATGTCCATTTTTAGCCGCTAGATAGCACGTTCCGTGACGCTTCTTCGACCGACGTGAGAGTTTCGCTCTGTCAAAAAGAAGCACTCGGTGCTAATGGCTGGCTGAAAATGGAAGGTGTAGTGGTTCAGCAGAGGTCGCCGCAATTGTCAATGTTTCCGTTGTCTCCGGGACGGTCCGTTCACCCTTCTCTGGCTCAACCTCTTGAGCTATTCATCTCTTGTCTCCCCACATCTGATTGGGTCGATGATGCAGTGAAGCCGGTGCTTCTTTGCTACTCTCAGTATGGCCGCTGTCATGATTCTATCAATCTACCATCCCGGACCACCAGGCCAGGGTGGACTCAAGAGGTGTGTTTCGAACCAGTCCGGTAGTTGTCGCGGACGGCTGTCTCGGTTTGTCTGGCCAGGAATGAGATCCAGAGCCAACAGCATCTCGACCCTTTTGACACACTGAATAATCACAATCGCATCTGCACTCATGAAGTACCCCCACGGAAGAAGTTTGGAGACCGAAGAAGCACCAGACGTGGCTCAGCCTTTAGCGAGTGTGGGTGGAGCGCATCGGCGAAACCGGTAAATGTATCATTATACGTCTTCGTTACATCCATATTCACAGACTACTCATCGCAGTCGAAGCCAAGCACATGAAGTGTTACGCTCTTCAGTAACATTTCTGAACGGTAGAGCCCGCGCAAGAACAATATACCACACCCAGTCACCTTCATCGCCTGCCACGGACCCCGAACCCCCAGGATCCTCCTCGAGTTCATTCATATCGTCTTTCGTGCAGGGCAATGCACAGCCTATGCTGGCCCCACCCGACTCGCATCTTCCGCAGATTGACCGGCGCAGTCGACGCCTGGGCATGAACCGATCCTTCATGGATATCTTCCTTGATAGCCCTCTCCACGAAACGGCCACATCGGACTCGAATCCAGAAATTGACGACTCATATAGTATTATGGCGGGAGCGAACAGCTGTCATGGTCCCTTCCATCTCCATCACATTCCACAGTGGCGTAGTCACCCCGCGCCGACTCCTATCTCATGGGAAGATCCTAGAGATACCACAGCCCAGATTGTGACAGAGAAGGAGGACGAATGCGCTACAGATCGACTCGAGTTCGAAGCGGGCGTCTGGAGGCGGGGCGGTGGGCTGAGCTTGGGCAGTGGTCACGATTGGGATAGACGAAGCATTGCTATTATTGACGTCAAAACGCTGAGGCTGGAATCGGCGGAAAGGTCTACTGTCGATTGGAAGAGTGAGCTTGAGCTTGGACATGGGACCGCGGCGGGCGACCCGGGTGTGCCCCAGATGCTGTAGTCGCTATGAAGTTACTTCGGAAAGGGCGAGAGTCACCTAGTACAGATCGTTCGATGTCCTTCTGCATACAATCCATTGCTGTAAAAGCTAAATTTTGCGCCTTTATGTTCCCTTGGATAGCTACTGTGGATAATTTCCGAGTTGAAATTAAGATAGCGACTCTCACAGGTGTATCTTTGTCCACAAGCTGGGGACGAGGTGGTCCTATCCATCTTGTACGGGCTATCCGGCTTTTTCCGAATCACCGCATTGCGTCATCGGCCGCTGCTCGTCCGGACTCGCGTCGACGCGTTGCACAACACCGACGACAACTGTGGTCTACTCGTTCTTGTTTCTCGTCGGTCTTGCGACTGTCTTGCTTCCAAGACTGGAGAAGAAAGGATGAACTCTCAATCGCCTACTTTCACGCAGTCGCTCATGGTCTGTGCTGTTAATACCGTTCTGCCCTGATATTTATATCTAGTGTAATCTCCTTGCTAGGCGGGGGGACTGGCAGGAACGTCGGTGGACCTTCTATTCTACCCTATAGACACTCTCAAGACCCGTTTACAGTCCGCCCAGGGATTCTCGAAAGCAGGGGGGCTAAGCGGGATTTACAAGGGCGTGGGAAGTGTGATTGTTGGGAGCGCTCCAGGAGGTGAGTTTCTAATCTTCGTAGAGAGTGAGATGGAGAAGCTCATTCAATTCCAATTGAGTGATCAGCCGCTGCTTTTTTCGCAACATATGATACCCTTAAGCGGACCCTTCCCATCCAAGGAGACCTAGCTCCCCTAAACCATATGGTGTCTGCATCTATGGGAGAAGTCGTACGTCTTGCGCCGTGATAACACACATCCCTCTTCCGCTCAGAATCTTTGCGTTACTGTTCGATCGGAACGCTTTAGGCTGCTTGTCTAATCCGAGTACCAACCGAAGTCATCAAGACGCGTGCACAGACTTCGACATATGGACCCCTAGCCGATTCTTCCCTGGCTGCCGCTCGATTGTTGTGGAGGGCTGAGGGTCTGAGTGGATTCTACAGAGGGTTTTCTATCACCGTGATGCGCGAGGTGGGTCATTGATACACTTCTTTGGCATCTTGAGAACGGAGAGAGCCAAATACACTGCCTGCCGCCTCGGCTGATATCCATTTTGTGAACTAGATTCCGTTTACATCGCTCCAATTCCCCATGTACGAGATGTTCAAGCATCGCCTCTCCCTATTCCTGTACCAAAAGCCCGGGCAACTACACGCCTACGAAGCCGCGGCATGTGGAAGCGTAGCTGGTGGCATCGCCGCAGCGCTCACAACCCCACTCGATGTTCTCAAAACTCGAGTCATGTTAGACTTGCGAGTACGTGTACAAATATCAATCAAAATCTTTGATGCCCGCCTCCCCTTTCGCTACCGACGATGTACCTTGCTGAACTGACTCTGATCCTAGGACCCCAAGCATTCCACATATCCCTCTCCTCTGTCCAGATTGCAACAGATATATGCCGTGAACGGCCTACGAGCTCTTTTCGCCGGCGTAGTTCCAAGGACGCTGTGGATCTCCGCGGGCGGCGCAGTCTTCCTTGGGGTCTACGAATGGACAATCGGTACACTGTACCCTTCTAGACGAGAAACGTGATATCTCCACCATGCTCGGCCCCTCCGCCGCGGCTTTCTGCTCTGGATGACTATCAGCGATCGCGTTTCTGTTTCACAGGTGAGACAATATATCTCGTCTGGTCCTCCCAAGCTCCTTCCACAAAGCAGTGCACTGCTCAGTAATCCACAGTTTGGTTGGCCGTCTCGAATGCACGTGTGGCCTTGTTCTGTGAAGTGGGATAGTATCCGAACTCTAATGGCCAGAGATAAGACATCGAGCCGACGATGGAGTGGGCGTAACGGCAAGGAATGGTCGGGTGCTCCGCTCGCTGGCAAACGTGTACCAGCAGCGCCCTTCTGTAGCCCATCTAACGACATCGCCCGACGGGGCAGGCAAGAACGGCGAACTTGCCGAGTTAGAGTTCAGCCCAAAACGGCAGGTCGGGCCCTGCCCGTTAATTTCGAGGTCGGGTTTTCGGAAGGTTGTGGGTCAGGAATGGCTCCTTCTCATTGTCGGTGCTTCTAGCCTGAGTTTATTCTCGGTGCACACCGAGCATGTTGATAAGAAGGTACCCACTCCTATTCCTTTTCATTCATCTAGAGCGTCAGCCAATCTTTGTCGCAACTGTGGATTGGAACGGTGGCGCCACAGGTCCCGAGAACGCTAACTATTTGTGAACTCATGGATGGATGCGGTCGCGCTAGGCCCGAAGGGACCGTCCATTCCTTAATCACCAATCACTGCCGGGCCCGGGTCAAGTTGAAGAAGTGCACATACCCTCATCGTGATGATTCAAATGACAAGCTAACGTTCATCTCCGGCGCCTTGCCTTGAAGCTCTAGCGGGTTTCGCCCTCTGCCCGATGTACCTGTGGTAGTAATAATATCGTGTTCTCCGAGAAGCCGTCAAAGCGTTGCTCGCGAAATTGCTTCCTTTGCTTCCGTGCAAGTTCATCCAAGCTTCGCTACCTCCGTAGTTCACTATCCGGCTCAAGTCCGGTGTATCTCCAGCGCAGACCTGACACGTCGAATGGGTCGGTGTTATACGGTCCTTTGCACTTGCTATTCGAGGCTACTGGTTATCGGTACCTAACATAGCAGACGCTCGCGATTTCCTGTCTCCATAAGTGCATCCGTCTGATACCGTATACTACTTACCCATCGAGTTCCGAAGCTCGTATTCCATGCCAGGACCATGGTGTACCGTCGATCAGACAACAGCCCCCGCTAACTTGATTACGACAGATCGCTCGCTCGAAAGCAGATCCACTCATCATTAGCGAGCGCCAGGCTTGCATCGACTCTATGCCCGTTTCATTGTCAAGGTTTAGAAACGCGTAGGCGCGCGTGTCCGAGAGGTAGTGGGCACTCAGGAGCCCAATCTCTATCGGATCCTACGAAACGCCCAGGACCGTGCTCCGAGGCCGACGAGTGTCGAGCCGGACCCTGTGGTCATGGTCAGTGGCATCTGGAGGGACTGACGCCCAAGAGGATGAAACCACTCCCAAATCCTTTCGAGGTTATCCACGAGGCTAGCAAGAAGTTTTTGGTTTTGGCGCTGTTAGGCCGTCCAAGCGCTGATCATATACATCCACCATACTTTATCCACAAGCTTCAAGCTAGCGTTGAACGGAGAAGCGTTGGGCCCGACCGACCACCACTAGTACGAGTGCCACACTCCCGACTTGATCCACTGGGTGCCGAGGTGGTACCGGTTGTGAATGACTGGCAATCTCGGCCTCTCCGCTCCAGTGAAAGAACGAAACATGCACACCGACCGCATGAACGATCGCTGACACGTCGCGAGTAGAGAGGTTTTTTTGTGTCGGGGAATCACAAGCCAACTTCGTGTCAGCTGGGACTTCAATATTGCTCGACGCTCGTGCATCTATCCCTTTTGGGTACTTCCAAGAACCCACCCAACCACCGAAATTGGACGTCGAAGTCGGATCAAGGGAGATAGGCTGCTTGCGCCTTCGAGAATCCAGAGCTGTTTCCAACTCTTTCTTTGTTCTGCATACTCGCACATTCACATCGGATAAGCGGACGTCATGGAACGTGGACGAGTTGGAAATGGAGGGAGTATGTATAGGTCTCGCGCTTCGGCCTGAGTATAATAAGTATCTCTGGCCCAATAAACACAACCTGCCCACCGACGATGCATAGACATGTGCATTGTGGACCAATAGATAGTGCAAAGATTACAAGAGTTACAGTCTAAGTACCTGGGTCTGAATCCAGTCCGTCAAATATACAGTCACTGGGTCACGCAGTCCGTCATCGATTCATCCTTGGGTCTAATCTTTAGCAACATCGTACGGTCTGGAATATGGATGAACCCGGTGAGAAGAATTCGGTGTGCAGCCCCTGTCCCTGTCCCCGCTCTCCTCCACCGATGTCATTACATGCACCACCATGGGTTTCGTCGAGTGTGGGCTGGTATGAGTGGATATGTTTCGGAGCTCCAAGGGTGCTGTTTGAAGGACCGTACGGTTCATGGTTCCACGGGTCTCGGGATCAGCGCGACCGTCATGGGAGAGCAGGGCGATGGAGTCCAGTTGTGTCATTTTGAGGGCGACGAGAAGGATGATGAGGGACGAATAGATGCCCTAGAGTAAGGTACCGCGAAAGTGGAACCGACATCGAAGCGTTCGCCATTCCATTCGGCAGCGCGATGTGGAGCGTCGGTCAGCAAACGCAGCACACTCTCACACATAATGAAAAGCAGATTGGAAGGATCGTGCGAAGTGGAAGGGAGGGACGTACCGTCAGCTGAGGGATGTTGTCCGCAATCAAGAAGTTCCCGTGTGTGCGCGACCAGTACACGATGAAGCAAATGACCTGTTCCGATGCGAAGATGCGAAGGCGACACAGAGCATACGCACGGATGCGCGGACATGAACAAAATTAAGCATGGATAGGGGTAAATGGTAAGTTACTTTTTCTCTGGAGCCATCGAGCGAAGATGGGAAGTGGGAAGTATGGTGCGTACCCAGGTGAAGCAGTACAGGAAGCCGGATTCCACGATCGTGGCCAGTATCTCCTGGCTCAGCTTGCGGGCCTCACTTCGGCGGTCCTGGATAGATGATCGATTATACCATCTGCGAATTCGAATTCGAATCCGAATCCGAGGTGAAGCGCGCCCGATGCACGAGAAGTAGTATGCGAAAGTTATGCCGTTAGCATCGGGCCAAGACAGTTCGGGGACAAAAGCAAAGAGGAGGAGAAAGAAGTTCCGGACGGTATCGTGCACATATCAGCGTCAAAGCGTTTAATTCACGCTTTGAATCGGACATATACACATATTGAACGCGAGTGACAGCAAGAACAACTAGTCAGATTCGGACGTATATGATGTCGCGGCAACTTTGTTTTGTGTAGACTTGGACAATGGACAATTGATGGGAGTGGAGTAAATCGAAAAGGGATCAAAGAGAACGCCACGCCACATACTACGTACCTTGCTCGATAAGCCACCAAAGCCGTCGTGACAACATTCGTGGCGAGCGTCAGACAGTTGAGCGCTAAGGTCCATGGATAATGCGCGTCGAGGACGATTGTATGCATATGTGCTGCCGCCTGTGTCGTTCCCGCGATGGCCGTGACTGCGGCCATACAACCATCCATGGCCATGGCCCGACATGAAACATAAGAATATGCGTGAAAGGGGACGAGAGCAGTCAGTTATCATAATTTAGTTCAGGAATGTAATAAGTCGATGATTTCAAAGCCGGGGGTTTGCGATCAGTGGCGGAGGCAGTGGAGATGAAGGTGTGAATGGGATCGGTTGTGAATAATACGGTGGCGGACTAGCAAGAGCCTGAAACTGTAGTTTAAACAAGTAGCTGAGTCAGACGTACCGCCGGTCGCGAGCACTAGGAAGAGAGGCGGTACGCAAACCCAAACGTTGAAATTCCAGAGGAGGTATAACCGCCATATGACAATCAGGTCCGCGAGCATGAACTAGTAAATACGGATTTACGGCGTCAGCCGTCAGCGTTGAACAGTGAACACCACGTCAAACCGGATTAGGGAAGTAGAAAAGTAGAAACAAGGCGGAACAGAGAACGGTCAACGGGGAACGGGATCGGAGATACTCACATTAATCGCAGGCAAATACATCTTCGCGATACAGAGCGCATCCGTCCCCGGTGTATTCGGATCCCAATTATTTCCGTTCAGGAAGCTGTCTGAGAAAACGCGAAAACTGAGGACGAGGTGCGTCGTAGACACGGAGTACATGATCACGGTGGCGATCAGAACATAGTGGTGTACCAGCCTCTGAGCGGCACCCCTTCGTCTGTGGAACCTGCAGAGTCGTCAGGACCGGGTGCATCATTGTCATCGCCCATGCAGGGGAGGGGAGGCACCACCACTTACAGGAGCAGGTACAAGCTGCTTATGAAAAGGACGGAATATACGCCTGAACAATCACAAGATCAGAAGAGTTCCACTGGACATTCTCGTCAATATTTTTGGAAATAGGATACACGCACCATACAGAATACACTCCAGCCCTAGCGACGCATAGAACTCAAGATCCATAGCGACTTACGACGAAAGCTCACCGTCCGCCTCTGGAGTCCTCCAACCACTGGCAGTACCTGAGCAAGCGCGTAGTACTTAGTGGGCAAGGAACAAGGAACCCTCCAACCCATCTCACACCCACACGTCTCGCTATAAGTGACCCCAGCAGAGGAAGCCATCATGATGCCTGATGAACAGTACACAGAGATAAACCGCAGAAACAAGCACTCCGTGATGCGGACGTTCCGTTTATGGACTGAAACGGTTTCAGGCTCCGCCTAAGTGCGCGTCTGTCCGTGGTTCTACCGTCTATGGAGTCTGATTTGCGGTATCAGACCTGTTGGAATGAGGAAGGTATGATGTACGAGGGGGTCCTGACGACCTCCGCAGCGGTGAACGTGCGCGTGCTCTTTTTCTCAGATCATCATCCTTCAAGAAAGACAAAACAAAGCGATAAGCAAAGAGGCCATACAAGACTGAGCGTCCACAACAGAGGTCAGAACACAAGGATGAATAAATATCAGGAGAACACGATTGGATACAAGAAAAGAACGTCACCCCTCTATCTCCCTTCGACTTCGCCGTCCCGAGTCGTTTTCTCCAAGATCTTCAATCCCCTACGTTCAAGGCGAACCGCCGCGCCTATAGCCCACTTCCTCCATATCCACATCATCTCCCCTCGTTCCCCTAGCATACGACTCCGCCTCCCCACGACGCAGCCTCATATCCTCTTCTTCCTCTCTCTCTCGCTCCCTCGCCAGGATCCTATACTCCCTCTCCCTGACCTCCCTATCATAATACATCCTCTCCCTCGCCTCTTCGTCCATCGGATCCTGCCTCACCAGACTCCCCGAACGTGACCTAGGCGAAACAGCGCCGTACGAATCGCCCGGTACACCAGCTCGTCCACGTCCGTGCACCGAACCAGAATTATACGAAGGCGAGCCCGCGTGCGCATGCGCGTGTCCGTGCCCATGTCCGCGCTCATCATACTCCGGCCTCCCACCCGCACCCGCCGCGATCCCACCCCTCCTCACCTCGCGCTGTTCCCTCTCCACTTCCCACTCTTTCACCCTCTCACGATCGTTCATCTCCCTCAACCTCTCCTTTTCGATATACTCCGCCTCGTAACCCGGTGGCCGCACGTTATTGATGTTCGTGCCGGGTCCTAAGCGTTGGTGTCTATGCATGTGGCCGGACCCGCCGCCGGTGCGGGTTTCGGAGGATGATGCCTGGGAGTGCGAGATCGTGGGCGAGAGGGGGTTGTCACCACCGCCAGCACCACCGCCAGCACCGGCACCGGCACTCATGCTCAGACTCATGCTGGGAGCGAGAGATGAAGAGACGGAGACGGAGACGGATGGAGGTGGCGGTGGCGCGGGAGTTGAGTTTGCAGTTGAAGCGGAGACGGAGGGTGGACCGGGGATGTAGCTGACCCCCGGGGAAGGTTGATGTTCGTGCGTGAGCTCGTGAATATCGGACCGACGCGATCGTCCACTTGCGCTTCTTTCTCGTTCTCGTTCTCTTTCTGCAGTAGGTGTGATGTTGTAGTCTTGCGGAGGAGGCGGACGCGGTTGGTAACGGTCCATAGGAACTGGAATTCCTTCGGGGGGAGCATCGTAGCCTGAGACGATAGTATTTCCGACGCGGAATTGGCCGCGTGAGTTGGAGGTTAGGGTGGTTAGGGAGGGTGGTGGAGGTGAGTGGGGATGGGAAACGCGGACGAGTTCGTGTGGACGGGGGGGTTCGAGATGTTGGATGGAAGAAAGCGAGGGTAACGATTGGTGATGACTTCCACCACCACCACGAGACGAAGGATGCGCGGACGAATGTCTCGAAGAATGGGCGGTAGGACCGATGCCCGGATGGGTGGTCATGATGGACGGATCGGCGATGTGCAATGGCGAGCCATTGGGTGGTAGAGCAGCGGTGAGCCTCGTTCCTCCCCCGCTACCGCTCTGCGTTCTATACCAGCCTTCGACGCCGGGAGAATCGTATGGGTCGCTGACGACGCCGGGACCACCGACGTAGGGGTCGTGGATATCACGAGATGGGTAGTGTGGCCTGCTCACACCTGGATAGGATGGAGGTCCGGCGACTTGGTGGGACGGCGGTATTTGGTACTGAGCTGTAGCAGAGAGGCGCTCGTAGATGATACTGAAGAATATACAGCAACGACATTGACAAGCACAGTCAGGACGAGGACGAGGGTTGAGGTAGCATGCATGGCAGGCACTCACGCGCGCTCGATCCTCATACGTTGTATATTCCTCTTAGCCTGAAGAGTTTTGAACACGAGTTTATCATTGTCCTATCCCGAGCGAGCGACCAAAAGACCCAGAAAAGTCCATGAGCGCACGAATAGACGAAAAGTCAACATGAACCATGACTGGAATACACACCGCCTCGATCTCCTTCACCTTCTTTCTCAACTCCTTATACTTAGCCTTATACTTCGCGTCCTCGGCGCCAGCGGCGATACCTATCCCAGGCGTGAACGACTTGAGTTTCTGTCGACTCATGGCCATGTTCGGGTTTTGGTTTTGGAGCATTGACGCCGAGGGATGAGGACCGACGCCGGGCTGAGTCTGAGTATGACTACTATTACTAGGCGTGTTGCTCTGGATCTGTTGTTGGGGCGGATACGTGGAAGGATGGAGATGGGCTGAGGGACCGGGCGACGGCTGGTGCGACATGGACGTGGAGGCGGTGGTGGTGGTGGTGGAAGAAGTGTGTGACGTGGGAGGACCGCGTCCGTCCGTTCATAATCAAAGGAATATACTAATATAGTTTGGAATATTCTGACAATCACGCCCCCTTAGGCTTCCCTCACCCCGCGTAATTTCCCCTGGTTTCGGCGTACGGTCGACGCTGGCTGGGCACGATGCGCGATACCAATGCTGTGGCGCAAGCCCTCATGTCATTCACCCTCCGCGCTTTCCATATCGGGAGAACGAAGCACCTACTTCAGTGGTTGTTTCCGAGGGCATCCATCCTTGTTTGAAGTTTCTCTCTTGCGAGTCAGAGTGAGAGATGACCGTGTGCGAAAAACGAAGGCTGGCTCTCGATTCGATGCGCATTTGCATTCCCTGCATCTGTTCTATTTTGAAGAGTCACGATGAGGAGTAATCATTGTGTTGTATTGTAATTCTCCGAGCCGCGGGTATGATATGATTGCCTGACTCTCATTGACGATGCAGTACGCAGTACCGTACCGTAAAACCTGTTCGTGACATATGCGTCCGAATACGCATACGCGAATGGGGTAAAACTCATCGCTTCCGAGTCCTCCAGTGTGATTCGAGGATCGTACTGTATTACTGTAACGCGTCCAACTAGTAGGTCCAACTACGCGGTGTGAGTCTGAATCTGAGTCTGCTGAAAACTTTTTGGTTATGGATTTTCCAATTCAACACCTCACGAGCCTCCGTTCCGAATCTCTTCTTCACTTCCTCAGGATCTCCGTGGACTTTGGACTTTGGAGTGTGAGTGGGTGAGTCTTGTGCTCATGAGGACCTACAGTTGTGTCACGGTTACATTCCGGGATCAGAAGGTCGCCTCTGGATCTAAATCTATGGGTGGCCGTGGGTTCGGGTTCGGTGGGGCGAAATCGAATCGGAATAGAGTAACAGATGCATATGCATATGCGAATGGATAGGTTCCTCTGCGATTCTTCAGAACCTCTGATCTCCTGCATCTCCATCCCAGTCGTCTGGCAAAGACGTCGGGTTCGGAACACAACCGGCCGGCCGGAGGAGGCCGGCGATTACGGCAAGAGAACGAAGCGTGAGAAAAATACCCGGGGCGCAAATCGAATCGGCGATCGTACTTCGTGGCGTGCAACGAATCCTGAACTCAAACACTCTCACCAGACACCTTCGCTTCCACATTCGACCGAGCGACCAAGTTTGAACCAGCGAGTGAGCACGAGGCTACGAATACGCATACGCATACGAGTCAGTCGTCTACTTCTTTCATTGTGGTTGTGGTTGTGATATGGAAGTCCTCCTATTCCCTATTCCTATCACTCTCACTCCCCTGGGCTCTGCTCTGCTGCAGCTTCTGTGATATGTTGCCCTGCCCGAAGCACAGCACAGACAGACAGACTTCGTTCTTGTTTTGGGCTGAGAGGGGAGAGTCAGAATGCTAATCATATACTCTTATTCACATCCATTCGTCCATTCGTGCATGCAGTGTCACAACCTTACAGACAGTAAGTTCCGGTTCGACCCTCTCCAATCCAATCTATCCAATCCCTTGCTCCCCCTCCCTCCAATTCAAACCCTCCAATCCAATCATTCCTCCAATACCCTCCACCCACCCCACCCCCCCCTCCTACACCGCCCCCATGTTCCCATCTCATCCCGTGGTCTTATGTTCATCACCCACCCCCCAGGGACATGCCCCCCTCGGGCGGGTTCGAAGCCCTGAAATACAAACGCAACCTGCCCTTCCGCGGCCCGAGCGGGGTGATGATGTTGCTCGGCGTGACGGCCGTGAGCGCGTTTGGGTTTTGGAGGTTGGGGAAGGGGAATCTTGAGCGGAGGTGCGTTCACTCTCTCAATCTATATTCTATGGGAGTTTTTTGCGCGTACGAGGAAGGAGAACGAGGAAGAGAGGAAGAACGCGTTTGGATTGACGGTTATAGTATGCATGACGCGGATGCGGATGCAAAGGCGAAGGCGAATCAGCCCACCCATCCAGCTATGTCACGGTAGCCAGCATTCGGAGCACGGATGTGGACGCGGTCCAGCCCTGCTGCACCATTCGGAGCGCGGAATGCGAACCTACAATTGGAGTAGCCCTGCGCGAACGCGAACGCGTGCTCCCTTGCCATTTCGAACACAGACGCGAATCAGCACCAGTAGCAGAGGAACGGAGAACGTGTCAAGTGATCCTCGCGCTCGTCACAGAACGTGGACTACGGCATGCCGGTAGCGCAAGCCGATGTTCTTGCACACAGAGAGCTCGACGCGTTCTTGTGACAGAGACTGTGTTCAGCTCGTTCTGTGCTCTGTTGTTCGTGGTTCGCGGAGCCGGTGTTCTGGGCTCGGAGGGGCAGGAGAAGGAAGGATGACGGATTTGGGACGTTCGGAATGCTTATATGTTCTTGATTGCATTGTAGGGAATTGGAACGGGAGAAGGTGTGGTCGAGGATCCACCTCGTTCCGCTGCTGCTCGCGGAGGGGGACAGGGACGCGTACCGGAGGCAGGAGGCGGCGAAGGCGCGGGAGGGGGAGATCATGAAGGACGTGAAGGACTGGGAGGTGAGCGTGTTTGGATTGTTTACAGCGTATGATGAACTGAAGCGATTGACTCTGGGGTGTGATGACGTGATGGGATGGGGATCAGGCTGGGAAGAGTGTGTACAACAAGGCTCAGTACCAGCAGTCGGAATACGTGGTCGTGCTGTGATTGGGAGGGGGTCTGAAAATAGATGTGCATTGTCCGCGTCATTATCGTAGAGCAGTGTGAGAAAGCGCTGTGTGCCTGCAGCTGTGCTTGGACGAGTGTGGGTACGGAGAAGAGGCCGGTTGGGTGAGCACAATGGAAGCCGGGGTGGGGGGCAGCAGATGCCATATTGGGAATGTTCAGGGCCGGTCATCTACGCGCCGGCGTTGCAGAAGTCGGAGGAATCGGGGACGAAGAGGGAAAGGGATTGGGGGGTCGGACCGTGCCAGATCCAGGGCGATATTCCGCATTGGGAAGGGCGACGATTGCGAGAGCGTGGCTGATGAGCCGGGCAGATGGCACAGCAGCTGCTTCGCCCGGGCTTCGTCCTTGACTCGTCCTCATCCTCTCCCCGACGATGCGACCACTCCGTACCGCCCTTCCCAGATCCCTATATAAGCTCCCCCTCCCTCCCCGTCCCTTCCCCCCTATTCGCCCCCCCGCCACCATGCACCCATACCCCGCCACCCGTCGCCACTCCCACTTCCCCTCTCCACACGACGCCTCCATGCAGGACGCCTCCCCATTCCTCCCCTTCTCCGACGACACCCTCCCCCGCGACCACTCCCTCTTCGACTCGTCCGACAACCTCTTCGCCATGGACGTCGAATCTTACCCCTCCTGGGACGTCAACAACACCCACAACAACCACCCACCAGCATCGCCACCGAACGCCCCCGCGTTCACAGACTCGCCCGCATCGCCGTCCAGTCAGCTTGACTATCCCCCCTTCGGCTCCGATCCACATCTCTCATCGCCCAATTCATATCAAGGGCCCCACTCCTTCGACAACGCCTACACCGCTGTCGACTTAGATAACGCTTATCACAACTGGTTCAACGTCGATGACACCCCGCTCCAATCGTCATCCGTCCCGATCGCCATCCCCTCCCTCGACTTCAATCCCAATCCCCAGTCCAGCCCCTCCTTCGTCGCCTACGACGACCACCTCTACTACCCCGGTAAGACCGAGCAGTTCTCACCTCCCTCTGACTACGGTCTCCACTCCTTCCCCCACTCCTTCGACGACCAGCACCAGCACCAGCAGCAACAGCTCTTCCCGTCCGTCTCCCCCCCGGAGCTCTCCCAGCCCTCATGGGCCACATCCCTCTTCGCTCCGCCCTCCGCTCAACGGCCACCCACGTCGCCGCCACCCCAACTCCTCTATCCGCCCTCGCCACACTCGGACGACAACTTCGCCACCCAACGACCACGTCATCGCAGGGTCTCCATGCCCGCTGCCTCGCATATCTTCCAGTCCTCCAGCGCACCGTCCGGCCTGAGAGCCCCGTCGCTATCACGCCCGTACAGTCGGCGAGCAGAGTCTGCCAGCACAGGTGACGATCCCGACGCTACCGTCCGCAGGAAGAGAAAGGTCGAGCTCTCGGAGGACGACCTCATCGCTGAGCCTTCCATTGCCGTTGCCGACAGGACCAGACCGGCGAGCGAGACACGTAAGCCCCCATTCCCTTTCGTCTGCGCCACAACAAATCTTATTCGCTGACCCACACGTCCCCACATCCACACAGCCCCTCAGAAGTCGCACCTCCATCCTCCGAAGCTGGCACCGTCGGCGTGGCAGTTGTATTTCACGGACTGGATACAGAGACATCAGGCGACGAGCGCGCGAAAGCTGAACGTTGCGCAGGCAGCCAAGGAGGCTGGGGCGGAGTACGCTGCACTTAGCGCCGCCGAGAAGGAGGTTCGTCATTGATTGTCATTCTCATCTATCATCCCCCACATACACGTCTGTACATGCATCATTCATCGATGCGCAGTGTATGATCAAGAGCTGTGTGTGAACATCCGTGCTGACCCCTATTCCTTTTGTTGTCCTCATCGGTCCTGTTTCGTTCCCGCTCCCGCACCTACACAGCCCTACCAGCGCCGTTCCCAGACGATGAAAGAAGCCCGCGAACGCGAGTACACCAAGTACATGGCCTCGCTCTCCCCGGACGACATCAAGCGCGAGAACGTGTTCCGGTCTGCGCAGCGCAAGGCGGGCAAGTCGCGCAAGGGGAACATCAAGGACCCGAACGCGCCGAAGAAACCGCTCAGCGCGTATTTCATGTTCTTGCAGAGGATCAGGTCGGACCCGGCCTTGGTCCAGGACGTGTTCGGAGAGGAGACGGAGACGACGAAGCAGAGCGTGTTGGCGGCGGGCAAGTGGAGGTCGATGACGGATGATGAGAAGAGAGTGCGTCTCTTGTCGTAATCCCTACCGCTCGTGGGTTGGAAAAAGCTGACCTCGTCGTGATTTAATTTACAGCCCTTCTTAGCTCAGGCAGAACAAGAGAAACTCGAGTACGAGTCCGCGCGGAAGAGGTACGAGGAAGGGTCGATGATGATGGATTACGGAACGAGTATCAGCTTCAGCGTGTTGCCGCCAAACTCCTTCCAGACGTCGTCTATCCCCTTGAGCTCGTCCGCGGGCTCGCGCTCCGTCTCGGGTGTACGTTCGGGGTCGGGGTCGGTCAAGGCGGAGCCGTTTAGTTCGGAGAGTGAGAGCGAGGCGGATTCGGTGGTGTCGGGTGTAGCAAGCAGCAGCGGGAGGAGGTTTAGAGGGAGGGTTTGAGCGCGGTTAGAAGTAGGTAGGATGTCGGGGCCTGGGGCGTCCCTGGATGGACTGGTTCGACGACGACGACGATGATGGGGAAGATCTCTCCTTGCACTCATCTTTACGAATTTCTGTTTCTAGTTTTTACTTTTCCTTCACTATGCACCACCCTTTGCTCTTTGACTTTTTCATCCTGTTTATTCCCTTCGGTTCGCTCGACTCGACTCGACTCTCTGCGTGTTTGTGTTTCTTGGTCCGAGGCTGGGTCTTCCGGCCTGCGGTCCCGGTGGGACTATCTTTTGCTCTTACTTCCTCTTTTCTTCCTTCGTACATATGCTTGACTTTTCTTTTCTTTTCCTTTGCTGGTTGGGGTGGCATGGCAAAGCGGCCATCTCTCGTCCCGTTCACGACGCGCACACGTTTTATCGCCGATGATACCACTCGTCTCTTCATGATATCTCTGGTCTTTCTGGATCGCTTTCCGCTTTTCGGGTTTCTCTTTCGGGCCCTTCGTCGCTGCAGTTCTTCCCTCGTCATGTCATGCACGCACGCACGCACGCAACTCACGACGCACCGCTGTCTCTTTTGTTTTCGCTTTCTTGTTGTAGTATATTACTTACCCTCGTCTCCGTCTCTGGGCCCGATCGACGCATGCCGAACATTGATTGATTTGTACTTATCGTCCCCGTGTTCGTTAACCGTTGCCCGCTCATGTATCATTCTTCTTTCTCGTTTTTTTTTTTTTCGTTTTCGTTTTCGGTTTCTTTTTCTCAGATTTCGTACTTCATCTACGTCCTCTCGTCTCTCGTCTGTCGTGCTGTGGCCTGAGCGCAGCTAGCCACCAAATTTTTCAGTGTGGCCCCTCACTTTGCCCTCACTCCGTCTACCCTTCTACCGTCTACCCTTCTACCGTGTTACGTTGTGCTCAGGTTCTCGAGTCACGTATTATCCATGCCGAGTACTTACGTAGGTACCGTCCTTGCTGAGTACGCACGCACGTAGGTACGGTCCCGCTCATTGCTCAAGCTCCCGAGTCAATCACGTACGGTATGTACGGTCCATTGTCCATGCACATGTCCAGGCTGCGATCAATGTTTTGAGTCTCTTCGTTTGATTTTTCTTTTGAATGTATTGCTAGAAACACCGTCTCGTCTCGAGTTCTGATGACCTCTACTCTCTACTCTCTACTCTCTACTCTTGTCTTCGTTTCTGTCTACCTGCCTCCTCTCCTCACCTCCTCCCGCCTCGCCCCGTTTCACCGCTAGCTGCACTTACGACCTCTAACGACCCGCCACATTAAGTGGCTCGATTTCTTTTCTGCTTTGCTTTGCTCTGCGACAGGGTTTGTAGGTCCAGGGTTTGCATAGTAGGACATATTTTATTATGTATAGAATGAATGAATGGAATCTTTGTTTGTTTGTTTGTTGAATACGAATGAAGGGGGGGAATGAACGAAAAAAAGGGGGACACTTTATGGATGTCATTTGGAAGCAATGTTTGGGTTATGTGGTTGGGAGTGGATGGGACTGAGACGGGGATTGGGACGAGGACGAAGGTTCGGGGGCGCTTCAGGCTTCGGATTCGGGGGTAGGTGAGAGGGGCAGGGAGGCGGAAGAGGAGACAAGGATTAGGACGAGGATGAAGGTTCGGGGGCGCTTCAGGCTTCAGGCTTCGGATTCGGGGGCAGGTGAGAGGGGCACGCAGGTGGTGGTGGTGGTGGTGGTGGTGGAGAGGGAGAGGTGGAGGATCATCCTGTGGGGTGAGAGCAGTGATGTGAGCGAAGTTGAACGGACGACGAACGAGAAAAGACGAGGGACAGGGCAGGGAGGAGGGGAGGAGTCAGAGACAGGGCAAGGAACAAGGAACGGAGTGAAACATGAACACAACGTTTGAACGCAAAAAATGGGGTTGGAGTGGATGATTTATTAAGTCTGTGGGTTGGGGTGGGCGATGTAGGGTTTGGGGGTTTGTCTTTCGAGTGATTGTGGAATCGAGGAAGAGGGGAAGGAAGTGAGCATGAGGTGAGATGAGGTGGATGACTCTCGATGGGAGAGAAGTGATGGTTGGGATTATTTCGGAGGTGAACACGGAATGGGCGAAAAGGAAGAAAAAAGGTACGGAGGTCACGATGGTAAGTGTAAGTGTAAGTGGATGGCGAGTGGAGCCGGCGGGAGGCTGGATGTGTTTGTTTGTTTGTTTGTTTGTTTGTTTGTTTACGTAGTTGTTTGAAAGACCGATGAATATATGAATGAAGTGGCCTGGATGGGGAGAGTAGAGTGTGGTATGGGTAAGGGTATGGGCGCGGTATAGTAAGATTCCATTGCGAGCGATGCTATAGTATGTACCAGAGCAGGCAGGTAAGTCACGACATCTAGAGGGATTTTCCAGAGATTGGAAGACCAGCTCCTCCGCGGAGAGGCGAAAGAGGTCGAAGAGAATGGGATCGAAAACAATAAGGGTAGACATAAACATTGCATGACACGATATGGAAGGCAACTACGGGGGCTTTGTGGCGTACGCGTCCGAGAGAAGTATGACGTGAGACTCGGAGCACGCAGCACGCAAAGCGAGAAGTAACAGGAAGAGAGAGGAACAAGAAGGGAGAAGGGAGGAAGGGGAGTAGACAAAGAGGAAGAGGAAGAGGGAAGACCGTTTGGCGTACTCACTTCTGGTGGGGCGCTCCTATCGGTGTAATGCACCGGCGGGAGAGGTAGCACGGTCATGCATATGCATAAGGGCCCGCAAATGGAAGATATTTTGCATCGCATGGGACGGTCCATCGTTCATCGTTCGCGGCGGCGAATATTAGATCCGCGAAGGTTCAGGTTCAGAATTCATAGTCCGGAAGTTGGGCCCACCAAGCAAATTAGGGGTGAGGGGTCATGGTCATGCAAACCAAGAGATGTGCGCATTGGGTCAGTCAGCCAGTCACCCTCAGTCCATTGCGCGACGAGAACAGAAGGGAAGGAAGGACGAAAAAGGGCCTATGACGAGGGTATGCGGAAGCGGAAGCGACACTATGGAAGAAGGGGGAAGGGGGAAGGAGGAATGCGCAGGATAGGATGGAGCGATGTCATCAATGGAATCCGTCGGGGCCGACTTACCGTCTTCGTCGAACTCTTCTCCCTGAGTGAGTGAGTGAGTGACCGACCGACCGCCGGTGAATGAAGGCCATGCACGCGTGGGTGTGTGGAGAGGACGCGGAGAGCGTTGCACGTTTGTTAGTGTCGAGCGTTGGGCGGCAAGTGGAGTCAGATGTCCATAAGAGGAGATCAAAAGGGAGATGGACGATTGTGAGCATGGGAACATAATGGAGATAAATGAAAGATGGGGGATGGATAAACAACAAAAGGAATCCGCAAAAGTTGGCATCGACGAACCCAGTCCAGCCAAATAGGCAGGCCGATGGAAAGAGAATCGGATGGGGACAGAAAGAAAGATGGGCCGGCGGTAAGCAAGATCGGCACCCAAAAAATGGCGGATCCGCTCGCGATTGAATGGCCACATCGGGAGAGGAAGATGATAAGAGGAAGGTCGGAAGCAAGATGAAACGGAGGCTATCGGGATTCTGTGGTTCGAACTGGACCGAACCAGACGCACCTCCGGTGTATAACCAAATCTGGCGGACAAAAGAGGAATGTTGAGGACGAGAAGGTACATGGGATGACGCATGTATTAGCAGTGCTGTGAGAACGAGGAGAACAGCTTGAGGGCGGAGGAAGGAGAGGTGCCCTACTTAGCGTAGAAGCCCTGTATACAGACAGACAAATGGACAGGAGTGAATATGAGGCTTTGCTCGTATGGAATTGAGGCTTCGGAGTGAGAAGGCTACCGGTCGTAGCCGTGCACCATCGCCCTTCGAAAGAAGAAGCGACGAGCTCACCTTCACGGGGATCTGGGAGTGGCTGACGATTTTGACAGTGGTGAGGCCCCTGGACGTGGCGTCCTGTTTGACCCAGTCGTGCAGTGCTAATACTAGCTCACGTCCGAAGCTGTACTTGCGGTATTCCTTGAGTACAGCTAGTCGGGAGAGCTTTCGGGGTGTGTATGAGCGTCACGTCAGATAGTGGCGATGGAGAGCGGGACGAGAAGAACCTAAATGTAAGTAAGTGAGGTTGAGATTAAGATTAAGATAGACTCCATTAGGAAGTGATCATGACCATCGGTGTCCGTGTAGGGTGTAACACGAGCTACCAAGAGGAAGGGGAGTTGTACCTTGTAATAGGTGGCGCCGGACGAGCAATAGGCACGTATTGTCCCGATTGGTTCATTAGAGGGCAAGAGGCGGAGCAAGAAGTGCGTCGCGGTAGCGTCATACTCACTGTGCAGAAGTTAATGTGGGCCGATTCGAGGTGAGAAAGGGCACCTCGTTGGGAGGCCACATAAGGGAGCATTAACTTACTCGATCTCTTCATCCAGAGAGAACTTCTGCTCGTGGACGAAGACGTCTATCCTGACATTCGTGCACATCTCGAGCATACTAGCACGGTCTGGAGCACCGACCGGGATGGGTATGATTTCGTGGTGGGGAGGGTTGGGTCTGGGGGCCATCCTACTAGTCCTTACTTGGTCGCCGCTCAGTAGCACGGTTGATGAATAGGATGAACGTTGGCAACGCGGGGTTCGCATGGCGGAGATCTCCCGGACAAGGCGGAACTTGCCGAGAAGCTTATGTCAGCCAAAAGAGCGCCTCGGAAGAGCAAGTCGAAATGGTCGAAATATTCTGGGAAATAGAGCTCATCATCGCGTGCGTCTTGCACGACCTCCCTCGCTCATTGCCCACCCGTTCTTGACGGTGGCCGTGGAAGGCAACGAGTCTCGCTGGCCTGCTGCTCTTCCTCGCTTGCAGCAAGGTCCAGGTACGTCTCAATATTCTCGTTATTTTCTGGATTTGTGTGCCGACGCGCTGACCACTGCGGCAGGCATTGTAGGAGCGAAGAGACGCGTTGTTGAATGGTTATGGTCGAGCCTGTCTTGGCCTCCATCAACTCCCTACTGGCTTATCCTGTACCACTACGCCCTGCGTTAGCCCACTCCGCCTTCCGGTCTCTTTCCGCATCCATGCACCCTCAGTCCTACAACGCCGTCTCCTCCCGTTCAAAACGCGCAAAGGGAAAGCAAAGAGCACTGCCAGACACAGATTGGTTCACAGATTCCCAGTGGCTTACTCATAATCATTGTGCGTCTCTCGCTAGCTTATTTCCGGTGGTTATTCCTGTCCTCAGCAGTTCGAATTTGCGTGCGCACAGGCAGTAAACGTGTATCTCCCTTTCCTGACCCTCCTGAATCGCCAATACGACATCGCATCCAGACACATCTTCGTCACCCCACACGCCCATCATTGTCACCAAGCTCGTCCACCATCATCCCTGCCTTCCGGTCGCCATGTCGCGTGCACGTCCGCTACGCCTCCGATTCCACCCTTCTCGCCACTCGCAAAGCTCTCCCCGTCAACGTCTTCGACCATTTCGTACGGGACCAGCCGATCAAAGGTCACCCAGTACTCCTTGATGAGGCCTGGAGGGCGTTCGAGACCCTTCGCGATCAAAACAACCGGTCCATATCTTCTCATTCGACCCTGTCCGCCTTCGTGGACCGCGCTCTAACCGAAGTAGAGAACACGCTCCTCTCAGAGGATGACTCTGAGCAGTTTCAGGAATGGATGGAGCGACTGCAACCCCTGGTCGATGAGTTGGGTTCTACAGCTAAACTTCGGCACCAGCAGCAGACCTTTCACTGTCTCTCAGCTCGATGCCTTGCTCTCTCTGCCGACACCGCTGCCGCGCTTGCCGCTTGGAAAGAGTTCAAGGCAAGGAAACACCGACGGGGGTTCGACCCAATGGAGCTTCGGATGATCAACACCCTTGTCCATGCCCTTGACCTGCATGGCGGTCCCGAAAGAGTACTCGACTTCGTGGCCCACGAATACGAGACTGTAGGTACACTTGTCCTTTCGCAGGAATACCGAAGCGGTAGATCGAAGACGGACTTGCGCTCTGGCCCAGACTACGATAGGCTCTGTCAGACCGTGTTCTTGATACTGGATAGGATCGAGTTCCCTGCAGTGCTTGTCGCCAATCGGAGGGAGATAGGCAGCGAGATGCGTCGAAAGAACGTCGGCGTCGTACTTGTTCTTTTTCTCATACACAGGCGAGCAGCAGAGGATGCCGTGGCCGTGTGCGAGGAGATGTATTCACAACGCCTCGAACTTCCCCACTGGGTCACGCTTCGATTAATCCGCTCTCTCGTTCGCAACAATGCCTTTGAGATGGCTAACACACTCTTCGCTCGTGTAAACAATTCGCTACCACCGGAAGATCAAGACTCGGTACACGTCTTGTCCGCGGGACTTCACTTATTCTCCCATCAAGGCGATATTCAACGCACGGAGCAGTATTTCGAGGCTATGAAGGCTCGGGTAGGCCTCGAACTGCCAGCCATAAACATGTTGCTTCAAGCGCACGCTGTCAATGGTGATGCCACGACCGTCGTACAACTCTTTCGCACCTACTTTCCTGACTCAACCGCCGACACTCCCGACCAACTTCGTCCCAATATCATCCACTATTCCACCCTCATCCTCGCCCACGCCAACGCACGAGATTTTGTCGGAATGAACAATTGGTTACAGACCATGATCGACGCCGGATTCGCACCGGACCAACATGTCTATGGCCTCCTCATCCAGAGTTTCGCCTCTCGAGGCGAGCTTGAGACCGTCGCAAGTATCATGGACCAGATGCGCGAGGCGGGCCTCCGACCGAGCGCTGCGACGTACACGACCGTCATCTCTATGTTGTCGAAGAGGAAGGACCCCGTTGCGGCCGAGGCGATGTACAAACGCGCCATTCGCGAAGGTATCTTTCCGGATCGACATATGATCGCAGCGCTCATGACCGCACATATGGAGGCGGGCTCGTATCGGGGCGTTATTAGGGCCTTCGACTATCTCGTCTCGTCAAAGGATCGACATCTTCGGCCACGCATCGGTGTGTACAACATCTTGCTCAAGTCGTACGTCCTCCTTAGCGCACCGTTCGAGATCGTGTCGGGGGTGTTTAGTAGGATGGAGAAGGCGGGGCTGAGACCGACGGTTCATACGTTCGCTATCCTGATGCAGGCGGCGTGCGTTGCCGGGAGGATGGAGATCGCGGTCAATATTTTCAATGAGCTCGAGCGACTGGCCGCTCATTGGGAGACCGGACTGCACATCAACGTTTATGCCCTCACATTACTGATGTCGGGATACCTTCGACTGGGCGACAAGATCAAGGCGAAGGAGGTCTACGACATGATGTTAGAGCGCGGGATCCAACCGACCTCGATGACATACGGTTCGATCTTACGAGCATACGCACAGGAGGGCACCGAGGAGTCTCTGGAGCTCGCGAAGGAATTCTTGAAGTCGTTGATGTCTTCCGAACCGAAGGATAGGACGTGGCTCTACGCTGCCGGCTCCCAACGTGGCTACGAGAGCATCTACGCACCCGTGATGGCCCAACTCGGCCGACTTCAACGTCCAGAAGACGTGGAGGACTACTTCCAGGAGATCATCGAGGCCGGAGGGGAGCCCACACTCCCCCTCCTCACTCTCCTCCTCAACGCCTACCGCGTCGTCGGCAACATCCCCGCTCTACGTCAAGTCTGGTCGCAGATCCTCCGTCTCGGCCTCCGCCACGCACAAGTCGACTCCCTCTTCGCCTCCTCCACCGATTCCTCCGAACGACCACGCCTAGACCTCCAACGACAAGCGAACGTGCTCTGCGTCCCGCTCTCGATCTACATCGACGCGCTCTCCGTCGCGGGCTATCACGACGACGCGGCCGAAGTCTGGGCGGAAGTCAAATCGCACGGGTTCGCGTTCGACTCGCATAACTGGAACCACCTCGTCGTCGTCCTCGTCCGCGCAGGCGAACCCGAACGGGCCTTCCAAGTCGTTGAACGCGTCATCCTGCCCTATCAACGCCAAACCGCGAAGATCGTCGCAGAGCGGGACGACAACCCTTCGTCCCCACTGACGTTCGACGACGAGATCCCGTGGGAGGAATTGAGTCCCGACGTCGATAAACCGCTGCGAGCGAATATGAATCCGAAGAATCGGCCCGCAGCGACGAGGGTGAATCGCCGACAGGTGGGCAGCGAGCTCGCGATGGCCGCCGAGGAGCGTCCGAACGATTTCGCGCATCCGTTGCATATATTGCAGCAGGTCTATCCTTCGTGGAATCTGTGGAGGCCGCACGGGGCGACGATGAGTCTGCTCGGGATGGTGCTCAATCATCTCGAGTCGGGGAGGTTGGTCCAGCCGGTGATGCCGCCGGAGGATGTGAGGCGGTGGAAGCAGGAAGTGGGGGACGAGGCGGAGGTGGCGGAGGAGGTGTTGGTGAGGATATTGGAGAACTGTCCGGAGACGGTTAGTGTGGTGAGGTCGTTTGAGGACCGGTTGAGAGGACGGGCGGCGATGTCTGAGTTTATCAGGGAGAGGAGAGGAAATCTGAAGCCTTCGTGATTTATCTTTTCTCTCTCCAGCTTCAGCCTGTGGCAGTCTGGCCGTCCGATATCAAACACATCTCGACTTCACAGCCCTCCGTTCTCCTTTTCTATTTCTTTTTTTTTTCGATCTATTGATGCTTTCGCTTTCGAGTTTGAGTGCCCTGTACGCTGTTTGGTTCAGGTGAGATGAGGGTGGGAACAATAAGTAAGTAAGTAATTAAGTACATAAGTAATTCAAGGTTCACAGGACCACAAATATTAATGGCGGCGGCGGCAGCAGGAACATGACACAGCGCAAACCATCCTATCCCATCTCACGTCACACAACATTATTTCGCTCGCACTATTCATCGACTTGAAACTTGTCCAATAGTAAAAACGATTTGCTGCTTTCGAGTTGAAGTTCTGCTCGTTGCTCTGCCTCTACACGTAGATGCTTCGAGGCCTCAAAATCAGGACACACATCCAAACGAGGAGCGCGTAACTTATAAGGATTCTGAATCAGAACAGTGCACACACTATGCTACGCCATGTATGTATGTATGTATACAACATCTGCCTGGACTAAACGAATGGGACGGCCTGGCATGTCATGCCAGTGGTACGCAGCAGTCAAAAGGGGAACGATCCAAGGCGAGGTTCGAACGCAAGAAAGGTATGGAAAGCAGGGAACAAAAAGGAATAAACACTTGAATGCAGAAGGCAAAAGAAGGGTCGAAGCTGTTCCAGGAAAAGGGACAAACTGAGACTAAGAACGGAGTACTGAGGACGGAATAAAGCAAGGACCGAGTCGAGCCAAACCAAGTCAAGTAAATCCATCGAGAAATCGAGATAGATCTAAAAAGATAACATTGACGACGAGCGAAAGTAAGTAAGCAGGTAAAGCAAGTAAGGCGAGCGAGCGAACAAGGGAAGTAGGCGAGCAAGGTGGATAGATAATAATGTGTGTATTGAAAAATATGGAAATATGAGAATAAAGCGTGGGTGTGAGCGAGCGAGTGGGTGGGTAGGTAGGTAAATAGGTGGAGATTGGCTGAGGGATGATGAGTGGGTAGGTCGGTGGGTTGGCGGTTAAAGGTAGATGTTGAGTAGGTAGGTCAGTAACGAAAATGGGAAGTACGTAGGAGTGAAAACGAAACGAGATAGATCAGTCAGATCGAGTCTGAGGCGAGACACACGGAAGACAGCAGAACTGGAAAAAAAAGGAGAGGACATAGGCACTGGCAGAGCACAAAAAAAGGGAGACTTGACCGCACAGTAGACACTAAGACGACAGAGTATGACAGGAGGACAGGGACAGGAGGGGACAGAGGACAGGATAGGACAATGGGCATGGTAAGAGTGAGAGACAGAGACAGAGACGAAAAAATAGCACGGCACGAGAGAAAGGCACGCATGAGAGGAGATGAAGAGAAAAGGGCAGACAAGAAAAAGAATAAAATAGTCCACGTCGATCGGTCAATCGGTCAGTCGAGCATCAACCATCCGACGAATCGTCGTCCGACCCGTCGTTCCCACGTCCACGACGGCGTTTACTCGACCCGTGACGGTTCCTCTAACACACGACGAAGCGAAGGTTGCGCGCGACGATGATTTTGGGAGTGTCGATTGCGGTTGAGGATGGATGGCGTGGACGTGGAAGGACGCGGTTAGATGCGAATAGATGCGGGAGATGCGCACGGACGCGGCGGATGCGAACGGACACAGAGTAGATGCGACGAAAATGACGGATGCAATGCAGATGCAAAACCATAATCAGATAACACACCCCAAAAACAGAACAAATACGCCCGCCAAGCTCAAAGAAAAACACGATCGCACTCACCAGTGGGAGTTTTTGGCCCTGATTGCCAAAGGATATAGACAGAGCCGTCGTATCTGTGCACACGGGCGGGCAAGGCGTTGGTCAGTCAGTAATTCAGATCAGGGCGCGAGAGAAAGGTGGATGTGGGAATGAGAGTGATGATCAGGCAAGGGAATGGGAATGGAAATGAGAACCAGAGGAAGAGGAGGAGCGAATGAGGGACCGAGATGCAGCATGAGCGAATAAGCGAAAAGTGAGCGTGAGTAAGAGTAGTAATAGTAGAGGGGCGGAGGATTGAACACAGCGCGCAGACCAAATTACCACAAGGCAGAGCTATATATAAAGAGAGAGAAAAGGGCGTATTGGTAGCGATGTAAATTCAAGCCTCCGCCAATCAAGAACCGAGTTCTGGCGGAGGCTCCATTGGAATCGCCACAAATACGCCACAAAGAAGAACACCCCCCCTAAAAAAAAGAATGAAGAAAAAAAAAGCAACTCACCGGGCACACCAGGGAACCTCTTCGCACTATACACATCAAACTTATCCGTGAACACCTGCGCGAGCACGGGCGACACGTCCGTATGCACATGCAACGCGCCGTCCTGCGCGGCGTTCTCTGAGCCTGGCAGGCCACTGTGTGTCGTATGTCGTATGTCGTATGGAGTGATCGACATAGACATCGCATAGAATGAAGGTCGACATATAGATGAACGAAGTCGTCAGTTTCATTCACATGACGTGCGCGGGAAAGAATGGATATGAGAAGGAGAAGTCAGAAGAGGCGAGGATGATATTGATTATGTGTGGTGTGTGGGTGTGTGAGTGGAAGTTGGAAGGGGCCCAAGAGATGTGATGAATGTAATATGAAAAGTCGAGATAGATTCGTTCGAAGATTAGAAGGGTGTTAGACGGAGATAGATGGATAAAAGGCATAGGCAAGGAAACGGAATTAGGTCACTCACGCTCCGATATTCATCAAGCGAAGACGAAGCCGGAAAGGACCTATACCAAACGAATGACAAACGCCGCAAATTCCATCGTCAGTAAAGCCATCCATTCAATCGCTCTACATCAATCCACGGCCTCGTTCGGTTTCCACGGGAAGAAAAGAGAGCATACTGTTCTCGTCGCGCTCTAAGAAGTTCCGCGTTGTAAGGCCACGCTCCGTGACTTTACAGCGCAAAAACCCTGTTTTCAACGCTTGAACGTTCGAATCAAAGCTCTAAACGAGGCTGCTCGATCCACCAAATAAAGAGAGCTCTAACAACGGTCGGTCGATGGTAGGGCACGTAAAAAGAAGAAAAAAAGATCTTTCTGCACTGTAAGGCCTGTTTGCGATTGCGAGCTCCCAGCGCAAAAGACTTTTTTAATGCTCGAGACTTCGAACGAGGCTGCTCAGTCCACGGGAAAGTCCGCCACAAACACCTCTCCTCCCTCTCAACTATGAAAAAAAAAACCTCAAAAAAAACCTCACCTTCCGTCCTTATGCTCAAATCCTGAAACAAAAAGAACACCCCCGGCTTCCGATGCTCATCCTGCAACCTCGACGCATTCGCAGTCAACAAACCCACCAACGTCCGGGTGTAAGTATGCCGCGGCAGGGGCGGGATCGTCGAACTCGAGTCGTTTGGCCCACCTCCTCCTCCTCCTCCTCCCATACCTGGTGCCGAACCGGAAGAAGGACCGATGCCGGAGGAAGAAGAAGGGCCGCTGATGGAAGAAGAATGTTGTCGGGGTGCCCATTGGCCATAAGACGCCGATGCATACATCGAATGCTGCTGCGTTCCCTGTTGGGACTGGGAATGTTGTTGGTCCTCAGGTGAGTCAGCCTGCGAAGTCGCGCCACCCGTATTCGGACTCCCACGTCCCCGTCCACCTCCCTGCCCATACACTTCCGCCACCCCACCACCCCTCCCTCCATGCCCAGAAGACGAAGACGTCTCCTCATGCGCCGGTAAATCGACATATCGCAGCGGTGACGGCGCTCTCCTATACGTCGGTTCCATCGCCACAACTGCAGCAGCAGCCGCGACAGCAGCTGGATTACCCGTCAACGAAACGGGCACCGGAGCGGGCTCGAGCGTGATTTGTCCGTACATCGGTGCCGGATTCGGATTCGGATTCGGATTATGATTATGATTGTGTGTACTAGGTTGGAGAGGTTGTAGAGGCGGTGGTGGTGCGCCCCAAGACCGATACGAATTCCCCGGCTCGACAGGACTCGACGTCTCAGAGTGCTGCCACGCGTGGGATCCAAGCGAATTGGCGGCCATGGCGGTGCGGGAGATGGATGGCACGGGAGAGTAGGGAGGTTGGTAGCCCCAGCTTGGCGGGGACGGGATGGGGTTGTATGGCTGGATGGGCTGGAAGGACAGGGTTTGTGATTGGGAGTGGGAGTGGGAGTGGGAGTGGTGCGAGGGGAGGATGGAGGGTGGGTGGCGCGGTTGTGGGAATGTGAAGAGTGGGGTGTTGAAGCCTGGACTGGGAGGGGCGGGGGCGAGGGGCGTGAAGCCGCTGTGCTATATACGTGGACGTATGTCACCCAAAAAATCAAAAAGGTTCGATAGTGAGTTACATAGAATCGAGAGAAGAGGAGAGAAAGAGGAGATCGCACTGGGGGGTCGTATGGGGGATTGTCGGGCGAAGAGAGGAGCGGGGGAGGGCCGGTGTTGGGGGGTTCGCCGGGGGAGTGGAAGGACGGGCCCGAGCTTGAGTTTGTCCCCCGACGTCGTTTTGGCGGTTGGGTGGCGACGTAGCGGTCGGATGAGGTCGGGTGGAGGACGAGGTTCATTTCGCGGTGGCCGTCTGAGTCCCAGAGGTCTGCGGTGGCTATGAAGAAGGAGGTGTCTATGTCGCTGGTGGTGGGGTCAGGATGATGTGATACGAGTGGCGGCAGGAGCCAAGAGGAGGGTGGAGAGACGAACTCTTCTTCGACTAGAGAGTCGTCTTCGTTTCTGACGACCATCTTGGCTACTACGGCTGGCGCAAGCGGTCGCCGATCCTGCCAAGAGTGCCATGATGATGATTACGAAAAGGGCATCAGAGGGGGAAAATAGAGAGAGACGAACTTTATCACCAAATCCACACATACGGGCCCTGATGGGCTGCTGAACTATCTCGAGAGTATAGAACCTGCGGAGGGGTAGGCGGTAAGCGAAGAGGGAACGGAAGCGGTTGTGGACGGAAGACGGCAGACCGATGGTTGTACCAGGTGCCCCAAGACTGTCCTGCGGAAGACGAAGTGGACTGTCTGCGCGGGGCGACGGCAGAGCTGCCACGGCGGGAGTTTGTCATTTGGATCATGGCTGGCGATAGTAGATGGAGGAGGGAGGCAAGGGGGCGAGAGAGCTGGCGGCTGAGAGAAAGGATGTTCGAGGGTCGCGTGTATTTGAACTGTCGCGAGTTCACACGAGAGGATAAAGAGCGCGAGAGGAGAGTCGAGAGAGCGAGAGCAGAAAAGGAGGGTGGAATCGGTCGGTTGCGGACGGTAGCCGGATAATACCAGCAGAGCGGGTCCAGATATCTCCAGCGATTGGTCGACTGTTTGTACGTAGGCCAAGCTTTGCCAGTCAGTCCCCTTCGCTTGTCGAGTCCGTCGGCGTCGAGAGCAAAGAGATGGCGGTGAGAGCAAGAGCTGGATGCGGATGTCGTATGTCGATCTCATCTTATCTCCTTCTTGGCACTTAGTATGTTCAACCTGCTTATTCTCAGTTCGCCGTCCGTCCCTGCGCACATCCCATTCGACACTCAGCACGCCCGCTCGATCCCCCTCGACGCGCACAGCGGCGGAGGGCCCGTGCTCGGCGCAGGCGACGATGCGGGCGAGCTCTGTGGGACGAGTTCCGCCAGTCTGGGTCGCCTTACCGTTATCCTGGGTCCTCCGCCACACGCCTCGCCACCGCCACTCTCAGCCATTCCCTGCCTCTCCTCGCTCTCCGAGGCATGTCCAGCTCGTTATTCCACCCATTCAACCAATCCCTTCTCTCCCTATCGTCTTCACTGACGTATCACGCCCTTCAGATTGTTGACGACTGTATATTATATATTATATGGGATTTGTTGTCGATATGGGAATCAGTTCCCACGATTCGTGATCGTTCCGGCTCCGGCTTGGCACTGGCAGCCAGCTGCCTGCTCGTCACGACCATACTTACAGCTCACCAACGTCGACCGTCATGTCTGATCAGGCCTCAGCGAAGAAGATCCTCCAGGAGCTCATCAAGCGTGATGACCTTAAGAATAAGGTCTGTGTAGACTGTACGAACCCGAATCCACAGGTACGTTCACCTCGATCCGTGCCTTCTTCGCCACTCACTCACTCTTTCAACGTCCAACCCAGTGGGCCTCTCTCAGGTCGGTCCGATCTAAGAATCACTGTGTGTTTTCTCGATATTGACGATGCGATAGCTTCGCCGTCTTCCTCTGTTTGCAATGCGCTGGCGTACATAGAGGTTTCGGCGTGCACATCAGGTCCGCCCGACTCTTCACTCTCGCTACCATAATCCTTAACACGATGACAGCTTCGTCCGTTCCGTCTCCATGGACTCCTGGACGGATACTCAAATAAAGCGCATGCAGGTCAGTCCACGCCTGTCGTTCTAACCAGCCTAGCATCCTCATCGTCTGTATTTTATTTGTAGAGCGGAGGCAACAAACCCTTCCTCGACTTCATACGTGCTTATGACCCAGCCCAAGGCGGGTACACAGAGGGAATGCCCAAGCACGATCAATACCACTGCTGGGCAGCGACCCAATACCGCGAAAAGGTGCGTCCGACTCTACATCATCATAATCCCAACCGCACTCATCTAAAACCAAACTCAGCTCGACGCCGAACTCCAAGACAAACCCTGGTCCGCCTCCGCCCCTCCTCCCTCCCTCCCCACCAACAACAACAGCAGCACCTCCCCTACACCCTCCCGACCCTCCTCCGCCCAAGGCCAAGGTGGCCTGCGCAAATCCCGCGCCTCCGCCGGCCCCAACCGCTCTTACACCTCTCCCTCCTTCTCTCCCGCCTCCGCCTCCGGTTCCGGTTCACCCAACGCGAATAGTGGCAGCCCATACGACCAAAAATCCGCCAACGAGAATTATTTCGCGTCACTTGGTTCGATGAACGCGAGCAGACCAGATGACCTCCCTCCCTCCCTCGGCGGCCGCTACCAAGGTTTCGGCTCCACCCCCACCCCGTCCTCCCCCTCCCTCGATGCCTCCAACCCGTCATACGGAATGTCATCGAGAGCGGCTCCCACCCTCTCCGATCTGCAAGAAAACCCAATCGCAGCTCTCTCCAAAGGCTGGTCCATCTTCAGTTCCGCAGTCGCCTCCAGCGCGAAAGTAGTGAACGAGAGTCTTATACAACCGGGCGTGGAGAGGGTGACGGATCCGGAGTTTAGGGAGGGTGTGAAGGGGTATGTGAGTGAGGCGGGGAAGAGGGCGGGAGAGGGGGTTAGGGTGGCGAATGGATGGGGAGTGGAGAGGTTTGGGGTGGATGTGGCGGGGGGTGTCGGCGGAGTCATCGGGAAGATCTCGAGCGGGGCGGGGGTGGGCGGGGGGATGGGGGTTGGGGTTGGGGGGGCGAGTCGGAGCGGGTATGCGGGGGTGGGTGGGCAAGGGCAGAGATGGGGAGAGGAGGAGACGAGCGCGCTTTATCAGGATGAGGATGAGGATGCGTTTTTTTCGGAGTATGCGCATGCGGGGATGAAGCCTGGTCAGGGGCAGACGACGTATTCCTCTTCTTCTGCGTCTGCGGGCGTGGGTGGGAGCGGGAGTGGGGGTGGTGCGCAGACGAACACGGCGACGACGGGGAAGAAGGCGGATGGGTGGGACGATGATGAATGGAAGGATTTCTGAGGGGGAGGTGGAAGGCTTAGGTAGGTTCGAGTGCGCGGTGGAGTGTGGCGTGGCGGAGACGATATGCATGTGTGGCAACAGGGACGGGGAAGAAACGGGCGCCTTGACTCTTGGATTGTTTTCTTTCTCTCATAAAAACCGGATTGGATTGGACGATTTATCTGACGGAATCTAATGCGATACCCTCTTCCCTCTTCCTCTGTCTCGAGCAGGAATTCACTGGCACGACACGCGGCATGACAAGCTTTCGAATGCAATGAATAATGACCACCAACCCCAGTGTCCACGGCTGTCTCCACGACGTTGCCGCCTGTCGCCTGTGCATATGTGCTTGTGATGTTATGAAGGTTCTGAACCACATGTATATGCCGATCCGTCCTGAGGCCTGAGAGGCGCTTGGCATGCGCGATGGCGACATTTGGGCCACATCATAGCAGCACAGTAGGCCACAGTCCGAAAGGAACGGGCCTCGTTATTGTCCTCATGGCCCTCATGTTTTGTCAATGTGGCTTGTGTCACATCGGATTCGTGTTCAGGGGAAGTTAGAATCAGTTCAGTCCATGAGATTTGAGTCGGTCTACAAAAGCGTGGGGTGTTCCGTGATGCGGTCTCACTGGCTGACAAGGAACTTGAAAGTCCTATATATGTACCAGGTCCTTCTCGGGGATTATTGACTACGTTTTTGTCACCGTCTTATCAGTGAACGTCCCTGAGCTCATGTACTGAATACTGAATGTCGCAATAGGACAGCACTAGTCACGGTGGGCGCGTATATGTGCACCTACGGAGACACCCAATACCTCTGATGCATATGCGCTCAGAACTCGGTTTATTCACAAGCCTCGTCTTCTTGCTCCGGATTCTGGATCTCTACCGTGTTGTGAAGCGCTGGCGCAGTAGCGTTGTTCTGTCCAATCGGGCTTTTCGGTATAGGGATCACTGATGAGTCTGAGATTACCATTGGAGATTTGTGGATTCGAGTTCGTGGGTTTGTGGCCGCCGAGACTGCGACTGCGACTGTTTGTTATGATAGACGATCGAGCGAGGGTTGTTGGAAAGTTAGCGTGGAACTCGGAGATGATCCTTTCTGATGACGCTTGGTCGGTGGTTGGTTGGGTCTCGAGACCTGGGTCCATAGCCTCTTTCCAGGCCAGTGCATACGCTAAGGACAGTGATCGGTGCAACGCTCAACGTTGTGTGGCGTTAAGCTCATGGTCCTATGGGCCCGTGTAGGTCCATGATGACCTCGGTGTTAGCTCATTAACAGGCTACGAGTAAGTTAGAAGCTTGAGCAGCTGCAACCCCTCTTCTTCCAAATGCCATGGTGAGTATTCTAGGCTGTCGATCGCGGAACATTCCTCGGCGGCGCAATCTGTTCATTTCTCCTCTGCGTTCTACACCGGATGCCGTACTTAGCCCTTGAACAGAACGGGTTATATCATGATGACGGTGCGAAAAGGCCCGCGTCTGTCTTCGAATTTCCGAAGGACGAGTTGGACGGCCGAGGGATACTTATAGCATTTACGAAGCTTAAGGCTCTCGGATGCTCTGTAAGTAGCAATGGCAGGGATATTTACTTCGTACACGGTGTGCATGTAGGCTGGTTTACCCCTCGCCGTTCGGATGTACGGTCTAAGAGCGTCGCGGCCGCCCCCAACTTCTGATTCTGTTAGGGATCCAACCTGCAATACTTAATCGTCGTTCGCATCGGCATCCCCATCGGCAATCGGGAACAGACTAACCTCCCATGTAACCGCGTGCCTCCGATCCTATTCAGTCGTCGCCAGTCGTCGTCGACGGTCGTACATAAACAAGGCCCGGAGGCCGAAAGCTTAAAATAAGAATGGAAATCACTCCCGACCGAGGATTCAACTTGAGGAGTCGTCAGGCTGCGAGATCAATTACATGTACGTCTGCCCCAGTCTGAGGTCTCTTTAGCCTTACGAACACTATGATCTGCGGCTACTCGGTCGTGGAGAAGAGAAGACTCACGTCGAGAGCCTGAGGTCGATCATGGTCAGATGGACGACGAACGTCATACGCGGTTGGTTGTTCTCGATGCCAGATGGATGGATATATCAGTCGCCAATATCGTCGGTATTTCGCAAACGCCATCGAGGAAGAGGCGTCGATTATTTTGGAAAGCAAACTTCTCTGTTATCCCAGGCATCGAGAGTCATAAGGTCGGCCGCACCTGAGTCTGTACACGAGGCGATGAGTGCGTTGTGGCTGAATATAGCTATTGCGATGATGATGCTGTGTCCCGAGGAAGAGTGCTTTGTGGACGAGAAAGACAATGCCGGGAACAGCCCTTGGGGGGCAGGGTACGAGGGCGACACGAAAACATGAGGCACATCTCTTTTTGAGTGGTTGATCATTCTTGGAATGTTGACCGTCACAATTGAAATTCAAAGCGGGTGGGCCGGGGAAGCAAGACGGAAGCAAAATGAGATTTGTGGAGTGATCGTGTTTCCGTGGGAGTGTTTTCCCTGTTTGGCGACCATCACGCAAACACGCGCGGTTGATGGGATTGTAGTAGACGCCGTGAAACAATCGATGTCGGATCCTCAATTGTCCGTCCTACGATGCAGCAACTTCGAGTCGAGAATTACACAGGTGTGTGTTTAGAATAGAAGGTTAGAAGCGAGCAAGGACGAGGACATCGCCTTGCAGGACATCCAAGGGTGCTGCTCAGGGTCCACGCACTTCTCAAACGGACTGGAGGTTCGAGAAGACTTTTGTACCTGGGGCCCGCATACTATCCTGTTCCATCGACTTCGCCCATTAGTGATCTGTCGCCTAGAAGACGCACAGGCGGCAGGCCTATGCCGATCCACTTCTTGTCAATCTCAGCTATGAGCGCCGTCTCATTCCAACTCTCGGTCCCTTTTCTTCAAAGCGCCAGCCCGCCTCATGGATACCTGCCTCCCCTTCTCCCTTCCACAGCTCTGACTCTGGGACACTAGGACCTCCTGGTCCTGCGCGAGTTATAAGCACCTTGCGCAGCCTCGACCTGACCCTTCCAGCTCTCCTCCTTCCCCCATACTGCTCCCCCGCACCCCCTGTCAAACTATCGGCAGTCTACCCTCCCTACTTGTTCCTCTGTCCAACCTTTGGAAATACGAAGCAGCCATGCAACTCCAGCCGAGGTAAATCACCGTTTTCACCACATTAGTCTATTCGTCCATCATCATCTGATGATTGGTTCCCCCTCGCTCCCACTCACACCTGTCTACTTTCTGCCCACCCACAGAATCGTGTGCGGTCCCGAATGGCCCCTGCCCCCGCTTCCGCAAATCAACGACGTCGCGCTACGCACCCAAGTCTTTACCCACCGTTCCTTCGCTGCCCGACCCACGCACGTCTTCGAGGACACTCCGAGTGATCCCAGCCCCGATAACGAAATGTGAGAATTACACGGACCTGCGGACACACGCCGTATGATTATCGTCCTCTATCCAATCCATCTACCCATCATGCACATTTCTGGCCTCCGTCCTTCCTTTTCTGCCCCTCTTTGCCTCTTCCTTCCTTGCGACCCTCGTTCTTCGCTCCCGTCACTCGTATGACGCTTTCAGAGACTTCGATCTCTGTCCGATCATGTGTCTGCCGGCGGCCCCTTTCCATTACCCGCGGTAGCATGAGAGGCTGACTTTGTTGTTCTATTTCTTGTTGCTTGTTCGGGACCGCGACGATCCTCTAGCTTGGAACATCTTGGTGACCAAGTCCTCGGCCTGGTCGTCACGGAGCTCCTGCACGAGATGTATCCCTACCTGAGGGTGGGCCCGTCCACTGTACGTTGTCTTTATTTCATCATGGCGAATACGACTCGCTGACCATCGAATTCGGTCACCATAGAAAACGAGGGCCATCGTCGTTGGGAATACGAATTTGGCCACCATGTAAGTCATTGTAGCACAGTGATATCCTTCTAGCGCGTTGACTGAGATGTATATTTGGATTAATTAGCTCGGTTCGGTACCGCCTCCACGAAAGACTTCGCCTTCACCTCGCCCAATCCGTCACGCTCAAGGCCTCTCCCAACGTTCAAGGTACGCTACACCCTCTCCCTTCCTTCCACCTTCCATCTTACCTCTCCTCATCATTTCTTCCCCGTCATCCAATCACTCACTCCATCGCACTCATCACTCATCACATTCCATCCCTCAGCCGACGCCTTCGAAGCCTACATCGGCGGCCTCTTCCGCGACCAAGGCCTCCCCGCCGTCCGCGACTGGCTCCGCCCCCTCTTCCGCCCCTACATCGACGAAGCCTACCGCAACATCCGAGACCAACACCGTCTCCCTCCCCTCGGCGAATCCACCAACGGCCCCCTCAGCCCCTCCGCGGCCCTCATCGCTCCGGGCCCTAACCCTAACGCCGCCGCCGTCTTTGGCATTGGCGCTCGTGGAGGCGCGGGCGTAGGTTGGGGCTCCGGCGAAAGGAGCCTGAGTTCCCCGCCGCCTTCGCCGCCGTTGCCGCCGCAGAATGCGGATTTGCCGCTGGGGCATTTGGGATTGTTTAATCAGAGGTTGCAGCAGAAGTCGATCCCGATTGAGTGGAGGTTCAGAGGTATGTCTATCCAGTTTGTCTTCGTGTCTATCACATGGCACTTTGGTCGACCCCTATACCCACCTCGTGGGTGCGGCATGGACCCAGGCTGCGTGGATGGATCATGTTCATTGGTCTGACTGCGTCATTATATGTGTAGACTCTAAGGATGAAGGGACGAAGGTGACTCCGATGTGGATCGCCGAGGCGATGGTCAATGGCGAGGTCTGGGGCAAAGGGCGTGGTAACACCAAGAAGGCCGCCAAGAACGAGGCTGCGAAGGAGGGGCTCGCTAGGCTCGGCTGGTCCGACGTGAGTTACCTTCCCGCCTGCATACGTCATTCTGCTTTTGTTTCGGTTCGATGCTGACGAGTTCTGTGTGGCGGATACTACAGTCTTCCACCTATGAGGAACCGGACTCGTCCTCTGACCATGGTAGCGACCGTCACGGCAGCATGAGCAGCAGTGGCAGCACCCCTCTCCGTACTCCCTCCAGCTCCGGCTCCAACTCTGGTTCCAACTCCAACCCCAACCCTGGCTCCTTCACTTTCAACCCGAACCGCGGCCCCTTCGTCCCCTCCGGTCAATTCCCACCCGCCTTCTTCCCACCGCCCCATTTGGGCCCGATGCCGAACGCGACGTCGCGCCATTATGGGCGTGCATGAATCTCCAGATTGCGGTTGCATGGTCCGCCATGATGTCCCTTGGCCCTCTTTGACTCGGGGGGTTCTAAACCATCTCTCTATCTGAACCTCTCTCTCAGCGGGGTCTGAGGGAGAAAGGGAGGAGGGTGCAGGGCTTTAGAGTCATGGGCCAGGAGGACATTGTGAGGCTCATGCTACCTCAATCTGATGATGTCCTGTTGTATATAAGTAATCACCACCATCTCTCTCTTCCATCTCTCTATCTGTCATGCTTGCTGTGATTCTATGTCTTGTTCAAGGCTGTATGTGTGTCTTCTGTGTCCGCATACTAGCCCCACTATGCTTTCCCTCTATCTCTCTCGGATGTGGACGGACCATTTTGCGTACCTGTGGATTGATCTACGGATGGATGGATAGGATTCTAGCCCAGGATTGCTATCTTTGTATGTTTGAACTACGTTTGTGAGCTCGGTATCCCAGAAGAAAATATATAGATGAAAACCCTAGTCATAGTTTTACAGTGTTTATCTAGCTGTCTCCCGAATGACACCAATATTATAGTCTACATACATACACGCTCGTCGATTGTCGACTCGTCTTGCTACCCTTCCGACATAGCATTATGTGTGTGATTTACAGACTCTGCCCCAAACCCACTCACGGCTCATCATGAATAAATATATCCTCCACACCGTCCCACTTCCCCTCCTTCTTCCACACCTTCTCCCGTTCGGCCCAATACTCAGGACTCATCCCGACCATATGCGGCCTCCAGACCCTCTCCCCCGTGTCCGGCTCCGTCTCGGCGGTGAACCACCGAGGCTTATGTTTCGGCAGCTGACCTTCCTCGCGCAGCTTTCGGGTCTCTCGCTGCTTGTCTTCTTGCTTCCCCTTGAGCTCGTTCGCGTGCTCGTATCGACAGAGTTCAAACGCGCGTTGATCTGGCCGTAATCTGCCCAGAAGCAAGAACATACCACGTTTGCGTTCGGATTCCCAATCTGCACAAGGAACAAGGAAAAAGGTGGGGTAAAAGTAGGACATACCTGCAATCCGTCGGACACAAATAAGGCTTCAGAGTCTCCTCCGGGCAATCATTCAACGTGATCGCAAACGGCGTCAGATTGAACGGCGCGGGCGGTTTCTCCGAGTTCCTCCAAAGCAAGATAAACTCCGCCGTGCCAGTGCCCGCGTCCGCGTCCGGACTGAGCGCGCTCGTCACGCTCCCCACGGACCCGACGACCTTCCGCGCGACGAGCTGGCTGTTCCACCTCCCCGCGATCTCGTACTGGATTGTGCCCGAGGCGTCGGCGACGTGTCCCGAGATTTCGAACGCGTCTTTGCCTCGCCAGCCGCGGGGTTTGAATGTGAGGACGCAGGTGTCTTGTGTGCGATGGTTCGTTACCTAGATTAAATGGGTTGTGGAGAACGCATGTCCGGCGACGTTAGGCGAGACACAGTAAATACAAATACGATACGGTGGTCACTTACGATCATATCACCTGTCAAAGAAAAGTACAAATTAGGATCGAGCAAGAGGAATATATCACAGTGCGTACCGTAGTGATCAATTGTTGGCGACCCGAGGATGAATCCGGAGACGTTCGTCGTGACCTTCTTCCAGCTATAATGCTCCGCCACTTTCTCCTCGGCGAAAGCAGTTTGGGTTTTCGGAAGGTCCGAATTCGAGTCCTTTGTCGATGGGAAGAGGAGGTCGACGTGCGCAACACCAGTCGGTCGGATCTAGGGCCACAGTACAGGCGAAAATCAGCTAACAGTTCGCGAGAATTGAGCAGAAACTAGGTCGACTTACCTCGAAACTCTTGCCCATGAACTTGTTCTGCGCGTCGACCTACAGCACCACATTGTGAGCCATCTACGAGCAAGTCCGACGCGGACGGTAAACGTACCTCGCCATAATACCTCCACCTTGGAGCATCTATTCCACAGAAGGGTAAGCGTTCAGTGACTGAATCACTCACGTACGTAGAAAAAAACCAACACTCACCCGCATAACACGCCGAAATCGGCGGATGATGGCTGACCTGCTCCGATACGTAGCGGAATTCCTTATCGAACCTGACATACTCGAACGTTTCTCCGAGCATGGGATTGAACGGTTTTGCGATACGGCCGATGGTAGATGAATAGTTGGACATGGCGAAGGCTGCGACGAAGGCTGTCCGAAGTAGAGGGTTTTCTTCCGCGGAAGCGGCATCCACTGGGGGAATGATATGGGATAAGTGATCGCGGTCAGACGGAATAATGAGGGAACGTACAGCACTCCGAGAACTCCATGTCTTCGGCCTATGATACAAAGTATTCAGCATGCTGGCGATATATAACCATTATGAAAAATGCTCACCATTCGTTGCAACATAGACGTAGGTTCGTTGAAGAAGACGGGGAAACTAATCTACAGGGACGCAAAAAGTTCAGTCTGGACACATTGACCATCGGACAGTATGGCATACCCTAGTCAAATCCTTGCCAATCGAATGCTGCACATCAAAGATCACTTCAATCAGCACTCACATTCACTGACAGAAAATACAACAACTGACCTTCAACACAGACCACAAACTCGTCGGGGGCCTATTATCGCTATTCATAGCCAACCTCTTCCGCAAATTCTTATACCCAACATACTGCTCCTGATTGATATCCTTCGGAATCTCATGATTACTTTCATGCCCGGGCATCAAGCTCTCATTGACCACCAAATTCGGCAACGTTCCGCTCTCGATCGCATCGAAGAACTCGTCCTCCTCATCAGTGTCGACGTCGCCTTCAGTGGCGGATATTCCGGTGACCGTCTTGCTTGGCGAAAGGATAGGCGGGATGTTCAATGAGAACCTATGAGACGGTGAGACTGAGAGGCTAGCAGATGGAGTCGCAGTTGTGGGCGAAGAACGGTCTTGCAGGGCATCCGACGCCGATGTAGACGGCGTCAGTCGGGGAGAAGAGAGTGTGACATCGAGCGGGTACCCAGCCATTTCTTTACCAGCTTGGGGTGTCGAGGTCCCCTCTTCTTCCATCGCAGACGGTGACATCGAAACAGGTAGTCCCGCAGGTCGTTGCTTGATAGTGCCCATACCTGAACAAGAGAAACCCATTAGCCATGGACCCGATGACGAAGAATGAGACCCAATGAAGTAAGCAAAGAAATCTCCATTCTATTCTCGACTCACCATCCCCCGTACTGCCTTCCGCAAAGATACGACTGCGCTTCTTCCCACCCGACCTCGCCTGCTGCTTCAACTCCTCCTCCAACGCCTCTCCCTCCCTAACAACACTCGCCAAACTCTCTTCCCAAAACGACTGCCTCTCCTGTTCCTTCGCCACCCGTGCCTTCCACCACGCCTCTCTATCCGTGGTCATCTGGATATACTGCGTCGTCAAGCTCTGCACCGTCGCCAACGACTCCTTCAGCGCGCTCTTAGTCTGTTCCGTCGTCGTGCTGCTCTCGTTGACATGTCCCAGAAGGTTAGAGGTAACCTCGATCTGAGCGCTCAGCGTGTTCGCCTGCAGCTCGAACGTATCGGAATGTGGCGGCTCTTGGTTCTTCATACTCTCCTCCGCCTCCAACGAATCATCCTCATCATCCTTCGTATCCGCGTCATATCCCGTCTCCTGGCTCAAATCGTGCGCATGCGCATTCGTATGCGAGGCAGACCCAGAAGGACCCTCATTGTCCGTGAAACTGGTGACGGAGCTATCCGCGTTGACTTTGCCGCTGGAGCGCACTTTGAGGATGGACGGCATCCTAGAGGAGATGCTGCCGCGGAGGGAAGACGCGGATGCGTGCGACATGGACGGCGTTTCGCTTTCGGAGCCTTCGGTGGGGTGTTTGTGGTGGTCGATCGCTCGAGAAATCGCGGTTGTCCAGCGGGTGGCTTCCATAGGATGTGCCGCCTATGTCCATTCAAATACATATCGTAAGTAGTATGATACAATAAAAGATATCATACCTTGAGGTACCATTTCTGGATGGAGTTATGGGACGCACTCCGACTGGGAGTGGAATGAACCTCGAATCGGAGCTTGTCACCTTGCGCCACACGGAGGGCACAGTTCTTCATCGCGATCGACCCGCGACTGGAGATATTCTCGTCATCCTGGTGACGGTAATCTTCGGGCGGAAATCAATGGTAAATCACACGTTCCCCATAGGAACAAGATAAAAAGAGAGAGAGGAGAAAAGCGTACAAGACAAAACCCCATCGGAGAGGACGAACCACCGAGTGTTATAGCCCCGCGCGACGTTGGTATACCTAAGCATGACATTCCGTGCATCAGCAAACTTGGCTCTCTTTTGATGTTGTAAGATAGGCGTGCTCACTTGTTGAGATATCCCTTTAGTTCAATTTGTTCGGTGGTGGGCTTCTCGTCCAGGAGAGTCATATCCTGGTTTGTGACTGACCCAACGCAGATGCCAAGTAAATAGCTGAGGCTTACGGCACAAAATAAAGAAGACACTCACACTGTCTCAAAAACACCCTAACCTTATCGTCCTTCCCCACCACACTCGACACCGTCCTTCCCCTCCTATCCCTCACAAACACATCAGCGCCACCCCTCACCGCCAACTCAATCAGAGTCAAGTCCTTCCTACGTGCGGCCTCATGAAGCAGCGTCGTCCCAGAAGCATCATCTATGTAGGACAGATCGAGGATACGAGCTCGTGGCGAAGACAAAAGTGCGAGTAGGGCTTGGGGCGGAGGTGTGGCGAGAGACGAATGGATGTAAGTTCTCAGGTGAGAACGGTATGATGCGGTTATGAAAGCTCTGGAGTCTATAGAATCATGGTTCCAACAATTTAGAATAACGTTAGCGTCACATTAGGAGGTCGGGATGACTAAAATGAAGCGAAGAGAGGTGTATACCATTAATAGCCCTGACGGTATCTTTTCCCCGAGCCACCTCTTTGCAGTTCTTTCCGTTTGAGTCTCGGACGGTATCGTCAATTCCGTCCTGTTCGAGCAAGAGGTTGACGACATCTGCACGGCCTAAGGACGCTGCGAGGTGAAGGGCAGTTGTGCCAGAGCCAGGAGGATGGATGCCGTTACATGATATAGAGCGGTGAGAGAGTAGAAAAGCCACGGTGTCCTGATATACGTGCGATGGGGTAAGATGGACGAAAAGACACAGACAATATCGTGGAAGTATAACGCACAGCTAAGGAAAGAGAATATATGGTACATAAGTTCGAGTCCGAGTTACAAGATTACAAGAACATCTGTTCGATCACGCACCTGAACCACAACGGATAGCTAGATGCAGAGCGGCGGCGCCAACATCAGTATCCACTCCATCTTTCGAGTGTCTCTTGTCTCTATTGATATCGGCGAGAAATGGGTGAATCAGAGCAGGTTTGCCTTTGAGGTGTATGGAGGGCCCAGGGGATTGTAATGAGCGTCTTTCGGGGCATGATATTGACACTGGTATACGCACCGCTGCGAAGTGCACTCAAGAGTTTGACTTGATATAGAGGCTCGGACGTAGATCCAGCTTCATAATTCAGGTCGTCGGTTCAGTGAATGTGAAGATGACAGAGTACTGTAATGCATACCAATTGACAGCGTCTGGCTAAGTCTGGGCATTGTGGCGTACGACGACGACCTTGGGCCAGACATGGTGGTATTCTAGAGAGCTATGAGCTGATATAATCGTAGGTGAAGTACTAGCAAGGGTGCATGGATGACAGAGTTGGCCGTTCCTGCCTAATAGCTGCTGAACAAGAGCCGCCCTCGGAGTAACGAGCGCTCCCTTTCCGGACCGTCGACGTCACTTTCATTTTGTGAATTTCCAAAAGCGGGGCGCTCTCAGTTCTCATCCCGCTCTGGATATTCTTTTGAGAGGAGAAATGTGATGTATATGGATGCAGAAATAAAATATAGCTGGCTATGATGATGGCCTATCTCCCAGTCTCCCAAATCTATCCACAGGAGGAGCGCCCCAAACAAACGTCTTCCCTCTTCGATCCAACAACTCCGGCATCCTCCTCTCCGCCAACCCCGCCAAAATACCCCTCGTCTTCGTTGGACTCGATACCGATACCGATGCAGGTGTGGGTGCTGGTGCCGACTTTGATGCAGAAACGAATGTCGTAGCCGCAGGCGCCGCCAACTCCAACTCTGGCGGTGCAGCAACCGTCCCACTCGCCCTCGCAGCCAACCGTTCCCGCTCCTCGTCCTCTAGACTCTTCACTCCCGTCCGAACCATCGCCTTGGCTTCCTCATCTACATCTTCGAATGTATCCTGCTTCACGGCATTCATCGCGTAGATCCATGCACCAACGGCGAAAGCGGAGAGTGCGACGCCCGTGAGGGCGTTCTTGACTTTGTACGGTTCTCGTGCGCGCATGAGGCCAGGAGACATTTGCTAGATGTTGTGTTAGTTCTGGGAAGTGCTGATGAGCGAGTGCGAGGGCTCTGTACTCACGTAGCTTTTTGGTCGGTATGATCTTGTGGCCTTTCGACGGTCAACGTATAGGTCCTCCATGTTATGAAGTGTATCGAGTGAAGAGTGGCGGTGGTATTGTCTTGTGGCTTCGAGCAGTAATCAAGCAAGGCCAGAAATGCTTTCTAAGAGTAGTAAACACGGTACAGCTATCCTTCTCTGAAGTAACCGGTAAACGAAAGCAGTGGATAGTAGAGGCGATATGTGGCGAGAGAAAGTAAGGGCAGAGTTGGGTTATGGGATGTAGACGTTGTCGATCGGCACGCGTTCCGCCGATTCCGCATCACACTTGCGAATACTCAACGCCATGACTGGATTGGTTCTATTCTGGCTCATAGCACTCAATATGCTTAACCATCTTCATGGAGGTATTTACTTGGGGCCTGGAGACGACTGCAACTTTGCAATACTTCCATGCACGACAGGTTTTGTGGTCTTAGAGCTTGAGCGGTCTTGGGTGGGCATCTTACAAGTCCAACATGCGAACGAGGTCTAACAACGACTGTACTTCGCGATAGAAAGACATCTAATGCATTGCTCAAACACACCCCTTTCACTACCCCTCCTACTTCTTGCCCTACAAACCGACCCAACACACACCACCCAATCAAACGACGTCCAACCGTCAGCACCCATACCTCCACTCACATCAAAGCAAAGAGAAGCACCACACACCTGGACGAGAAGGAATGCGCCGTAGGCGGTCGACGCCATACCGACGGTGAAAAGCAACCTGTAGGAGTCTACAAGACGACAGCCCATACTGAATCAACACCGGAGACGCGAGACCAACGATAGGGTCTAAGTCGAGTAAGGGGAACGCACTGAAGAGGGCAGGGCCGTATGGAGTCCTGATGTGGACGGGCCTGTGGACGGCCTACAGGCAAACAAGGACAAGATACAGTTCTCGTGAATAGGAGTTCGTACGAGGTCAAGCCATCACGAACGCACCTGGATTTGCCTCTGCTTTTCGAGGACACGGTTGGGACCTGCATTAATTCACTTCGCATCAGACAACCCTGTAAATAATTGAGAAACGGGCATCGCAACGCACGGTCGGCGAGCCACTGGAAAATCATGATGAATGAATTGAGCTGGGAGAGGGCGGGGAATGGGTGTGTATGGTGGGGGACGGAAGAGTTGTGAGGCGAGGTGAGTCGGCGGGGACCGGACCGCTTCCGCAAAGTGGCGTCGACTCGGGCGCGACGCGCCAGAAGGAGTGTCATACTGTGACCTGTACCCGGCGCGTCCGGCGAGTCCGGCGACGCCTGGAGGCATCCGGCGCTGCCTGGAGGCACACGAGTTGTGCCTCCAGGCAAATTCGAACACAGACGAGTTGTGCCTCCAGGCAGGGTCCAACCCATACGAGTTGTGCCTCCAGGCATGTTCTTACGACACGCTAATTGCCTGGAGACACAACTTGTGTGCTTGAATATGCCTGGAGGCGCAACTCGTATGCGTTCGGATTCACTCCAGGCAAAAACATTCCAGGTTGGTTCCCGCGGGGTAGGGGGTGAATAGGGGGTGAGCAGGTAGGTGGTCTGCAGGCTGTAAATGGGAAAAAATAGGGCTATGGGGTCTGTGAGCAGGGTGGACTGAATGGTGAACCAGGAGAGAATGATAGGCAATAAAATTGCGGGAAAATGGTAGAATAACAATACATATATGCCTGTGCACCCTCGGGGTACTAGCCTGGGTACCAATAGGGGAAACGGGGTGATATGGGAGTATTTTTGTAACTTTGCGAGTTTTGAGATTTCGAGCAAATGAATCACATTGCTTAGTGTCGTTTTGATGGAATCAGTGTATAAAACATGAATTGGTGACGTGGTTTGGCGAGATGAAGGAGGCCAATTTTGGGAGTTCTGTCTATTTGACAAATATTTAGAAATATACAGGATGATAGGAATCAATTCTCAAAGGAATCGGTCCATTTGTTCCAAAGTTATAGTGTAAGTGGTCAGGACAATATTGCCATACCGAGGCTGGAGGGGGTTGGTAGGCCAGAACCAGTGATATAAAGGTTCAATTGACTTGGTTTCTGCTGTCATGGGTAGGCATACATCACTACTTCATTATGAAAGCCACACCTGACACAGAAACTGTGACCATGGCCTTGATAGTGGTGCGCGTCGAAGGGGGGAGGAGGAGAACGTCGTACCCGGGGGTACTGCAGCAGTTAGA